TTCCTGGGTTCCTGGGTTCCTGGGTTCCTGGGTTCCTGGGTTCCTGGGTTCCTGGGTTCCTGGGTTCCTGGGTTCCTGGGTTCTTGGGTTCCTGGGTTCCTGGGTTCATGGGTTCATGGGTTCATGGGTTTGGGGTTTGTTTGTTTTTGTGTCGGAGGTTTTGGGTTCGGGTGTTGGAGGTTTTGGGTGTTGGAGGTTTTGGGTTTGGGTGTTGGAGGTTGAGGTTTCCGAAGGGATGTGTTTGCAAAGTTTTATTGCTCTTAATATTGACCACTCAAGATCCACTTGCATACGGGCATACATTAGTAACACTTGCAAGGAGACACAGCACATCACTCAAACCAAAGCAGAAAATATCTGTTGAAGTCCATGTTGCCAATGTGACTACCTCTCCGTCTTCTCCACCTGACGTGCTTTTTCGATTCGCAATTCGTCTTATTTGTCTTTTTAAGTACTTAGCAGTTTTGTTGATGAGAAACCTTTGCTGGCGGGATCTTCAAGCGAAAGCCTCAACGTGAATAGAGGAACGAACTTGAAGTACCTAGAGTGCGAACGTTTGCAGAGCAAAACATAATAGGCGACTCAAGAAACTGCAGCGGTCGAGAAGAATAGACAAAAAATTTCGTACTTTGATTTATTTCGAAAGAAAAACTGTCTTCACGCGGACAAGACGCTCTTGCGCTTCGGGACCGATGCAGAGGACAAGAAGGCAATGACACAGGTGGTGCTTCTGGCGTTTGAATGAGCTGCCGGGGCTTTACTCCCCAGCTACAACCCACCATGGGGTAGGGACAGCTAAACTCTTTCATTAGCGAGGAGATAGAGGTCAAATGGGGTACTTAGTATGATATGTGCGTCGACGATCCTGATGATCATAGTGGGCACAGTTGATGCTTTCGGAATCTTCGAAAACTAGAATATTCAACGAAATTAATGAACAGACACACGTTTCGAAGATACACAACAAAAAATTTGAAATTACAATTACTTTTTTGCCAATTCCAATATTGTAGAATATCTACTAAAGAGTCATGTTATTGCTTTCGTGAATAGACAGTGATATAGATGATATTGAAGATAATGATAATGTACGAAACTAACCAGCTAATTTTCCTCATGAATTTGGATACTATCAGGTTAGTTCCGATTAAAAATCCATGTTGAAAATACCGAGCTTACAGCAGCAGCTCTACGTTATCTTTTCGTCAATAAATGAATGTTTCTAGGAGATGGAGTCACATGCCGAGTACAAATCGGAATACAAATTCAAAAACCAGACCTAATATTCAGTAACGGCCTCACGAGCACAGCACCTCACACGGTTCAGAAGGGCCCCAGCGGAAGCCATTTCTACGCCAGACGGGAGTATATGAGTTGCGCAACCAATGGGTTCAGTAATTAATTGCGGGCACCGCAGATCTATCGGTTTTTAGACTCTAAGTGAGAGCGGCGAATTTCTGTTTCTCCCGATGTCACCTTGAGTTGTTATACGTCAAAAAGGATTAGCAAGAGGCAGCAAAGCAGAAGTGAATGCAAAAACTGGAGGCATAGTAAATCAATGACATTGCATGGATCGAAACCAAGAATAAGCAGTCGACTGGTTCCATATTCGACTCAGAGCAGAAAAGACCGCATACTAGACTTGAAGACCCATCTTTTTCTCATAATTTTAATTGCAGCTTCCTGACTCTGCACAAGTCCTATGGCTGCAGCCGCGGCTATACGAACGCGTGAAGCGTCAAATCACAAAGTAGCTCCTTGCGAAGAAAGCCACGTCCTGCTGATCCTTACTCAATTTCACGCACCGAAGCCCGAAGTAGACTGTGACCGAAGATTACAACTTGCTCTGACTCTTTACAAATCCTCCAAACTCGACCAGAAAAATGCGGTCCTCAACGACAACCCCATCTCCAAACTACAAGGACATGCGGGACCCGGAGCTGTTGCGGTACGGGACACCCGACATGATTCTGGTTGCAAACGGAGTGCGACTTTACATTCATAGTTCGAAGTGTGCGGCTTATTCCAAGGAAATTCACCAGCAAGTCTTGCATCCGGACTCCTTTTTCGGAAAGATGCTAGTTTTGAGGAATGGCAGGTATCAAATGATACATATGGCATTTTGATGATCTTGCTTGGTGGCAATCGTTCTTGTTTTTCCTCACTCAGAGCGGGCACGCATGCCGAAGACGGAAGATGTCCTAGATGTAGTAATCTCTCAAAAAAAAAATACCATGTTGTGAAGTAGGTAGTCGTATCTTATGTGCCCACTGTTTGAAAGAAGCTCATTTTTCTACACATGGTTATTTTTGTCCTGCATCATGTTCGAAAGAGGAGCCACGTTTTCCATGTCTGTGTTACTTCAGGAGTACACCTGCCGCGATCGCATTGCTTGATACGATCTACTCGCCACAGAAAGTTCCTCCGAATGGTTTACTCTTCGAGGTCTGTGAAATCGCGCATGATTACGACATGCAACTTGTTTTGCAAAAGATCAAGTTGGGCTTGATCAAGCGAGGCTCCGCAACACCGCTTATAGAGGCAGTTCGCGAATCAGTCAAAGTCCAGACGGCACTCGTCACGGGCGGCGAGAGTCTCGTTCCGTCGGCCTCCTCGTCAGGGTCTTACGCGGCGAGCGATAGTGGGATAATGCTGCGTAACAGCTCGGCGGATGGCAGGAGGGGCCCGAGCGCGTCGAGCATAGGCGGAGATGTCGTGATGGCCGCCGCCGAGCAGGGCGCAAGACCAGCACGCACCGTAAGCTTTAGTGGCGTTCCGGGTGCTAGTGGTCGAACAGGATCATCAGCAGTTGGCCCAGCCGTCTCGCTAACAGGTGGAGGCGGCATAAAGCGCCATGGCGCGATATCGTTCGACATTTTTCCGAGTGGGGTCACACGAACGGGTGTTCCGCTCACAGTGTTAGAGGCGTATGCGGAATTCACTCTGCATGAACTACGAACCATGCCTCGGTTTACAGAAGTGCCAGCACCAATACGACTGCAGATATCAGACACGAGAGTGCGCATTCTCGAAACCCTATTGCACACTCAACAATCCTTAAAACCCGTTTTAGCAGAAAATAGAACAACACTTTTTCGTAAACCGGAGGCTGCTGAGTGCGTCCGTTGATGACGGTCATTATGATTCAACATCACAATCACTATCGGGCACGCGCCAAGACTATTGCTGCAAGCGGAGTCGTAGACCACCGCCTGCAAGAATATTGAAATAGGAGCACGAGATGTTCCACTCAAAAGACGAGCGAGGCCCTGGCTGGTAGCTGAGTATCATAAAGTGCTGGTATTGACCCTGTGGTAGATCTACAAGCAAAGCAGCCCAGGCCCCAGCAAAAGTGGAAACAAGTACCGCCCTGAACAGCACGCCATACACCCGCAAACGGGATCACATTATCCGGGGCCAGGAGTTCGCCTTGACTCGTTTAGGATACCAGACGAGCTGCGCTGGAAATGGAAAGCGAAGGACTATCTGCGATGTCTAAACTGCAAGAAGTGGAAGATTGAATTTCAAGATGCGGAGATGTCAATGCAGGCTAGAGCAAAAAGGATTGACTTATATAAAAGCCACAAAGAGAAGTGCATAAAAAAGGTTAGAAAATAAAAAAAAGGCAACTGCAACAATTAAGTCCTGCGAACGACCTCTTGCTAGGTAAGTGAGTGAATGAATGAATTAAAGTTGAAAAACAAGAAGTTGCGAACGAGTGAAAAAGATGGGAGGCATTGCAATTGTAGACTTGCTGCATCGTGGTTTCTTTCTTGTTTCGTTTCTTTCTCGTCAGCACATCCTCGGTAGATGGATTTCCTCAGCACACGTAGTACTGTGTTACAAAACCAAGGAAAAAATGTAGAATTCTGAGGGGCAGGTTGATGCAGCACATCACGTTAGCTGTTCGACGGTTCGGCACGATGCGGTTGATTCTCGGTATTTCCTGGGTCTCTGCTGTCTTTTTCTTTCGACTCACAGCGGCGCTCCGGTTGTTAGCTCCTGATGATGTGAGTGAAAACTCTCATCCTGGTGCAGTCAACCATGCGGACATTATACCATCGGTAAATGCAATCACAAACGGACAAAATCTCGCATCCTTCGAAGAATCATCGATTTTTTTGGAACAAGCAGATGAGTTTTCAGGAGACTTAGAAGCAGATGGACGCCAAGCTCCAGTCGAGGGTGTACCAGAGCAGCCGCGAGATCTTCTCGCAAATGATGGGATTCCACCAGCCAAGAACCAAACGCGACCATCTCCTTACGTAACTCCGAAACAGTGCGCGAGTTTAGCGGCCGCTATGTGGCAGAAGCCAGAGGTCACGTGCAAACGGCGGGAAGTCGATGCAGACACTGACGTCTGCTCTTGTAAAGTGCCGTTGCCAGCATCTGTTCACCCCCAGCCCGAAACGGTGCAATCGGTAATTGCGGCTCCAGCAGTCGCGACGCCGGGAGCGCCGCCGCCCGTGCAGTTTGATCCGTATTATTGCCCATCTTACTGCGATCACAGTTTTCATCCAATTCCCATCCATTATCCAACTAATTAAGTAATGTATGAAAAACTTGTCAAAATTGTAGAGCTCCGAAGCAACATTTTTATGGCGATGTCTTGCGTCCTTGTACGAGCCATTCTACCTATATATATAATCATGCCTGACACCCAACAGCTTGCCTGAGCCGGCTTCTCCGGTGAATCCGCTCGCGCCCTATTCTCCCGGGAGTATGAGCGCCGTATGTCCCTTCGGAACCGCATGCGCAAATGTGACGCAATGTGTCGGCTTTGATACCTGGGGCTTCTCGAAAGTCCAACAAAGTAAGTACTCGGCAGCATCGCAGCTTCTAAATTTCATTCTCTGTGAATACTATATGCCGATGGACGGGTCTTTCGAAATTCCCCTACGTGTCAACTTAAGCAGCGAATACGTTGTGACGGATAAGTAGCAGTGTACTTGTCTCGCGACAACGGTCAATCTCGGGACGAGCTTCTGAGTTTGAAGAATGTCTGTCAAAACGGGAGCGTAACCACTCGTCATTGTTGTAATAGAAAGCCGTAGCTCGCCGTAGCAAGTAGGTGGTCTGCGTCAAACATTAGGTTCCTCCAGAGTTATGTCATAATAAATCTAGTCTTGTTTTTTCCAATCAATGAATGAAACTACCATCATGGCAATCGCTCGCATTCCTTGGGAAGCTTTTTCATTTGAACTGCGCGATGTCGTTATGTTTTCCTATCAATCTTCGTCGAGAAATGTTTTGAACATCTGCCGAATGCTCGTCTTCTCCGGTTGAAGAATTCGTAGTAGAAAGGTTTCTACCACAACCACTAGAGGACATAACTATCAATGAACTGTTGAGTGATTGCAATATGTCAAGAGTCTGTAGTTGTCAGAGAAGAACTAGTTGTATTGGAAATCTGTCAATGGCTTGATTAGACATCAAGAACAAGATTGTCCGAAGAGTCGTGGGTCATTCTACCCGAAAGAGAGCGTGAACCGCAAATTGACATCTTGCCCCACCAAACATCTGTGCCTGTGAGTAAAGTATCTTCATGCTGTCATGAGATCTGTTGACGAAAGTGTGAATGTTTTTTGCATTTTCATCTCTGAGTGAGCCAAAGTGGGCGTTGCAACCCTGTATTTCTTCCATCTTCCATGTGTTACGTATTATCGTTCTTCATGCCACAGCCCGCACCTATACAGTTAAGGTAAAGCCTCCTACTCCCACCCATCATTTCGAAATTTTGAAATCTTATCATCATCATCATCACCCTACTCAAGCAGTCAAATAAAGAGATTGATAAAGGTTAGAGTTGAGCTGGACTAGACTGAGATCGCAGATATTTCGTGACTGACTGTGACTTTCAAGTATTTTCATTTTGCTTTTTCTGTGTTAGAAAGAATGAACAGAAAGTCTTTGAATTCCTTATGCCATATGCATTTAGTTGAACTTTATGCATTAATAATCAAAACTTTTGACTTTGGAGGTGCTAGTTTGAACAGTGAAAATGATGTTCAACAAAATGGAGAATTGTGTTTTTGGCTCGAGAGAGAGGACGACTGATGAAGGTCCGCTGCTAGTGCGGTATCGTAGTCACTTTCGATTTCCGCAACAGTCAGAGTCTTATCTCTTGTCTGCACCGAAAATAGGTCTCAACGCAAGCCAAGCAGATGAGCAAAAGTTCAACTTTTTGGCGAGTTCCGGTGCTGCTTGTCCTTCGGCTGGTGTCCGCCTAATCGAGTCGACGGATGTGGTAGCACCAGATCCCGTTGTAAGTCCTTCAGCTATATCAAAAGCATCGAGATTAAGTGTTCCTGTTCCTCGTGCGCAACAGCAAGGCAAGGGACAAGACGGCTTTGGTGAGCAGAACAACAGATCATCGTTTTTTGCACGGTTCAGCAGTCAGTACGGAGATGAGATGCAATTTGACTTCTCACATGTGAGACCGTCGGCTGCATCCTTGTTCTTTTCAGAAGATCAACTACAAGGAACTAGTCTTCTTGACCTCGACTACAGTCCGAGAATGGCTGCCGCGGAGGCGTCGCCCTTATTTCGACAATCGCAAACTAGTACTACTCGCTTATCCAGCCCGTCCATATTTGTCGCTCGGCCATCTGACAAACTGTCCTTGTCAAGACTATCGCGCCAAAGCTTTGGGCCTTTTCAATCCGGTGGGATTGCAATACTCGAAAAGGATTCGGGTAATTTTGATGGAGTCGTGGATATATTCCCGACGAGCGCAGTAAGTACAGGCTTGCATGGATTCGACGCTAATGACCACACCATGCCCGAAAGAAGCGTCGACAGCAAAGCAGACGAAAGGATGGTAGAAAATGGCGATGGAGACCCCAACGGCGAAGTAGGAAGACAAAAGCCAATAGCCTTAGCTCCCTTGGGCGAGGACGAGCCTGCTGTGAAGGAGATGAAAGTAGACAGTCACTCAGAGTTCTTAAGCCCAGCATTTCCCAACCTCGGCGAGGATCTTAAAGACAATAAGCCCCCCGACGCTGTCATTACAATCATTCCCTCCCAAAATAAGAGCAAGAGGAAAGTGAGTATAGCAAATCCCCCAGAACACGAAATGGTGCACTGGAGCAGTAGTGAGCTCGACAATAGAACCGTTGAAATTTGGTTTAACCCACAACAAGCGGAGGTTTACCAAGGACCTGTTGATGCGTTATCTGGTGATCCTAGTGGGCGTGGCAGCTTAACTTCAAGTGATGGCGCTATAGTTTATAATGGCGATTTTGAAAATGGTGTCCCGCACGGACGTGGAACCTTGGAAAATATAGGGGTCTTCCATTACGAGGGTCTTTTCCAGAACGGGACATTTCATGGGCATGGAACGTTGAAATATTTTGAGAGTCCCCTAGAGGATGTTCGGCAAGAAAATCGTGGCACAGCTAAGGTGAATCAAAAACAGTCAGCATCAGAACCGGGAGAAACAGTAAGCACCTCGAGGTATGATGGCGCATTCAAGAATGGTTTGCCACACGGGTGGGGAAGCTTCTACTTTCCAAATGGTGACATCTATACTGGCGCCTTTGAGAATGGAATGCCTGCTGCTAAAGAAAGTCTCTATGAATACGAGAATGGAGATTGCTACAAAGGAAACCTAGCAACAATTGCTTTGAAATCTGCCAAAAAATCCTCAAGTAATAGAATTAGAAGTGCTAAAGGTAATTATGTTGACAGCGCGAAAAATGATAACTCCAATAACCTTGAAAAAGGCATATTCGGGAATAAGTACGCGACGAGCGACAGAGAGCAAGATTACCTGATGCGAAGAACAACAGTGAATGACGCGGCGTTGAAGAAAGGGCGTGACTTTGGAAGCATCGCTTTTGCAAACCTGAGCGAACTCGTGACTTTCGAACGATTACTTGTGACACATAGTTCTTGAATTAGAAGCGAAGTGCTGCCGTCCTCGTCGCTGTCGAGTTGCTACTCATGGTCAGCATATCTGTTCAAGGACTGCGTGTCCCTCGAAATGCTTGTCCCTTCAAATAGAAGATTCTTGAAAAATACCTAGATCATGGTGCCTCCACCGGATGGTGAGTTTGTCTGTGTTCGCTGTACCACCGGAATCCGTGGACCGTCCTCCAAAAAGGTGATCCGATATCGATACAAATAATAAGATCCCCGAATTGTCAGATATCGATACAAATCAGAGTACAAATCAACGAGGTCAGATCAGTCAAAAAGAAACAGAAAGATCAATGAGTTCTGATTCCGCAACTAAAGATCAGGCATTCAAACGGTTCGGTCGACCTTATCGTAAGATCAACAATAATTGTCGTACGTTTAGCTTTTGGCCCGGTAGTTTAAGATGGTAGGAAGCTTTTACCATCCATTGATCAGAAGCATCGTGCTCTTTAAGACAAGCGCAATACTGCAAAGCAAAATTCTAATTGTTTCTTACAGACAAACCAGACCAGTTGCACCAGGACCTAGGGACCGCGCAACTTGGTACAGGATTGGTACAAGGGAGGCATTTGAGAAAGAGGACGTGAATCATCATAGTCATACACAAATTTGACTTTGAGTTCTTTGATATCCACCGAATAAGTTCTTCGCACTAATAAGTTTGTTGCATTCACCACTCGTAAATTTCTCAGATCATTTTCCAACTCGACGACAACTTCTATTTGGAAAATCAATAACTGACATTTCCGCGAAAATGAGTCAAGTGTCACCGCCGAAATCGAACGAGAATGCCGCTCTTGCTCGTGAGCAGGAGGCGGGTATCACTGGATTTGTTGGCAGTGGTCGCAAGGAACAGCTGCGCGGCGTCTTCAAGCAGTACTACTTTGATTTCCACGTCCACGAGGTTGGAGTGGATGGTACCAAGGCGCAGTTGACGGAAGTGCACGACCGCACAGCAATTCGTGAGAGCACGCGCGAAGCGAAGCGGGAAGCGACTGAACGGAAGGCGCGCTTCTTCGTTCCCACATTCGCATTCTCAGAAGAAGAGCGCAGCGAAGTGAGTGTAGCTTTGATGCGCGGGGCAAAGGACGACGAACTGGAGAAATCTTCACAAGCTGAGGCTGCGAAGTTAGAAAAATTTCTGCAGACCGAGCTTCAACCGCGCGAAGGTTTTACGGTGCTGAAGGAGGACGAGGAAGCCAAGAAAAAGGCAGCTGCGGCAGATCTGGCGAAGAGTCTGGATGAGAATGGGCTCGAGACGCTCTACTACGTGGATCTCTGCGTCGGGGCCGGCGGAGAGAGCAAGGAAAGTAAGGAAACAGCCAAGAACGCGCGCAAAGCCTTCCATGACATAGTACGCGTGCGCTTTGCTGAGGTGCTTTCCTCCGAGAGCAGTCCGTTGGGACTCAACTACGTGCGTGTTTGGCGTCGCGACCAGGAACGCAAAGTCAAGGAAAACGCTTCTGAGTCCATGCCGCTGTCGCGCCGACAGCAGAAGAAGAAGGGCAAGGGCAAGAAGGGTGAGCCATCTTCTGCCGAAATAGCTCCTGCGCATAATAACGATATGCTGGAGAACGGTGAATTGGATGGCCCTGGAGGCGGGTTTGAAGCCCAGCAAGCTCCGATGAACCCTGCTTTGTGCCTCTTTCGCCAAGAGCCGTGGCCGCGTGACCGACCCGACAACCTCCTTTTCATTCTGTACAAGGAGAACCGCGAAACCGGAGAGGCAATCAACAGTATTTCGCGCTCCATGTCGAGCGACACGCGACCCAAAAATCTGAAATCCTTCGGTTTCGCTGGGACGAAGGACCGCCGCGGCTGCACCACGCAGTTTGTCACACTGTTCCGCACCAGCGAGCGACAATTGCTGCATGCTCGCTTTTCCAACGCTTGGGATCCGCAAGTGTATGTGCAACCGGTAGGTTACGTTCCGGACCGACTCCGCCTTGGAAAGTTGAAAGCAAATCGCTTCGACGTTCTGATTCGAAACCTGCAATCTATTGGAGCAGTTGATGCTGCGCCTGCGACGAGTACATCCTCAACTGGTGACAGTGCCGTGGAGAAGAACGTCGAGATTAGTGCCGTGGAAGATGAACATCGAGGTCTCTGCCTTAAAGAGCCAGTAGCTCAAGCTTTCGCAACGCTGGAAAGCATTGGCTTTCTGAATTTTTTTGGGCTTCAACGTTTCGGTTCGGGATCTATTCGCACACACGAAGTTGGTGCATTGCTTCTGCAACGCAAATTCAAACAAGCTATGCTGGCGCTGCTGGCAAACGCTGACTTCGGCTACGGTCCTTCTGGCAAGGGTGGCAAGAAGGGAAAAGGCAAGAAAGGAGCAGGCAAAGGCAAACAAAGTTGTGAAGCTCAATCCTCGGCTGCTGATGTAGAGAAGGGTGGAGAGGATGGTGACGATGAACCGGCGGCGAAGCGACGCAAAGTTGACACCTATGCTGATGCTGTGCGGGAGGAGCGCTGGGCTGATGCGCTCCATCTGATGCCGCGCAGGCGTGGCATTTTTATCGAGCAATCTCTGTTGGAAGCGCTGTCGGGTCAGTGCATGTTCGGCGCAGATTCCGAGAAGGGCAAGGGAAAAGGCAAAAAAGGTAAGGACGGTAAAGGCAAGGGCAAAGGCAAAAAGGGAAAGAAGGGTGGAAAGAAAGGCGATTTTGGTGAAGATCGAGGCGGCGAAGGCAAGCAGGTGAACGGACGAACGGCCATCCGTGATCCTCGTGCAGTGCTGGAGCAGCTCCCGCGGGAAACGGTTTCTCTCTACTACCACGCTCTGCAGAGCTACTGCTTCAACCGGGTTTTGGCTCGCCGTCGCGAGTTGTTCGGCATCGAGAAACCCGTTGTCGGCGACTTGGTTTTTGTCGACAATGCAACGGAAGAGGTGCCGGTTGAGGATGGCGATACGAACATGGAGGACGGGGACGAAGAGGGCAACGATCGCACAGCAGCTGAAGCTAATGCTGAGGCCGCTAAGGACACTGAATCGCAACAGCAGGGTGGTGACTCACCCGCGGCGTCTTCTGAAAAGGCAAATAAATCGTCCGATGTGGATTCGGCTGCGAAGGCAGAAAACAACTCAGTAACCACTTCTAAAAAGAGTGCCAAGGAACTAGGTCTTGAGCAGGCTTTGAAGCTGAAGCACGCAGTGAAGGCCCTGACAGAAGCCGATTTAGACCAGTATACGATTGAAGATGTTGTGCTACCACTTCCGGGGTTTGCCATCACGTATCCAGAGCATTTGAAGGCGGAATACGACATTGCACTATGTGAGATCATGCACAAAAACAAGTACGCCTCCTCCAAAACCGTAGAAGATGGCACAGCCGATTCATCAACACTTCCGAGTAGCATCACCTTGGAGACTTTCGGTGACGGCGAGCCTTCAGGAAGAACATTGCGTGGTATTTCCTTACCCGGTGGCTATCGCAAGTGTGTTGTCCGACCCACTGAAATGTCGTGGGACCTCGTGTCCGTCGATGAATCGCAAGTGCTCAGTAACCCACCCGGCTGGCAGATTCCTCGAGTGGAATCTGATCTCGGAAAAATACAGGCTGCCCAGAAGACCCAGGTTGAGGACGCTGAAAGTAACAACAGGACGGAGTCTGAACAGGTGAGTAAGGCAAACAACGAAGAAGGAGCTTCAAATGTTGCTGCTACGACTGCTACTAGTACTGATACGAAAGTGGAAGAGAAGAAAGCCGGCACGTCACAAGCCGTGGAGGGAAAGCACAGCGGGGAAGCTGTTGAAATGAAGGTGCTTGCGGATTGCGAAGCAAAATCACTCGGAGAACAGGTACCTGGGTGTGGATTTAAGGAGCCAGATGCCAGCACCACATCCGCTCAGTCCAGCGAGACAAGATTGTCTCTGAGCAACGGGTCTACTGATGCGGCTGCTGTCGGAGCAACAGGAACAGGGACCACTTCTCCACCTGAGGCGACGAGCAGGTCAAACGTGAAGAAGGTATCATGGGCGCTTCGATTTTCCTGCACACTGCCGACGTCGGCGTACTTGACCATGGCCTTGCGAGAACTTACAGGGTATCCTGTTGATTAGGGTTCAAATCTCGATTCTCTCGCTTCTAAACAAGACGCCTCTCAAAGATGCGGCGAACCAAATAACATACCGCGATCTGACAGCAACGATCACGGGCACTAGAGCGAGCGCTTTAAAGAAGAATTCAAAGCAGAGTACATCATGCTCAGGCTCTTGAGAGTACATCATTCGATTGTTGAAGACAGGTGCGACTGAATTTCCACAACAGATTTACCCTGTTAGAGTATCTCACACTCGCTGATAGAAATAGATAGACCATGAATAATCAAAAAGCACTACTTCTTGCACCCCCCATTGAAACGATTGGCATTCGTGTTGCTTTGATGCGCGCATTTAATGTTTCTTGTTTTTTTCCTCCCGAAAATCAATAATGTACGTAGCGCGCTCCCCAGTCCAACCTTTTCATGAGGTCGTCTGCCTGGAGCCCAGCACCGTGGTTGCAACGCTATTGTTCGGAACTGCGCCAACGAGAGGTTTATAATCCGAAATGATTGTTTAGACGCTACATGTGATGAGCACGAGTGGCACACGGTGCAAGGAAGAAGCAGTAAAGTACCTACTTAGAGGAATTTGTGATCTCTTTTTATAGCAACGACTGCTTGTCGAATAACCTCGAACTGCCAACAGCGGCTTTAGAAAATGGATGAGCGCAGTTTACTTCAGGTTCACCGTGAGATCCGCCCTGGTGGTCCCCCATTTCTTTTCGTTTGAATTTTACCTTGCAGTCGGACTCGAGCCCCTGATCCAAGTATGAGGGGTTTTCAATTACCTCAAGTTCCATGAGCGTCAACTAGCAAAGTAGAGCTGAGACGGCATTTCTCATCTCCTTTATAATTAGATAGTAGAGCATGTCTGTCGACCTCAGCGGTGGCGGTGCGTCCGCACCGAACCCGATCAGCGCGTCCGCACCTGTGCCGGCAACTGCATCGGGAGGCGTGGCGGAATCCGCACTACGAGCAGGATCAGCAGGGATGGTAGAATCAGCAGTGGGTACTGCAAAGACGGTCATGGAACGGTCTGTGGCTGAAGTCCGAAATTTCGTTGAACAGAATCCCAGTCAAGTCCGTGCCACGGTACTAAAAGTCGACAATCGGCAGAATGCTAGATTATCTGTGTCTATTTTTTTCGAGCGGCTACGGCGCGACAGCTTGTTTACCAAAGACTGAGTAACAAGCATCCACGGGGATGCTGGGCTTCGGCTTCGAACCCAAGCCTTGCGATGAGCCTTCATTCTGCATTGTCACTTTCGCTGAGGAACTATTCCAGTTGAAGCAAGTTTTTAGCTTTGTATGCACACAGCATCCTCGTATGCCCATGATCGATGCATCATGGCAAGTACGCTGCTCAAGATCATCAGCAGACAGACAAGCCGGATCAGCAACAACAGTGTGACATTTCCAAAATTTAGGTTTTTTTAATGGCGCTAGCATCAGCGGTATATTGTGGGCTGGGCATCTTCAATATTTTTAACCTCTCGTTCACGCCAGTGGAGTATATGGTAAACTTGTATCTCTGCCTTTTCGCGGTTGTGACCCTGATTCTTGAGGGTAAACCGGAGTGGCCAGGTGTGAACAAGATACAGGAGAAAATATTTTTCCAGGCGCATTTTCTGTCAACAGTTGGAGGTCGGGCGGGATTCTACATTTTCCAAGGCACGTTCGCCATGGCACGGTACATCAGCAATCATCCCTACGGAAAAGATGACGTTAATGAAATTGTTCTTAATCTTGACATACCTTTAGAAGTACAATATTTAGGGAGTCTGGTTCACACTGATGAATTTAAATTGATTTAGATTCCACTTTGGAAGCCTATCTCGTAATCTTGGCAGGTATGACGAAGATCTTCTGATGTTTCTCTTCGGCCTTGGCTTCTTCGCCATCGGAGCGTTGATATTGGGTCAGCAGTACCGATCTGGCGGGATAAGTAGTCTAGGGAGAGAAAATCTCTTACGAGAATATCACGGTAGCGGTCCTGCAAACTCGGTTTAGATCCCCTGTCCACGAGTCCACTAAAAGGGGAGCATAATCTAACCTGTCCGTCCTGACACAACAACGAGAAACAGTCCCGACCCACGAAGGCAGCAAGTGAGAGGCCATCATTATCCGGAAAGCTAGGACGCAGTAAGATGACCACGAAGAGAATGAGAAATTTGACAACTTACTTGATTGAGAGCTGAAATCCTGATTCCTTACACTGTACACATTATCGTTTTAAGATCCAAATCCAAAGGTCGATCAGCGATCAATCTAAATGCTTGAAACCTACATAACTATCCACGGGCAGAAAGAGAGACGACATATTTGAAACCAAAAGTTCGTATTCAGATAACGAGGAGATCCGAATCTCAAACTGCTATACCCACGAGCCCTTTTCAGGGCGATGATGGAGACGAGGTCGACATGAGGCAGCTGACAAACTAGGTGGCGCAGAAGTGCTCCGTCATGTTCAGAAAAAATTCGGTGAGCATCGGTTCTAAATTCAGAACAGTGCACGATGACTGTCATGTTTTCCTGAAAAGCTGATCTTTAGGTCTTTATCACGACAGATCCTCATCTATGCAATGTACAAACACGCGTGTCTAGAGATGACCAACTACTGAGCTCCTGCTGAAGCTCTTGAGATCCCCAAATAGAATGAATTAGACGAAGATGTGAAAATACAAGCAAGGGCTAGCCTGTCCAAAGAAAGAGTTTTGAAGATCTAATCCGCACATGGAGTCTGTTTCTAAATGATCCTCAATGATGGTTCCCAGGGTAGCGATCTAAAAAACCCAGGTCGCTAAAGCTCCTTCCAAATTTCGAATGTAGGGCTGGAACTCCTTTTAGACACTACGACCACGAATGTGTTGCTGTTCTGCGATTTTCACTTGTAATAACAGTCTTTGATACCTAAAACTAGATGTGATTCTTGCGCACGTGACACTCGTTTCCATCTAAATCTTTTGCAAAACAGGGAAAAAGGAAGTCTCTTTGTATCTAGAGAGAAGAGCTCTGACCGTCTCCAACAGTCAAAATGGTGAAGTATTCTCGCGAAGCGGCTGTCGCCTCGAAGTCGGCGAAGGCTATGGGTGTGGACCTCCGCACTTCCTTCAAAAACACTTACAACGTGTGCCAGGCTATCAAGGGATTCAAGCTCGAAGATGCCAAGACCTACTTGAACGTACCTTCCGGATTTCTAGCATAGTTTTTGATTCTTTGGAAAACTATCCATGTGCGTTCTACTTCTTGTAACAACTTTTTTGTTTGCATGGCCGTCTCGATATTCGTCACTACTGCACTTTCGAACGACGACAAGCTTAAAAGTAGATCAAAGTTGCCTGACCGCCATCTCTTTAGATTCGAGATTTCGGATGTTTGCTTCATGTTCCCATCACCTTCATCTCTCCAAAATTGCAGGCGGTCCTCGAGAAGAAGCGCTGCATCCCATTCCGCCGTTTCAAGAGCGGGGTCAGCCGCACTGGTCAGGCTAACGAATTCAAGACTGTCCAGGGTCGCTGGCCGGAGAAGTCCGTCAAGGTTGTCCTTGGCCTTCTTCAGAACGCTGGGTCCAACGCCGAGTTTAAGAGCTTGGATATGGACAAGCTGGTACACTAGTAGATTTTGGTCCAAAATGTTGTTCACACTCTAGAATCGGTTTGTACGTTGTATGTCAACTCCTAGCATCGCCCATTTGCTTAATAAGTTAGACAAGGAATATCTGTTGCCACGAAAAGCTCGGTATAAACCTGATACGATGCAGTGCAAAAATGATTTAGAACTATGGTTCGTTTGCCAAAAATCCTTATCGACGAAACAAAAAAAAACGTGTTATCATAACAGGTGATCACCCACATCCAAGTGAACCGAGCCACCCAGGGCCGCCGTCGCACTTACCGTGCCCACGGTCGTATCAACGCCTACCAGAGCAGCCCGTGCCACGTCGAAATGATCGTCGCTGAGGCTGACGAGGATGTCGAGAAGGCTCCGGATAGCAAGGCGAAGAAGTTCACCAAGAAGCAGTTGGCCAAGCGCCGCGTGCTTGAATCCAACTAATGCTAAGGTCTTGTGTCGCCGAAACTAGAGATGGATTTCAAAACCATGGCCAGTAGTCTCATCTTCTTGTAATCTGAGGAGAAGGGGAAGACGACGACCAGAGCAGTATCGGGAGACGCTTGTCAGTCACTGTTGTCATTTCATGTGCTTGTGAAAGGGAGGACCAAGGGTGTGAACAGGATAGCCGTAGGGAATGCTCCTCTGCCGTTGCTCAGAAATATGTCTCTTCTTTTAGAACAATGAAATGAGCCGACTGATCAGGAGACGAGGAGCTAATCAAAAAAAGGCGAGGAAAAGGCTGTTGCCATGAGAAGTGTGGGCAAATCCATGTGTTCGCAACGACTGTTCATCTGTTTTGACAAAGCAAGGCAAGAAGATCTGTACGCCCTCCTTCTAGCAGAAGGAAATACTCACTTGGAAAAGCATTATTCACACTTAGAGTCAGAAGAGGCGTCCTCAGAAGAGGACGATCGACGATCTAAAATGCGAACTCACCGCTAGTTGTCAAATACTCAAATGTAGATCACAGGAGAAAATAGAGAAAGCCCGTGCGCGGTAAAATTGCGCAGCTGGCTCGTGCGCGGTGTATCGGTCGTTGGAGGACTGAAATTAAAATTTTTCTCAAGATAGAGATCAGTGCTCGCGCCCAGTGACTCTAGACGTACTCCAAAGCCCCGAGTATGAGCTTACGTATGTGTTACTCTTACTTGTCTCTTATGCCCTCACGTTAATGATCAGCGAAATGGCTATCTCAGGGCGGGGTAGCAATGGAAAATGGATTTCAATATATTGTAACAAGACATGTGAGAGAAACTAATTGATGCAGAATGATCTAGGTGGGCATGTATATCCTGGCATGATTTGGATTTCAAAATAGACTTACGTGAAAGTAGAGTGAAATACGAAAAGACATGACTGCTGTTTTTGGGTGCTCGTTGCTCCTGACATTTCATCAGAGCCATTAATGAAGACGCTCCGCAGCCGCTCGTCGCGGAAGTTCGTTATATTTTTCGAGATCATCCGCGGGAATGCTCGCTTGCAGTGCCCCCTTCTGGTGAAATAGAAAGAGGAACTCACCCGGAAACATATAAATGTCGGCTCCTGCGGCACCTGCACTATCTGCACCGGGTGGCGCGGTGTGGACGTGCCAATACAGGGGGTGCAAATCAAAGAAGGCGCAAATAAAAGAACTTCGGTCGCGGTTACCAAATGGGTACCCGCACGATGAAGACGCAAGCTTACGGGTATCAGCTCTACTTTCACAGGAAGCTCTAGGTTGTAATAAAATTGCAATAAGACGAAGAAGTTTAACGGTGTCAGTCGTGGCTACGGGAAGTATCTATAAGGATAGGGTTAGTCGAAATGAAGAACACGATACTAGAGAAGGGGTTCTCAGAGATGGCATACAAGCGGCTAGTTCTGATTGATCTTTCTAAATATGTATGCGTTGTTTCACTTTCGTTTTTTCCTTGTTTTTCTCCTAGGTGTGCACGGTGTGTCGGCGGCTGCCGCTTGAGAATCAGGCGTCCTTGGAGGAACTCGACGCCAAAGGCTTGAAGGAAACTGCAGTGAATCTTAGCAAAGCAAACTTGCATCAGTTTCTGAAGTTTCCGAGCATTGAGAAGCAGTTGCGGGACGATGTCTCTGAGCCCCTGGATGCAGATACCGTGAAATCTGTTGTAGACGAATTTGAAGAGCTAGAGGGTAAAAGTACCGAAATAGTGTCAGTGATGAGATACTACGCACAGAACCACGCGAATCAGCTAGCGAAAGCGATGTCAGCAAAAGCGATAGACGATGGCTTTCCCTGGGAAATGTCGCTCGCATTCGATTTGATCAACGATCTTGTGATGGACGAAATTGCTCACGGATCTTCCTCATTCGGTACGAGACCATGTTTCTGTATAGCTACTAATCTTAAGCAGAGAAGCGAAGAAACAAAAAACAGATTAACGATAACGAGAGTGTTGGGTCCTTTGGTAGTGTGCTTTCTAGTATTTTTTTAATATCGGTATGCGGGGCAAAGTTCGTGGGAATGTCTTGTCTTTTACCAACAGGTTCTGGCGGCGGGAGACCTGTTACAGGTGACCTTGCAGTGTTGCCTCCACCACCAGCAACAGGAGACTCCTTAGTCTGTCAGGAAGTAGCGCCGGCACCTGCAGATGCGCAGTCGTACACCCAGGCTTTTGGCGTGCTTTTTCCGAAAATGTTTCAGCTCGTTTGGGATAAGCTGAAAACAATAGCCGAGAATGATTCAACGGTGAATCGGTTAGAGGAACAGAAAAAAATCATTCGCGCTGTGAATCAATGGCGGGACGTGAATCTTTGGGGCCTTGAGTCGATACAAACAGAGTTGACGCAACGACGCGAGGCGCTTCGCGCAGGGACTCTCTTCGTCAAGCGGAATGCGTCGAAGAGTGCACCGGGGACCGGCTCCTCAACCGGAGCGCCCCCAGGGGGAGGCGGTGGTGGCATCACAACTAGCGTGCCACAGCGATATATCTTGAGCGTGTCTGGCGCTGACATAGATTTGATGCTCAGCCTGCTCGCGACGGTGCAGCAAGACGAGGACCAAGAAGAGGAGCGAGAGCTGAAGCGCCGGAAACTTGATGAGCATAGCGCTCAGCGGGCAGCAGAAGGGAGAGCTAATTTCATCGAAAAAATCCTTGAAGCTGACTCAAGTGATCCCGCTGTGGTGCTAGGACTCCACGAGAATGAGGCATACCAAAAAGAAGGGATCGCGGCTCTCACAGCAGATATGATAGCGAAGGTGGCGAGGAGGCTCATGTTCAAAGCGCATCCGGATAAAAATCGAGGAGTCGAAAAACAAAAATGCACCGATGCGATGACGAAAATTACGGATGCAAAAGATGAGCTCGTCGAGAAGGTATTGCAAGAATTAAGCAGGCCCTCCTTGAACCAAGATGAAGCGTCCTCCACCACTCTAGCCTTGGCTTACTCTAACACGTTGCTTCAGTGCTTTCCTGAGAGTAGCAACACTGATGTACTTATCTTCTTGTTTCCTTAACAAATAATACGAATTCTTCAAATTCCCAACTGATGAAAATGACAGCTTGATAGCGCGAACCAGAAGAAGAAAGCGAAGATAGACCCGACATCAATCAAGTTGTTAGCATCTTCCTCGGGTCCGGTAGCAAAGCAGAAGCAAATGTGTCGGTTTCAAGGCTGTACTGACGAAGTGTGCTCACAATGCGCGCACGGCGCTTGCAGAACCCATATCACGCATTGTCATTTTTTCGCTCGCCAGAATCCGGTATTGTTTAACGATTGTGCGGGCTGTGCAAATGATTGTACAACAAGAGCCGTTCACTTTCTGTAAGTTAAAGTTAAGTGTTTGGCTTGATTTATTTCGCCATCAATCAATCAATCAATCAATCTCCAAAAATCATTTATAAATTGAAAATTAGATAATGATAAAACCTTTCAACCACATCTTTTAGGGACTGCGCTGCTTTTTTCATCCTCCCCCGCGCGAAAATGCAGTAAACGCTGTTTTGGTGAACGGAAGATGGCAACAAAAACGACACTGAGGAACTCGACAAATCCGTTGCTAGCATTCAGCATTATCTCGCCCTATTTACCCACATGCGTTTTCGTTTCAAAGAATCCGATATCACATGCTAATTAGTTGGAGTCACAGGAGAGGACCACGCAGTGTTCCCATCCCCGTCTGCAGCACTGAAAAGACACAAACTTGACGACTGATTTCACCACGCAACACCCACATCAAGCAGAAAAGCACGTACGTACATAAAGGAGAACTAGAAGCGCAGTACTAGTACGCGAAGATCTATCCACCGACATGAACATTCGCAAACACCAAGAAGGCACTCGCAAACACTGTAATGACAAGAGGCCTATCATTTCCCACCGGGTATCCGACATGGTAATGGTCAACTACATTGACGATTTTTTCGAGTCAAACGCGGACCTGCTGACTAAAAAGTTGAGCTGTCCATGCACAGATTTGGCACAGAAGCAGATGGAATTCTACCACACAAACACTAATATCAGCATAAACATCGTCAAACACTAAATGCGGAACGAGACGACCAGGTCAAGCATAGCAGAAACACGAAGGCGTCGGAAAAGTATGTCATGCAAATGAATTCTCACGGTCCTCGCCGGGCGACAAGGTCATCCAAGAAGAGAACAACCCATCGGACTATGGTGAAAAAACACGCACCACCGCTGCGCGTTCCTTTAATGCACCGCGGGCTTGCTGCCGTCGTGAGAGTCGGATCCATTGTGTAAATAATATTTATACTGATTGGGGTCTGGTTCATTTGGAGCTCTAACTAATGTAGGTGATTTGGTTAGTCCGTGTGGTGCGAGTCTTTTCTTCAGACCGCCACTCGGCCTTCTCTGGATGACATTGTAAGATAAAGAAACACGACATGTTTGGTTCACAGAAAGGGTCTATCTTCAAAGCTCCGTCGCTGTTGTTGAACTACCGTTTTTGAATAGCCTGATTGACGGTTATCTGAAAGTGGCCCTAATCTAGGTGTTGCAAAGAGGATTTCCAACGTCAGTATTCTGCAGTGCTTGTAACCTCCCTCTTCAGGGCGAGGAGCATAAGAAAATGTATCTGGGTCTGAAAGTACAGGAAGAGAACCATAGAAGAAGAAAAACAGAAACTGACTACAGAAGATTGGCTAGACCGCAGTTGCAGTGATCAACACAGCTCAAGAAGAACGTGTTTTCACAGACCGTCATCATGATCTCGAAAGTGTTACTAGATCAATGATGTCGTGGTTTGAGGTTCTTGACCCTTCGTGTGGTGGTCTGTGTCTTAACCTGACCAGGCTTGATCTGTTCGCCCAGCGCACCGAATCCACGCTCGCACGAAGTTATATCGAAAAAACCTGTACATATTCTGTTCGTACAGCTCGTGGGGTGTCTTGTCAAGCACAAAATCTGGTGACAAGCAGGCAGATGCATTCCATCCAGTGGACCGACAGGACTGAAAGGAAAGCAGTCTCTTGATTGCGGCGGACGTGACTGCCTCTGCACTCAATACAAAAACGAGGAGACGGGGTTGGGCAATATTACTAAGGTGGTCTGCAGCAGACTAAGTAGCTTTTTGTCTTCGGTCGCCGAGCCTGAAGCATGCATGGCAGGGTTTCCGCTGATCTTCAGGCGGAAAGTCTCTCTTTTTGACTAAGTACTAAGTAAGTAGACAACATTCTTCTTTTCAGCATGGGACCACGTGCTGTTCCTCTACAACTGGCTGCAACGGTTGTTTTGAAGGCCGATGCTAAAGTGACGAAATATCTGTTAACAACTGTAGCTTATTCTGCGATTGATAAAAGTTCGTATTAAGTTTTTATCTCTCACTCTTTGTGTAGGAAGAGGCTCTTCTTGATTCACCATCCTCGATCAACACGAAAAGTGCATGTAAGTAATTAATAGAAGCTCACTGAACTAACAGTAAGACTAACTCGCTAGTTCTAGTAGATTGTCTTTGTTCCCGTTCCCCTGTCTCCGTCTCGATTTTATGGTGGAGGTATAGCTAATTAAGGGTCGTTCGCATTATGTATCTATAAGTGCATGCATTGTCAGTTCATTCTTCATGAAACTCTTGTGCTCGTCTGCTTCTGTGCCAGGTGTCCCCGCATCTGGTTCTTCCCTCTGCGCTTTGTGCTCTCCTGAAACCCATGCCCCTTCCTTTTGTTTGCTTCTGTGGTGCCCAAGAGGGCACGTCTTTAGAAGAGGCCGCAACAGCAAAAATCAAAAGACGAGGTCAGTCTCAGCTCTGTTTTTGAGCCGCTGGAGACTCAGCAAGAAGTTGGTTTGTCCACGATGTTCTTCTGATTTCCTTGAACTGGAGAGGTTTCATGTAGCTACCGTATGCATATCTGTCATGAAAGCATCTTGGCCATTGACGCTTGTTGACGAACAAGAAGCTTGAGGTGATTTGTTTAATCGTTTGTCCAGGATCTTGTGCTACAGATCATCACGCGAATGTTGTACTTGTGATGTCATGACGAAAAGATCAGAGCCTAAAAAGAGTATACGTATCGCTTAATTTACTCGGTTCCATTATCAAGAAATCGGTCGCGTTTAAAGTGGTAGAGTCACACGCTCCGAGGAACAAGAGAGTATCATGGTCAGCTTTCTACGTCGGTCGGCTATCTTCACTGATGTCCGTTTTATGTTGCATCGGTTGATTGATTTCCGGTTCCGCTTGTGCCAACCTCCACACTGCTCCCCCGTGGCCTTTGCCTGCATCAGGCAACCTCAACCACCTACACCATACAATACTGCACATTGTCAGGGATTCGTTACCGAGCGACCGCTGATCCAGTGCCACTTCCATTAGATTGGTGTAGACTTACATTATGGTGATTTCGAAGTTCAGTAAGAAGTTGCGTCTCCGGGTTCTCATCAACAATTGATTAGTCAGGGATAGAAACTCAAACTAAACCACTGTCACGAAGATCACTTGCAGGATATTTTCTCACGGTGAATAATAGCGTTTCTGCTCTTTTGCTCGTTCTTCCCGATCCCGAATTAGTTTATCACTGAACTGGTTACAACGTACCTCTAGTGTGTGCGTTGATTAGGGCGAGTAAACTTAAAGCCAAACGACCTACAATCTAGCCCCTTCATACCTTTTTGAAAAACTGAATCTTTGTCGTTTTTCAGGATGCTCTTGTATTTGCTGAAGGGATAAACATACATTTGTTTTAGTTTATCAAACAGGACAGAAGCATCACAGATAGACACGAGTGGCTATATAAGAGCTTCCATGAGAACATGACACTCAGTACGTCTAAAGTAAGAGGCTAAGATCTTTATTGTAGACGTGCTGTTATCATCGCGATCCTCGAAGATAGGACAACGAACTTCTTTCGATTCGAATAATTATGGATTGATCTGTTCGCGTTCTAGAGTTTGAATCAAATAAAAATGTAGATCTAAACAATAGGGCAAGGAGTACTTAGTCAATTACGTGTTGCTAAAGCGACTTACGTTTTAACTCCCCACTAACCCACCCATAATGCCTGGAAGGTCGGCGCGCGTCCAAGCCTTGGTCGCTGACCGGCAAACGACAACGCTTGCTTTTACACCTTTTTCAGAACAGTTGCGCGAGGCTTCGAGTACAGTCAAAAGACCGACTCGTTCTAGCCCCTTGCTTAGCGACAATTCCGTCCGTGTGTCCACACTTGGAGGGTTAGACTCAGACCAAAAAAAGAGCTGTTGCAGATAGTCTTGGCCTCGGTGCCGACTTTACACTGCGCGATCAAGTACTACAAAATTTCTCTTGCGGAAAAGATACCGATGCGAGCGTAGCACAACCCCCGCCTACAGCAGTCCCACCCCCCCTTGCTACGGAAGAAGAAGAATTAGCAGTTCTAGCACCTCCGCCAGAGATTTTGGACCAAGATTTGCATAATAGATCCATGGAAGCAATGGCTGCTATTCTGAACAAGGAAGGAGTTGAGAGCATCGCACCGGAACAGAGTGACGCTGGAGCGAGTAGTTCTAGTAGTATTCTAAAGCAGACTAGCCCAAAAGGCCATGGACGCCACTTCTCACGCGGGATTGTGCATAAGCCAGGTGACGCTTTTGCTCCAACCGCTAGACGCATTGGTCCGGGAGAGCTGGTTGACTGGAAGAGCGCACTTAACACTATCCGAGAGGACGTGGAAAACCATCCTCATAGGCTTCCCGATACAATCCCGCTGGTGGTGACCCAAATCAAGTCACCGACAAGATATGTTGATGATTTAACGAACGAAATCGCGGAGTTCGACTTACAATCCCGGCTGTCGGCAACAACAATTAGATCCTACAAGTCGGGGTACAAGAAGTATGTAGAGCTTATGCTCATGCTAGGCAGAGATCCTCATCCACGATATATCGAGGTCAAAGGAGTTCAACTTTTAGCACAAGCCTTCCAGAAATGCAAGGACTTTAAGCGATCCAAAGCCCAGAACATGGAATACGTCAAGTGTTTTGCGGATCTGATAAAGACCGTTGACGGTCCAGTTCGGAAATCGTTTTTGCAGATCGCGAGAATGTTTTTGCGTTCGGCGCCTAACCAGTTTCAACAGCAAGGGATTCGACTTAGGCACATAATGACCTTAGTCCTTCATTTTACCAGCGCCCCGTTGGCTACGATTCAGGTGGGATCTCAGAGTTTTCAAGCAGTACCCTTTCTACGTTTCGCGATCTTCTGTTGGTTTTTCATGATGAGGCTCGATGAAACGTCGACTTGCGAGAGGAGAAGAGGCAGCAATTCAATTATTCTGACTGTTGTCTCGGCTAAGAACAACCAATTCGGCGTCAGCAGACAAGTTGTCGAATTAGGATGTGCATGCGGGCATTCTCCTTCATTGGGGATGGATTTTATCCAGATATGCCCCAAGTGCTGTTGCCCGGAAAAAGACTTCCTCTTTTTTGCTAACACACCGCCAAGGACCCTTCTCAAGCTGATGGAAGGACTGCTTCAACTAGCTAACATTGCTAATCCTGTAGTGCAGTTAGGCGAAGACGAATATAAGAAATCGATCATGTTGCATTCGCTGCGGATAGGTGGAGCACGCTCTGCTGCAGACGGCGGTTTAACAGATTCTGAGATTCAGCAAGTGGGCCGGTGGCAGTCCATTGATAGCATGTACAGATACCTGGGAAATGCTAGAGCCCTGCCAGATGATGTTGGCCTACGATGGCCCCTGAAGAAGCCAATTTTATTCGCGCCGAGAGATTACTCCATTGGGACAATGAAGCCTCATAGCTCTTCCGTAGCGATTAGAGGCGAGTCGAGCACCTTCTCTTCTTCCAGTAGCCAATACGGTGCCTCGAGCGAAGCTTGGCGTAGTCGACCTTCAGTGGCCCCCTACTAATTCTCCCCCTTTATAATAAATAATTCTGGTCACAAAGGTGCGAATCAATCAACACAGGCGGTTTCTCTAATATTGTTTACGTTACGTTAGTTTTATACTATCTTTTCTCTTGTTTCTAGTTTCGTACTTTATACACTTCTGCGTTTATATACTTTCAAAACAAAATGGACCAACAACAAGCGGCTAATGCCGGTATACTCCCGGCGGCACCCGGGCCCCAGGAAGGTGGTGCACTAGTACCTCCAGCGGCTGCAGGTGTAATGGGGCATGGCCCAGGAGCTGCCGAAGCACCAGGAGTTCCTCCGTTGGGAGGTGACTTGGGTGCCTTCCCGCAAGATGCAGGTCAGCCGCAACCGATAGCTGCGATGGCATTTCCACCAGCAGCTCCTGCTGTAGTAATGCAGCAGATGAATGATAATATTTTACGACAGCAGGCCGTTCAAGAAAACGAAGGTCTGGGCGTCCCGACTGACGCACAAGTCATGCTGGTCGTAGAGCGGTGTACCCATCTTCGCCATAAATGCACACCGGCACAGTATCTGTTCGTGCTCAGGCAGCTTCAAGCACGAAACTACGACCGATTGATTAAGCCCCCCGCAAATCTGAACCTTTTCCCCCTGGCGCTATTGGCTACCTTTCGGTGTACCCAGATTATCAACGACGCTGATGCCAATGCACTACAAGAAACGATGATGAAAGCCGTGGCTGGATCTTTCGACCCAAAATCCGACGAGCAAAAATTGTCTTTGGAAGCGGTGTACGACCTGTTTTACTCGATACTTAAGGTGAACCTCGCTCATCCCACACCTGTTGCCGAAGGGCCGAATTTCCAGCAGCGCCAACTGCAGGCCACCTTAGTAGGAAACGTTTTTCCGGACCTGGTTTCTCAGATTGCAGTTGAGAAACGACGCGAAAGCGTCGAAGCTGAAGCCTTGAAGAAAATGAGAACTGAAATAGACAAACTAGTGCGTGAACAGGTGAACCAGCGAACAAGGGCATTAGAAGCCGAGATCAGATCCTTGAAGTCGAGGAAGCCTTCCCCATCTCACAAGGATGACAGACCGGTGAAAAAGAAGAAAAGCGACGATGAAAAAACTTGTTTGTTGTGGATGGAAGGAAAGTGCCAAGGCAAGTACTGCCCAAATAAAAACAAACATGGAGGAGATCTTAAATTGCTGGAATATCTCAATAAAGCATTCCTGCAAGGAAGGCTAAACTCGGATCAGCTGAAGAAATTAGCTTCAAGCTGACAGCCAACATTCCAAAAAGATCAGATACAGAAAGTCTCTTCCTTCATCCCCCCCCCCCATGAAAAACCAAGCATGAAAAATCTCTATAGTTACTAAAAGCTATTCTCTAGTGTGGTCAAGCGAACGTTCATGCATGTCATATTACACATCCCCCCGCTCGTTTACTTTGCCTTCCCTTGAAGTAGGAGCGATACTACCCTTGGATTGATACACAATGCAATTTTTGCCCAGTTTTTGTGAAACCCCCCCATCAAATCCTTCGAAACTGCAACTAGACGGTGACCACGCCTTGTCTGCTTGTAGTTTTATTAGACTTTCTGCTGTTCCGTGACCGTGCCTCGCACTTGGTCTTTGACCTCTGTAATAGTTGAGTAGAGTGGTTTCATCTCGCATGACCTTGCTCGACTTGACTTTATTTCAGCTTTTCTCCAAAACCCCTCAACAGGAAAAGACTTCGCAAAAGCTTTCTGTCTTACCTAAACGGTAGCACCTCACCACAAAATGAGTATAGTAGAAACTGATATATCTAATCTTCGTTTCTCGCAAAACAATATTTCAAAGTTTTTCAACAAAGGGCCTTACGCCGGTCAAAGTATCTTTACAGCGTTGAACTCATTTACCCACCGTAGAGACATAGACCTTACAAACGACTTAAAGATTCGAGGCTACTTCATCGGCGCCACACTGTACACAGCGAACAACAGGACAGTGGCCGCCTTGCGGAGCCTGCAGAAGAAACGCGGGTGGAAAAGTTTGCGGGTCAAAGTCCATGTGGTTTCATTCCTAGGCAACGAGTGGCGTCACACAACCACGAACGAGGGAAAGAGCATCGCAGTCCGAGAATACTAACGTCCACAATAAGTGCTAGCGCAACAACTTCTCCCTTCTGATTCCCTTTCCCCCCCCACCTGATAGCTTACATCAAGATGGACTCATTTGATCAAGAAGACGAACCACCACTGTACTACGCCCCAGTCGATGAGGACGGGGCACCACAGTACGACTACGACAACCCAGATTCTTTTACTAGGCTGCAGCAAGAAAAGATCCTTCACGAGCTCAAGCAACAACAATGGGGCCACTTCCTGAGGCAGTCTCATCTAGAACTACTACGTCTACAAAGGCGGGCATACCTAGAAAAGAAAGAACGCGGAGACTTCGATAATTTATGCAACGAATTGAGATCGCAGCTGGATTTAGATCTGACAGCGGCCAGCAATGGCGACCTGCCTCCGGCGCTGCATGGACTAATAGTCAACAAAGGTTCCACAACCAACAATGGACAGCCAACATTGTCACTTCCAATCGAAAGCCATCGCTCGGATGCAGATGAGATAAATGCAAAACGAAGAAGAGCGTCGTCCGAATTCCAGGATGGTACCGAAGGAGGGCGCGTAGATATTAATAAAGTAGACTACTCGCTATTTACCAACCCTTTCTTCAAGAAGCTCAAGCAGCAGGCTGAAAACGCTAGGTCGGTGGTCGCGGGTAGCTCATCTTCATCAAAAGCAGTGCCAAAACATTTCATCCAGTGCAAAGCCGCGTCCTACCAAGTTTTCACGAAACCCGAGATTTTGCAAGATGTAGAAGAATCCATAGGGAAACCGACACTAGCTCAGCACCAGTCTCGACCCGTTTCCCCCTCATCCATCTCCGAAGTCAGCTCGCAATTCTTTATGTCTTCCACCGAATCAGAGAAAAAACTGGTCCAAGGCGCAGTGAACAGCTGGAAGCCAGTACTCGAGACCGATGCAGCTCGCGATTATGGCGCAGGTCCTACACTGCCAGACTACTTCACACCAACCATCACAAAAAGCAAAACTTCGCTTCCCGAAGAAATAAACGCCGAAGCTACGCGACTGGCGTCATGGCTTATTGCGGAAGAACATAGTCTCAGGACGAAAAACGCAGAATTATTCAGCAAAATGCCTCCTCACCTTAAAGTCGTTTACGATGGCAAGAACTTCGCACTCGCTCACCGGCTACTAGAACTAGCAGTATCTATCGCCAGGGGTTGCGACGCCCTGGTCGACAAGAATGCTGAATTCATTCTCTCATGGAAGCGCAAAATGATTAATGGCATTTCCATGGATAAAGAGGTGGAACCATGTGGCTTCTGGAGGATGCTGGACTCGGACGAAGTCGAGGCGAAACGCGCAATCGCTGAAGAGGCAGCCAGAAGATCGCGTATGCCTCCAGACCACAATCACTGGGCACCAGAGGAGGACATTGAGGTCTTGTGGAAGCAGTACTTGAAGATGCACAAGAAAGGTTTCTGGCAGCCCGCTCCAATCTCGTCCGTGACGGCCGTTGGAGGTGCTGTCCCGTTTCCGGTTCATCAGCCGACTCCGGAGAACCCTACCAAGATTCGCACCTGCGTTGACTTAAGAGGCCAGAACAAGCTTCAGGTAGTGAAAGAGCGCATGCGTCTCTTGGGTTCCCGCGCATCCATCGAACTATCTTGCGCGTTAATGTCCGAACATGTGGAATGGAAAAAACGACATCTCATTTTACAGAATAAGAAAGACGTTAAAGAGGATGTGACTACGGAGAAGTCAATCAGGCAGCAACTTCTTCGAGAACACCAGCAACTCTTCGACAAGTCGCAACCTGAAAACAAGAAGATCTACCGAAACCCAGTCAGCAAGCCTGACCTTAAGTACAGCTTCGTGCCGGCCATGGCAAAAGCGGACATGGAAGGTTACTACTTCCAACACGGTACGGAAGATCCAAGCAAGAACATAATGTTCTACCCCGTCCCCCACAGCGTGCCTGATTCTCACCTCCAACCGGATTCCATCCAAGTGTCATCGAAACCAGACAATCAAGGACGTTTTCGCAGATGGCAAGTGACCCCATCTACGGTGGCTTTGTTTGGGGCACTCTCGAGCGTTCACGAGTGCGTTCATACAAGCGAGATTCATCAGCTGATTATAGTAGTTCTACTCCAAGTACTCACCACTGCTTACATAGACGACTTTCATCCGCAATGCAGACCAGAATGTATTACGAAACAAATCGAATTGGTCAACCTTTACTTAGGGCTCACAGGTTGGTGGCGAAGTCCCGAGAAAGACGATCGTCACCATCGCTTCCAGAAATCGATCACGGTCCTTGGATTGGCCTACGAGATAAACCCGGTTAATCTGCGTAGTTTCGGGCTGAAGATATCAGTTAGCCCAGACAAAATCAAACGTTGTGTGGAGTTGGGTGATGCGCTTATTCGCCAGTTCGCTGAGAATCGGGTCGAGCTGTCTCTCGTCCTTACCTTTAGAGGGCTGTTCCGCCACTGCGCATCATTAGATCGCCTCAAGATCTTCATCGCGAAAGGGGTCGATTTCCTAGCAGACAACTTCGCGAGATGCTTAAGCCAAACAGCCGAGAAAAACAGAGCGTTGGCCTCGATTAAGCTGATGGTGTGGGCGCTGCACCACATTAAACCGCTGCACATAAACCCAACTCGAGTTGACAAACCCGTCGGCCATGCGTACTCGGACGCTGCCCTTGAGGACGTGCAAGGTCTCAACGAGAAGTTGAAACGTGGGCAGTTCGACAACCTCCATGATCACAAGATGTCAATTGGCGCTTACATCAACCTCCCACAGGGCGCACGCTTTTTCCGCTTAAAGCTGAACTCATTGCCCCGCTTCCTCTCCGGCGAGTACATGCACATAGGCATATTGGAAGCGTTAGCAGTGAACGTTTCCACATTCATTTGGGCACACCTTCTCCGAGACTACTTTCTCATTCAGCACGTGGATAACTTAGGCGACGTTTTCGCGCTATGCGCGAACAGCACTAGATGCCCACGCACTCAGAAACTCAGTGCGAGCATCCATCAGAAAATCCAAGATTATAATCTCGATATTTATTTTACTTGGATCTGCTCGGCTAGAAACCTAAGTGATCCCCTGACCAGAGAAGAGCGATTTCGAGCCTTTACTGATTTCTTCTCTTTAGCAACCGAAGAACAATTACACGCTGATTTCATCATTCAAAACCCACACCTATGGGGCGTCGCCCGTTAAATCAAACATCTCTTTGTAAAATTTTTTCCTCTTCATAATTCTTTAGTTATAGGACCCCCGAGTCATAGCGCTGCTAATGACGAAAACGGAGCCTCCTCCCAAGGATCTCACTGGCCTCCCCCCATAGTCAGTGTTGTGCATCCAAGTAAAATTTCACTTCTTCATGGAAATTGATAAGTTAAGTGATCCTGCTTGGTCCCATACCTTATCCTAGGCCACATAATTCGTGGCTCATACATGTGTGGGATCCCCAGGTATTGAAGGATGTTTAAGATCTTTGATTGGCTCTTTGTACCAAGGACACTACGGTGGTCCTTTAAGCTCAACTAAATACAAATGCGTGAACACGTAGCAGATCTGTTTGCGGAGTGTTCACCAACAAGCGAGAGACGCGAGAAAGATCAATGTTAATTATCTTGGCTGGAGAAGGTTTGGGATAATTGCGACTTTTCGTTTTCGGCGTGGTCGTGTTGTTCTTCCACGAAAATTGGGCAGGACACCTGCAGCTGAAATCCGGTCTTCCAGATCCGGTTCCGCTGCAGAACAAAACAGGAACAACAGAAGCTAACACATGCTCGCCTTTGCTTTGGTGCTAAATATTGAACTCCGCCAGGGGAGGGACGAGCTCTTATCGTGGATCAAACGCGTCGACTTGAACTTCTACATTCTTCCTTGCACAACACTCCGATTTTAGCTGTCTCCAGTTCTTTAGCGCGCGGTCTGAATTGTTGACGTCCGCTTCGAAGCTACGCCTAAAAATAAACGCTCCCTCCTGTGCCGAAAGGTCGTAGTCGTGTCTTTCAGGGGCCACTCGGAAGATCGCAGCGTATACGAGAAACACTACTTCTCCTAGTCTCTGACTCTGAGGAAGCGCGCTACTAGTAGAACATCTCATCTGACGTGAACACCGAGGGCGCGTCAAACGGAAACGAGCGGAAACAAGCCTTTAAGGCCAGTACAGCGTGCACGCCGCGGGGCTTTTAACGAAGTGCCCACAGTCTATCACGAGAAGTTTTGATAAGTATTCTCTTCGGCGATAGAATTAGAATAAAATGGCGGCCGGCTCCGACATAAAGTATGTCTCCTTTGTCGGGATAGGGCACTGCAAAAGCAGGAATCTGGTTTGTACGTGGAATTCGCATAACATGGGACCAGCGTACGATGATGTTAGAGTGGACACAGTATCATTATGTATGATAACTTTCATTTTGATTGATTCCTGTCGCGATTCGACGTGTACATACTCTCCTTCTTTTCTGTTAATGATAAAAGGTTAGTATAAAATTGCGCGTATAGATATTAGATAACCGTGGCGAATCATAATAAATCAGCGTGCTTACTTATATGTTTTGATTAACTTTCAGGTCAAAAAAGTTGTTGGCGCAGCGACGAAAAGGTTAGAGCCAGGAACCCGTCAGCGATTAGAGTGGGACGGAACATCTCTCTATGTCCTGAAAGACGCTCTCAAAGGCGACTACGTCTATGTGGTATAAGTTTTTGCAGATAAGTTCAACTAGTAGTAGGTACTGATAAACACGCGCAACGAATTCCGTCACGATCTTATTGATTTGTCTACTGAAATGAAACGGCTGTTGCTCCATTTGCCTAATCAGCATGTTGAATGATCTGAACGTACCCTGACGCTGCCCTCATACCTCGCTCACGATTCTCTATTAGGTACTTGTAAACGAGGAGGAGGATCAGGGTCACGATGACGTTGCATTTGGTGACGATCTCGCATATAACCTGCTTCTAGACCTGAGAACATACGTGGAACAGAGACGATCAACAGATATGGAGTCAAACGATGCGATGTTTGAAGCGGCGCAGGACGGCGCATCGGAGTTGTTTCGGGATAAGATAAAAAGTCTAGTACAAAAATACGATAGGGTGCCAGCACTAGAGGAAGTACTGGGAACTACTTTTTTCTCTGATTTGGATTTTAGTCACCAGGGGCCTTCATTTTCAACACCACTGACTTACAATTTTGAACAATCAATGAGCGTTGTCTCCCAAAATTTGAACTTCGTTTCCCTTTGTGTGTCAGAGTCAGCCAAGTTTTTTTTCAATTCTCCATCAGGAGTCGGCACGAAAGCCAGTAGTAAACCATGGAGATAGCGACAGCGAAGACGATTTGGATTTCAAGCGGGAAAAAGGCGGATGTTGCCCGTGCTTCGGCTAGGGATGATACCAGTGCGCATAAAAGTTAGCTGAATATGCTTACGATCAGCCTTTCAGTCATGGAAATGATTTCATTCTTAACACCTTCTTAGAGCTTTTGATTATTTAATTATCATTCATGATCATATCACGCAAGTTAAGTAGAGCAGCTTCATCATACCACGCAGAGTCACACAGCAGATAGCTTCATTCAGATCATCGTTTCCGTCATCGAGAATCCACATTAAGTACCTAGTAACAGCAACAAACATGAACATCAACACGTTTTCGTATCCCATACACTTGTCGTTCGCAGAGCCAATAACATAAGAACTGAAGCAGTTACTGTTTATAGACCAGAAGTAGAGGCATGTTAGAGTGCAAGTGGTAGTACCTAGTAGCATTCAATATAAGTAGCCAAGGACGAAGCAACTTGTTCAATAAGTATCTCCTGATAAATTGAATTGTGTACATCATAATGCCTCGAATATTCCTCGTCTACTTTGGCCTATAGTGCAATGAATGTTCTGCAAAGAAAGAGTAAAAAGTAAATTCATTCTGCATCTAAAATTTAGGTTCTATTTCCAAATCTATTTACTAATTCGTTCCTCGACGCGCGCTCCCCACGATGTCCTGGAGGAAAATTAGCATCAGAAAGAATATCTAGTAGCTGATGCATGTTGTCCCGATTTCTCTAGTATCTGTATCTTCTCTACACTTGGATCGATCTGTAGTACTACCAGAACACCTACGAGGATTGAAGTAAAACTCGTTCCTGTCTACCTCCTGTTCGTCTGGTTGTAGGATCAGATTCAGACAGCTGCGAAATGAAAAAAGATGTGCCCCGCTTGCGCGATCCTTCCCGATCTCGCATCACATTTGAGTCCCAAAATAAAACTAATGATCAGAGACTGAAAACGCAACCCGTTTCGATCTTGAGCTCGGGAGTCCTGTCCATGTCATTTTTTATACTATGACCTACGAAGAACTGATAAGTACCCATTCTCTTTCCTTCGTTATCACTTTTGAAGGAAATTCTGTAGCGGGTGTTCCTTGTGAATAGAGCGCATTTCCCTATTGCGTTTGCGCTGACTGAAGAAAGTATGAAGTGCAACATCTTCATACGTATATCTTAATGCCCTGAGGTTGGCCTGTGAGCATCTGTAATAGAAGTGCAAGTTGTGCTACTATTGAGCAGAGTTGCGGACGCTAAACTTGAACCTGATTCGATTGACGTGTACCAATGTGTCTTCGAGCGCGAATGTCGTCGGTATAGCAGGAGTAATTGAATTCGTGAGTTTGCAAGAGCAATGATGTGAGAACTTGATTGGTACTTTGTTTGATTGTTTGGCCCTTGCTATGGTTGGTACAGCATCTGTAGTGAGAGCACTCATTTCTGTCTCGTGAGCGAGGCGACGCACTAGCATATTCATCTGTCGTTGAGACTGAGTGGCTCGACATCTGTTACGCTTTCCAGTCCATCCCGTCCGTGAGAATTTCGACATTGACTATTTAGAAGTGTATATGTACAGTAAAGTACCAACACTGGATTCATTATTGTCTTGATCATACAGGCTCTCTATCATGATTCCCTCTATGACCCCTCTAAAACATCTTCGCCTTTTTTCCAAAGTCTAGATATTTAGAGTCTGGCTCCCGACTTCGTTTTCGGGGGCCACACCGCAGTCATTTTGGAAACTATTCAGCATCCTCGTCCTTTGCATTAATTATTTTGAATGATTGTGTAAGTTTGAAGACAGCTTGTTGTATAAGTCGTTGTTTTACTTAATTTGAACAAGAAAAACAAAAAATAGTAATAGGACTAGCAAATTTGAATTTTTAAGATGTCGGCGATCCAAAGGATTTCGTTCATTGGCTTCGGCCGTGTCGAGGACATGCAGCTATTGATGACCTTCAGCGCGAGAAACAAGGGACCAGCATGGGACGACCCCCGAATGCCAACAGTACAGTTGATTCCTCATTCGTTAAGTGTTGAAACTGTCCTTTTTTGGATTCTTAGATTCGTTCGCTGCACTTACTTAGCTAATATAGGAGACGTGCATGTGCCCAAGAACTTCTGTGATAAAGCTAGCAACGCGGGCTTTGCGATTTCCTCCAAGAATCATTTTTCTCTGTAGCTCTCTGCGCGTCAAGGGCATAAGTACAGTCATACCGCACTAGTTTCTATACACGGTGAAATCTTAAAAGCACATAGCTTAATGTTTCTCACTTCGACCTCTCCTCATCAGATAAAGAAGCTGCTAAAAGCGGCGAAAAGTAAAATGAGTGCTGGGCAGAGGCAGAAGCTGATGTGGGAAGCATCACAAGTCTTCGTGCAGTTGGATTTCCCGAAAGGAGGGCTGCTCTATGTGGTATCTCCCTATTTCCTAGTACAAATCTTTCTAGTTCTAAGAGTTCAGATTTTTGATGTATGGTATCCAATTTTGCAGTACAGTCTACCACTCATGTGCGGACCACATCAGCAATTATATGTTCTCCCTTAGAGGTAAGTTGACGCTCTTGACTTAGGCAAGCTGCCCAATAAATTCGAGTTATCAAGTAGTAATCTGCACCAACATCACAAAATAATCAGCTTATATGCAAGAAGTCAGCGGAAACTGATGAGGAATATCCGGAAAGAATAGCGTACGCCTTTTTATCCGAAGTTATGCAGTATGTGGAGAAAAATTTTGCGCGGGAGCTCCAGAACCAAAACGTAAATTTCCTCCTTCTATGATTTTTTCGTTTGTCTCCGTGGGGTGTCTGAACAATCTGATATCGTGAAATTCGATGTCCTTTTCTTCTTTGGGGTACCAAAGAGCCCAAGTCGAAGAGTAAGACTTCAGTAGGTTACACCAGAATCGCAACCGGTTAGTACTCTCTTGTCAGGGAAATATTAGGCAAGCTGCCGAATAGATTCGAATCATCCTAAGCACTTTCTTTTGTAGCAGAACTACAACGAGAACCGTACTTGCTCAGCCAAAAGAGTAATTTGCCTCTGATCTGCTTCTCCCTACATCAAATGGTAATAGCACTTAAAGAATATGATGAGGTTCGCAAATGGAAAGAAGTACGCGGTCCTTGAGCGGCGGCGATCGGTCTAGCGTAACCTCTAAGGTAGAAACTAGCGTAGCGCCACCAGCTGTAGGTCGTAGTCGTGTTTTTCGCTCTTCAGTAGCCACTGATGTCCGCTGGTTTGCCTCGTAGACCCACGCCTAACCTAGCCTAACCTTTAACTCATGTTTTAAGGGGAGCGATAAGCTCAAAGAAATTTTATATGCACGAGCGTCGAAATTCTATCGGCCTTGAGCGCCAGCCAAAACCTGCCCACATGAGCAGGCCTATCGATATGCGGCCGAATTGCAACCCTGTGAGTCAATAGTAGCACTCGCCAAGACACAAGTTCACACCAACAAGCGCGTCTTTCAGTGCGAGTGGTTTCGGTCTTCGCCCCAAGATCCTGTTATATTATTCTAATCTTCTCCCTGACCTCTTTACTCCGACTAGGATCTATTATCTCTCCTACACAGCAAAGACCTTGATTGCATAAGTTGACTCCCGAGCAGAAGTTCAATTTTGCGACAATGTTGAGCAACACCCTTAAGGATCTAACTTAGAACCACTAGGATCTTTCTAGCCCTTACAATGAAATCCCATCCTTCTATTCAATAATTTGAAAGAACGAACGAAGCTCCTCAAGCCGGAACGGGTTGAGTGGTCATTTTCAATTTGGGCTTCTGTAAAAAATAACCGGTCACTTTATCCTTTCACTTTATTTTTTATTATTTATTTATTATTTCCTCGAGTCACATGAATAGAAACAAATCTTTTCCGTACTCATCACAGCCCGGAGACGTTTTCCTGGATAAGATGAAGGACTGGCTCGTGGAGAGATCAGAAGCATTTGATGATCCAGATGAGTATGACAAGCTCGCCAGAGTAAAAGCAAAAGCAGATGCTGTGAAAGGGGTACTGACTTTTCTTCATTTCGTTGTGTCTTCCCTTTATTCAGGTTCAACACCTTGTTGTGGAATTTGTTTGTCTATTTACAACGAACTGATAAAGAAAGTAAGTAGAGCAAAAATTCATGCGATAAAAACAAACAGGTAATGAAAAACAACATCAACGCAATGTTAAAGAATACGGAGAATTTGAATCTGTTAGAGGAGCAAGCCGGTGCTATGGCAGCTGAGGCCGAGGACTACGATGACGAGGCTGAAGAAATCAAGGACTACTTCTGGTGGAAGGACTGTAAAGTAACGCTTATCATAGGCTTTATCGTAGTTGTTGGCCTTGGATTGGCGATTTTCTGCTGCATTAGCAAGTGCAAGGGTGGGTCATAGTAGCAGGAGCTAGAGCTAGAAGAGGAGAATGCAGCAATGCTAAATAGTTCCTAGAATGTAGCTTGAACAAAATTGAAATAAGTAATATCTAACTATATATAAGAAGTCAGCAAGTATGCTATCGATTGGATGTAACGTAACTAGTTGAATAGATAAAGTATAGAAGACTATCCGGATCCGTAAACAACATTAACAACAAGTCAGTGAAAAGCACTAAGGACAATACAGTAGAACCAAGCGAAATCAACATACTCATACATTGGAAAAAGCGAATAGAAAACCATACATTTGTTCATGATTCCTCTTACGCCTTATCAAATACGAGAAAGTAGAGAAGCAGGATTGCCATCAATGACGGCTGGGAGAACTGTACATAACTTTTGTGCGCTGGGAAAAAGCCATAGGCTGATGCTGTACATTTTTAAGGTCGAGGATAGTATCATGACGAGCGAATCTGACTCAATTCGTGTGACAACAAGGCAGATAATGACTCGTAGTCATTACCTTTCTTTCTGTTTGATTTCCACCTGTAGTGTTGCATGCGAAAAATCAGCTTGAGATGGAAGAGAAAATGTACTGGTGTCACCGTTACCAGGTCACCGAGCAGATTTTCGTTGTACATATGAGGTAGATTCTTCCGGAATATGCAGATCTTCATCGGAGTATTATACAGAGTTGTAGTCGAATGAATCTAGTTTTCATCCGACCACAAGGAGCTGAAGGAACGCATCAACTCTTCGAGCGTCGGCCCGTAAATTCGTTTGCTTCATTCGTAGAAGAAATTGACTGAACAGACACATCAAAACTGGTCGAGTGTGTTGGTTTGTAATTATATATGTTCCAGGTTCCTAATCCAAATCCTAGATCCCCTCCTAGCGTAGGGGGGGCGTGGATCCCCGAACCCCTTTTGGAGGCGTCTGCCGGGGGTGGAAGGCTTCCAAAGGGGTCCAAGGGACCTCCTCCGCTCCCTTCAGCTGCCTGCGTGTACCCTACAGACTGCCTATGTGCTGGCGCCTCGCCGCCGCAGCAGTTTGCCGGGTGTGGAAGGCCTCCGAAGGCCGCAAAAGGCGCAAGGCTGGACCCCCTGAGCTGTATGGCCTGTACCCTCCGGGCCCTTGGTCATCGGCCTGCCGGCTCTTGCCGCGCCTTTGACGAGGGCAACCCAGCGAAAGGGGCCACGCTTCGTGACCGTGGCCGCCTTCGGCGGCCTTCTACCCCGGAGACCTCCAGCCTGCGAGGGTCGGCAGGGGCCGGGACGTCCGTCGGGGACCTGCAGAGAGACGCAAGGGGCCGCCCGCTCCCAGTTTTGACGCCTTCGACCCCGAGAATCCGCGAAAAGCAGCGCGGAAAAGGGCGCGCCGGCGCCACCGTAGGGCCATCCACAGGGGGCGGGCCGTGCGTCCCTGTATCATACCAGTCGCAAGTCTTTCAGTCTGTGCATACTCAAGAATATGGTGACTATTCGCCGCAGAGACACGGACACTAACTGGCGCGTACGCCTATGCTGTGTTTGCCACGCCGGTTTCGTTGGACACGGACGAGACACACACACCAACACCGATATCATCGCGCGTCGGTCGATGTTATCGCGCTCCCTGTGCTGCGAGCTCGATTCGTCTGTTGATTCTTACCCTTTTCGGTCGTCGCGATCCTTACTTCGTTTGGTAAGTAAAGTCGGTCCTCTAATAATCATTTTCCCAAACAAGACTATTACTATTTCGGTTTTCTGCGAGTGAACTTTCTATCGGTAGCATTTACTGTGATCCTGTTCTTCGGGCCTCTGAGAGATGTGCTCATTTCGTGCAATGAATAGTTGATTCGCCCCTTTGAAAACCATATGCTGACTTGTGTCGCAGTGTATGTCCTAAATTGATGTTTGTATAGATTTTTCCTCCTCGCAATCGAAACAACCGCATGCACGATCGTTGATTGTCTCATGCAACTTTCGCAACGATTCACACGCCGTCCAGTACTTTTAGATTCGGTTTCAGAAGACCAGATACTCGGAAGTGACATTGAAAAGAACTTTCTTGAACACGCAATCTAGAACAAGATGGGTCGGAAACAGAAGAATGAAGGAACGTATGTTCGCTTGCTGAAGATCCCGCCAGTGTAGCAGCCGGTAATATTTCCAACGGGCGCAGATCAATACCCCTGTCGGATGCTGTCATAACGTCCGCCTAGAAAAATTTGCGCAACTAGAACAATTGGAGTTTAGCGGTGTGGCTCGTTGCGAAGCTATTTGAAAAACGACGCGTGAAAGAAGCAGTATATGAACGCTGAGGCTTCTGCCTTCGTCGTCTCGCTAGTGTTCTTCGGTGCAACTTACTTCGGGTAATCCTGCACAAACAATACCGTGTCGGGGCGTCAAAAATATGAATGTGCCGCATAGAATCTCTTTCATCGGCTTTGGCCGAGTCGAGGACATGCAACTTTTGATGACATTCAGTACGAGAAATCGTGGTCCTGCCTGGGACGACCCGAGAATGCCGACGGTACCAAGTAGACGTGACGATAGATGTGTTGATCTTCTATTTAACCTCGATACACAGCTCTATTTCTAGATGAGTTCTACTCACTTGTACTGCAGCCAGTTCCTTACATACCGTGATTTCGCACTATTTTGCCCTGCAAAATTTACCAATGAACAGATCAAGAAACTGCTGAAAGCTGCGAAGACGAAAATGAGTGCGGGTCAAAGGCAAAAGTTAGTGTGGGAGGGGTCACAGGTCTTTGTGCAGCTCGATTTTCCGCAGGGAGGCCTGTTGTATGTGGTACACACTCATACTAATAAATGTGAGTTATCACAAGTAGTTGTCTGAATCTTGTTATACCTTCGATGTAGGTACTACATACGAGTACGTCGTTGTAGGGTTTGGCGTTGTATGTTTCTTCAATCGTTTCAGGAAACAAATCAAGAATGCTAGAAGTACTGAATTGTTAGTATCCTGTACCTTTTCATCGCGCATAATTTCTTGTCAGGTCATCTGCAAGAAGGCATCAGAGGCGGACGAGGATTATCCAGAAAGAATAGCGTACGCCCTTCTCTCCGAAGTGATGCAACATGTGGAGACGAATTATGCAGTGGAATTGCAGCAGCGAAACGTATGCCTTTTTAAAATTGTTTAACAAACTGTTCTAGGTCGTCCACATGTCCTGGTACCAACACCTAACCTAGGCCGTACCACAACGACCATTCTTTCTTGATTCACTTTTGGAGCTGGAAATGGATCTAAATCGATAGCTTGTTATACTATAGAGCCTCAGTCTATGGCGGTTTCTTTGCCATCTCATCTCTACGGTCCACCATAACAGCCTGGAGACGTGTTTTCCAATGATATGGCTGACTGGTTGCTCGAACGGGCAGACGCGTTTGACGATCCAGACGAGTATGACAAGCTCGCGCGGGTGAAGTTAAAGGCAGATGCTGTGAAAGGGGTATTTGTCCTAAGTGAGCTCAATCCTGATTGGATCGGTATACGATGGAGCCGTACTTAAGAGTTCAAGTAGATCATGTAGAAGAGGTCGACAGAAGGAAACCTGGATGGGTATGACTTCAACAGAACTAGCGGCTAGATTTGCCACATTGGGGGACTGCTTAAACCGAGAAGGATGGAGAGGCATTGCTGAGAAGAGCAGCGTAAACAACGACAGCAACAGCGGTAGCCTTCTCCTCCTAACCAACGCAAGAAGAAGCGCTGCCACTACTTCCGCTACTACTGTAGAAACCGTGGGGCGCCCTCACAGCTTCAACATCAGAGAAATTCGCAGAACTCAAAGAAGACTCAGGGAAGTCGTAGGCCCAATCCGAACCGACTAGCATCGTTAAGAATTAGATTAGCACGCTGCTGATCTTTCATTATTGATTTTTATAGTGGCTCTTCTACTTGCTATTATGTTGCTAGAGTGAGAAGATCACAGGTAGGTTGAAGGATTACTTAGAATGATGCCGAAATCTCTATCTCCAGGTGATGAAGAACAACATCAATGCGATGTTGAAGAATACCGAGAATTTGAATGTTTTGGAGGAACAGGCCCTGGACATGGCAGAGGAGGCTAAGGATTACGACGAAGAGGCAGAGGAAATCAAGGACTACTTCTGGTGGAAGGACTGCAAAGTGACGCTTCTTATCGGAGCTCTGGTCATCGTAATGACCGCTCTCATGATCTTCTGTTGCTGCAGAGAGTACATGAAAAAGCCTGAAGATGGAGGAAGCAAGAAGGAGTAGACATAAACAGCGGAGCTCCGCTCATCACGTTATACCAAGGAGTAGCACGGGGGGAAAAAATCACGTAAGTATTAAGTTGTAATGCCTAGTGTATTCGAAGAATCATGCCCTGTGTGCTGTTTCCGGTGCATTGGCTTGTGCTGACTCTGGCATTGGGTGTATCATGCATGAGAATTGAAGAAGACGTACAAAGAATAGGGGGTGATTAGATATACGCTCAAGAAGATGAACTTGAACAAACGTATTGCTGGTGAGCCTACGAAAGTAGCAGAAAACATGGCTAGTAGCTAGTTACGATTATCAGAGATATTTCATCTTGAAGGCGAGTAAAAGTAAGTGTGAATGATTGGTTCCGATGTCGTTCCGCAGTAATATAATTTCGACTTCATAGTAGTAGATACCATCGCCATAACTGTGCTCGTCTACCAGATAGAAGTTGCATCACAGACCATTTCATCGTCAAGCATTAAGAATCCATCGATATCGAATCCATAGTAAAAGTAATTCATGCGCATGAAAATCAGGAATAAGGACCCAAACCATACGGTAGAAGTATCTACTTCATTAAGAACCTCCAAGAATGCACTTGCAGTTGCACCACCAGCATCAAAGTTACTTTCGTAGCCCCATGAAGCCCAACACACATGTAGCCCTTGTTCTACAAACCTAGAAATCATACCCCACAATACGTTGAACGCATGATTAGAATGATCTCTACAGGAGGTAAGCGTAAGCACCCCACGACGACCAAAACATCTGATACTACACAAGAATAAAAAATTCGCGCATGCACGAGATTCGAAGAGCACACCGTGCTAGTACTACTGCTCCGGTTCACGAAAACGAACCTTTCATTGCAAAGTGTGATAGGTCTCTGACTCTGTGAAAGTGCTGCGATATTATTTTCAGGAGAAGACGCGTCTGTCAACGAACAAGCGGCTTCGTGTGCGCAAGCACCACAATTTGACCGAGGAGAAGCTTATGCATAGGATAGTGTTTTCTGTAGCATTGATCGTGCTACAAAATGAAGTAGCGCAAAAGCTATGTTGAGAAGGTGACGAGTAACAATGGACAAACCAATATACTTTTTCGATTTGAGGAAATGTTTTTTGATGTCGCCCACAGCGGATTTCCTTGATGGCCGCGAGTGAGGGTCAGCAGGACGCCCGATTATTCGTCTGTGGAATTGAGTATGTCTTACGGGTTGGAGTGTGAACGAATAATCGAGAAGCGCTAGTAGTACGACAACCAACTCCAACTACAGAACCAAAGATAGACAAAAAACACACGAGAGTGCACTGAGCCTCAACAACATCTCCTTTTTTAGCTAGCCATGAGCCAGGCTCTTCCTTTTCCTTCGGGGGACGCAATTCGAATCATGACCGCCTGAGCCCGACCTCCCCGGTAGAAGTCTGTCTAAGGTTTGCCTACCATGACAGTAACAAATTTCACTGGATCTGGGACCGCCTCCTTTCGCGATAGCGTTCGCGTTGAGGAGCTGAATCGCTTGCAAGGTGTTGAGCATCAATTGGAGCGACAAAAGCATGAGTTCGCTCGAGAGAAGGCAGCCCTGCGTATTCAGCAGCAAAGGCGTATGATCTTGGTTTCTGCAACCTTCTATCAGTCAGAAATTTTAATAGATTTAGATTACTTGATCAAGATCAACTACAGGAAAAGGTTTTAGTACAAGTCGGAAACAGTTGGTAAATTTGCGGTATGCGGGAGGAGTCTTCATACTTACTTTATAGTTTTAGTCGACTGATGTTGAAACAGTTTCGTTGTAACGGCCTCTCCACTCGGGGTTTATTCGACACTGTTTTTGTTTCATTCATTGTGTGCGTAGCGGACGAGACCCGACGGCTGCAGGAGGAGGTACTGCAGCTCCGCATTGAGAATTCGGATTTGCGTGTGCTAACCTCGAGTGGCCTCGTAAAGGCCGACTTGGCACAGGAAAAGCTCTGGCGCGACGCCGAACAGCGACTAGCGCGCAAGCAGGATGAGGTTGACGCACTACGAGAACGACAAGAGGTTGATGCGGAGAGTGCTGAACGAAAGCATGCAGAAGAGATTGCGGGACTGCGCACAGAGCTCGCGCAGAAAGAAAGCCTCATTGTGGATCTCACGATGCTCGCGAAGGACCGCTACGAGCAAATCGTTAATCTCGAACAGGAGCTCGAGCTGGTACACGAAGAAGCGGGTGTACTCAAGCGAGCTAGTCAGGATGATGGCGGAGCGATGAGGGTACTACCGCTGTTCATCGGCAAAAGCCATGTGATGATGTGTCTCTTGTGATCGTTCTCGTGACGCTAGTACTAGCTTGGAGCGCCCGACAACACCCCCTCGCGCTAGGATTCCCCTCCTCCCAAAGTAGCCCGCGAAGCACTGAGTTTGCCTGAGATTCAATCTCTTGGATTTGAATTGCTCAAATCCAAAAGTTTTCGACTTTGGCAGTTTTTTCTGAGATTCAATCGCTTGGCTTTGAACTTCTCAAATCTAAATACTTTCGACTTTCGCGAGTTTTTCTGAAATTCAATCCCTTGGGTTTGAATTCCCAAACTCCGAAAGTTTCTGCGTTTAGCAAGTCCATTTGATTCGCAAGCCCATAAATTCGTAAATTCATAAATTCGGAAATTCTTAAACTTATAAAGTTATAAATTCTTAAATTCACGAATTTATATTCGTAAATTCCTAAATTCTTAAATTCCTAGTAAACTCCTAAGTTATTAAAGTCCATCCTAAACTCCTAAATTCTTAAACTCCTAAATTCTTAAATTCCTAAACTCGTAAACTCGTATGTAAACTGTAAGTTCGTAAATTCGTAAATATTCAGAAACTCAGAAGTTCGCAAATTCATAAATTCAGAAATTCCTAAGTTCTAAGTTCCTAAGTTCATGGGTTCAAATGTGAAAGAGTGAGAGTTTGGGGTTTGGAAGTGGGAGAGTGAGAGTCTGGCGGGGTCGTTGTTGTTTTTTAATTTAGCTTTTTAATATTGAGCCGATGCCTTAGGCTTTACGTAGTGGGTGGCTCCTGAGTCTTGTTCCATCAATTTGTCTTCTCTATCTTTTGCGTGCGACACAACAAGATGAACAATATCAGGAGTCGCTGGAGCGTGCGCTCGAGGCTGTGAAAGAGAATGCTGCACAAAGCCTCATGGAAAAAGATGAGGCGATTTGCAGATTGGAGACTGAGGTTGGACGACTGCAAAAAGACTGCCGGAATGCACACGCAGCACGGGACCGCGAAGGCAAGAAAATTCATCTGCAGGCTGCTGCGAAGGAGAGCGAATGGAAGGCCGAAAATGAGTCACTGCGCAAGGAGCTGAACCAGCTTCGCGAATCAGTGGAGGTCGACCGCTGCAAACTTCGCAGCACGTTCAAAGCCAAGCTCGGCGTCAAGGCGAAGGAAGTTCGCCAGCTGGAAGCGGACTTAAACTGGACGGCGCAGCAATTGGAGACGGCGCTCGAAGAAGTGAAAGCGAATGCCTGTGCAATGGCTGGCGGTGGAGGAACGGCTAGAGCCGAAGCGAGTCCTTCCTCTGTAGCAGGAGGCAAGGAGGCACAAGGAGCCAATTTTGTAGCCTCTAACTCTATGTCGGCGTCCTCTTCCTCTGCTTCCTCTTCAAGCGGCAGTGCCGTTTCAATTGGTAGAGCACGGACGCTCTCCTCACTGGAGCGGGAGGGCGCAGCGGCGCTTTCCTCTAGCTGTACGCTCAGCGGGTCTACGTCGCTGATCCTCGGGAGCGGGTGTCCAAATACGCCCGCGCGTTGTGCAACTTTCCTACCCGCTGGGGCGGATGATGTAGATGTCGGGATGGAACCAGCTGAGGGCACGAGTCATTCGTGCGATGTGACCCCGGCAAGTACGACTGGCTCTGGAGTTCGATGTGGTCGACGGGGAGCGGCTTCTCTAGGTGCTACACCATCAAGTGTCCTTTTCGGAAGCTCAGCTGCGTTTTCTATGGGAGGTTCTCCTTCTGCTGTTGTACTTCACAAGGTATCAGGGAGTATTACCACACCCCCGGTCTCTAGTGCTGCGACACGACTCGCGGCCTCTGCCGGCACAGTGGGCAAGTTCCGCCGCGAGGCAGAGCAGGCGGAGCAGCGGATGGAGCAGCTCAAGCAGGAGAAAACTTCGTTAGAGAGTCGACTACGCACTGCGCTAGCCCAAAACCGGCAGAAACAGCGGAAGTGGACTGAGATGCAGAACGAGCTCGAAGCTAGACTAGCGCATTCCGAGGAGGAGCTAGCACTGCGCGAGCAGCATATAGCTGACCTGGAAAGCAAGAGCGCGACCGTCCGGGATTGTCTCGACGGCGGTTTGCAGTCAGTGCTGGACAAGCTTGACGAGGCGCGCGCTGTCGCCGAGTCCCGAAGGCTCGAGCTCGAGCAAGCACATCAGCATTTTGCCGCCGAAGGGGAGAAGGCAAGGCAAGCGCAAGAGTCAGAAGCTGCGTCTCTGACAGCAGCGAAAGAGCAAGCGATCGCTTCGCAATCTGTGGCGTCGGCAGAGTTAGACCGCATCGTGGCCGAAAGGGATCATGTGATTGCAGAAACAGCGCAAGATAGACAGAGATTGCGGAGTGAGAACGCCGAGCTTGTGGCAAAAGTTCAGGCGATGGGGCAAGCAGTTGCGGATTTGAAGGAGCAGATGGGAAGTGAAATGAACTTAGTGAAAGAAACGTGTGCCGCGGAACTTCTATCCTGCGAACAAGGCTACGAGCGCGATCGCGAGACGCTCCAAGCGCAGTGGGCCAAGGACAAGGAAGAGAGAATGCAGAGTTTCGAGCAGCAGCGGAGTGCCTTGGAGTCGGAAGTAGTGCTGTGGAGCCAGCGTGCGGCAGGCTTCGAGGCAGAAGTTTTGCGATTAGCAGAAACTTGTCGCGCGCAAACGGATCAAGCGGTTCAAGCACAGCAAGGCGAGTTTGCAACTGCGTTTGCGAAGCAAATTGAAGAAGCGCAACGACACCAAGAAGAACAGGATCGAGCGTTTGAGGAGCGAACGAAGGCCGCGCAGGCAGAAGCGCTGCAACAGCGTGTAGATCTCAACGAGGAGTGGACGAAACGCCTGGACCGCACGTTATTGGAACTGGACTTAGCACACAAGTCGTATCAAGAACTGCAGACAGCCGTTGCAACTCAAGGCTCGCGGGACAAAGCACAAAGGGCCGAAAAAGTACTTGTGTCAATTCGGTTCTTTGGTTACTTCTATGCATATTAGACCTATGGAATACAAGCAGATAGTGAGAAGTAATACCATCACCGGGTGCTGCAACAACGAGCTCTTTCTGTCGCTGTCATTGATAGACCCGTTAAGCTGGTATTACAACAGGACGGGCAGATTGCAGCGAGGGAGGCCGATATTCTTCAGCGTACCATGGACGTGCATCGTAAAGAAAGCTCTCTGGGTGCGCGCGAAAAAGATGTTGAGCACCGCGAGGCAAGAGCTGGGAAAATAGTACAACAAAAAACTGTAATCTGTTGTAATTTCAACTTCTCTTTTCTGTTTGCCTTCACAACCAACACCTGATTACTCTTTACACTTTGAAGTGTGTGACGGTCCATCTCAGGAGTACGCTTTGGATGCGCGTGAAGAAGGTCTTCGACTCCGGGAGGCACAGACGCGACAGCTTTTTGATGATCGCGAGAGCGCACTGAAGCGTCAGGAGAGTGAGCTGGACAGAACGAGAAAACTTTTGGAAGCCGCTGCTTCAAAGCGCCGACATCGCGTCCTAACCTCGTCGAAGGAAGCATCATCTTCCAACTTTCTTGCGGTAAACATTGTGCCGTCTTCCTCGTCATGTTCAAGCGGGAATGAGATGACAGTAAGAAGTAGGAGCTCCGCAGGGACAACCGCACGAGCAGCGAACAATAAAGAAGCAGTGGTAGCTTCGTTTGGTGATGCTGTGCGCGAACGCGAGGCGGAGCTAATGGAAGCGAGAAGTGAAGAAATTCGCGCACGCAACAGCGAGTTAGAGGCGGCAAACACAAAACTTGGGAACGAGACAGAGGTGCTGCAGGCAGAACTGGACAAGCAGCGAGCCGCGTATGAGGAATACGAGATGCTCTCGTTTCAGCGCTTGGACACATTGCAGCAGCGTTGCTCCCGGTTAGAGCGTACAATCCGTTTGAATAAGAGGCGGCAGGAAGAAAGCCGCACAATTTTAGAGCAGGTCATGTCTGCTTACCGGGAGTCGGGTTCCCTGGCCACATCGCGGCGGCCGTCTGTTACGGATCACGAGCGCGGATTTTCGAAATCTTCCTCCAGCTCCAACGGTAGCACGCAGGCGGTCGCAGCGTGGAAAAATGATACGCGAACGTCGTCGGCACCAGTTCCTGTATTGGACAGAAAAGCAAGTAGTCACGACGTCGCAGCTGCTCTGGACCGCTCGTTCGGAAGACCCGTCTTTTCGAATTCCAGTTCCAGGACAAGCTCGAAACGGGCTCCGAATGTGACGATAGACCCTGACCTGATAGAAGCAATCAGCAATCTCCTAAACTCCTCTTGGAACACAGGGACAGGAGCTGGGTCCTCGACCTCGTCTAAGAGTACCAGCAAAGCAAGTACTGTTGGTGCTACTCTTCAGACGACTGCTGCAGGGCGCCCTCGCGCCGTCACGGAATCCGCGCTGGAAGTTCAGAAAAGAAACGAAGAGCTAGAACTAGCGGTCACCCGGAATAATGGACAAGCAGTTGGTCCCAGCACGTCTACAACAAATGGAGGTCGTGTTAATGACCATAAAGACCACGACCTGCTGGGAACCACGCAGGCAAACTTTTTAAGCGACTCTGTTGGGGAGGATGGCAAAAGTCCGGCTGGAGAACCGGATTCGAATCTTCCTGGTGCATCAGCTCAAATCGGCACGAGCTTATCAGAGAAAGTGTCAAAGACTGACAGCGGTGGTAGTACACGAAGCAGAACGGAAGAATTGCAGCAGCGAGCGCTTGAGCTGGAACGTGCGCTGCAGGAAACTCTCAAGGCTATGGCCACTTCGTCCCCGGAACCGGGTGCTTATGTTTCTGTGCCCGAGCAGCGAGAGCCAGCGATATCGGCAACTCCACTGTTTGGTGCTGCACAGCAGGAGAACGAAAGTAGGGGCGTTGCAACGAGCTTGTGCATGCCATCGGAACGGCCTCAAGCGAGTGCACGTAATAGAGAGATCGTGCGTGGGGTACATCTTGTTCCGCCAGGAGAAACGTGCGACTCCGGCGTAGAACCGAGCACTGCTGGTCTTGCGCGCGCAGCATTCATTCAAGCGCAGCCGGCACCCTCTCCGCCTGCGGTGTCCTCGCCAGCTCCCGCAGTCGTATTGCCGCTAAGCAAAGGCGGCACTGGCGGCGCGCGGCGAGTTGTGACAAATATGATGAAGCTTCCTCGTGCAGGAGGTTCCGGTAATTCGTCGTCCTCCAGTACACAGCTAAGGCAGCCTTATGCTCAAGGTTCTTCTGCTGTTGGAAGCACCTCAGCAGTAGGTATAGCAGCAGGGCCGCCGCGCGGCAGCGGCCCGTCGAATATGGTAGTGCCCTCCACCACTGCGTTTTTCCAGACGCGCATTGCGGCTTCCGCTTCAGGCGGTTCAGCGAGCGTGCCAGATCCGCGAGGAGCTGCGGTTGGGCCGCGGGGAGATGTTGTCGGTTTGCCTTTTTCCGCTGACAGTTCACCACTCACGACTGCTGTTGCCGCGACGAGCTCTCTAGAGATGTTGCCGCAACCTTCTCAGAACCAACATCTCGAAGAAACTATAGGGAATGTTCTTTCAACAGCTGCAATAGGTGGGGGTCCTGCAATGTGTTCTACCGCAAACCAATTGCATAGTCCCAGACATGCTTGTCCACTTCCAGAGCAGGGTCGTGCGCAGTTGAGTGCTCCAGCACGCGTGAGGATTCTGCCAGCTGCTACGGGCTCCGAAGAATCCGTGCAACAAGGAATGTCATCCTCTTCTATCTCACGAATTGCCGAAGCGGCTCGTCATCTAGGTTCGCATCCGCAAGATTATCCGACGCGCTCGCACAGCTCAGTCAGCCTACTGATGGGGAGCACACTGACGCCACCAGCTGCTGCACAGCATTCTGAGTTCGTGCGAGGTGGTTTTTTGAATAATTCGATGCTCTCGCAGTCGCAACGAAATCACTTCAGCTTCTATGATCATTCTCCTTTTGAACAAGATCTTCATGATGCTTTAGGAGCATCGAGGACGCAGCTTTCGTTGTCCTCCACGGGTCAGGCGCGCTCTCAGTCCGTTTTCGTTCGTAGCTACCCGAAGAAGGAAACAGTTGTCGGGACACATATCTGCACGACGATTGCTCGGGGCCGACTGGTTGGATCTCAGTTCCGGGCTCCAGGAAATTACGAGCTGCGATCAATTCAGCCTGTTTCTCCCCGACTGACGCATCCGCCCGACCTCCGAGCCAGCAGCTGTGAGGAACAAGAGCCAGATATTGATAAGACGAGCACACACCAGGTCATTGGGGAGAAGTCTCCTGCTTCCGCGAGTGCTCAGTTCTTGCGGAGTACAGCATCCACACCATCGCTTCAGCATCCTCCGACGGGGCAAGGACTAAAACGGCCGTCGCCTGGGGTTCGTGGAGGAAATAACCCATTCCAGGGAACGGGACAACGAAGTGAGACAGACTTTCATCATAGAAGTTTAGTGAGCAGTAAGGAGTCATCCCGAAATGCTGATGATGAGGCACACGCGATGTACCACGTGGACTTGATACTCTCGGCAACGTCAGCCTCCTCAGCTGCCTAAGCGCGATTGGTATTGCAGTGGGAGTGGCGCGGGTGTATACCATGAACGGCCTAACGCCTGTAGTCATCTTTATCATCAGAGGCCCTTCTCGACGTACTAAGTAGTCTTTTTAGTAGTTGCAGTAGGTGAATACTTTGAAGCACTTAATATGATGATCTAAGAACAGGAAACAGAAGCATGCCCGGTGAATCAGCAGAGAATCGAAGTGCGACATACTCGCATTCTCTTCACCGCCTATCTTCTTGCAGTGATGATAGCCACAGGACGGACGCATCCAAACACGGTTTCCGAAGGTGTTTTTGATAGGTGAACGAAATAAGTAGCTAGTAGTAAGTACGTAGCCTAAAAAAGTAATCATCTTCTTCATCCGCTTCCGTTTTCACTAACATGTGATCAATGAATCAAGATCAAAACTCAACGAGAAGTTTCAGGGATAGCAAACCTTTTGGTATGTATTACCTATGAATTAGATATATTCAAGGTTTCCGTTTCGCTTTCCAGTTTTCACTTCGTACGCACGTACTGGTTTTTGGTGGCCGGAGTTAACTACACAGAAAAATTCCATAAGAGCAAAATGAACCTAGTCGCTCCCAGCGAGGACGTGTGCCGTTTTTCATTGGGTAGATGAGATCCACAGTTTTGTTAGCAGGTGGGGTCCTCGGGTAGGTGGAGTAGATTGGAGTAGAAGAAGTCAATTGCAGATATCACGCCGATGAGATGTCTAGTTTTGCACCATAATATAGCAAAGAGGGATGACTAGAATAGATGACGAAGTTGCGTGGGGAAAAAAGCATGAGTCTGGCTTTCACTGCAAGCTTGAAATACGATGCAACCAACCTTTTTTCACCCGCCGCGTGTGCCACTCTATTAATACATGTTGATCTTCTGACGTGGTTATCGTAGAGGACTTCCTTTTCCTCCGTCGAGGTGTAAGCGTCAATATGAGCGCCAGGACGCAGGAAGATCATTTATCTCAAAGTCATTCCCTGCTCGCTGCTCCGAGACGTGCTGCATGTATGTGTGCACGCGTTCGCTGTTCTGCCGTTCCCACTTTTAGATAATTTTATTCGAAGGTCGTGACGGAAGTTTTGTCATTCTACTACCGGCATTTTCATGCCCGTCTCATACGAGATAGAGAAGACGAGCAGCAGGTGAATTTTCCTCTAGCTTTTGTCGTGCGCACATCCTTCTAGCAATTTGCGGTTTCTCACACTCAGGTTTGATCTAGGTCAAAAGATACCTCAACAAGACCAGGTAAATGAATGAAATGAATGAGTTAGTTTTTGTCCTTCGCCTCTACGAGAAATTCATGATAGTGTTTTTAGTTTCGTGGTCGTCCCTGGAATTATTGTAGCAGACTCGAGTTTGTATGTTGCTCTCGCCCTTCTACATGCCCATGATGATGATTTTCGTGCCCACCGGGGATTCGTTCCTCCCTTACTTTCTCATCGTAGGAAGTAGAAACCTGCTTGTGCTTGTGATTACATAATTTGTATTCGATTGATTTAATCTGCTTTCGCTTTCGCAGGGCTTCTCCTCGATTTACGGCCTCGCTTGCATTTTGAACTGTCGGGGGATTCAAACAGAGGTCTGTCATAAAGCGCTAATTCGAACTAACTCAGATAACCTCTTGACAGTGTTTTTGTCTTGCATCCGTGACGATATCGATTTTGCGATTCAAATCAAATACAATGATGTGTCTGCATGTAGCTGGTTTATCACGCATGTTGTTAGATATAGATGGTAAGATAGAGTGTACGCAGTTATGATCATCATGAGTCTATAATTAATATAATCACCGAAGCCTTCTACTTGCATCCACGTTCAATCCTTTTGGTCCACCAGAAAGAAGAAGAATGGCCATAATGTTGCAAACTGTCGCAAGCAACAACCAAAACCGCACCAGCGAACTGTCAACAGGCGGGGATGGCGAGTTCTGCCCACCGCCACGACTGAAGCTCAAAAAACTTCCGTCCCTTGACAAAGACAATAGCGACGGATTGACTGCTTTGAAATCGAAAAGCGCCGTCCATCTGAGTAGTACTAGAAAGACCGCTCGTTCACTCGCAGCGCTCGCACATCTGAAAATAGATGTTCTTGCATCAGATCCGGAAATCAAGACCAGTGTTCTTAAACCTGCAGCTGTAGCTAAATCTGCTGGGTTATCTTCGCCTACATATATCGCTCCAAGAAACGGACCATTGCTTGAACGAAATGCTGGTGGTGAGGACGAAACCACTTGTGCGCTAGTAGGTGTTGGCAATAATGAAGGTGAAGAGGGCGTGAAGCCACTTGCGCGCTGCCGGTGCTTCGGTGGTGGTTTGAAGATTCTGGTGGTCGGCGATGGAGATCTGTCGTTCTCGGCATCTCTGGTGTCGCACGTGGATGATCCTTCGAAAGACGTGACTGCCACAGTTTACGAGACTGATGCTGCTTTTGCTGAAAAATACGGCACGAGCGGGCTTGGAATAAAGCATAAGCGCATCGTTTGCGAGAACGGTGCGCGCCTAATTCACGGCGTTGATGCGACAGACCTAGAGCGCACCCTGTTGCGGCCTCGGGCGTCGCTGTCTTCGTCTGCAGCGACCGCATTAGATAACAGTACTTCGCGTGGTTTGTCGTCCCCGGTTCATGGTACTAGCAGGCCAGATATTTCGAACCGCAAATTCGATGTCATCATCTTCAACTTTCCTTACCCTCTTCATTTGGAGGAAGCACAGAATAAGGCTGGAGGCTTGAAACACGAAGCGCAAAGCCTGGTGCGGAGCTTCTTCTTAAGAATCTGAATTGCTTCGGAAGATGTCGTGGGTATCTATGTATAAGTACTTAATAACTCACGTGCACCTCGAACTTCACGTCCTACATAAGTATGACAAAACATGCAAATGTTGATCTTAGTTCTCTACTGATTCTTGTTCTTGTTCAAGCTCTAACGCTCCTTTCGGCGCGTGCACTATTGACCACGGAAACGGGCGAGGTGCATGTGAGCCTGGTGAATAGACAATTTGATTCCTGGGGTGTCAACGCAATCGCGCGCGAATGCGAGCTGTATCTTCATGAGGTGAAAGGCTTCGACCGACATCATTGGGAGTACTACGGCTGTCGCTACGGCGACGAGCGCGAGTTGAAGAAACGGCCCAAGGCGAGTTACGTTCAGCAATACAACGCGCGGACCTTCGCATTCAGACGTCGGCTTCCGGGAGTTGCAGTCGAAGAGATCAATCCGGATACCAATCAGGTGCTGGGTAGTGAGGACGACCTACGAGCTCTGGATCTCATGCGACAGAAGAAGGAGCGCGACATAGCTAACCGGAACCAGGCGGCGGCACTCTCCCGAGCTGCACAATTGAAGCAAGTGAGCGCAGTGCACGCTCTGGTGCGGAAGCGCTTGCAGGCTGCGAAGATGCGTCCGTTGCAACGCCCTGGCGGCGCTGCACCAAACAGGGTAGGGGCCGCTTGCGCAGCTGCGGGTGCGCACCAGTCGCAAAGCACAGTGAAGATGTCGGGTGGCAGAATAGCTTCGGTCGGCGCTACCCTAGCCGGTGGCCAGACAAAGGCCACCGCAACGCGAACGCCACCGATACGACCTCTGTTTCCCCGATCATCATCTCAACAACACTGTGAAGCCAGCCACTTCCCCTCTGCCCGAGGTCTTTATGTGGCGTTCTCGACCGCTTCTGCACCAACCGTAAGCGGGACGACGGCAGGAGCTACAAAACACATGACGGGCCCGCTGCGGCCACTCCGACCGGCGGGCTCAACTAGTGTCAGTGCCGTGGTCAAGCTTAGCCCCCTACGCCCATTGAAACCAAATATAATGACGAAAGTAGTGCGTAAAAGCATCGGCCTGGTGAAGACTAAGGGAGCCAAAGTACCAGATGCAACCCCCTCTGCTGCAGGTAGCATCGTTGGCAACAAAAGCGGAACAGCAGCACGGGGTAGCAGCTCTACCTCTGTGAAACAAGCGGGCGGCCCCGGGGTCTCGGAACTGGTACATAGATTTCGTTCGATGAATCGCGCGTCCACCTCTGCTGAGGCGATCAAATGCGCGATGAACATCTCCGATAGTGCAGGGCAAGACATCAATCGACAATCGCCCAGTACAACCGCGATCCTCCAGAGCAGAGTAGTTGGAGCAGGCGATGCGCGGGGCCTGGGAGTTGGGCCGGATGTAGGTCCGCCTCTTCGGCCCTTGAAGAGAGTAGTCAGTTCGTCATCAGCTCAGGGCTTCCTGCCTTCGGCCGTTGGCAGCACTAGGGCTGGTTTTGCTGCAGCAACTACCTCAACGTCGTCTGGTGGTAGTCGTGGTTTTGCAGCGAACAACACGCAAATGCAAAACCAAACAAGTGCTTTCTCTATTCTCCCCGTTTCATCGTTAAACACGAACCTTACTAGCATGCCGCCAACCCGGCCATCAACAACATCTCCAGTAGTACAAGCGGCTGTGAACAAATTTCCAAGAGTTCCTGGTGCTGGTGACCAGTCGACGCGCACTGCCTCGCAATCTGCGGGTGCAAGCCGTACATGCCAGCCGCCACCGCCTCCGGAAGGCCTTCTGATGGCTGGAGGTGACGGCGCCAAGATTCAGGCGGCAACTCGCGCTCTACTGTCGCAAGGAACGGGGGCGAATCACATCACGAGGGTAGGTGGAAATGCACAAGTGATCAAGGGAAACGACAAGAAAAAGAAAACGCAGCAGACCAGAAGTATTGGCCATTTTATGCCAAAAACCAGTTCTGGTGGCGTCCCCTCACACCGATATCACGTTGCTGGAGCTTTTCACGACAAGGCCGCGATCGCTGGGGTGGCAGCCGTGCAGCGCAACGGCATCGCCGGCAGCGCAATACCGGGATTTAACGGCAACTACAACCGAACCAACGGCCTACACCCTCTGTCAAATGCCGGTGACGTGACGCGTCCTCCTCCTCAGGGAGGGCTGTCTCACTTACCGCAACGTTTGGGGGGAGGCGGCAGTGGTTTTCACGCTACAGAAAACACTACAGGGCTGCAAACACAAACAGTAGTGGGGGTGCAGCAAGATCGGAGAAAGGTACACAAGCATACGCAACACCGCGGTGGTGCTACGTCGGGCAAAGGGGCCAATGCGAACGCTGCTCATTTGCCCGGCTGGGGGTCCATGCACTCAACGCAAGCTGCATCTCCTTGTCCTCCCCAAAACACTCACAAGCAGCCCCAGCAGATGGCAAAGAACGTTGGCACTTTTCGTGGTCTGCGACCCTTAGTGCCTTTCCCTACAAAAGCGGAAAAAGGGGCAGCACACATCAAGCGCCAGGGTGCCTCGCCTGAATGAAGGATCCAGCAAGTTCAGGTGTGGCACCGCAGGGCCGTGCCAATGCGTGGTGGCAAATCAGAACAAAACAGACAAGGGAATACAAATACTCTCGGGCGGGAGGAGGGGAGTAAAGAAGAGAAGCAAGGGCTGGGACAAGTGTAGCAAAATTAATAAAAGGTCGTGAGCAATTTACTCCACACAACAAGAAGATGCACGCATCCCTTCCCTGCGCGTCCGACTCAGCGCCCCAATGAGCATTACTAACCCCGCCCTAAAATAAAAATGCTGTGTATCATCTATAGTACTTTCCATTTCCTAGTAACAAAATGAAAGATGCGTCTAACATCCACCTCCTCCAGCGCGTTTGTTCTCCATTGCATCATGAGAGAAGAGAGCAGGAGAGCGTCACCCTACTTGATCATCAGTTGCCGCGTGTAGTGAAGAAATATCATCACCTGCATGGCGCAATGGTAAATATGGAGGAATCTGTTGTAAAAGTGAAACAAAAATGTATGGGAGGTTTCTTAATCATATATCGGTTATTGACCTCGAGGGACAAGAAGATGAAATGCAGCGATGCTCGTCCATTTAGGGGCTTTCTGAAGATCTACTTATTTATTTTGAGGTCCTCTCGGTCTTTGACAAGTGCATGATAACGAAAACATCGATGATTTGCCTAGTGCGGACATGGCAAGAGAGGATTGATATCAAAAGAGAAACAAGAGTATGAAAACCAATGCTGCTCTTAGATCCCATGTAGAAGAAACAACAAGGGGGTACGAGCAAGATCAACAATATCTCCAAAAACTATGATCTATCTCGTCATGATCCCGATCGATCCGTGAACAAGTTCCTACGGACTAAAGAACATTGAGATCCACAACAGAAAGTTCAGCTTTCTTCAGAACGAGACCAGCTAGCTAGATTGCGCATCATTCATGTCTCACCCGTCAATCACGGACAAAGGAGATAAGTCGTATTCCAAAACTTTTTATACATATACTTCTGACTGTCTACTTTTTTTTAGACTACTAGTTGCTCTACTAACACATACATACACGACTATTTGCTCTGCACTCAACACGACAACAGTCCGTCTTTCTCTCCCATGAGCAGGAAAAAGCCGCTTTGCCAAACTTTTACATCTAATATCACTCAATCTACGTCTGCTAATTGTATAGTGGCATCTCTTCGTTCCTCGCATCTACATCGAGATTCGTTTTTGCCATTCCTCTTATCAAAGTAATAGTCTAGAATTCATAGACCCCGAGGACGCCGGCCCTCACCCTCACAATACCTTTCCCTGGTAGAAGTTTGAAGTGTTTTTCTGGACGGAAGTGCTGTTTTTATAGGGACCAAGAGTTTTTATCCCTCGTTTTCATTGGTGTTTATTTCGAGTTTGTCAAAGGGTTTTATCCATAGTTAGCGTAGAGAGTCATGAGTCATAATCATTGTTCGTGCCTTTTTTGACAGAGGAACGAGAATTATCAACCTTATCCATCAAGAAGAAAATTCGGAAACACATTCACAAGATCAAAACAATTTTTCCCCACTTTCTAACACACGGACACTCCTTCTTCTCAAAATGGTGCTCGGTTCGTCAAGTAGTAGTACCTCGTACACTGCCCTATCAGAGGGACCCAAATCCCTTGAGTTGATGAGCAAGCGATTGCGGAAAACGCCGACGGCGTTGCTAGAGGACCCAACTTATGGTTTGGGGTGGCTCGATTGGGGTCAGCGTGAAGCTATGGTCACGGAGGCTGAGAAGGACGTTATCCGCTACGCGAAGACAGATGATGGTACGACTGTTTGATTGAGTACATCAAAAGGTTGCTTTTGAATAGATCGGAGTTGTTGCACCTTCTATTGATAACAAGTAGGAAAGAAGAAGATCGTAAAAAAATTTAATACATCAACAGGTCGTGACGATCTGCATTTCCAGCTGGACTTGGGGAATAAGTACGAAGGTGTTGGTGTCGTTCTTCCACTGGATGAGGAGGAGAGCAAGTCTCATTCCGGAACGACATTTGTTGGCGTCGCTTATCAGTTGACCAGTCTCGGCAAGTTGGACACGGTGGCTGAGACTGTGGAGCTCGGGTTCGAAGTGAGCATGCTGTATAAGGTGACAGATGAGGAGGATATCGCTTCTTATCGCGAGCACGTGGGCGAAGAGTGTTCCTTCAGTGAGATGAAGTTGAAAAACCCAATGCCCAATTTTCGTATCCTGTCTGCGGCCAATGAGCCAGAATGTATTTCAGAGTCGATCGTTGCCGTCCGCGAGTGCGTTGACCGCGAACTCGTGACGCGCTCAGGTGAAGTGATTGGCCGAGATTCCTCCTCAAATCGGGCCCAGCAGCCTTGCGGGGAGCGAGAAGTGCTCATTCCGGGCCTAAACTGCCCAGCCTCGCCCGCAGAAGAAAAACCACGGTTGAGAACTTCTTTTTTCGTGCAGACGTACGGAAAATACCGTTGTTTGTGTAACCAGGTGATGGATCTGGAATCATTCCCCTTTTCCCGAATGCTGTTGCGTCTGATTTTCGTGAACACGAGCAGCACAAAGAGTTATTTGGCTGTTCCGTGGAACTTCATGGTGCCGCATTATGAGGTTGTGCGCACGAGGCCGCAAGAATTGAAGCCTGAAGAGCGAGCGAAGATGCTAAGAAAGCTAGGTTCAATGGATCCGCGCGCCTTCTTGGAGAGTGGTTCCGGAGGAAAATCCGGCGCGGATTCTTCGACTACGGTTTCTCCCGCATACTCAATGAAAAGTGGGGTTTCCACTGCCTCATCCATTTCGCCGAGTGGCCTCGGAAATATGAGCGCACGCGGGGAACCGATAAGCAGCTCTGATGCAGCTGGTGGCAACGGCAAATCGGTGAAATCTGCCACCGTAGTTGCTCCTTTGACCCGCTCCGAACGCGCTGCGGACGCTGCTAAACAAACTGCGAATAAAGACTACCGACTAGTGGAAATGAAATTTAGGCCTTCTGTTTTCAAAGGACGTTCTCGGGTCACCGAAAGTTGGATTGTGCGTGGGCACTACGCGGAGTTTTATCCTTTATCCTGGTTAGCGGCGATGCCTAGTGGCGCAAAGTACTCCCGATTCCATATCGTCCTCCAAGCAGAGTGTATTCCAAACTTCTATGTCAGTAACGTGCACGCGATCCTGTTCTTGCTCGTTTGTCTCGCTTTTTCGGCATTCCTGATTCCCGTAACGGAAGTCTCTGACCGCATGCAGGTCATTTTGACCCTGGTTTTGACTCTGGCCGCATACAAAGTATCGTTGACGGCGTGGCTTCCACAGAAACCATACATGACAGCCCTGGATCTCTACGTGCTCTGGTCTTTCTTACTCACCTTCGTGCAGGGCGCAAGCATCATGTTCACGGGATCCTTGGTACAACTTTATTCTAATCGTCACTTTAGTCTGATGCTGCTTCTTGTAGCAGCAGAACGTAGTTTTGAGCAAATACGTAAAAAAGACGAGAACAAGTAAAGGACGAATAATTCCTTTTTATTTAGTAGAAACCATACAAGGAATAGAAGTGCGCTAATGTCTCTTATCAATGAACAAATGCTATATCAGGTCAACGACTGGGGTTTTGATCTAGAACCTGTCTCCATTGTCGAGGGTTGGACTTGGAGCGCTATTTTGGTAATGTGGCTGCTCACTCACGCTGTCTTTGGCTACATTGGCCACCAGGGGCGTTTAGCACTCTACCTCTTTCCGAGTTGGAAAAGTGTCCTCGCAAAGGACGATATGCTGCATCAGCGGGAAAAGGACTTTGTGCAGGGCGCCAATGAGCGCGTGTTCAACCAAAAAAGACCTGACGTACCGTCGATGGATTGGGTCAAGGCACACTTGGATTAGAAATATGAAAAGCAAAGAAGACTGAGAGCTCACGACGTTCACGTTTGGTTACAATGGAACAAGTGGAACCTATTGTCACCACGACCGCCGCAACTGGGAGATCTGACCAGAAGATGGATTTCATCTTGAAGTACTAGAAGTGCTGAGAAAAAGTTGAAAGATCTTGCTTGTTGAGGAAAAGTAGTCGAAATCGAATGATCTTGCTCTTTGCAGATGTGGTCGCATTTTTATTGCCGAAAGTACGAGCGCCGGACAAGGAATATGTATTCATGTAAACCAAGTAGTAAGACAAGATGAAGTATCTTAATCCTAGTCACTAGTAGCCTCCCATTGATGTGGTCCTGTTTGCCTCCCGTAATTTTCTGTTGTTGTTTGCGCCCCGAATGGCCGCCGCCTATACGTACTTGGGCAATTTTTTACCCCTTCTGGTATTGAATCTGAGACTGAGTCCCACAGGTGTTGACATCACTTCACAAGAATCAGGATGACGATTAGCCGTTCCCGAACAACGTATTCGTAATACAAAGAAGCAGATCGAAAAAGTGATACTTTTCTCTTTCTCCTTACTTTTAGATTTTTTTTGGCCGTCAATCACCATCGTCATTCACCACCACCCTTAGTAGCCGCTCGATAGTATCCAAATGTCCCGATTGTAGAGTCTGAAATTGTTGGAAAATATCATGTTATCCCCAACAGGGAATGACGATGCGTACAATGTGGTACGATTTTTTTTCCTCCTACGTACTTGTCGTGAAAACTGATGTTGTCAGGAACAAGAAATCCCCCGACGTGCACGTGCAAAGGAACTCGGAAAATATGGATTTGGCTTGATTCGACGCTGCTGTGTGGCTATCGTTTTACCTGGCCTTGTGTTCCACTCGAATGCTTTAGTTGGTCATCAAGCTCAAGACAATGATGTACAACAAAATTGACACACCGAGCTGACGTCCTCTCTATCTCGTCTTGTGTTTTTGTGAAACGGTCTGACGTAGAAGAAGCAACAAAAAACTTTCAGCCTGGAAGATTGGGTTTTGGTTCGTCAAAAACTACGTAGTCTCCGAACATTTGGAGCTAGAGACATTGTATGGACATGGTTCACACTATGCGAGTTACGATACACCATTGCAGAATCACGCGTCTAGAACAAGTTGTTTGGACTAGACTAGGACTACTCGTTAGTTATTGTATTCAGATGAAGTAACAAAAATGGCTCGATAAGTGTTTTGAAGCGTGTTGCAGACAACTACATGAAAGAGTACGCATACATAGGTTCTCCTGCTGATTCATCTTGGAGGTTTGTGTTTCCTTGACCTTGCTTCATGTGCCCTCGTCCGTCGGGAATTACTCCATTGTGAACATATTCGGAATCACGAAAAATGGCCTCTTCGTCTTCGAGCAGCGCCGCTCCAGGCGGAGGCGCTAGAAAAAGCGGCTCCGGTACAGGTGTGACGAGCAATAATAAAGGAGGCGCCATGTCATTATTTTCTTTCATGCCAAAACGGCAAGCGGCTGTGGAGGTGGCAGACGAGTTGGAGGCTAAACGACGTCGGACAGCTGCCGCGGCAATGGGTAAATTGCCAACCCCAGCCAAAGGCGGCTCACCACAGGCATCGCAGGAGCAGGAAGTTCCTGGATCGAAAGACAGCACAGGCAGTGGAGTAGCAGCTGCGCCATTACAGGAACAAGACGACCCGAAAACTCCATTGTTTGGCAAGCGATCGTCGGCATCTCCGGCGATGGCGTCTAAGAAAGATCGCTTGCTACCGAGCGAAGATTCCGACGTAGAAATGGGCGCGGCGGCGAGAGCAGAAGAAACCGACCCGATGCTCAGGACAGAGCGCAAGCTTACGCAGAAAGAGAGCCGCGCGCTCGAGAGTGAGCTCATACGCAGCCACACGCCGGGTCGAGCAGCGGGTTCATCATCTGCGGCGAGTGCGATAGCTGGTAACAGGAAGTCGGCTGCCAGCGGAAAACCGAAGAGCAGTTCTGCTGGCCCGAACCGGGTTTCCGAAGGAGTACGCGCAGCTGGAATAAAAGCGACGTCTTCTTCCTCGTCGTGTGCACAACCGCCCGCTGCTGCTTCAGAAGAAGCGCCACAGGAAAAGTTGGCCATGAGCGAACACTGGAAAAGCGAACTCGCAATGGCCCAGGGCGGAATTAAGACGACACGCATGAAGGGTGGTGAGGATGCCAGCGCTTTCGGCCTATCCAGTAGCGCGACAGGAGGCTTGAATGCGAAGAACCTGAACGAGTACTTTCGCAAAATTGTAGACTGGCAAAGCCAGGCGCTCTACTATCATCAGTGGCCGTCCTGGCTGCTTCCAGAGAATATCAAAGACAAGCACGGACGCCGTCCAGATCACCCGGACTACGACCAGACGAGTCTGCTCCTGCCGAAATTCACGAAGGAGATGGAAAAGGATGAGGCGACAAAAAAATGGCTCACGCCAATGATGTTATGAAGTTTGTAATCGTAATGATACGAAGTAGTGGATTTGTCCATCCTCACAAGAGCGACGATTACGATGCTACAACTGCTTGTTCCTCACAGGTACGTAGTATTGAGGCGGCGTTCGCTATCGGTCAAACCAGTAGTACCTAAGTAGATGCTAATGCACCTCATTAGGGCTGATCATATTACTAGACACATGTCGCGTCTACGTCTACCATACATGAGGAGCTTGCTCACCCTGCTCTAATAGAGAAGCAGTTCTGGCAGATTAAGAAGGACAACTTTGACAAAGTTTTGTTGTTCAAAGTGGGGAAGTTCTACGAGGTCTTTTTCTACGACGCCTACCTCGCGCACGACGTCTGTGATTTCAAGTGGATGGGCAAAGATCCGCGTCCGCATGTCGGTTTTCCGGAACCTGTCCTGCACCTCAATGCTGCTAAGCTCGTGGAGGCAGGCTACTGCTCGGTGGTAGTGGAGCAGATTGAGACAGTTGAGGAGGCTCAGGCGAAGAAGGAGGCCCGGAAGGCTGGAGGGGAGAAGGGTGGCACGGTCACAGTAGAACGAGGGGCGTGCGAAGTTTTTACACCAGGAACGCTTGTGCACGAAAACATGATGCGGGGTCGAAACCAAGACTCCTACTTTCTCTGCGTCCTCAGGCAGGAGGAAAATACGAACAACTTCGGACTCTGCCTTATCGATGTAGCAAGTGGCGTTTTCAGAGTCGGGTACTAACTCTTCTAACAGTTTAAAATGAACTCAGGTCTGTGTGGATGTGTCGCGAATGCTCATGATATTTTCCAAAACACAGAGAATTTATTAAGCATGCTCGCTATTCGTCGTGTATGCTCTTGAACAAGCTCCACCTGTAGTTTGGCTCTCTGAGTCTGATTTAAGTTCGTTGATCTCCGCCACCAGCTACCTCCAAGATCGAGGCGAATGGGGGCAGTTGCGCACGATGCTAGCGCAGACACAGCCACGCGAAGTCGTGTATCATCCAAAGCATGTTGCACCCGGTGTGATTAAGATGCTAAAGTTGATGCCAGTGCGGCCGGCCTGCACTCCATTTGACGACGGGATTGACTCAATCAGTAATGCGAAGAAGACCGTCCAGGATGAGGTAGGAAAATTGGAAGCGAACAAACTCACAGTTGAAGTGGAAGACGTATTGCTGAATCAGGGCAGCACCTTTGCTCTTGCGGCAAGTTTTAAATACCTCGGCAGTATTCTTTTGAAGAATCACGTACTTCCAATCGCGAAGTGGAGCGTGTACGATCCGGCCGTCGTCTCACAGAAGCACATGGTGCTGGACGCGACGGCACTAGACAATCTGGAGATTTTGCGACGCAGCGACGGCAAGTACGAAGGGTCCTTGTTGCACTTTCTAGACAAGACGAATACTGCTTTCGGCTTTCGATTGCTGAAGCGCTGGCTGTGCGCGCCCTTGATGGTGCCACCCGAGATTCGTAAACGGCAAGATGTTGTTGACGTCCTCGTGGACCACCCGGACGCAGCACAACGCGCAAAAGACGCGCTGAAAAAACTTCCCGACATGGAGCGAGGCTTTGTCAAGCTTTGTTCGCTAGGCACGACGCTGCAGCAGCGCAAAGCCGTGTTGTATCAAGATTTCATTGGGAAGCGGCTCACTGATTTTTTCAAGCTCCTCGATGCTTTTGACGAGGGTCAGCGACTCCTTCTCCAACTCGCGAAAGATCTCCCACCGGCGAAAGAATTACCCGTGCGACTGCAGCAGCTCCTGACGCTCCAGGAGAAAGATGACAAATCGTCGGCCTCTGGTGCCCTTCTGCCAGACCTCCAAGCACTGAACAAAGAATTCAAGACGGCTTACGTGTACCAAACAGGCGAGGGAAGGAATATGACTTACAGACCAAAAGTCGGAAAGAGCAAGGCTTATGATGCAATCGTTCAACAGAAGCAGGACTGCGAAGGCCTCCTTGAAAATGAGTGCTTACTAATTTTTTTGAAAATGAGTGCTTACTAATTTTTCTTTTCTGCTTGTTAGTATCATCTTCGAGGATCATTATCGTTTTTCTTTTTTGTGAGATCAAGAAACATCATGAAGATGAAGATCGCAACATGTTACAAATGTCCTTATGCAGCAGGAAGCTTACAAGTACAATATTTTGTTACAACTCAACATCTTCATCTTCAGGTTAACGCGGCTACAAAAGAAATTTCCAAAGGTGGAAATGAAGTGGGTTCATCGGTTACCAGCCTACCGTTACGAAATAGAAGCTCCTGATTCGCTGGATGCTAGATTCGCACAAGACAAGAATCAGTGCGTGCAGACCTCGTCACGGAAAGGCTTTATGCGGTTCCACACTCCGGCAATCGAGAAGCTGGTACTTTCTTTTGCCTCTTGTTCTTGCGATTATAAACACGGATCTGGCATTCACTTCCAATAAACTGAAGTTGATTTTGATACAGTGCTCATTTTCAGAACGTTCTTAAAGTATACATACCATCCCCATCTGATTTTTTTTTCTTTAACAGTTAAAACAGTTGGATGAGATCGACAATAAGGAGCGAGATGCGATGTACCCTTTCGCGGCAGAAATTTTTAGCGCTTTGCACAAGTGCAAGGGCTTGTATGAGGGGACGCTGACGTGTTTGGCGGAGGCTGACGTTTTTCTGTCCATGGCGCAAGCCAGCAGTTGGTCTCCGAACGGGGATTTGGTAAAACCGGAATTTCGTGAGATTCGAGATGCTCAACGGGACTTGCCGGTCTTAGATCTAAAAGGCGCGCGTCACCCGGTCCAGGAAGCACAATGCCAAGGTTTCGTCGCAAACGACACGCTGATTCCTGGAAAGCCTTCAATTGTTCTCGTGACTGGCCCGAACATGGGTGGGAAGAGCACGATTCTGCGACAAGCTGCTCTAGCAGTAGTGATGGCACAAACAGGGTTTCGTGTGGCCGCGTCCTCCTTAACTATGACTCCGGTGGATCGCATTTTCACGCGTGTCGGAGCGCAGGACTCCCTCATAGAGGGAAAAAGCACGTTCCTCATGGAGCTAGAAGAGTGCGGGACCATTCTTCGAGAGGCTTCAAAATGGTCGCTTGCCATTATCGACGAGTTAGGTCGAGGTACGTCAACCTTCGATGGCGCAGCCATTGCGCTTGCTGTGCTAGAGCATCTCGCAACTGTTCTTAAATGCAGAACACTGTTCGCTACGCACTACCACCTACTCGGAACGCATCAGAGTACTCACTTCTTCTGCTTCGACTAACGTATCAGATATGCAGATCGTTCCTTTCTCGTCTGTTTCGCTTTGAAAAAATATTTGGCTAAAAATTTGCGGCCCTATCCTTCAGCTTCACACAGTCAGACCTCAATTTTTTCACAGTCACGTGCACACAAACAACATACATAAATCCTCGTTAGGTGATGAGATTATTCCGTATTTTATGGATGTCGATACGAGCGGCGACGAGTTGATTTTTCTCTACAAATTGGTCCGTGGACTTTGCCCTGACTCTCATGGTCGGAACGTTGCGAAGCTCGCTGGTCTTCCACCGTCAGTCGTCGAGGACGCAAGCATCAAGTCTGAAGAATGGAGGAAGGAACATGAATCACAGGGCCCAGAGCTTCTACTACAGCAAATAGTGTCTTTAGCAGAGAAGGGCGATAAGAACGCACTACAAAAGCTCTTCGAAAATAGAAAGGAGTGGGCTAGGTGCTTGTAATCCTATTAGGCTCGTAGATCAAACCTTAACCTTTTGATGTCCTTGTTGAATTACTTTGAACTCTCTCATGTCATCCTATCACAACGCCAACAATGCGGCTGATTTTAGGTCTCAACTGGCAGCACTGAACAACCCTACGCTTCATCCTCATCCGCAGACCCAAGAGCTCACTAAAAATCGTCACAACTTAAACTTTTCCTTTCGCTTTGGCAATGGCGTTTTCACGTTCATGTGAACTTACTTATCGCTGCAACTCCATCTCTACTGTCTATCGTCGGCGTAAGACATTGAATCGCGCTCCCAGTGTCTTGAGATTCAATCTGTATAGCGTTGGGATTCGGTAGTCGGAAGGAGTAAGAAGGTAGTCGCGTTGTCGGTGTCGCAAAGAAACAAATGGTCGCTTTGAAGTATCTCGGAAGAGAGAGCAACAGAGAAGTTTGAGTCGCCACTGAAAAATTGTCAAAATCAAAAAGAATAACGTTTGATTCAATTTCAACTACGCAAAATGGCCTTACCTGGTACGAACATCATCCGATAGAAGTAATTGCTCATGAATAGTAAACGTTTTTCCACTATTAAAAAGCCGAAGCTTTTTGTCCCGAACATGAAGCCTCATGCAACACTTTCAAAAACTTCATAGGGACAGCGTATATTAAAGGATCGTGAAGATAGGACAAGTAAATCGCTTAAGGTGGCCGCAAGACCCTCCCATGAGCATGATTTACTTATTTTTTTTGTTAAACTTGAACTTCCGAGCTTTTTTTCATTCACTTGAACTTGAACTGTATACGGTTGTGCTAGGTAAAAAGAAATCCAATTCTTTCTGCTTTCGCGAAAGATTATTCCTTATAGATACTATTGCAAATGCAACAATTTACTGTAGTTCGAGTTATTTTCATTTCGATATATCCCACTAACTGTGCATACATCGCATGCTGCCCTCGCTTTGAGAACTTTTTTTGTAGAACAAAACTATCAGTATGAGTATCATGGGCCATTAATCCTTTTTATTTATAGTCGGCTCGAGTACGAGTCGCTGCACCCATATCACCTAGTAATGCTCTTTGAAATCTAGTGAATATTCCAATACTCTCTAAATAAATGTACCATCAATTGAGTTCTTGCTTGTTCACCTCTTCTCCGTTTTTTTGTAAGAAAGCTTGAGAAAGGAAGCTAGCTAGAATACTTTATATTTCTAGATTTTTTTCTGCTTTTGGTCTGAAAGAACTAGATTTGTTTTTATTATCATTTTTCTTGCTCTCATCTTTCTGGTCCACGTTAACACAAAAGAATCTAAGTAACGATGCAGGATCTTCGGAGGTCCATGAAAAGCCTTGGTCAGACGATGCGGGTGCTCGTGGGCCGTTCGCCACGGCGTCGCGGTCTTAGCGTCGGTTCAGGCGTTGATGCTAGTTCTGCAGCAGCAATGCCCGCGGACGTTCTGAAAGAGAGCCTTGTTGACGACGAGGAGAGCAAAAAGGGTGGGGCCGCACCAGGCGACGCCAGGACGAGTAATGTACGAAGCCCCTCTTCGCCTCCGTTCCTATACGTTACAGATGACTACGAAGCTGGATCATCGATTTCGGAGGGTAAGATGAATAGCTCGACATCGGCAACTGGAGGAGCTCGAGGACCAACTACACGGGGTGCTGAGCAACCGGCTGACCCGCAAACCGCTCTGTTGGAGGATGGGACTAGTTCAGTAGCGACACTGCAACCCGCGACTAGTGGAGGTGGGCCGCGAACGCCAGGAAGTGCATTTGCAGCTCCGTCAAGCATATCGTCGAAGAGTTCGACCAGTGGTGTAGGCTTAGGTACCTCATGGGGTCAGCGCGGACGCATAGAGATTCATCCCGATGTGCACGTGAATTACGCACAGGTGGAAGGGGGACGGCTGAGCCTGCAGCGCATTCCCCACCACGACCACCCATCGCGACATCGCGTCTCCATGCATGGCGAATCGAATGAAGCGCACCGTGCGAAGACGCCTGCGAACTCGCCTGTAAAGAAAATCGTGCTCAGCAAAGGCACGGCAAAGTCTGTAGTACCAGCACCAGGTCGTGCTAGCATGGGAGCACCAGTAGGAGCGCCAACGTTCACCTCATCTGTGGCTACAACCGCCGTAGTAAGGTCAAGTGTCCCATCGTCAACCACTGCTACTGCAGCGGGGGCGCCTGTAGTTGAGGCAATTCCTTCCCGTATATCGTTCCCGGGGCGCAGTCTGGTTGTAGGTGCTTCTATCCCGGCGTCGACCACGACCTCTCAATTCGCAGGAGGTGCTACTTCTAGCCTAGTTCTTTCGCCAAGTCAACGTGGCACTGTGACACCCACTCCCCATAACACGCCTTACCGCGTGTCGCAGGCGACGGCAAAAAGCAAGCCAAGTGGAACTTCTGTTTCGCAAAACTATAGGCAGGTAGGGCCACAAGTTGTTCAACGAAACGTGGTATTCTCATCTTCTTCAGCTCAAAATCAAATGCAATCTCAACCCTCAACTGCAGCGCCACAGATTGCCGCTAGCGTTCCTGTTCCATCATCTGCAAAGGCAGGAGCACTGGTCAAGGCGAAGCCAGCTTCAGCCACTTCTAGTATAGGCAACACAACCGTGAGTGAGAGTGCGACGAGTGCCAGCTCGACGCCTTCAGCAGATGCGCCGTCTGGTGCCACTAGACGTTCAGCGTCTATGGGCAAGCGAGTCTCCTTTGGCGGCACTAGCACTGCGCCTGTGGAATCTGTTTCGTCAACAGCCGCTGGCAGTTCTTCTGCCTCCTCTTCATCTCGGTCCTTTTCATCGTCAAGTGGAGTTGGATCTTCGACGTCGTCCACGTTGCTGGCCAGTCTAACAGGAGCTCCAGTGTCCGGCACTCGCACTTCATCAACGGCGGGTGCTTCTGTGCGTGCGTCCTCTAGCCCAGCGAAGGTACGAGGCTCCCCGTCATTGCTGAACGTGCAGAACGCTCCGCAATTTACGCACTCGCCAACGATGCACAGATTTTCTATCCGCCCTGAGGAGGAGGCCGCCATCCCGCATCATTTCAGGCACGAGGCGCCCGCCTTGAGGATGCCACCACGGGAAGTGCATAAAATTCTGGACCACGTGCGGTCTGCAGCGACTGATCACCCGCATGTTTCTCATGCTAGAGATCACTTGCGATCGCTCGTAGAACGCGCCCGTCCGTCGATCGTGCCGCGGCTCAGCCTACCACACCACAATAGTAAAGGCGACACAGCAAGTCCCACGAGGACATCAGGACCAGGAGGGACCGTGGTCACTGTGGCAACACCCAAGACACCGCAGCCGCCCGCCCCTCCAAGCCTGAAAAATATGGTAGTCGTACAGCAGCCAGCATTTCGATCATCGCCTCCCTCAATGTCAGCTACTGGCTCAACTGCTGGTGGTGCTGGTCAGGTTCTCTCGGGAACCTCTGCTTCTTCGGGAAGCACGGGTCCAATGTCTAACACGAGCACTGGCAATGCTGTTGGAGCGGGGTTATCTGGTAACCGAGTCGCTATCGTATCGGCTTGTTCTCGAGGGGCAAGCCGTGAGATACGAGAAGCACCCGCTCAGGCCACGAGGACTTCCTCTCTCGTAGTGTCACCATCAGGCAGCAAGGAGGTTCAGGGCGTTCCGGGTATGCCTGTTGCCTCCCTGATCACTGGGGGAACACTAATTCGTAGCGGAAATATCTCGCCAATGTCACGGTCACCTACCACGCCCTCAGGTATCCAGAGAGCGTCGAGTCCAGCAGCAGCGGTCGCGGGCGTAACCAGCATAAAAATGCAAGAGCACCTGCAGAAACGCGAAGAAGACATACACGAAACGCATGCTCACATAAACTTGGAGAATTTGAACGACATTATATCCAACCACTTCACGCACAGCATTTTTGCATCTGGAGAAATTGCCGACGGCTCAGCGCCAGATGCGCTAGAAAAGATATCGCAGAGATCGGAGGCTGATAAGAAATCAAACAGTAGTCGAGGATCATCAAAAGGTAGAACTCCTAGTGCTCGCACCAGCAAAACGAGCAATGGAGCACGAAGTAACGAGTCTTCTCCTTCGGCATTGGAGACTGGACCTGCTGCGCATTCGCTGAATTCAGCTCGAAGGCTAGAACCGTCCAAGGGCGCGGCAGACGCGACTCCTGCAGATGTGAGAGATGAAGGTGACGGCTTATCCCCCAGTCCCATGAGGGTCGTGACATCCGCCAGACGGGCCGAGCCAAGAAACCAGGAGGATTCCGTTAAAAATGAAATAGCGGCGACTGCCATGAGTAGCAAGGACACCAGCTCCACCGACCAGCGTCCAGCGCAAACTAGCAAGCAACCGTCGTCGGCTCCGGATGATTCAGCAGGGCGCTTGATTAAGAGCATGAGTATCATACTTCTCTGTTATTATTTTCATGTTCTTTCATCTTCATCCACCTCCTCCAAGAAGAATAAGCGACGAACTTATTAGCAACATAGTAGGTACAAGTGGTAGTGCAGAAGGTGTAAGACGAGCACGAGACCCAAGTGGCGAGTAGTCCTCTAACCAAAGTTCTCAATTCGTGCCACCGGCAAGCTCTCGGCGGCATCCCCACCAAGAAAAAAGAGCTGCGGAAGGCGAAGCCGCTGAATTGGAAGAGCTGCGCGAGTTACCAGAAGACAGGAAACAGTTCATAGAGAAGCTGGCGGATGCTGGTGCAGAAATATTCTTACGGAAGTCGGAGTTTTTTAATCCGTATACTACAACTAGATGACTACTACAATTGAATACTACAAATTGTACCTTACAACTTACTTGAAGTCTTCATCTACTACTTGGATAATTGTTGAAAGACGAGCTTTTTATTGACATCATTGCGTCACTGTCACTGATGTCCAAAGAAATAATTATGCGGAATTTTGTCGCAACACTAGGTTCTTGAAATGATGCCATCCAGAATGCGGACTTGGTTCTAAGATTTGCAGACATGTTCGTTGCAAAGACTAGCGCGCGAGGTGCTGATGCTGCTGTAGAAGAACAAGGGGAAGAGCAGGAGATTACGATCGACGACGGAACAGAAGCAGTGAGGGCTTCACAACCGCAGCAGCAGAAAGTGCGTGTGACTAGATCTGCACGAGCGTTGGCACAGAAGAACGTGCAAGGCGACGACGACGAGGTGAGCGCTGGAAGTGGAAGCGGTCGTGAACGAGATAGCGGAGTATATGCGAGCAGAAACGGCGACGAGGAGGAGAAGGAACTCATGTCAGGTGGTGATAGCAATGTTGAAAAACGAGCCAGCTCGGGAGTCACGGCAACAAGAAACGACGATGAGGGAGGGGACGTTATGTCAGATCTGCGCAGCACAGCATTGGGATATAGAAAAGAGGACGACGACGCAGATGTTATGTCGGATGGTAACGTCCGAGACAGCGCAGCCTTGGATAGCAGAAAGGAAGATAAGGACGAGGACGCCATGTTGAGAGGTAGCGAGGGTGTTTATCCTCAAGAACGGTCGCCTGCATCTATAATCAGCGTGTGTGAGCAAGTGAAGGCGATTGAAAGGAGGACGCGAGGAGAGGAAAGTCAAAGATCCACAGAGAACAGCACTACCCCTAGGGGGACGCCGCTGAATGCGAATCCTAAGCCTCGAGGTTTGATTCCCTCTCCGATAGAGGAATTGGACGACTTCGCGGTATTACCTGAGGCCACTGGCAGTTTAGCTTCCCCACGGAGTACTGCAAATCAAAGCCGAGATCCGTCAAAAATGCAGCTAGCTGAAGAAAGCCGTGAGCCGTCCAAGTTGGAGTCGCGAGGATCCCCGATTGGAGCGAGCCTCAACGCTTCCTATGCGAATGAGGCCGTTGCGGACGAGGAAGAAGTGGCGTCCTTTCGGCCCCAAGGAGACCCTCTTGTAGAGGAAGCCGCCTCAGCGGAGGCCACCTCGTCTGCGATTCCAGGAAAGGATGAACTGGAACCGGGTTTGACTTCGTCACTTAATCTGCCACTAAAAGTGACGGACAGCAACTTCATGGCAGTGCTCCAGAATATGACGGAGAAGCTGAGCGCTAGTATACGCGAGATCCAGAACAAGACGGAGATCCACATCTCCTCGCCCGCGCAGAGCCCTGGCGGTGGCCCGCAGAGAGTTGTGTCGCCAGGACGTACCCTCATCGTAGTCCGGAACGAAGAGGAGGTTGACGTACTTCGGCGAGGCGTTGATCTTCCAGACAACCAGGTGTTTCCTCCGCAAGCGACTTCCACATCAAGTCGGAGTCCAGCCGACAACAGCCGCGCTCTACGAGATGAAGTCGAGGCAAGTGCCCGACGCCACGGCCCCCAAGGAGCTTCATTGTCATTTTCGGATGAGGTTCGTGTCCACAGCTCAGTCTCACTACCTGTCGAAGCGAGTACAAAGCCGCAGACTCGCAAAATTCCTGACGACGACCCTGACTTGTTGGAACTCAAGCGCTGGTGGCAGGTACCCCTTGTTTCGCCGCGAAGAGCGCAGCATATCGCGAATCATAAAAACTGCCAGTTAAGGCTTGCCTCTTTCTTCATCAAATCTATTGAATGATGAAGTACCAATGCATAATGAAGATTGAAGAAAATTGGTAAAGAATCGGTTAATTACCAAGAGAAGCAGTTTATTGATGTCGGCACCGATCACGTCGTCCTGACGTATTCAAAGCAGCCCCTTTTCTAATTCCACTATCACCGCACTCAAGCAAACCCGTTGGTATAGTAAAGGGGCAACAGCACGACCGTCGGGGTAAGGAAAATATCGGAGCGACATCACCGAGGATGGGAAGTTATCCAAAAGTGAAGCAGGAACAAGTCACTAGGGAGGTCAATGCTAGTAGCTCTAGCGCCAGAGGAGCTGGAAATACAGCATCATCGTTCAGTGGCGCAGCTCGGCCTTTCGTCAGTGGGGGTAGCACTAGCAGCACGAGGAAACGTGCGTTCCCTTTGACAACTCGGTCCTCTGCAGGCTCCAATGCGTCATCAATGCGAGCACAGCCTGCCAGTCTACACCAACATCATTTTTATGGCATGATCTGGAAATATTCACATCAATATCGTATGGAACATATTCATTGAAATTCAATTTATTGATGGTTTTTTTAGCAGGATTGCAAGCATTCCTACATCTTCATATGGTCATCACCAGGGGATGTTGTGCTGCGCAGATCTGGTGTATTGCGCCTTCTATTTCTAAGACAAGCAACAGATGCAGGAGACGGGAGCAATGAACGTTAGCGCAATCATTGGAGCGCAGGATGAAAGCATGCTGGACGTGAACATCACCCTGGTCGATGAACTTCTCAACACGAGCAATATCATTCCACCTGTTTCTTCCTCTCCGAGTCACGATGCTGCAGGAATTCAACCATCCTTCAACTCAGTGGTGATAAATGCATCATCGTCGTCTCCTGCAGCAGCTGCTGCGTCCTCACCGGATATGTTGGTACACTACCGTTTTCGTCCGTAAGTACTAACTTTTTCTACGCGAAGAATAGAAGAAGTTGGAGGAATATAAAGTACAAATATGCTAATCTCTTTTTAGGTAAGTAAGTACTTGTACTTTTTTACAGAGTTGCAATATCTCATCTAAGAGGAATATCTTGTTCAACCTCACAAAATATAACATTTCTCAGCGTCCACAACGACTTGAGTTGCCAGCTGACCTTCGTCGTGCGGCTCCGCAGAGAGAAGGCGAATCACCTGCGTCCTCCCGGGGAAATATGTACACCCAGCGCATACAAAAGGACGATCCTGATCTTCTGGCTCTGAGACAAGCATGGCAGCCTTTTCAGCTTCGTCCTCTTGCGGCGAATCGTATTTGTGTTTTGTTCTTGTTCTGAGTAAAAATTATGGTTCGTCTTTCTGCATTCATGATATTTCATTGCTTTTGATGATTCATCCAGGATCATGAGACGGCCAACATACAACAGTAGTTCATTTCATGGTTCACTCTTTTTACATTTACTCCGTGATACCAACAGGACGGGCTGCGGAAGAAGGCGAGGAAGTAGTGGTAAAACATGGTGACTCACCGTATAAACAGAGAGGTTTTTCCGCGGATAACAAATCGCGCTCGCCAAGAAGTGGACGTAAACGTGCGTCGCAATCAGTAGAGGAAGCTGATGTAGCTGAGACAGATGACAAAAAAGGCGACGAGCCTAAGCCTCAGGAAAGCGGGACCGCTACGAGCCCAAAAGACGACCCAAGCATACTGTTCTATAGCGAGGCGGAGCGACGAAGCATAAAAACGGAGGAGATTCCTCTAAGCAAACACGCTGCAGACTATGATCACTCTGAAAAAGTCGGACTTGAAATCACAGCGTATCCGTATGCAACAGGGACATCAGCCACAAGTGGCTCAGGTATTCCATGTTTAAGTTCGTCTTTAAGCGTTCAACGTCCATAGTACATGCAACACTGTCTCGAAGAGGGTCGTTGGCTCCCACATCAGATATTCTTAAATTACACCAGAGTCCTTAATAATGTCGTATTGAAGATGAATCTATAATTGCTCATCATCTAATTTTGGAAAAGTAGATTGAAATCGAATTGATATAGAAAGAACTTCAACTTCTACTTTTCCAGATGTACTAGGAGTTGAGCATGATCAGGAGAGAGCGCGAGCTTGCTCGGTATCAAGTGACATGGTTACGCCCGAAGCGATTGAGGCGATGTTCAGTTCTCGTGACGGCAAGAACGGTAAGCGTCACTCCTCGTGTCGCGAAGGAGTAGGAGGAGAGCATCAGCAGGGTGCTGATGATCTTCAGTCCAACGAAAAAAAAAGTACGATGTCAGATAACAAAAAGAATCCAGCAGCATCATCGTGGGCCTCGTCTTTCGACCTGCGACGTGACGCAGCAAAGGGAAGCAGCAGTTCGTCTGCGGGTAGTGCGGCGTCGTCGCGTGCGCCGAGCAAGCGTCGACCGCCACCGTTTACGTGGATGATTGATTCTGAGACGGCTCGAGCCTCTCTCATTTCGGCTGCTAGCAAGATGTCATTGAACGCGGCAACAACAAGCAATTCTGCAAGTCAAAGAAGCTCGCCAGTTGTTGTAGGGAGTACACTATCCTGCTCGTCGCGGGGTGGGAACGGATCGATAGCCCTTATTCCTCGCGAAAATGAGCGAAGACCTGTGACGAGCGCATCTACTGCGGAAGCGCAAGCAAACAGAGAAGCACCAAAAAAAGGGCCACGAGCAAAACAAGGAAGCGGGATTACAGGTGCAGCGCCAGGACGTCAGAGCAAGAGCAACCTAAAACTCACGGAGGGCGGAAAAAAATTGAATGTGGGAACTTCTAGTCAACTAATGGAAGATGTCACTGTCAGCACGAAAACGAATCCTCAGAAGGGTCGTGCTACATCTTCGATCAGTGGTGTCCGTCGTCCTCCAAGCGCGCCGCCTACGCGCACTACTTCTTCTTTTACGGCCTTCTCGTCAAAGCCGAAGATCAACGCAATTTTCACTATGGGCCAAAAACAAGACTCTGCTGGCTTCTCTTCCTCGTATTCGTCGACTTCTGTAGGCATTGTTCGGTCTCGCAGCTATGAAAAATTCGCGTCGACGATGCCGGACTGCCCAAAGAAAATAATGGGCAATCCTGATGGGGGTGGGCGATCTTCATTTCCCCATCTTTCTGGCGGTTCTGTAAGCACTAACGCCTCCTTGTTGATCTGCAAGACCAATATAAAAAACACTATGCCCGCTGCTACAGCGCATGGAGGGTCTGAAAGTGAGTTAGTGAAGCGTCGTCGTGGAGGAGCGCCATACAAAGTTCCATACTCGCCACGAAAACGGCAGCACAGTACTCCTGCTGGATCGATGTCACGAGTTGTTGGTGCCACTGGGCCACCACCGAAACGACATCCGGCTCAGCCACCTGGATTTACTTAAGACTAGTTCCTTCTAGTCGTCTAGTAACGAGACTACCCCTTTAATAAATGATACCCGATAAGCGGCAGCAGCCTCTGCTTCATCCACAAATCGATTTGTGGCTACGGAAAACAGTTTTATTTTCAGATGAAGGAAAACGAAAAGAATTGCGAGCACAGTAGTTGAAATTGACTTCATGATCTCTAAGTCACAGTGCCTCGGCAGTTGCCTCCAAGTACCACGCGCCGTGGTCCTCCTGGTGGCACCATTGATATCAGTAGACGGGAGCATCAAACGGCAGGAGGACCTCCGGAAGATCTCAGCCTCACGTTGCAGAGCACAACGTCGTCAGTGAGAAGTCTCGTGGTGGCTTTGCCTCGGCCTAAGAGTGTCCGATCATCGCCGAAAGAGGGAAAAGGAGTCATCCTCGATCTTGCTCACCAGCGGCGGCAAGGTTCAATGTCGCTTTCTGATATCCGACAACAGCAAAGAGAGAAGAGCCGGAGCAAGACAAGTCAGGTACAGTTTCATCTAATCTATCATGCTCCTCACGACTATATATAAATTTGATATGTCCGAAGGCGAAGGAGGTGGAAGTATGATGAGCATTTCTACTCCTCGTACGTTCTACTTGAAGATGAGTCACCTGTAGAAAATGGTAAAGATTGAGATTCTTTATCGCGGACATGATCATGATGCTGATGTTCATGTTCCTCTTCTTTTTGGTTGTGATTGTACAGGCAGAGGCAAACGCAGAGCGACACAGGAAAGCCCAGGAGCGCAGACGGCAAATGATGGAAGCCCACGAAAATACCAAAAGGACACGCCAGTTGCACGAGGAGGCTAGGAGGCACTTGTATCTAGACCGAAGGTACTAACATCTTTTTATCTTCATCTTGGTGTACTAGATGATGAAGATGTTTTTTTTTAAAGATTTTTCAAAACCTTAATGATCATCAACATTTTCTGATATTGATCAGCTTCGTGGTGCCTCAGAGCGGTGGCGCAGAGGCTGATGCGATATTTCGTGTTAGACGTAGTAAATCAGTGGAGGGATTACGTTTTGGTGGAGCTGCAGGAGCGGAAGCTAAGCCAGTGTTTTTTCCTTGGTCACGAACGCAAACAGGCCAGGACGCTGACAATCACTCTTGAGACCCACGTCGAGACCGAAAACAGATGCTGTTTTAACGAAGTGAAAATACTAAAAAGTTGCATCAGCAAGATGGACTGCTTGCGGGCAGCTCGAATTCTCGCGAACTTGTGAACACTACCTAAATCCGTGCACGGAACAAGCGAAGCGAAGACTAATAACGGATGACGTAAACATATTTTTCAGAACTCAGTCAAGTGGCTGCCCCATTTCCTGTTTGTTTATCTTGACCTCTCTATTGAATGAAAACGAATAAATAATATGAATACTGAAGACAATAACACGTGTAAATGTGGCCGAACTCTATTTCGTCAGCAGAAATTAATTAGTTCAAACATTTCCAGTTATTTTCTGAATTTCTCCGCAGCCACCTTGCTACTGATGTTTATTGCAGTGCTCAGGTTCCAGTCTTGTATTTTTGTTTAGGGAAGCTTGATAATTATATGATCCAGGCGCACGCAGAGCTTGCTTTTTGACATTTGCCTAAATACTTTTGGTGTTCTTCAATTGTTCTTGAATGATGCTAGTAATTTCGGGGCAAGCTTACTACAGCACGATGAAATATGATAGACTTAGTTGAATTATGCTCACTTTTGACTTAGCCGATAACGGCTAGTACAGTCAGAGCACACGGCACACGCAGACGAGCTTTATTGACATTTACTGAGCAGATATGTCAACATCCGAAAATCGCAATCGGAATGATATTAGAGAATTATGAACGAAAAAGGCGGTAAAAAATGCGAATGGAGGCAGCAGTCGCAGACGCAAATCTTCGATCAGAATCTTGTATGTGTTTATGATCCGCAGCCGCATTGTGGCTCAAGAATACCTGCGCGCGTATTTGGATCTTGAAGAACAAGTATTTTCTACCGCACCGGCGTCGCACAGTGACTAATCAACCTGTTCTTGTAGAAGAAATAATATTGTCTCCGTCAACTACGTGACCATCGGTGACGAATTGAATGGCTTTTTCCGCCAGCGGGGGACGAGTTCCAGGACTCATTGATCTTCGCTGTGCTAGTTTATTTTCATGGTTTTTTTCACAAAGAGGAATAATAAAGACCAGAAGACGAAGTAGGACGCTAACCTCTTCTGACAGGACGTGTAGCAACAACCCAGTTTCAGTTCTTCTTGATGAAGATATTTATAAGATGTAGCGAGCATTCTATGGTATAATTGTACAACGGGAGTGAAGCATAACAAAGAAAATGGCTGTTGTTCTAGAAGGAAACGATTCAGGTACCAAGGACTGCAGCGGGCATTTAAGCGCTAGTAACACGTGGCCCGCGTTGTCACGGTATGCCTATGCGTGGCCATTCTTAGTGCTTCTTCTTGCTAAGCTAGTCTGTGCGACGCTTGCATTGCCTTTATTTTTGGCTGCGGTAGTTTCCTGGGCTCTGGAGCTTAACCCGTTCCGCGACTTTTGGATTTGTTGTTTCTCATCAATATCTGGAGGACGCGAAGTAGATAGGAACAGGACATCGCCAAGCAAGAAGAAGCGTGCTCTGTCTCGTGACACGACTACCAAGTCAGGAGGAGCGAAAGAAAATTCTTCTTGCAATGAAAAGTCCTCTGATCGCGGAGAAAATCTTACGCAGGAAGACAAGAAAGAAGGTGTCGAGGAGCAACCCTTTGTTGAGCAAACTGGTGCAGCTGCAGAAGAGGTGAAGGACGAAGGAGTCGGCGCAGAGGACGAAGCAAACACATACGTAAAGTTAAGGGTACAAAAACGAAAATTCACTACTCTCTTTTTGCGGGTTCTACTCTGTGTCTGGCACTTGAAAAAGAATTAGCATAGATACATATCATAATAGTACAGGTTTGCCAACGTTTCTCTCATGGATGTCTTCAGTGTATGCCTGGGGCATGTGCTGTAATTAGTTACAAACAACGCTCTAACCAAAGTTGACGAGCAGGCGTCAGCAGTGAAAAGGTCATCTTGTCCTTCTTCAGATACCACTGCTTCATCGCCAAAGTCAACCTCTACAGTAGTCGCTGAATTACGCGCAAGGCGCTCTGGATGTGGAGTTCCTGATGTCAATGGGGAGAACTCGCCCGATGAGGCTTTTAGCGACGACTCTTTCGAGGTAGTCGGCGATCCATTCGGACATGAAAATGATGCGGCGCCGCGAAAAGATGGCCGTACAGCAACAAGAAAAGGAGACCGACAACAAGAGAGCAACGATAGAAATTCCACGCCCTCTGCAACATTACAAACTTCCGAAAGGCCTCCTTTGCTGCCGGGGTCTAGCAGCCATGTATCCAGCATTTCAGGCGCTGAGTCAGCGTCCTCGGTGGAACTATCCTCTAACCTGGATTGCCGCGAAAGGTCACGATCAACAGATGTAGTGGATCCGGCGAAGGAACAGATTGACGCACTAGATGGGCAGGACAGTTACTTTGTCGGTGACGACCTGTGCTCAATACAGGAGAATCAACAACAAGTAAAAAATGTTGCTGAAGAGTCAGGATCAGCGGGCTGTAAAATAACTACATCAAGCAGCAGTAGTAGTAGTTCTAGTTGCACTCAACAGGAAGGTCAAAGTGCAAAACCAGATGCCGAAATCGAAGAAAGTGACGCGCCGCAAATTGACGATGAGGTTTATCTATACGAGCATCTTTGACGCTATTGATAAATTATTGACAGATAAACTTTAAGGCAGTAACGAGAAACAAAACGGGTCAAGAGAGTACGTAGGTCATTGATATGAGTAAGTTCACGACCATAAGGATTCGTACAAATACAATGCCAATGATGTAAATGTAATTAGCCTCTTGTTCGGAACAACTGCAAAAAAGGTATCCGACGACGCCGCGGGAGAAAACACTGCTGATGATGATGGTGCTGAAACTCCGACGTCTTCGGAAGGTGGCCAGATGTATGACGCGGCAAAGGCAGCGGAATGCAAAGAGCAAGGAAACAAACATTTTAAAGCAGGAGAATTCGACCCGGCTATTGACTACTATAGCGATGCCATCGCCTTCTGTCCTCCTTCCGATCGAACGAACATGGCTATCTACCACAGCAATCGCGCAGCTTGCTATATGGGAATAGAGGAGTTGGAGATGGTATTAAAAACTAGAACTACTTTTTCAAATCATCTTAAACTAAAGATAATTTTATTAGATTGTCGTGCAAAGTAACTACAACCAAGTGCGAGCAGGAGCATAATCATACTCTTCGTACTTTCTGGCCTTTGAATTTTGGCGCTTTTACTTCACTTTCATCATTTTGTTCTTTTGATCTTTACCCTTTTGTTTTGATTATCGTTCGTTACTCAAAATCAAGCAATATCCCTCTACCAGGCGCTTCATGATTGTAGCGATGCCGTAGAGTATGACCCGAAGTATATTCGAGCGTGGCAACGGCGTTGTTCAATCCACGAACAGAAGCAAAAATGTTAGGGCCAAAAGAAAAACTGAGTAGATTCCTGGATCATCGTTATTCGACTTGCTTACTCAAATTGTCTTTACGTCTCATCATCTTGCTGGTGTTGCATTAGTATTTGACTCTTGTTGCTCCTGAAGTTTTTTTAAGCTCTCTTTTGGTACTTCTGGTAGATTAAGCGGTTTTTATTTGAAGAAGAAGAAGCGGAAAGATGAAACGTAATGAAAATGCTCTGATTCTGGATCCTCATCTCTAACTGTCGCACGATGCGCATGAGGATAGCAAGAAAGTCCTCGAGCTAGTCGACAAAGCGAATCACGTCGAATATTCGAACGCAGTAAAACGGAACGCTTACCTAAAAACCAAAATTATGTTCAGAATCCTACTTGTTGCTTCTTTAAGTACGTGATTTAGGAGAGGATTCTTATTCTACATGAAATCAACTTAGACACAGGACAACTTCATAATTTCCTTCACGATTCTATCGCTATCGCATTCTGCTAATATTAATCGATAAAACTGCAGCAGCACCAAGACCAGTTCTTGTTATTCTTAGTCCCAAAGTCGTTCACCCTTTGTTAAATGAGAAGTAGTCCTAACCCATCTTCATTTGTTGCGAGCAGCATTTCGAAAAAGAAAAGGCTGAAATGATGGGAAAGCTGAAGGATCTGGGCAACACGGTTCTCGGAAAGTTCGGAATGAGCATAGACAACTTCCAAGTGCAACAGCAAGAAGGCGGAGGCTACAGTATCAATTTCAAAAAATGATGAAGTATATCCACAACATGATCTAGTACGTCCCGAAGATATCATCGACCTCTCTGATCGGACTAGTACAGCATCGTTTCTTCCGTAAGACCTCTTTCCTAGGAGGTTAACCCCCGGCATGATCGATGTTACGAATACAACTAGCTCATTTTCGGCACTTTCATCTATAAGCGGTACAAATCAACAATATGGTACTTGAAGTTGAAGTTGAGTAGATAAAACATGTAGATCTTACGGATTGATGAAAATATGGACCCACAATACAACTGTGCCCTCTTAAAATGAAAGTAATTTGTGACGGTAGAGAGAGTCTCAAGTCCTTTTATCCCCTACTGGGTGCACCATCCCCTCTGCTCGCCCCAGAACGACCAAACAATTGACGGGCTGCTCGGCCCCACGGATTAATCCTTCAAAAACCGTAATTTCTTCTTCAAAGTTGACACAAAATGATAGATAATTATGAACCAAAAAGAAACACATCCGAGGCACCTCGTCCCTGCATGCCATCGTACTTCATACTGTCATCTGATTGATTTGATATTCACAGTCGCAGCTGCTCCACCTTGTAGGAACATAACTTAGGCGAGCACACCATTAGACATTTTTTATCATCCTATGGTATCTTCTTTGAGGAGTCAACCATGAACCTATCCCTTCTTCTATCGTTCGCTTTGAGGAACCGCTGAAATGATGTTCTACTTCTAGTGGTTGCGTATTTCTGATCAAGTGAATGTCATATTATTTACGGTATGATGATGAAGATCACGTCGTCGTGGCTGCACTGTCCTCTCGTCTTCTAGCTATCGGAATCAAAAGATGCTGATGATAAAAAATGTCTGCCCTGAGCGTCCAATGGTCTTGATCTGTTGCTGAGCGGTGACAGTCGTGAGCGAGAGCAAATTCTTGTTGCGAAATTTATGGATCAACCTCAGTTCCTCAGGTCTTAGTCCTATTTTCAAAAGCTGCCGAAGGTCAACTACGTCAAAGTATCGGTGTGAGTGAGAGAAAAGGTGAAACAAAACGCGCCCGAGTTGCAACTAATCTCTTGTCCTAAAAGTGGTATCTGTCATGATCTGAGACCGAAGTGACATTGGAAGGAGAGATTGTAATGTCATCTGACTGATGCTGATCATCTGTATGAATTCAATGGAGCTGCTCACAATCAATCTGTCGACTGAAGGAGCGAACAACACGCTTTCAGAGCGGCTTTCGCGCTTGGTGCGTGCAACTGAATTCGAATTCTCTTTCTCACTCATTTTGACATTTCTTTGTGTTTGTGGTCTACTTTCCCGTGGCTTCCTTAGGTTACAACCAATTATCATTACCCCCCATGCTCACGGTCACGCCTACATTGTTTTCCTCAAGCCTTTCACTCATGTTTGAAATCAAGTGTTAATGCGTCCTGCTTCCAGGACATCGAATGAAATTCAATCTCCTGCAATCGTCTATATTTTTTTGAAAATACAAAGTAAAATTATCAGTATCCATCTTTGACCTTTTAACTACTAGGCGTGCTTCTCATAATATATATTCATTATCTTGTTGTCCAATTTTTCTCCTCTGTTATTTATTTTCTGTGTTCTTGTAGTGTAAAAAAAAATAGCTTACAACTCGTCCTGCGTAGTCCGCGTTGCTGCTGTGACATCCATCGCATCAAAGTCACTTGTTCGGTAAAGCCTCTGCTAATCGTGTGCCCACGATGTTTGGACGGGCCGAGAGAAAGCATGGCTATCCGTCTGGAAGTGGGTCTGGCGGTCTGAGCCACACCGCCCATCCGAAGGCCAAAGGTGTTGTAAAGAAGAGGAAGACTTCGAGGAAAGGACTCGGAGTCTCAACGCGCAGCTCGTCAAAGAGCAACAGCAAAATGTCATCTACAGAAGAACAAGAACAGGATGAAGAGAATCTTCAAGTAGAAGATGCTGGTGATGAAGATGATGAAGATCTTGAGGATGCAGACGCAGCAGAAGAAGAAGATGACGAAGTGATGATTACGAGAGAGATAGAAGTCGTCGAAACTCAAAATGAAGAGGTGAAGCCCGCTCATTCAAGAAGGTTCTCGGAGAACGTGGAAAGCGAGGCAGACGAAAATATGGAAATACATAACATCGACATGGACATAGTGCCCAATGGTAATGGGAATATAAGAAGGCATGAACAACCAGAAGAAGGCCTTGTCGAGGAGATTTCGCCGGAGTCTTCCGCCACAGAAAGCACCGTGGTTTCGGAGTCTCCAACGCGAGACGTGCCTCCGCAGGAACGGGATAATATCGCAGATACTTCCGGTTTGGTGCAAGCTAGAGTAATGCGTGGTGAAGGTTCTGTTGCGGGGCAGGATGTGCAGCTAGGGCAGAACAGAAAAATTCGCTCTGTTCGACAAAAAAATCCACCTGCTGAAGCTGAAAAGATAAATAATGAGAGCCCGGCAGTTACCAAAACAAAAGCAGGAGATAAGACGATGACTAAAACGCGAGCTGCAGAAGTTCTTCTAAATCAGAGCGACGCAGCGGCCGTCAAGAGATCGCCAGCACTGAAGGCGAAAGCCAAGCACTCCGTGGGAGCGCCAAAACCTCCTTCGGTCACGCGACGTAAAGAAGAGCTGCTTAAGGCTGACGCTGCAGCCACATCACTACGCTCTCCTCGGAACAAAGGAGAAAGACAAGCTGACTCGACGGCATTGCCTGCTACGAGAGACTTGAAGGGAGCTCCTGCCAAGACAAAAGCGAATGCGCTTGCTGGGGCGAAATCTTCAGGGAGGGCCGCGACCCCTGTCAAGTCTGCGATGGCACGGTCCATGTCCGCCAATTCTCCTGCTCCTGTGACCACTTCGACGCGGCGACAAGCGGCTTCGCGTAAGCCTGGGATTCCAACGGCGCGGACGCTGAGCGCGGGACCTCGAAAGGGTGTGCCGGAAAAAACGCAGGAGCAATTGACAACACCTGTTCTTTATGACAAAAAGGTCGATCCGAATGCTGCTCAGGGGAATACAGAAAAATCCTCTGGAGTTGCAGAAAGTGGCGATGCAGCTGATGTTGCGGTTGCAGAGGAGATACCTGTAGATGTTGGTGGCGAGCGTGCGTTCCTGGCCCAAGTGACTCTTGACGATCGTGAACAGAACTACGGAAATAAGAACTCTGAAAAAGAAGACAATGGTAGTCCTGAAGCTGGAAACGAGAATGAAGGAGAAACTACAGAAGTAGGAAAGGGAAAAGCCGGTGTTGAAGAAGTTGCTCGTGACGAAAAGAACGAACAAGAGGTGGGGCTGCCGCTGCTTGGAATTCGCTCGTCCAGTGTTACCAGGAGATCTAACCGTGCATCGATTATTCCACCTGATTTCACGGGATTCAAATCAGTAGCGCAGATCGAGATGGTTGTATCCGCTTTAGAGGACTTGGAGGATGTCTTTGCGAATCTACACATCCAAGCAGCTGCAACAGAAGAAATTCGTCGTAAATCTTCTAAGGTTGACATCGCGGCCCCGCTTCCGGAGGACCTTAGACTTTCTACGACAGAGGAACAAAGCGGCTGCGAAAGCAAGAAAACCACGCCGCGAGCTCAACATGTCGCGTTCCCGGAACAGAGGCTGTCTCTCGAAGAAGAAGTAGGAACGGTTCCGGCTGAGGATGCAGAGGCAGATGTTGATGGACCGATGGAGCCGCCTGGTATAACACTTGTGGAAGTCAAAACTGAAGCGAACGACATGACTGGTGTGAAGGTTAATACAGAGGCAGGAATTACTGCGGAAACGGAAGCAAACGACAGGATCGGGGAGAGAATTGAAATCCTGAATGTGGATACTGCTGAAGTTGGTGAAAATGCAACAGGCGCCGAAACTACAAAAGTGGGAGAAGAACCGCAAAAGAAGAATAGCAAAAAGCTTGAAAAGAGCGACGTTGTTGAAGAGGCCGGGAGAAGCATAGAGAGTTCTCGTCCACCTAGAATCCAGGCGGAATCAGAAGAATCGGACGTTCTTGACGTCGTAGCCGATGGCGGCGAAGCACTTGCGGACAGCCCCAGCTCTGTAGCTGGACGGGAGTCCTCAGGGCGCCAAAGGAATCCTAGTACTACAGGAGCGAGAAAGAGATCGATGAGGGATCTGGCGTCCATAAAAAAAGAAATCCAAGGGACTTACGGAGATCTACATTCCCAGCACAGTCGACCAGGAACAACAAGGCATGCGACTCAGCCCTCGTCTGCTGATGCAAACGCAGTTGTAATGTTTCGCTTTTCTCCACGCGGAGGGCGAGGCGGAATCAGGCAGAATGCTTCTTTCTCGTCGTCATTACTGCGCAAAACCGACATTGATATCGATTCGCTTCTAGAAGACGACCACCCATCTTTTGCCAATGAGATGTCCACTAGCAATGAGCAGAGGCGTTCCTCTTTCTCCCTGGCGAATGTTGTTGATGGAGATGGAAGAAGTACAAAAGAAAGCAGAGGATCTACTTCTACTGCTGTAACCGCGTGGGACGCAGTAAATATGCCAACTGCTCGCTCCGATGGCACAGCATTTCGTGAAGAAACTGGTGGTGGAGGGAGAAGAAGTAGCGTTAACAGAAATGACCAGCTCCAGGAAGGCCAGAGCCGTCGAAGCCTCTCAGCGGATGCGACTAGAAAAAGCAGACGAGTGAGGGCTTCTGATGTTATCGGAATCCCAACTGCAGCTGGCTCTTCGCTAAGAGGCTACCGCAACCAGAGCAATGCTCTCATGATAGACACGGCGCCCACTCCCGACGAAGGCGAAGTGAAGAAGCGATGGCAAACGTCCATTGCCGATGCCCTGTGCGGCATATGGGACAGTTCTGGCGATTCCAGGGTAAACAAGCTAGAGGATGAGAGAATGGCCCGGAAGTCGCGGTGCTCGCAAGCAGCTGCAGGCTTCCGCTGCTCGCAAGCCTTCTATCGTGCTTCGGCGGCGGAGAATGGTAACGGCTTCCAATTGATGTCAGCAGGCAGCTATGGGAGGCGCAGTTCTCGGCGATGCAGTTCGGCAATAATGCGAAAACCGTCAGCAACATCACGTGCGTATGGTATATCACAAGGTACGGAAGCAGGTCGACTGGGAGACGATTCTACTCTTGGCCAGGACATGATCAACAGGAACTCACAAATTGTTCCTGGACCTGGAGGCTATTACAAACATCCTCAGAGTAGCCTGCTCATGGCGCCGGACTTGTTTGCCTTAGACGAGGATCGCAATTGTCGGGCTTACGAGAACGAGATCACGAATCAACTCGAACGCAGATCTTCGTCTGGTAGTATCTTGAAAGGCAGACCACAAGGACGGAAGAGCGTGCAAGAAATGCAAATGCAAAACAACGGGCCTGCTCTTGAAGAAGCAGACGAGAAAATGCTCGTGGAGAACGAAAGAGCAGGGAATTCGGTATTCATGCAGGATTATGCATACGAACCCGAAATAGACTTCGAGGTCGAGCGACTAAGCACCGCGTTCGTTCAGGAGCGCCCTGACGATGGTGAACGGGAAAGGGCAAGCGTCCGCACTAACCTTTCGCAAGCAACATTCGAAGAACTACAGGCGTCGTCGGAGTATAGGCCTGAGGAGATTCTCGAGAACAAGGAAGTCGACGGAGGCGGGAGAGCCTCTTTGGCGCAAGACGGCCAATGCGGTTTGACATCATCTATGCAAGCTGGAGCTCAAGACGCAAGACGATCTGGTGCAGTCGAACCACAGCTGCCTGCAGGCACGTCTGTCGGCGCTGCAACCACCAACAAACATCATGACCTTAAACACAAGTCTCATCATGCGAAAGAAGACGTAAGCGCAACACGACAGAGCGGAGTTTGTATGGCCCCTGAAAATATATCGCTTGACCATTTCGCTGTTAGTAGTAAGACATTACAGAGAGGAAATCGAGCGGAGGGAGGGCAAGAACATCGCTTGCATTATCCAAAGACTCCTTTCTCGCGAATCCGAAGCTTTCTGAGTTGCTGCGTGCGCCGCAAGCCTTCCCCTGGTCCACGCTTTGATGGAGTCTTCGCGGGGCCAGAAGATCGAGAACTACGAGAAATGGGGCTGCTGTGTTGGGATGGTAACTACAATTTGCACCCTCTGAAGCGCACTGCAACCACGCGAACATATATTCGAACACAAAAGGAAGAGCTAGAATGCATGAGAAAAATGGAGGAGGAGTCGCGGCGCACTACTCGACTAAGCAATCGACAGTCGTTGAAAAATCCGCAGTCAATTATGGACGACTTGACTTTCTTCGAACAAGCGACAGGTCGACAACGGCTTACTGGAACACCGAAGAATGAACTGTTAGAGGACACCGCGGAACGACACCGCGTGCGGCGTAGAAGTCTCTTTGTGCCTACAACTTTCGACACGGTTGATGCGAACATTGAACCCAACACAAGGAATAGTGTACAAGCTGTCCATGCTCGGGACCACGGCCAGGGTCATCCGCCAGCAACAAGATCAAGCACGACATACACAGCTTCCTCGCAATTTTTTGGTGAGCAAATATACAGGTGGACGGCCTACGATGCGTTTGGGGCACAGCGATTCGAAAATTTTGTGTCTCCACACGTAAAGGATGACGGAATGCGTTCCGTGACGAAACAGCCCTTAGATCCGTTGTCCTTGCAGGGCTTTTTTCTGAACACCTTGTGCTCGCGGCGATCCCTCTTCCGCCTTTTTCACGCGGTCACTATTGGCGCGATACTCTGTGTGCTCATCTCCAGTTTCCCGAAGCACTTTGTTGCAGACTTGGCGGCAAACGAGGACTTGCCTACTTCTGGAACGACCCCTGACAGACAAAGACAAGGTGCAAAAATGTCGAGCTTCAAGATGACAGCCTCTCACTTTGGCCTTGTCCCTGAGGCTGTGCGGAGACGCCTTTTCGGACAGAAAACCCAAATGCAAGCTTCGGGATCCCATTTTTCTGAAAACGTACACAAAATGCGGTCTGGCGTTCACGAGTTCGTTCGTGGGGGAGAGGCAGACAGGCTGCCCTCAAGCTGGGGGGTCTTCCCCTCGGGAGGAGGGTCAGGAGGGGGTTTCGAGGGGCTGAGCAGCCCTACGACTGATGAGACACCGACGCAGCGAGTCAAAAAATCAAAGCAAAAGCCTGCGTCATTTGCTTCTGCTAACGACCGTTCGGCAACGTCCGGCAGCGCAAAGGCAAACGTCAACAAGGGGACCGACGCTGTCCGCGCTCCTCGTCCTGGCGAGATGAATAGTCAAAAAAACAGCAGCAATACTTTCGGAGTGGGAGCCTATTTCGAAAGCATGTTTCCATTTACTTCGAGTGTCGTTTCATCAGTTCTCAGAGGAGAGAACGAGAAGTTACCTGTATATGTATTCCCGCAAGAACGTGTCCAGGAGATAAGCATAGAGCAGAGAGCAATGCGGCTCGAGATGGCAGAGGAGGGCCGAGAACCAGGACACAGTGCGTCATCTCTCCTTCTGGAAAATATGCCAACTTCAGAAGATCTCTTCGCCTTTGCTGCTTCGACTGCTAATGCAGCGCTCGATGCCACACATTACGTGGGGGCAGGCGTCGAAGCGGTCACGGATGACGCACAGACCAGCGGCTTCTCAGTGCTGCTCGACGTTGGCGAATCGATCGGCAGCTGGCTGGTTTCAAACCCTGGCACTGTGCCGGCCAGTGAATTTGTCGGTGTGTCTGCCTTTGCACGCGCGGACGACCTGAACCTGATCTCAAATGGAGCGCGGTCGCGCAACGTTAACGCAAATGATGCCCTGTTTGCAACACAAAGCCAGACGAGCCTTCACGGTCGAACTACAACCGACCCAGAAAAAGCAGACCGTTCGCCCAGCAGCTCCAAGATTCAAGTTGATGACGTGAGGAGTCCGACCCCGAAGCCAAGCCTGCCTATGGACAGAGCCTCAAAAAATGTAGACAGGGATGAGACGATTTACGAGACGCTGGAGCCGGAACTCGAATTGGCCTTAGCGCGTGGCCGCAGCGATGACAGGAGCCGCTTACATGCGGTAAGAAATGCCAACATCAAACTGAGCCCTCAGCATGGACAACCTTCGTCTCCCTCATTGATTTTTCGCATTTGGAATTCTTTTCGGCAGGCTGGTAGGATCAGTTACCGGACCACGGGGCTCAAAATTCGTGACCTGCCGAATTGGCCGCGCAGTCCCCACTACGAAAGCACACTTGCTAGCATGCTCGAACGCTTGAGTGAGCAGCTGATTTCGGCAAGCGGAATATCAGTCCCGAAGCCGAGACCCCTTGCTGAGCCAAAAATCCTTGCGAAAATTTTTGGGACACTCTCTCCTGAACTAGGAGGTGCAGCTCACGAACTGCAAGCTATGGCGGAGGACCTGTTCACCCTGACAGCACACGCCGTCCACTCCATTACGTATATGGTCGTGTGGTTTTTCATTTTGTATCCTGCAATCAACTCGGCAGCGATTCCTGTACAGGGGTTCACAGCGGCAATATCCTTGCTGAATAGCGTGCTACTTTTTGGCTTATTTCCAGAAGAAAGGTACTTTTATAGATTATTATAATATATTTATGATAACTTCATTGACATTGATCCTACTTCAGGTTCAGCACAGACGTAAGTTCCTCGGGAATACATACACTTTCTTCTTCATGATGAGTCTACATGACAAGAAGAACAAGGACTCAGGTTCGATAGATCAAGGTAAAAAAAGTACACGATGAGGTTTCAACATGTTTTTCTAAAAATTCTTTTTCTCAACCATTCACAAAAAATCAGGCTACTTGTGGTTTATGAGCTCCTATATATAACTCATACTTTTACTCAACCATTTACAGGCTCACACCACTCTGGGGGTTTCTGTGCGTGGTCTGCACGTTTGCTGCTTGCGGGGTATACGCTTTTCTCTTCGTTATTTCCGCGCGACAGGTCGGCGGACAGGCTGTGGGAGCAGCGCGCGAGTGGATAACGCACGATTATGCGAAAGATATTCGCGCTGCTGGGAGACGTATTCCTCGTTGTTCTGAGGATGCGAGTGAGCTTCTGAATCGCTTTAACAACTACAACACCAGGAGCAGTAGTTCTTCTAGGAGTCGAGTTTCGGAGGCTGAGGAGAGTAGACGTGGCGTTGAAGAAGAAGATAATGATGTTTACGCACGTAGAAGCTTTGTCCGAAGAGCAATCGGTATTCTTGAAGAAACGATTGCGGCACTGCTCAGGACGAGTGTGGCCGCGTATGGTGCTGCAGCAAGGCCAAACACCACTAACGAACAGAAGGCCGCGAGAGCGTCCGTCAAGGCGAGAGAGCCACGACTCGTGAATCGAAATTCCACCTCCGGTGAGTTCTCTTCATCTTCGAAAGCTCGAGAAGGAGAGCATAACTACAGAGCACTCAGAGTAGCGCGAAAACGACCACGAAGCGCCCGCGAAGGTGAGCGGCTAAGTCACGCACAGATTCTGCGGAGTCCGGGTGACAGAGCTACTACGGTGCAGGATGAGAGTATATCATCATTTCTTGTCCAAAGTGGGTTTGAAGACGCGAACGAGCAAGAGAATAGCACGTCTAGAGCAATTTATGCGGACACAGGCGAACCAATTGCTTCCGGCGAAGACGAGCAGACAGGCAAAGTGAGCGTTATGGTCGTCGAAAGCGATGCTGTCAGGCCTTCGAGAGGTAACAATTTGCATATAGTCGTCGGTGATAGATAGAGATAACTAAGAAGTGCCTAACATCAAAAGTTCCCTGCGTTGTTCGCCTGCATCTTGGTATTCATATTGCCATCATTAGTTACAGAAAAAACGCAAATAGTGCACTCACGGAAGCGAATACCATACTCATCCATTAAGATCAGCATGAATCACCCACGCTTCATTCCGCGAAGACTATATATCAGTTTTAGATTGATCGACTTAACGCTTCACTGATTATTACAACCTCAAAATATTTACACATCATGCTGGTCCTCCAATTTCTTTCAGGCGAAAGTGGGATTTTTCTGGAGCCAGAACCATTACCGCAAAGTGATACAGAAGTGATGCTTTTGCAGAGGTACAGCTACAGATCAAAGAAATGAATTTGAAATAATCGAGTTTCTGATACCCCATGAACGACGAGACCCATGACTGTACACTGTTGAGTTCTTTGAAGAACAGCAAGAATTGCAGCAAGCTATCACGACATCACTCTCATGATCATGATCGTCTTTGCAACAAATGATAAAATCTACATCAGGTCTCGTTCTGCTAAACAGGGACGCGAAATGGAGCCGGAAAACAACCGGGACGAGGAATTTTTGAACAACGACGAAGAAGAGGAAGAGGTTCCGTCAGACGATGAGGAATATCCGCGTGCCGATGGTGCCGAACTGTCGGAGTTTAGCGATATTTCATCGATCTCAGGATCAGAAGAGAGCGCCACGAATTGTGAGTCATCCGGGGCTGAAGCACCTTCGCGGAGAAAGCGAAGAAACAAAAACCGTGACATTCTCGGAAACAAGAACCTCGGAAGAGGTGCGAACACCGATCCTCAGACCGCAGCGCCTTTTGCTTTTGAAGACCAACTTAGCATTTTCCAGGCGACAACGGTCGATCAACGGTTCAGCCAAGGACGAAGCAGCGGTTCGGACAATGCCGGAGTACCTTTTCCCGGCGGGCTCTTTGGCGCATGTTGTTCCTCGGTAGAGCCTCAGCATGAACTTGATTTCGAGAACTTCAAGGTCATCGAATACGTGTCCCCTCATGACCATTACGACGATGAAGCGGAAGAGGTGGCAACTCCATTGCGCATAGAGCAAACGCAATATCACATTATCGCAAGAAGCCCTGTCAATGCTGACAGCGGGGAAGCTAAACGAGAAGAACTGGATTGATGACTTTTCAGATCTACATAATCAGGATTTTCACAATTTACATTTAGTATTTGTTTTACCAGATCACCTTCTTTACCATGTGACCAAGACCATACATTTTCGACTGCAATTAATCTGCTGCGATTTTTATGTACAGAACGTTGCTATGGTACTCCGTTCGGGACATACTCTAGTATGCATAGAACATCACAATCATGTACAGACACGGCAGTCATTAATAAGTTTGCAACAGCTTCATGATCCGGAAACCATCATTTGGACGACAGGGTGATATGAACTTAGTCCTTGGCATTGCAATGATCTTGAAGAGATATTCGTCTGGATGAATGGCTGGTAGAGGAACCAGGTTAGCCAGGTCGTTGCTCTGACGTGCCGACTGGGCCCAACGTATGCCATTTTTCATTGTTCGATTCTGCGTCCACAATCGAAATCGATGGCGCTCTCCGATAGAGGGGATGCTCGAAGATCGACACGACATCGTGATGCGTATTTTTGGACAAGAATAGGCACGACCTCAACCTAGTAAGAAGCTTTCTCGTACTATTTTGAAATTGAATCATGATCATGAATGGGTCTGTCGTCACTGCAACATCCTCTGCCACTGACACGTACAAGCAGAGACCAAGTACTCGTAGATTAACGCCTCGCCTCGTGTCGGTGATGTCGAGACTATGTCGTGTTTGATGCCTACACTAGCTTCTACGTAAATGCAGCAGTTCTCGTTACAACGTCTCACTCATTTAAGCTCAATTATTCATCCCTCTCCATGAGAAGGGGGAGGGGCGCACCGGTGCATCAAAAAGTATGCATCATTCTTGCATTTCTTGATGATGTATCCTCGCCTTCGCATTGCCTTCGACGACAAGATGAATGACATTTTGAACATGTATGGACCGGAAAAACTGGGCCCCCTGTGTTATAATGGACCCGATGTCTTTCCCCCTTGAATCGGCCCGGGGCTGCAAAAATCCCGGACACTTATTCTCCGGCGGGGTCCCTCATTGTTCTGATTTGGTCCCTGGGAATACTGGGGCCAACATGGTCCCGGGAAGGACTGGGGCCGCGGTATCAGAAGGGGCCCGGAAAATAGGGGGGCCCTTCTTGTAGGCTGCTCCCTCCACTCCACTGCCAGCGCAGCGCCCCGGTGGCCTGTGTTATGCGCGCCCGGACCCGGTGTGGAGTCGCGGGCGCTTGGCCGCGCAGTGTCCTGGCAGGGTTGCCACCAAGCTGCGGCCGGTCCCTCAGGCTAGGCGCATCCTGCTGCGCCTTGCGTCCCTGACTCCTGCTCTGGCCGCAATAGCTTGCACCCGCCAGAGGTAGGCTCGCGGGCAACTGCCAGGCCGCAGGAGCTTTGCGGCGCGCTTCGTCCTTTCTTTTTTGTGGCACACTTGGCCCCGGTGTTGTGTTTCTTTTTCGCTCCGCGGGCCGCTTTCGTTTTGAAGTGCGTCAGCCTCTTGTGGCGGGCTTCGAAAGCCCTTGGGCGTTGCGTAGTTGAAGCTTGTTCCTCGGGGATGGTGTGCGGCGGCTTTGTGTGTGTCGCGTGTGTGGCACCCTGGAGCTATGCGCGCTGTCGCCAACGTTGTTCGTCCCCGTCGGTTCTCGTCTGTTCCCGCTTGGAGGTCTTGGGATTGGTTTCGGGTGTCGTGTCGTGTGGGGTTGTCATTGCTCAGTCACCGAGGGCGCCCGCGGGTCGCTTGGCGTGGTTCTTTGTGTTTCTTTCCTTCTTTCTCTCGTTGGTTGTTGGCTGTTCGTTGATGCGTTCGCTTTTGCGCTGTCTTCTGGGCTTTCCCGTCTTCTCTGGGGCGGCCTCAGGTTCTACCTTTTCTTGTGATTCTTCGGCTTTTTTGGCTCTTGTTTTCGTACCTTTTTTGTCGGAGTCTCTACCTTTTTTGTCGGGTTCCTTACATACCCTTTCTCTCACTCTCTGGATCATCTGGTGTCGGTATTCTCCCAGTTCTGGCCCATGTATGAAAGATTCAAGATTGTTGAAATTCAAACAATTCCAGAAACGCGTGCAATATGACTTTGACCTAGAAATGACATATTCGGACAATTACGTTGAAATACCTAGCTGAACCTGAAGTTGAAAATACAATTTCGAGGCGAGGTTTAAAATCTTTTGTACATGCATTTTTGGTACTAGTCGTGACAGAATTGGCATCATATTTACGTCGCGGAGCAAGTAGAAGTACGTAAAAGATGAAGCAAAAGTGAATGGTTCTGGTATTTGGTAGCCTGATTGGGATCATAAGGAGAAGGAAAACAAGAGGAGAATCCTTGTGATCAAATTCAGGTTACCAAATACCAGAACCATACAAAAACAAAAAGTAGCAAATGCATAGTTACTTTTTCTGGGCCAACCATGCATCCGTACGATTATGCTAATCTTTATTTCCACAAGCTAGCGACAAAGATTTGTTCATAGCCCTATCATTGCAACAGCAACAACAACATGCACATCCGCATGGCATCTCTTCCGCAAGGTTCGCCGGCGCAACAACATTCTCCTTTATTCGAGCTTTTCGTTGGTGACTCGTCTGATGAACCTGACGATGGCGAAGTTCCGTCATTGAAACCAAGGATGAAGGACACGAATGTTGGTGCGAGCAAGGAACAGGAGCCTGTTGTTGGCGGGGACAAGCACGATGTGGACGCCACGAGCGCACGACTCGCGGCAAACCAGGCGGCCACCTCTAATCCAAGACTTGAAAGCGCGGAGAGTTGCATCGATGGCTTGAAAGCTTCGCGGGCGGGGAAAAATCATGAAGCTGACGAGAAATCACAGCGTCGTCGACCCGAACCGTCGCAGCGACAGCAGTACGGCAATGCTACGTTCTCACGACCGCGGCGTCCCAGTGATGGTCAAGGTAGTGGGCAGTGCATTGTGGAGCTGCCACGATCACATGCAGTCCGTAATTGTGATAACGGGGGGTTGGATATATTTCGGCACTCTCCCGCTGGAGCCGATGAGGCGAAAAGTCCACCTCGTGTGCTTCTTAGGGTGGACAGAAATGACCTGGCAAGCGAGCTTCAGTCTCATTATGTCACAACATGATCATACTGACGTTTCGACTGGTTTGTCAAGAAGAATCAGACAATGCGAATATTTTCGATAGATACAAGTAGTACTAGAGATGGATCATGGAGGTGTCTTCAAATTCAGGCTGGATTGTACGTAGGAGTTCGACTAGAAGATCTAAAACAACTCTAATCCTTTTACCCAGCGGGATCGCAAGAAAGCCACGTTTTGTCCTCAGAGACGGGACCTCACACCACAAATACGAAGCGGCATGCTCCTTCCGAAGCCCGCAATTCGAAGCGCCAGCCCACAGCCACACTTTCGTCTCCCGTTACAAAGCGCTTCCGAAGTAACCAGGACGAGACGCCTCTAAATGTGCATGAGAACGCTGAACAGAATGTGCTGTCCCACAGTAAAGGAGCAAATAATGTTGGGTGGAATGTTGAGGGTGAGAAAACTCCAGTGGCTACGCCGCAGAGGCTCAAACGGAACAGACTAGGTTCAGCGGCCCAGTCTCCCGAAGCCTCGCAGAAGCCCACGAAGGTTCAAATCCTTGCTGATCTAGAGCGACCAACGACGGCTCCACTTCAGCCACAGCTGGAAGCTGGCTCGTCCAAGACGGCAATTATCGCATGCGACGACTGTGCAGAAGCATCAACTGTCATATTTCCTTCGATTCGCGACCAACTTCTCCAGCATATGAAGCGTCGGTGTCCTGTTGAAGGATACACGGAGAGCATGCTGGTGGTCGAGACGCGTGATCATGATTGCCTGCAAGGATTCAAGATATCTGACTACTTAGAGAATCTGCTGCGAGACCAGAAATCTCTCGTCTTATCCCAAATCCCAGCAACTGAGGACGATGCAGAAGGCGGAATCGTGCGACGCTACTTAAGATATGTTGGACGGGTCGCCGAAGCAAAGCTCCGCATGCGACGGGAGGCCAAGACAGGCGTTGTCTCAGCAACAGCAAGGATGACGCAACAGCTAAATATTTGGAAACAGTCTAGGCCTTCGTCTCAAGTTCTCTTCTACCGGCTCAGCCCGAAAATCGTAGAACAAGATGCTATTCCACTGGTCTGGTCGGACCCGAGTTGGACACGCGCGTCTCACAGGTTAAGGCACCACTTAGTGATAAGGGTAAGTAGCAGACGCTTATTGTATTTTTTGAACGACCATTTTACTCTCAGTAACAAACTCGGAGGAGTTTTGTTTTTCTCTACTACAACTCATCTCATTTTATCTAAACTACCTGCTTCTCCTTTCCTGCATCTCTCGTCAGTTTTCTCAGGCACTTATCTCACGCTCACCACGTTACTTTTGGAAAAATACATGTTTAGCTTCTATCTTACTTCTGGATCTGGTTGTCCTGCTTCTTCTAAGTAAGGGTGGTCTGTGGCAGCGGAATCTGGAAGACTTCCAGAAAGCTCACGAAGCATCAATGAGTAGAGGAGAGAGCCAATTTGCGTACCAGTGGCGCCTTCGGGTCCTGCGCATTCGTCTTGGTACCGGCTCAGGCTTTAAGCTAGACTTGGTTCCGGATCGGCACAGCGTTGACGCGGACGATATCATCATTGAGAAAAACAAAGAGAGTGGCCATGATGTTGTGCGTATCAAAAATCGTTCCACTCTGCCAGTCTTTGAGATTGAGTTTTCCGCTGAGGCAACGAATGTCTGCTCAGAGCAGATTCGACGTGACTGGGACTACTGGGATTTGGTATATGTGCCTCACCAAGCAGTCGAGAAATTCGAGCTGAGCCGGGGCTCGCCTGGGGTTTGTCGGTTCTCTGCGTCGGTCGATTTCCTCCGTCACGTGGAGCGCTTTGCACGCGACAGCAAAGAGTCCCGCACCTGCATGGAGCAAGACCACTACTGGGACCCGGCTTACCGAATGCGCTTGTCCACCAACCAGATTCAGATCGATCAAGATACAGCGGACCTGGCGCGAAAGTCCCCAGCAATCGACGCAGACATTTTTGTAGTGGATCGTCTTCAACAAGAACGCGGACAATCAAGTGTACCAGAGGAGCTTCGCCGGGGTGATTGGAAGCCTGGCGTCATTCCGTTTTTTACGAATCCGCAAGAACAAGCAAAGAAGGCGAGACTGCTGCGGGAGGAGTTGGAGCGCGCCCGCAAAAAAAAGGAGGAGTTTTCCTCCTTACAAGTGCGGGGAATCGTAAAAAATGGGGTGTTCACGCGCAACCCTTTCCGCTTGAATGCGGAAAAGGGCTATGGGGGTTTGCAGTTACGACATGAACATGATTTTATGTTTTTTGGACTCGTTCCTGATCCTGTTCCGCGTAGGTTAGAGATTTTTACTGCATCTTGCGGTGTGTGGCACTGGGAAAGCACTACGTAGGCATGAAATTCTTACTTCTCTAACATCGAGCCGAGCACACGGAGAGCCGCTTGGCGGTAGCTTCGTTGCACTAGTAAAATCCGTCGGGTTTCGAAAACAGTTTTCAAAGTCAGGGAAACCGTGGCAGCAGATTGAGCTCAAGCACGGGCATCACGAATGCGTGCTCATTGTGATTGGGCAAGAGCTGTGCTCTCGTATCGATAGCAACAAGCCAGACTCTCTTCGAGACTCTCTGGTGGTTATAGATGGGGCCAAGGTTTCGCGCGGCAACATGGCGAACGGGTCAGCAGCCACATCCACCAAAGCGCGGTCGTCTGCGAAGAAGAATCCAACCGCTGGTACCACGGGCGTCGCGGTTTCATCTTCTGCTGGATTTGTTCAGCTGAGTCTAGAGACCACTCCTGCTGGAATCGGAGGCTCTTTGGAATTCCTTCTCCCAGATACTATGTACACCAAAGCCAATAAAGTACCAAGCTCCAGGAAACATCAACAAGGAGGAGGCGCTACTCCTCGCCATGGAGGCTCTCACGAGGACGGAACAGTGAAGACTCTTGACGCGCGGGTTCGAGACCTGCGCGCCGCTGGATACCTGATACCACCATTGAATCCACGTCTGGCCCTACATGCTCACTATGGTGCGGAAGCTGAGGGAGCCGACCTGCAGGGACTTGACAACATCCGTGATGCAAACGACTTGGAGATGGCACGCCGCGCAACGCTGAAAGACCACCTTGAGATTGAGCGTCAAGAAGAAGACATCCAAAGATTGAATCCGAACCTCACCCAGCGCCGTTTGGAGTTGTTCGAAGCTGATAGACAGAGGAGCCAAAATTTAAGTTCTAAGTAGTTCAATTATTCTACCCACCAAGTACATCATGAAGATCAGCATCATGTTGTAGTGGAAGTTGGTAAAAAAATAAATTTTGCAGCCTCAGCCTTCAGGCTAGAAACAAATAGTTGTTGTAAGACGTGGCGTGTGTGAGTGAGCACTGCGCAACATTGAGGATCTCGTCTACGAGTTCTAATTTTTGCAGAGGGGCCCACCTTCTCTTCCAACCGTGAAAGAAATACGCGGCGCCATGTTGAGCGTTGGTGTAGAGAATTGCTGCGGATGTTTCCAACACCGGCAGACCATCAAAGACACTTTGAAGGAACCAGAGACGCTGTATCTTGGATTCCTCCTGCCGACACAAGCAAAAATGCAGAGCCTTTTGCTGTAGTTGTCCATCCAGGTACCGAAACAGCGACGAGTACCAGAGATGCCGCATTGACATTCACGGCACGCACAACAGGTCGTCGAGCACAACTATCACGACAGGCCTCGACGGTTTCGGATAATGACCGAAGAAGAATCCTACCACAGAGTCAATTACCTGCTTTAGATATCGGCGATGATGGTGTCATTGACTTGGCGTCGGCTGAGTCGTGTGTTGATTCCGTTGAGTGCAATGGCGATCGAGGTGTGCCGTAGGACTACGAATGCCGCCTTCGCATTCTTGCGAAATGCTATAGGAACATTAGAAGAAAGTTCGATGATGTTCATGCTATTGCTTCCACGTGCGGATAACCACGCACGCAAGCACTCTGTAGAGAAGAATCTACGAAATGGCTTCATAAGCAGCACGCGCTTGTGGTTGATATGAGCATCTATCATAACCTGCCACCCCAACAAGATGATAAACATCTAGTAAGCCGGGCCACGTGAACGCGACAGTTGTAGATGTGAAGACTTGGATTCACACTACGCATTTGGATCATCATCTTCCAGTATCGTCTGCTGAAACCCTTCAGGCGCAGCGCCTGAAGGCTTTCAGCGCGCAGATAAATGCCAACAATATACAGACGACCTCAAACATGACTGAAACGAGGAGCGAATCCTCTTACTATTTTTGAAAGGGACCGCACCCTTCTCATATTTGTTGTTTTGTGCCTCAGATCGTGAGGGCTTGAAGGTTTTAGTTCAGTGTTCAGTTTCAAAGTTGGATGAGAGTAATTCAAAAACTTTAACTTGTTACTTAAGAAATACAATGAATGTAACTACTTGACTTGCGCACCTACAATGTAAGCAACTTTCTCATTCTCTCTATAGTAAAACGACGCAACCTCTTCGATACGAGTACGTGGCACTTGCATTCTTGGTTTAGAAAATGTTGAGTACGTAGAAGTGCATCTCCCATGACTTGGATCTGCTACCATAACCATAGCACAAGCAGCGTATAGATACATTCATGTTGACTGTGACGTTCAAACAATTGTTGCGACGCTCGTCTAGCTGCGGTTCGAATAAGCGTTGCTTTTGCGTTCCCTTGTTGTATCGGTCTAAGGCGATGGAAAGGTGTAGACGAGCAAGTAGTCCATTTCGGTCTTCGTAGTCCCACCCCTATCTCGGTATAAATTCCCTTGCTTTTAATAGCAGTCGGTCACTGAGTCTAGCTTTCGGTTGCGTTCCGGTTCTGCATGCCACTTGCCACTCTCTCAAGAGTGGAACTGAAAACTTTCTCAAGTTGTGCTGTCCTATTGCTGAGGATCGGGATCGCTGCCACACCCTTAAAACCCTTATGCATAAGTATACTAGAACCAGAAAGAACTATACTATAACGACCACGACCTCAAATAAAAAGTACTAGCAGTTCCGAGTAGCGGATACTGTAATGTATGATCACATGATTGACTAGTTGTACAGGAGTTTCGATTTTGAAGCAGCATTTCGTCTCGATTTACCAGCCGAGCAGATGTACGTATTAGATTTTGGTCTTCATCCATGCACACCGATTCAGGGCCAATACCCAGGATAAAGCCTACTTGCATAGTCTTAGTCAAACGAAGGAAGACTATAACAGTAGGGAGAAATCACGGCGCTGAACACGAAGAACACAACAGCACGTTCTCGACCTTCTTCACCACCTCCTTTACAAGGATACCGGTACCACTATACATCACAAGATGTCGTCGTCACCGGGACGAACTCGCGGCCACCATCCGATGATTCCTCCCCCAGGCTACCGCTTCGTACCGAAGCAGCAGCACGTCTGTGGCCAAGCTGGGTGCTTCACTTGCTACGACATATGGTGCGAGCGGTGCGAGTCTAAGGATCGCCGCATTCTGGAACTAGAAATGCGCAACAATGAGCTCGTAAAGCACATCACACTCCTGCAAGCGAAGCTATTTCCTCGCGGAGGTTCGCCAAGCGCAGGCAGTGCGCCATCTGCCCCAACTAAAGGGTGAATACCAATAGCGAGATCACCTTGTGAGGAGAGTGGAGAGGGAGGTAATATTAAGGGAATCGAAATTGCTTAAGCTTAACTATAACTTGCATTGGATTTGGAATTGGATAGAAGGAGTTTGAGTTCTTCCGGATTTTCCATCTTCGTGTCTCTTTTCAGTCTCGACATATTTCTCTACCGACTCATATTTCTACATGTCCAGGTGCAGATAAAAATCCGTAGAAGTTGCAATCGAAGGTTGGGCTATGCGTCGCAGTCGGGTGTGAAGGCGAAGCAGAAGGCGGAATTGAAATTGATTCTCAGGAAGAGCTGTAAACCAAGTAAGTAAGTAATCAAAGTGTACAAAGTTTGAAACGGGTTGAAATAATGTAGTAGAAATTTGTATTTGCAGCTTCTCAAATTCATGATCATAGTGGTTGTAAGTTAGAATTAAATAAGTGCTGCAAGCATTAGATGTTGTACAAAAAAAACGCAGTTCGTTTGGATTTCATGATGATAATTTGCAATAACTTGAATTCTCGTGATGTTGCTTGTATGAAGATGATGTGAAGAAATCAGTACTACTTCTTACGTGATTCTAGGGGAGTAACAAGCACAGACGCAAAGGTGCAGCACACTGGTCGTGTTGGCTTCGAGTCATCATAAGTACATTTTCAAGAAAGAGGAAAAAATCAGTGAGGCAGAAGTTACTGTTTCGCATATTGCATTTAGTTGCTGCACCAGAACTAGGAAAGAATCTTTGATGAGCATCATACATAGATGTTTTTTTGTATCTTTTCGCATCTTAGAACTCAGATTATATGTAGTAGGAACTACATGGGATGAGTTGTAGCACTAGTAGTGCTGGATTCGTGAAGACTGAATCTGAAATAGGAAGTGTGGCATTTTTATTCTTGGACGCATATGTTTGACTCCCTCTCGCACACGAGTATTGTTATTAATTTGTCAACCATTGATTACTACACTGAGATAAAAACAAACTCCAAGAAAGCAGGACGAGGTGGATAAAAAACACTCTTCGCCACAGAGACAGACATGTGATGACGCGGTTGCTTGCGTGCAGTGGCGCCTTGGAAATTGAAAGCTGAGGAACTGAAACTGTTCAAAACATCACTCATTCTTTATTCTCTTTCGGATTTACAGTGCCATGTTCTCAATTGTTTAGGCTTTTGCGTTCCCGGTTGTTCTCCGCTTGATGGATTATCTGTCTATCCATTTGTGCCTTGAAAAGAAAATATATAAATCAAGTGGTGGAAATAAGCCCTCAACAGGTATAGCGAATTCTCAAAGGAGAAGTGCATTCCTCGATCATATTGTAAGCGAAATTTGTCAGTTTAGTGGACACGATCTTCTATTATATCGGAGTTTTTACGGTTTACGAAAATCAGTAAGTACTATGTAAGAGAGAGGGTACCTACGCCGCATAATTTCCATAAGAAGATTCTTCTAAATCCAATGTAAGTAAGTACTTCTAGCTTTAGAAGTACCACTACAAGAACGGATATAATAGCTAAGAAAATGGCTGCATTCGGTGATCCCATCCAGGATGGTGATGAAGGCAATGACGACGATTTATGTGGCATCTGTCACGAAGTTTTGCTTGCCGCCGGCAATCCCAAGATCTTCCCGTTGAGGGTCTGCGGGAACTGTGGGGGAGGCGCGTGTCACAACGATTGTGCTAGATCATGGGAGCAGACCTGTCATCAGCAGCACAAATATCCAACTTAAGCCATGAAAAAACCAGCGGACGATGTTGCATCTTCTTGCACCCGAACAATATCAATGTCACGATCCATCTACTCCTAGACCTACACACTGCGCGTCGCTCGGAAAAATCAGCAAGGAAATTTGTCCCGCTTTTTCTTCGCCGTTTCTTTGTTGTTGAACTTCCATTCATAGCTGAGGTTCTGGTATTCTGAGCTTGTTCAATGTTGCTCGTGCTCCTTGTATTGCTTGTAGTATCAAAATAAACGGGAGAAAGACCTAGATCTAATCACCCTGCGTCCAATGCCGCCACGAGTATCCCACCGACAGCAAGTACCTGGTCTCCATGCATCTCTTGCCGGTTGAAGCCACTGAATCTCCGGAAAGCGCATCGAACGCGCTGCTTGAAGAAGGTTCTTAATAATTTCTACTACAGCCAGTTCGCCCGGGCTGATGTGTCTATTGTTGAGCGTTCACTGACAAGTAAGTCAACTGTTCTTGGAGCCCTGTCCTCTAGATTAGAGTGGTCAACTCATGCCTATAATTTTGCGGTACTGTTGTAGTCCTCACGCTTACTTACCCGTTATTAGGTTTAATCTACAACTTTCTCTAATTCTAATTCTAAATGATCAAAGAAAATGCTTAAAACCATCATTACTAGACCAAGATCTCAGTGACGATTCTGAAGATGTGGTTATCGAGAAGGACGAGCTGTACAGGCAAGAACGTGATACTGCTGCAGAGGTGGAAGCGATAAAGGCCGTGCTGGAAAAACAGACAGAGGCGCGTGTACGCTTTACATCCAGTTAAATAATTCATCGTGAAAATGAAGACCACGACAGCTCGTGAGTAACGTCTAGAAAGAAAGTGTGGTGGAAATCGCCGCAGGCATGACGTAGATGTTGTTTGAACGTGGTTTTTTACGTTGTTTTTCAGTACTACGTGCATTGGCCCTATCAGTAAAATGCTGATTATTCTTATTGCAGCAGAATGCTGGTTATTGCAGCAGAATGCTGATTATTGCCACAGAGTGCTGATTATTGCAACAGAAGTTTCACCACTCTCAATTCTCATCATATCAGAATGTGGCGAGAAATGGCACGCGGGAGCGCATAGAGGCGAATGCTGAGGAAGAAAAAAAGAAAAAACGACTGAAGAAAGAGCACGACAGATGTTTGTCGGCACTGCACAAAATAGATTCACGCACCCTCGAAGACCTCAGACGGGAGAGCGGCTTGTCGCACGACCGTTTTGCGATTATGGCTACCGACTCGATAGAAGTCGTTCGTTTGTACATTTCCTTTTGAAGCATTAGTTTTAGGACGAGTTGTTTGTGCAGCTCACTAGGATTATGTTGTTGATAAATGAGCAGTGGAGTAAGAGTTACTTACAACTTTGATGTTTGCCAAGAGAACATAGCAAGCACGTGAATCAATGGCATAGATGAATAGATATTAGATTGCCCTTCTTGACTTCTAGTACTAGATCTAATTGGAAGGTGCAGAAAATACGGAATCGCTACAACGAATATATGGCTGAGAAAGATCCACAGAAGAAATCGGAACTAGAAGCTGCCTTGTTTTTGGTGAAGGGTGAGGACAAACGCGTGCTCCCCCAGTCACGACAAAACTGGACTGATAGGGAGATCGAATACGTGAAGCGGGTCTACTTCAAGGAAATGTTCGAAGCTTCAGCAAAAATACAGCGTGATGCGATTCAGAAAATTAAGCCCAGCAGAGTGATTCTGATTTTTCTCACAGTACGACTTTCAATCACAAATTCTTGATAGAAGCAAATTGAAATTTTGATTATGCCGCCGACGCGCTCCCGGCGTGTACACACGCCGGGCGGGCAGGGCGGAAGGGTCCTACAAATTCTACAAACTACATTAGAGACGTACGGCCTACCGGCGTAATACGAAGGGCGCGGAGATAAACGGGATACGATTTAAGTGAAGCAGTTACGTGCTAAACGCATCTACGTACTACATATACACTGGCGGCAGCACCTTAGGAGGCTACGCGTAGCGAGCTACGCTTAGAAAGCAGGCCACGCTTAGCAGGCAGCCTATGCTTAGCGCATCCACATGCCTAGCGCGCGCGATGCTTAGCAAGCAAGCGACGCCGATGCTTAGCAAGCAGGCAACTCTTAGCAACAGCAGGCAAGCTATGCTTAGCAAGCAAGCCATGCCTAGCAAGCAAGCGAGCCCGGCCTACCAAGCAGGCCCGGCTTAGCAGACCGGCTCTGCTTAGCAGGCAAGTTATGCCTGGCGAGAAAGCTTGCTGTGTATGCTTGGCGCGCCGCAGGCTATGCTGAGCATGCAAGCAAGCTACGCGATGAAAGCAAGCGATGCCGAGCAAGCAAGCTTCTCTGAGGCTGAGCATGCAAGGTAAAGCTATGCATAGCAAGCCAGTGATGCTCAGCAGGTGGGCTAGCATGCCCAGCAAGCGCGCTACGCACAGCGGGCCAGCGACGCTTAGCAGGCACGCTACGCCCAGCCCAGCAAACCAGCTACCGCTACGCTCAGCAAGCCAGCCACGCTCAGCAAGCCAGCCACGCTCAGCAAGCCAGCCACGCTCAGCAAGCCAGCCACGCTCAGCAAGCCAGCCACGCCCAGCAAGCTGACTACGCTCAGCAAGCCGGCTACGCTCAGCAAGCCGGCCACGCTCAGCAAGCCGGCCACGCTCAGCAGGCCAGCTGCGCTCAGCAAGCCAGCTCCTTTCAGCGAGCCAGCTACGCCCAGCAAGCTAGCTAGTTCGCTCAGAAAGCCATCTACGCTCAGAAAGCCAGCTACGCTCAGAAAGCCAGCTACGCTCAGAAAGCCAGCGAGCTACCCTATGCTCAGCTAGTCAGCTACGCTCACCAAGCCAGCTACGGCCACCAAGCAGGCTACGCCTAGCCAGCTATGCTTAGAAAGCAGGCTACACTTGGCCAGCAAGCTACGCCCAGCAGGCAGGCTATGAATGCCGAGCAAGCCAGCTACACCGAAGTAGCGCGTCTGCATTGATAACGAAACTGATGAAGCACATAAATAGTTTAGGGCTTTTAGGTACTGACGCGATATTACTTATCAGAAGCAGGACCATGGAAAAGATGCGCGCAAAATCGCGGCACTTTTACGGCGTGAGGTGTATACATGTAGGCACACCTCAAGAGTACACCTGTCCCATGATTTACGTACAAGATATATTTCGTGCGATATAGATCGCAGCCGTATGCGTCTAGCCCCTACACCTTTGCTGCGATTTCTGCACATCTAAAACCGCAGGGCTATTGCTATTTAAGCCCCAAACTCGTTATAGTTATAGTATGTCATATGTTCCAGGGCTGAGGCTTCTTGAAGGCCCCCCGATCAAAAGTTTTGCGGGGGGGCCTCCAGCTCCGGGCCCTTTTTCTCGTGGGACTGCTTTGCGGGAAGGCCTCCAGGCGCCCGCCTTCGCGCCTTCGCGGCTGCTTGCGTGTACCCTACAGGCGCCAAGCCCCTGAGGACGTTCAAGCGCCGACGGCCGGGGATGGAAGGCTTCTGAAGGCGGCAAAGGTGGCAAGCGCAAGGCCTGGCTCTCTCTTGCCGTGTTGCATGTACCCCGGGCCAGACCTCCCGTGTGCGGGCTCCTCAGTCACTGGAGGAGTTTCTTGGGGGGTGGAAGGCCTCCGAGGGCAGCAGGTGGCAAGTCTTGACCCCTTTCGCCGTGCTGTGTGTTTGTATCCGACAGAACCCAGGCGGGCACGCCTTGCCCCCCCTCCTCCTCGCCTGCGGGTCTTCAACCCCCCAGGCGTTTGGTGGCAGGCGGCTCGCTGACGCCGCCACCAATCGGGGGGATGAGGGCCAAAGGGGCCAGGCTTCGCGACCGTGGCCGCCTTCGGCGGCCTTCTGCCCCTGGAGGCTGTCCCCCTAATAGGGTCCAGGAGTCGGGGGCCCCACCCCTCTGGGGTACATGTGGAGAACTGCCAGGGGACTGCGGCCCGCTTTTCGAGGCTTTCGCCTCCGGGAATCCTTACATGCTTACATGTCACCACCGCGGAAAAAATAAAGGGCGCGCCGACGCCCCCCCGCTCCGTCCACAGACAGGGGGGGCTCCCTCCGTGGTATATCAGAGTAGTTTATAGCACGCATGGTGCATGGAGCGCAGAGCTTTAAGGGGCGCAAGACGCTCCCTCTTTAGCTCCATGCTACTCCATGTGATCCATGCACTCCATGCCATGCGAGCTGTGGAACCTTATAAATTGCTCGGGTATATACTTATATCAGAGTAGTTTATAGCACGCATGGCGCATGGAGTTCATGGGGCGCAGAGCTTTAAGGGGCGCAAGAAACTTCCCCAGTAGCTCCATGCTACTCCATGTGATCCATGTACTCCATGCCATGCGAGCTGTGAAACCATACAAATTGCTCTGTGTATTAATTTATAAGAACATGACGAAAGCCAAAGAGCAAACCGCTATTCCTACAGATGTAACGTTCAACTTCTTCTAATGCCTGAAAGCGACGCGACTTCTTTAAGGAAAACGCGAAGAAAGAAAGAGAGGAGAGTGCGAAGGAGAAAAAAAGAATAGCCGAAGCCAATGCGGCATTTCAACAGGGACGAGACGAGGTGAATAAGCTCAAGTACGAGCTACAGCAGTTACGCCTTCAACTTCAAGTTGCCGAAGCAAACGAGGACGAAAAATCCGGCCACCAAGGAGAAGGAATTTCGTGGAGCAGCGTGCAGGAAGAGGCCGCGGAGCGACTGGTTGCAGTACCTATAGATCAGCTGGGGGTCATACCCGCATCGCAGTCTTCGCCACGCCGCAGAAGCTCCTCCCAGACACTACACCAGGTGACATGGGACTCTGGAGCTGGACGGGGAGCCGGAGGGTTTGCCCAGAGAATAACGCTAAATTTTGGTGGTGGTCTCAAGAAAGAAAATCAAATGAGCAGCTCATCTACTTGTAAAAGTAGAAATAATGATCTTCTGAACAAAACAAGGGTCCTCGGGGGAGCAGCGACTGGAGCAAGTTCTTCTACTTCCCATCTTCAGCTTGCACACAAAGTATCGTCGTCATTTACGAGCTCCAAACTGAAAGACACCAGATCCGCAGTTGCCGCAGGTTCTCCTGCTGCAACAACAACAGCACAGAAGACATTTAACTCCGCGACTTCAATTTCAGCAGCAGCCGGCTCATCTGGTGCAAATCTCGGTGTGCCCGTGAGCAAGGCTCTCATCTCTTCCGCGGTGGTTGGGCTAAATCCAACTTCGACGATGAAAAGTGTTGAGAGAATACAGAACGCGGAACTACAAGAGAAAGGGAGCGCAGCAACCCGGGTAGCAGGTGGAGTACAACTAGGTAAACAAAAAGGTGCGGGAGCGAAGCCGGGAGGAAAGGGTAGGCGAAAGCGAGCCGAGAAGGAGTCAGACAGTGACGAGGACAAACGCCAGGCCCAGAGGCGAAGGCTCGATCTCGGTAATAATAGTGCAGCAGCGCTCGAAAAAAACCGCTCCGAATTCGCGGGACGCAGAGCACCCCGTAACGAGCCAACCTACGCTAGGACGCAGTACAACTGAAAAGTATAAGATGAAAAGCGGGTCAGTCTGCTCCTTGTTCCCAATCCTTGATCAGATGAATGATGATGCTCGAACAATATTGTCCTCTCTGCGTATCTCTCTAATTGTCGTGATTTCCGGCTGTGGTAGTAGTTTTGATTCCTCCACGGCCCACTTCGATATGTCGCCCCCGTCTTGCATCAGTTTAAGTAGGATGGACCGTCATGATCCCCATTGCCATTCCTGGCGCATATATCCGCCAGAATATGAAACATCCACGACCATGTGAATTTTCATCCGACAACTTTTGATGCGTCACGCAATGTCATAATTTGCGCTCATCACAGTATCCCAAATGAAAAACAAAAATATCGTTGGAGGTTTTCTTCCACTATTTTTTGGTTCGTATTTCATCTACGAAAATCAAACAAAATTCTGTGTTCTGCGTCTCCGTCTCAAAATGTTTGCATCAAGAATTGCTTTGGTGGTCGGCTGCGGGTCCGGGTTGTAGAAAAAAATATTCTAAGAATGATGTCAGGGAAGGAAATCGAAGATCTCGTTCATCGTGGTTCTGCTTCATCTCGTTGGAAAAAATTCAAAATATAATATCTTAGTTTTGATGCAAATAGCACAACTTCTACCATGGAAATTCCAATTATCAATCTTAATCTATTGTAGAGTTGTAAAGTTAAAGTCGAAGATAATAAAGTGGAAGATCATGATCATGCTGATAATGATGTTGACAATTGACGAAGTCGAAGACCGACATAACGGAGAATATGATGAATGAAATTACGACATATTAAGTACAAAATGCACGGTCTTTAGAAAAGCATCGCGGAGGCGAATCAAAACAAAGCAGGTCTGAAAGTTCAACGCGCACAAATGTGCTGTAATTAAGACGTATAATACAACTCCAACAACTCCCACGCAACCAAATGTTGTATTTGCGTTGAAGATCACGACCTTACTGTCTGTCTACTGTAGAAGTAGAAGATTACAGGATGACAAACCAGTTTTGGTCTTCATCATGCTCTCAGTGTTGACTATAGAAACCCATCATATACCCGACTCTTAAACTCAGCCTTTGGGCTTTGCAGTGACGTGACACTTTTCTCAGTGCAATATGTATGCAAGCTGGTGGAAAGAACTTGTTCGTCTGTCGATTTGCTTCTCTATTGCGTGACTGCTTGTCATACCCCTCGGTGTGGCTCATTGATTCTTGCAAGGTAGTAGCCAAGAAGAACTTTGATCGTGGTGAGCGGATATTTCCTAGAAATTTTGGGTTTTCATCCTCGGGTATGTTGTAGTTGGGGCGACTGAGTTCTTCTTTTTCCTCGATATTCTTCTTCTGACTGTTAAATTTACTCCCAAGTCGTTAGATACTAGGGTATAATATACGCCCTAGTTGCTGTGCTTGTTGGGATACGCACTTCGCTCTTTGTTCTCGTTGTGGACCTTCAATACCATCTAAGTCTATTTTGAAAGGTTTTTTCACAACATGGCTCACTAAGTTTCACCGGGAGGGAAAAAAGGTTCATTTGCTTATGAATTTTTCCTCTTCTTTATGATGAAGAAGATCACTCCTCGGGTGCGCGTGCGGGGGCTTAATTTCTGACTATTTTGGTACATCATTTTCCTGGTTTCATGTTCCATAACCAACATAATTGTTGTTGCCTTTGTATAATTTGGCTTCTAGTAGTTGAGAGAGGACAGCACACACTCACACACTCTGCTCTAGCGCCATTATTGTGGAGCAGGTGCTTTGGTTGACGACGTCTACAGAATTCGTTGTACTTTTCCACATTTCTTGAATAGAGACGAGGCATTGTTGATTCCGATTCGTCTAGAAGGAACATCGTAGCTAGGTCTCATTCTTCTGTGAGGAAAAAAATACGAATCCTATCGTGTGGCACGACGCACAGACACCCGACCGTGCCACTGCCTCCATCACGATCACCGCATCGACTTCGTTGAGTAGAAGAAGAAGATTGGTGTTGTTGTTACGTCGTTCGCGAATACAAGCCACGAGCACGACCAGCAGCAGACAGCTCTGCGTTGCCTTCGCCCGCCGCGGTCTTTTTCCAGCTTCCTTTACGTAGAAACTTCAAACATACGAGCATGATATGATCGACGACATTTTGTGCCACTTGATGTAGGAGTGCGTGCCGAAACCGGGACGAAATCGAAAACGAAGAAAACCACATAGAAGTTAACAAGACGAGCGTATTAACTTGGCACCGATCATAGCTCGCTGCGCGATTAGAAGCATCGCGGCCTTCACCAATAGCAATAATTCTCTGTTGTTGGTGCAAGCAGGTACAACACAGCGACGACAGCGACAGCGACGAGTACCGTTCTCGCTAGTACATCTTCAACATAGTGTGCTGTTGCTAGTGCCGGTGAAAAGATGCTGAAGAGGAAAGATCGCACTACGAGAATATCATCAACATCAGCGAACGATTCACATCAGCATAGGATCAGCGACATCAAGATTAACGACGTCCGACATCACATCGGCCTGCCGACGTAGACAAATTTACAAGTTGGAGGAACATCAAAGATATTAGAGTTTGGGGAGAAAAAAGTCGAAGACATCGCAACAACTACATCAGCCACTTATCAAGAAGATCAAGAATTATCACATGTTGACCATGTTGCGGCCGGCTAAAGGATGGACACCACAAATGATATAGACCCAGACATTGCGAGGAGCACTGACACGACGGACCGTCGATTGGCCAACGCGTTATTGCAGAGTAACACTTTGGACGAAGAGGAAGACTATTTGAGTGCCGGGGGTGCCTCGAGCTGCGAACTCGCTAGCTTCCCTGTCGCCTCGCAGGGCACGAACTGCAGCGGAGGTTCCCTAGAGGCTGCAGCTGGTGAGCATCATGCGTCAGGAGGACCCGGTGTTCAAAACGAATTGCGTTCTGGTAATACGACAGTATCTGCTCCTCTTCATGACAAAGAAAACCACGTGAAAACCAAGGAGAAAATAGGCAGGAGCAAAATTGCAGGAAGTTGTACAAATACGTGGACGGAAAGCACAAGTAGCAAAGGTGAGACGACAGTTGACACGACAACATCAACTTCAGAGCCACAACGATCACTAGCTGAAGACCAAACCATTCCGGCATTTTTGGGGAGTGCACGTGAAAAGTTGACCACCCCCGACCCTATGGTCAACAAACACAGCACTTCCACCGTATCAACGACGCCGCCATCGTGGCCGCGCGGTAGTGAGAAGATGACATCGGCACCTGCCTTCCTGGCCTCAGGAGGAGGAGGAGGAAGCGACACGGTCGAACCAGTCCACAAGCCCTTGCCAGTTGGCACTACACCTCCACACAATTCCCCGGCACAATTACCGGAAAAGTATCAGCAAGGTGGCTCGGCACCCTCAACAAGCAACACAACTAGTATTGCTTTAGGTGGTAGCGCAACTTCGTCAACAGATACATCTAGTACGGCGAACGGGGGAGGCGGAAGCAACGGCGTAGCAGCTCTAGGTGGCACTGCAGCAAAGTCGAACAACTCGAAAACGACAAGTGCTGGTAGCTATGCTCCGTCAAGCACGGCAAATGGAACTACAACGAGGTTTACTAGTCAACTCCAGTATGGAGGAGGGGCATCGCCAGAAGAGCAAGAGGTGGGAATCGTAGCTGACGACGAGGAACCGCCACCACCACCCCCTCAGGAAGATGGCGACACTTCCGGTTTCTCGCCTGTGAGTCGTCGACTCAGCGGCGACGTCTCAACGAACGGAGACCAGCGATCCGGAGCAGCCGCTTTCCCGGGCGACGTAGATAGGCTTACGACCGTTTCTATTGTTAGCGTTAGTTTCAGGTGGAAGAGTCGTGAGAGGTCATAATGAGGAAGATCATATTGTGAAACTTGTGTATTAGTATTAACGGAAAGTGCAATCTGAACATTCTACTAGTACGAGAACAAGCAGTAACTACTTGTTGTAAGTAGAATTATCATCATTTAAATGCGAGTACTAGTACATCTGTGCTTGTTGTACAACTATCAACCACTCAGCCTCCTCTGATTTATTTATTGCTTGAGGGAACAAGAGTAACAATGTCTAATATGGAAAATGCGGCACCTGCAACAGCGTCAGTCGTGCCGAGTGCGGATACTGTTGGTGGGGAGCATCAACCTATCGACGCTCCAGGGCTTCCCGGGGCGGCGGACATTCTTACGACTGATATGGGTGTGCTAGAGGAGGACATCGATGCGGAAGAGCGTCAGCGGCGAGCGGGTTGGGAAGCTTTGGGTGCGGAAGTGAATCCCGAGTGGTTAAACGGTTTCTACAATCTCGGGGCGTTGCATCATGACCCGGTCGGTGGAGAGGACTTCCACGAGGACGGCCTAGAGGGAGGGCAGGGTGAGAGTGTGCCACTGCACTTTCCTGATGAATCACAAGAGGAAGAGGCGGATGGGGAAGTAGAGAGTAGTGCCGAAGCCAGTGACGAGGCAGCCGGAGGGGAACCGGGTAGCCAGGTAAGTGGCAACAAGAAGTCCGAAACCCGCACGGGTACGGGGAAGCCAAAGCGGCCGCCGGGATCGGGGCTCAAGTCCGCACGCAGTTTAGAGCATCAAAGGAGCAGCGGGGGTGACACGCAGACGGAGGAAGAGAAAAAGTGGACGAAGGACGCAATACAATTTATCGACGCCCACATGACGACGGATCTGAAAATCGAGGATGTTCAGGAGAAAGTGATCAAGCCTCTACAGAAAATCGCGGACGAAATTGGTACTATAGTATACCTATAATTTTTTCCTCATAGTGAAAAATGTCGAGTATCTATGTACCTAAAATATACTTGTTTTGAAAATTATGTAGTTGCAGACTCATTCTCATCCATGTCTTTTATCCCCGAGTCATGGAAAACTTCCTAATCAAAAATGTTATCTTTTTCAATCCGGCTAGGTCTGAAGGGCGAGATGAAGTGCTTCGGATCCTTCATGAGCGGTTTTGCGAGCAAGAGGTCAGACTTGGATGTCACATTTATCCAGAAGGACTCCACAGTCTATATTCACGACGTCCTGAACCGCATCGCGACCAAACTAGAAGCAAGCGGCTTATACGACAGTATAATTCATAGAATAGAGGAATCTTCTCTGAACTTCTGGCGGAACAATAGTGACAGCGAGACACTAATGAATACCTCTACCCTCTCCAGGTTGATCTCGTTGTAGAAAAATTAGTAGTCCTGGTAGAAACTTCTGCGCGACCAAGTAGAACGTTAACGTGGTGACAACGGTCAGTCTTCAACGCGATGATTGAATTTGAATACACATATCTATCACGACAAGGTATCACGAAGGTGCTGCATGCGCAGTCGCCTTTAGTGCGGTGTACGCATTTGGAGCTTGCTGTGGAAGTCGAAATTCTGATGAATAATCAGTTGGGCGTCGAGAACTCAAATCTACTGCACTGCTACAGCAAATTAGATCCGAAAGTCGCGCAGTTGGTACTAAATCAAGTAAGTTTTGAGTGTTCCTACTGTCTGTGCAGAACAAGTAGAAGGATAGCCTGCAGCACCTGCTACAACCTTTTTCCTCAGGTAGTCGTACTCCTCGTTTGTCAGATACTGCTTGGTCTTGGTACTTGGTACTGACGCCGACCTTCACTTTGATTCTTCAAATTCAAATGGAATCGACAACCTCAGGTCCGTCTAGTCAAGACTTGGGCGAAAAACCACGATATTTTAGGCTCGCAGGATGGGTGCATCAACAGTTACGCGTACGTGCTGCTCGTTCTCTACTATCTGGTAAGTGAGGACTGACATATTAGACTTCTTACTACACTCTTAAGCAAGAGCAACATGATCATGATTTTTCTGCGGTTTCTGCTTCTGCTGCGACGTGCTTTCAACAATTACCTGTGTGTACCGTCTGTTTTTCGTTTTTCGATTGGATTGAGCAGTACGATATTGTATTTCATGTTACCGCATGGTTATCATCATGATCATTATCATGCCCCTCAAATGATCCCAAGTTGTATGTAGCACCTGCCTTGTTGACATTCTCAAGAACATTCGTACCTCCTCCAGGTGTGCATAAATTTTTTGCCGAATTTGCAATTGCTAGCACAAGCTCTGGGACTTCCCAGGGCTTTAGTTTCGGTGAAGAAATGGGGCTCTTTAGACACGGTAGATACCCGCTTTTGGCAAACAGAGTTGCCGTCAAATTACCGACCTGCATCGGCGAGTAACTGCACCCTCTACAATCTAGCAAAAGGCTTTTTCGAGTTCTACACCAAGTTTCCTTGGGAAACGTCAGCAGTCTGCCTCAGATACCAGTAATATTGCTTACTTGAAACCTATTAATGACTTCTTGATCTTGTTGGACATCATGAAGTTCATCAAGGATTTCCCTAAATATTTATATAGATACTTCGAGAATTGGGCGCGGGCGTCCCCGCCTTGCGCCTCTCTACATGTTCTGCAGGGACCTCCTGGCTTCTGCTGACCCTCGCAGGCTGGAGGTCTCCGGGGTAAAAGGCCGCTGAAGGCGGCCACGGTCTCAAGAGCAAGCAAGCCGATGACCAAGGGCCCGGGGGGTACAGGCCACACGGCTGAGGGGGTCCAGCCCCTCGCCTTTTGCCGCCTTCGGGGGCTCTTCCACACACGGCGCACCGCTGCGGCGGCGAAGCATATAGGAGGCAGGTAGGGCACAGGCAGGCCAGAGCGCAGGCAGGCAGCTGGAAGGGAGCGGAGAAGGCCCCCTGTCCCACTTTTGAGGCCTTCCTCGCCCGGCAGACGCCTTCAAAAGGGGCCCGGGGCTGCACGGTGCCCCCCCCCTCGGGCGGGTGCCGTATCCCTGCGCCCTGGGTCATATATATGCGGCTTGGATAATACTCTCCGGCAATTAGGAACCTCAATTAAAAGTAGATCAAGTACTTTTAGCACCAGCTGCTCATTTTTCAATAAGTTATTCAATTAGAAGAGAGTTGTTGTTCAGTGAATCTTGCGAAGACCCATCCTTGCTGTTCTTCCAGCTGAATATAAGTAATGTGCTTCCATGTTCAACTTCAACGCTCCTTGTAGGATTCCCAACGGACCGACAACGAGCACGGCGAAGACGTCGCTTTTTTACCGAGACGCAGCGCCGCCATCTTGGTATGTGGAGGACCCATTTGATGTGAAGCATAACCTGGCTGGCCGCACGACTGAGTCCGGCAGACGAAGGATCACAAATGCTATGCAAGCTGTGCTAAAAAATTTCGACGCATTTGATGAGGCATTTCAGACGCAGAAGCCACCGAGGTAGTAGATGCTATGTTGTCATTGATTCACTTTCAATTCTACAATTAAACTTATCTAATCTGTGTGCATGTGTCTCGCCCCCCAGACGCATGAGACCACCTATGCAACATGGAGGGCAACATGTTGCAGCGGGGGGAGTCTAGTCTGCAGGGGGTGCTCATTGACTAGATCCTGACCCCGCCTATTTCCTAGAAATGCACGAGCCTTCACTTCAGAGAGAGAAATAACGGACTCACAACGCTCAAGCCTCTAGCCTGTAGTAATTCCAACTACCTGTAGGAATCCCTAGGCTGCATCATCATGTAGAGTATAGTCCATCTTCGTCTTGTTCGTCTTCCATCTCCCCAATCAAACTTTAGGAAAGAAAGTTGGATAGAGTTCATTATAGTTGACTCAAGAAATTTGAATACCTCACGTACTTGACCTTCACAGCTACAATCCAGCAAATTCTTCATTCTTCTTATAAATTGGCTAGCTTTTTGCACTATAATTTTTTTACGCAGGGCAAGGGCTCTACTGGAAGTACAAGCCGAGCTCGCAACTATTGATATTGCTTACATCACAGGTACTGGCTAAAAGCCTCAATTTCTTCAACCGTGACACCGAAGCAAGTACTTGATATTTTCAAGGAGGTGAAGCTACTGCGGATGTATTTCCCCAAATATGCGACGTTCTTCCAAGAAGACCCCAACAAAATGCAGCACATTTACGGAGGTACCACTTATATATAATAAACTTGTCTATACCGATTTTGTCAAGCATCAAGTCTCCACCTCGTTATTTGTTCCAAAGCTATGCTCATGCTCTCATGGTTTAGCGACGTAGATTCGTCCAGCGGTAGTAGAACCACAATTTTATCATCCGTTTTCTTGATTGATTCTCGTGTACCGCGAAACACTTGCACCGTTTGTTTTTTCAACAGCTCCCCGTTACAAGAACATAATGTGTGAGTTTTCCTCGCAAGCAGAATTACGCCAAGCCGAAATGAGAAATGAGGTTTTTCTCTGCGAATCGCAGCTGCGTCTCCACAAAACTACAACGGGCTTTGTCGAGTAATTTATTTTCACTTTCGACATTATTTCAATTTCCAACAGCTTTCGTTGTAACGGGAGCACTCTTTGTTATGGGAATCAACCAAAAGAGACCCTAGTGTCAGAAGGATGCACTATCTCAGTAAAGGAAACGAAATATATATATTTATATACCAATAGAATAATGGGTAGGGGTGTCAGATCCGGGATTGGATGGAACGGATGGACTTCCCACCATTTCAAGTAGGATCGGAAGACTTAGGGGGGTCCATCCGATCCATCCTACGTCCATTCTATCAATTATTCGATTAAAAACGCAACATCTACTGAGCCCTGAGCCTGCTTAATATTACACCCCAAAAATGATTTTATTAGGCTGACTTTGAAATGATTTCACAAGATCTTGATCATCAGTCCCTGATCTGATGCTCTTCCTCTCTTTTCCTTTTTTCTGGGAAAGCTTGAACAATCAAGAGTACGACTTTTCACTAAGTTTCTGCTTGCGTGTCGAAGTTCGCTCTGTTACCTCAAGTAGTGCATACTGTTATATCAATTTCCAACATGAATGCACATGTTCCCTATGTATTCTTGTGAAGAAAAGTATCTTCAAATAACCAACCGGAAGAAAGAAGACTATACCCTTGGGGAAATCTTAGGCAAATGGCCAAATGGATTCGCATCATCAGGACTCTATCCTTGGGTGATGTCTCCAAATTTCGTGAAACAGGGACGAAGTGAAAAGCGACGGGTACTACGAGTTTGACCTGTTGAAACCAGACCTCGAGGAGATGGTCGCGAAGGCGGAAAAGGAGAGGAGCTCAAATATCGCCGCGCGTAGCACCGGAGAATCACCAAAGTATAAGGGGGATACAAAAGGCAGCTCAGCAGCAAGCAGTAGCAGCACAGCTGGTGCTAGGTCAGCTGGGGCAGCGGCAGGTACCAAATGGAAATACTTTTTACCTGACATCATTGCCACTCAGGTTAATATTTATGAGTACATGCGATTGAGATTGCGTTTGTAAGTAGTTGCCCATCCTCCGCTAACCACGACACAACTTTCCGTCAATCGGGCACTGGAGCGCCTATTATTTTTTGAATGGCAATTGTAGACGTACCGGTAACCAGATTCATCCGCCACGCCTGCGTACAATTATCACTTGAGTCTTACCCTCCCACCATCCGACCTCGGTGGCACTGAGGAAGCTAAAGACGGGTGGGCGCGATCGAATAACGCATCGAAGGAAAACCCTTACCCTGGCTATCCAGGGTATACTGGAATCTACGACCAATTTCCGCAAAAGGCTGGCACCGGGGCATCGCCCTCTTTAGATCGCAAAGCGAAGGAGGCAGCGGACGCGACATGGGCAGATTGGTAATTTGTCTGATAGTAGTTTGTACTTGATTTTCATTTTCTTGACGGCGTGACATGGGCTCCTGCTGCACACAGCACGCGGGGGGTGTGCATTCACAGCTGGAGCCTTTTTATAGTTGGAAAATACGAAAGAATCGAGTGGGAGTGATTGATCTACAATTTGATTTCTTTATGATCGATACAAGAACTTACTGATGTTCCTACTCATGATTGAACATCCATCAACAGGTATAGGACACAGGCGGGGGCAAAGGCTGGTGAGAGGGTCACTCCGGAAGATGCAACGCCGTTGAAAGCCAGTGGAGCAGTGTATGCGCCAGGAACTAGTCGATTTGACTACGCTTCCTACGCGACGGACGCAGCTGCAGCCGCCTACGGAAAAAGTACTTACGTCGAGTTACCGTGTTTGATGTTCCTTTTTGTATCAGAATTATTTGCAGTTTTAATATCAAATTTGTTATAAATATATAATTGTTTTTCATCAAGTTCAAGTACCTCCTGTACTAGTACTAGAGGCTGCTCTTCACCATCACAGAGGATGAGGACGGCGAGACCTCTTCTAATGCCTAAGTTTTCCTGACGAACTTTACGAATAAATATATCAGATGCAAGCACTCCTGGGGGCGCGAGTAGCTCTGGCGTCGTCGGGACACCGAAGGGTGGGTACGTTTTGATGCAGCCCCGACCCCCGTGGGATCAGATGTTTAGCGAACACATGATGGCGGGGATCCCGTTGGATAGCAAAGGCGCAGCCCATATGGCTTACCTCAGCAACCTGAAAGGCCTGAAAGGAGCTGGACAAATTCCTAAGGAGTACTCTCCAGAACACGCGAGCATGCTTGCCGCAATGAAGGGCAGCTCCCCGTCAGTCCAGGGTGCACCGCAAGCCTCGCTGCTTGCACAAGCGCATGCAGCTGCGCATGGCGTTTCAACTCCTGGAGCTGCGCATGGCGCAAATCTGTCTACGGCAGCCGCCTATTCACAAGCGGCCGCGGCACTCAGTCAGCACCAGCAGCAGCAAGCCGCCGCAGCTGCCGCCTCAGCATCCACGCCCGGCAGCAGTAGTGGTGGCAAAGGTGGCACAGGCGGCAATGGAGGCAACTCCGCTAGGGATGTTCTGTCTTCCAGGGAAAACACGGACCATGAATCACCTGACAAAGTGACGGCAGCAAAGGCCGCGTACGAACAAAGTGTCCATGCACAGTACGCAGCGGCTGCGAAGGGGATGTACAAAGGAAAGATGCCCGTATATCCTGGGATGTCCTTCATTTATCAAGCCGCACTGCCCCCAGGAACAGCGGCGTCAGCAAAAGGAAAGGTAATAACCCCAACGAGTAGTTTCTTTTATGCTCTATTATATATATGACGCAGGGACGCACGGCACCCCCCCTGTGGATGGCCCTGTGGTGGTGCTTGCGCGCTCTTTTCCGCGCTGATTTTCGCAGATTCTAGTGGTGGCAGGCGTCAAAACTTTGCCCGGGCGTCCCCTTGCGCCTCTCAGCATGTTCCCTAGCGGCCTCCTGGCCTCTGCTGACCCAGCGCAAGCAGGCCGATGACCAAGGGCTCGGAGGGTACAAGCCACGCGGCTCAGGGGGTCCCGCTATGCGCCTTTTGCCGCCTTCGGAGGCCTTCCACAACCGGCGCACTGCTGCGGCGGCGAAGCTCGTCGGCAGTCTGCCGGGTACATGCAGGCAGCTGGAAGGGCGCGGAGGAGGTCCCTGGCGCCTTTTTGGAAGCCTTCCCCCAAAATCGGAAGCCTGTAGGGTACACCCAGGCAGCTGGAAGGGAGCGGAGGCGGTCCCTTGGCCCCCTTTTGAAGCCTTCCACCCCCGGCAGTCGCCTCCAAAAGGGTGCTGGGGATCCACGGCGCCCCCGCGCTCCCCTGAACCCTGGAACATATATAATCACTTTTATCACGATAATGAATCAATTTGCTGACTTCATCGACAGGAGGTGGAATATCAATATTGTAATCGTATATCATCTGATCATGAATGTGAATCTTGTAACAAGTGCTTGTCATTGTTTTTTGTACCACTACTAGTTTCTTGATTTGTATATCGAATATTATACATCAACATTGCATACAAGAATAGATACAAGTACTACGTACAACCATTCAACAACGACACACTTCTACTCAAACATTCACTACAGGACCCATCGGTTTTCCACCATCAGCTTCATTTGAACATGATGGCATCAAAAGGACAATCATATGACCACTACGTGACGGAATTAATGCGAACGAAGGGTCTGCCACCACAAGTGTACTATCCACATCCGGGAGTTCCAGGAACTGCGTCAGCGCCCGATCCGCGCATGATCATGGCTTTGAAAGGTAAAAATCTAGATATTCTTTTATTATTTAATTTTTTTGATGGTAGTACAGGTACTTATGGTTATCATATTTTACATCGACTGCATGTTGTGTCGTGCATTCATGAACAATCAACATTAAATAAAACAAAAGGCGCTGGGCTGAATGGGCAGACCGCTGCCGCTTATCCTTACGCGGCGGGCGTGCAAGGAGGAGGGGTGGTGACCAAGGGTAAGGGACCGATCGGGAAACCGGGCGGCCCAGTTCGCGGTGGCGGATACTGAGCAACTGTTTGTTGTTTTGTGTTCACTTTTGTCTCTGCCTCTTAAGAACCAACAACACATGGGGGGAGAGTTCTTCTATGGCTTTCGTGGCTTGTATTTGAAATGGTTCTGCAATGCGAAGGTTGTGTTAAGTGTTCTTGTAGATGACTAGAATGTTGACGTTTTCTGCGGGCATGTGGTTCTGGTTCTTGAACTTGAAATTAGTACATGTCGAAGAGCTGCTTGTCGTAATGCGGACATCGTTCCCTTGTTGTTGTGCATCTAGTTATTTCTAGAACAAGGGAGGGGGTCATGATGTCACGAGAAGTTGCATGACCACTATCTCATTCCTCAATGTCGCCGTAAGGCCAAGGAGCATAGGATCATATAATTAATCCAGGTACAAATAAAATTATATGGTTCATCTTCGCAATCAGAATCACGGTTATTTTCATGTGATGATGTTTGCCATTTTTCGCCGAGTTCTTGTATTGTACTTCTGTGTGTCTGTTTCTTAAGCTTAAGAGCTAGAAGAAGACGCTGGTGCTGGAGATGTTGTCGCGTAAATGGGCTTGCATGGTCATGGAGGTGATCCAAGTACTTTGCGCTTGTAAGTAAATATTTATGTAAAGAGCCATGCTTTTCCTGCGTGGTGCGCGGCAAAGGAACAAATAGAGTATCTATTGTTGGTCCACAGGACGAACACCAGATCCTCGATCTGGAGGATGGGAAGAAGACCTCCTCGATCGCATTTTAGAAGGCGACACCATCAGCAACAGAGCAGAAGCACCTCCTCCCTGATGTAGAACTGTATTCATCTCCAGCACAACTAAGTATTGATGTACAACCTCGTCTGATGAATTCACTTTGAAGAACAGGAGCTGCCTGAAAGCACGCTTGAAAAGTTAGATGAACCAATCGTCAATCAGAAAGAAAAATACGTTTGAGAACTTGTCTGATGAAGAAGATGCTAAATTATAAATGATGTTTTTAAAAAAGTTACGACTAGTTCATCATAGTTCGTTGATTCTTGGAGGTTGTCTACTTGTCCTCGTTCCGCGACGAAGATCGAAGACAACTTTTGCGGCATATTTTTAGCTAGAAGTAGCCATCTTCATTTTTTCACATATCATCCATTGTATTTGTATCTACGCATATGATCACTCAATTACCTTCATCCTTGTCGAAATAAGCAAAAAGTTTACGATCACATTAACAAATGTTCGATTATAATTCATCTGTGTGGTTGTGGATCTGGATCGCGTTTGCGAATTGAATTTGTTGTTCAGCAATTCGTTGCTCCCTGAGAATTGTGGAATTCTCTTAGTCCTAGATAGTACTTCCTTAGTTGTCCGACCTTTGAACACGACCATGGGCCATGTACAAACATTGTAGTTACTTCTCTCGGCTGTCCTGGAGCGCACCACCTTAAGTTAAAGCATCTAAGCAGCGAACGAGAGAGATCTTTTGGTTTCTAGTGGAGGAGGGCAGGACGAGCATAGGTCCTCGTCTTGGGTGACGCCCTTATACATAGAGCCGCACCACATCAAAAAACTCGAGAGAAGATAACTAGCTGTTAATTTGCTCCGGCTTGTTGGGCGTGAAAGCTTTCGGGATGGAATACTCACTCAGCATAATTCCAATTGTGCATTTCCGACACTCACAGGTTTTCTTTCCACCGGGAGAAGGCAGCGTCGCCGCCGAGGTCCACATTTTCTGAATATTTAGATAAGTAAGTAGATGTAGAAGAAAGAAATTTATTCACTAACTTTGTCAACTGTTTTTTACAGTGTCGCGCGTGGTCGGTCGTGCGATCGAAATTCCGCTCATTGTATTACTTAAATAGTTTCACATTGTTCATCCAAATCGTTCATTCAAGTGAGCCGCGCGTTCGTGCATGTCATTTTTTCGTGTCATTCTAAAAACCATACTTAGTGAGCATTGAAGATGTAATGTAACTACTCTTTACAATTTCGTCGAAATGATTGAAGGCATGAAAAATGAAACGCACTCTTGATAATACAAATTCCTGTGATCATCATCATCTTCATCTCTCATGCAGCAGTGTGATCTTCGAAAAGTGGTATAATCTTCCTATCTTTGTCTAAAATGCGGTGTATGTGTAAGAATCAAGAACTCAAAAGCCTTGTTAGTTTATGCGAACTCATTTTCTTGATGTAGTGGTTGAGTACTAGGAATTGTATTGGTATCCATTCATTGTATGTATTGATGGCGTTGTTGTATCCTGCTAGTGTGGATTGATGAGAATATTATTTGATACAACAAGGATTGTTGCGCGGCGATCGTCAATAAAATGAATAAGTCTTGGAAATTGGCCACATTGCAGGAAGTAAGCATCTGGATGTAAGTATAGCCGCACTTTGATAACACCGCCGCGATAGAATGCTTGGTCCGCCTAGCATTTTCGGACCCAGTCGTTCTCTCGCTTTTGCGTACTAGAGTTCCTTCAGTTAGTGTTGTTCACAGTGCTGATTGCGAGCCACAGCACGGGGCCTGTTTTGCTTAGGCCGCCACGAAACTTTGACTGAGAGTTGTGAATAGAAAGAAAGCAAGTCACCCTTGCGTGGACTTCATCGTCGTAGCTTCCTCGTATCCTAATGTCCACTGTCGGTTGAAGATCGGTTAACAGATCATCTCAGAGGGATGAGAAGACTTGTAATTGTATGGAATGACTTGTCGTGGCGTGCTCATCAAGAAGTTGATGCCTCGGTCGGTGACGCGAGAAAGACAGCACACATTACACCGCTATGATCATGACCACCCTTTGCACTCTGACCCATTCCCCTGCCTGTATTGCCTTACAAGTGATACCTCACCACCTCGACGTATTCCTTACGAGATAATTCTGAGTAAGAATGTACATACTCTGGCAATTGTTGATGAAACCATTTCACGTCTTTTATCTTCACCCTCTGTTGGCCCTTGAGGACTTCATTGCCTTTGATTGTTTTTCCTTTTCGTTCTTGGTGCAGAATGAACCACGCTCATCCACGAAAGGTATTAGCTCCCAGACCTCTAATGTTATGGACTTGCGCATTGAGATTGACAGGAGCTATAATAGCACCATGATGAATAAACAGCAAAAGGTCGCTGATTGGAAGATCAACATTAGTAACACGTGACGTTGATTTGATTCTCAAGTTCTGTTAGTGAACAACCTCTGCTTTTCGCTCGTGAAGGACCTGGCTACGAGAGGGCAGGAAGTGAGCATCCAACGACTCTGGTCGACTATCTTGCCTAGCAAGAGCTGACCCTCTCCATTGTTGTGATTGTGAAACAAATTCCCTATCTTCAACATGTTGCAGATGAAATCGCAACCTCTTGCCGGAATCGCCGAAGTCGGCGACATGGCCCTTTCGAAGATCGCACACGGCCATGGTACTTGGAAGATGATAAGTAGCCAGTTTCAGTGGGTTCGTCTCGTACTAGTACAACTCGCATGCTAGTAGCTTGGTGAATGGATGAATAACAATAAAAGCTAGCTGACGACTTCGAATGTCAAAATATAAGATATGTTAAATCCATTCTCGATTTTTTAACATTCGATAGAATTAACAACATGAATATGCAATGTCAACTTCTGATTTCTATTCGCTCCTACAATACCACGACAGAGGAAATCCTACGATTGCTCGAAGCGTATCACCGTGCGACTGCCACGGCAGACCCTTTGGCGCAGAAGGAGGCAATCGAATCTCTGGCAGCTTACGTGCTGTCTCCAAGCAAGCTTGCCCGAGTTTTGGAGGTGGCGATATTGGAGCAAATCTATGGAATCTTTCGAAACCATCGGAGTCCGGCAGCTATCAAGGCTTTTGCGGCAAGCTCATCTGGTTTGCAGGATGCGGCAGGAAACTACGAGGACGCTGCTCCGGCGGCAGACGCTGCAGCTGGCGCAGGAGGCAGCACTTCGTCTGCAACTAAAGGAGAAGATGGCGATGCAGAACAAGGAGGTCAAGCAGCTGACGCATCATCCGGATCGGCCTTGCCGTCCGGTGGCATCTTAAAGAACAGCGCGATCGTGGAACACCAGCAGAGCCAAGGCCAGCAGCAACGACGCCCAACTCTTGATGCTCCGCTTTTCGGCGATCTTGAAGCTGTGCTCGAAACACGGCGCAAAGAGCTGATCTTATTGCGGCGCTACTATGGAACGCAAAGGCAAAGTCGTGGACGAGGCGCTCCGCCTCCAGGCGCTGGTGCTGGTTCGCTCATGTCCACCACGTCGGTGTCACCTAGTATCATAGTGGGCGGGAGAGGAGCAGGTTTATTCAATTTCTACAGCGAAGAGCTGCTGACGGCAACGAGTCCTGTGAGCGCGGCGCCAGCATCCTCCGTCAGCGCCAGTAGTCCGCTTCGGGAAGGACCAACGGGCAGGACTCCAGGGGCCGCGAGCTCCTCGACTGGTGCAGCCAACTTCAACTACGGGAACGGCGCAAGAAATGATAGACCCAATAGCGCTTCGCCGTCAAAGTTAACTACTTCCCCCATACGCGGGATAGCGACCCCGCATGCGCACACGCGACTGGCTGGGCAAGCGATAGTGCAGAACCAACGGAAAAAACGGGCGTCAGCAGAAACCTGGGGACACGAGCACGCAGCTATTAAAATCAACAATCCGAAGTACTTAGCAATTTTTTTAGACACGAGGAACTGCATGGATTCAAATACTTCCTCAATACTAGAACAAGTTGTTTTTGTTTATTGACATCGTAGGCTATCGGCCGCATTGTGATTCTAAAATAAGTATGTTATATAAATCGAGACATCAATAACAAGAAAGATGTGCGTACGTACACAATGAACAACAAATCAAATTCGTAAGTAGTTCTTGAACAACGAACACACGCAAATAATTTTAATCGTGCTTGTACTCGTACACAGCAACAAGCAGCATGCGCCGGTATATTACATTCCGACAAGAAGTGGTGCAAATAACTTCGTGAAAAATCCGACGCGGCCACCTGGGATGACTCGTCCTCTTGGAAGCATGCCGAATCTTCATTTTGGAGGTAACAAACATGCTAGCAGACCAGCTGGAGCTGCTGCCACCGGAACACTGAACAAGCATGGTAGTGGCACGAAGAGCTCGTATCTGCAACAGACGGAGAGTATGCCTAGCGCAGCATCAAGCACAGCGAAGGACAGCTATGGATGCAATACAACTGCTTTTGGTGGAAAAAATGCCCGTGCCGCGTCGTCCATTGGAGGCGGTGCTGCTGCGGAAGGAACGAGTAATGGGCCGAACATGATGGAGAGCTTGTATGTGGCCCAGATGTCGAGTGGCAGCGTGAAGATAGCTGAGCAGTATCCGTTGGACAGCGTGAACCACGAGAAAATATCCTCTAAGCCAAAGGCGCAGATAACAGACGCGAACAACTTGCGCTCACGTCCAGGCAAGTACACGCTGCTTTACCGGGAGGAGGCTATCTTCCAAGCGCAAAATGCGAATCGTGTGTCAAACATACCAGAAAACGCACATGCTGGCAACTACTCTCTGGGCACGCTGGCGGCACACTTCAACGAAGACACTACGAGGTGGCTTGTACGACAGCAGCATCCGCTTTCAACTCCGGGATTTGCAACTACGGTTGACCAGCAGAAAAAGCAGTACGGAGGAACGGCTGGAACTACTGGAGGTCATCAGGCTATTGCACCGCCTGGCGTGCATCCAGGAACGACACATCATGGCGGAGCTGCACACCATACTGGCGGTGCGTTTTCGCATGCACAGGCTGGTCACGCAGGTCCGGGTCCAGCAGGGGCTACAGTACCTGAAAAATTCGATATTTTCCAGGACACTGTCGATTGGATGCTTGCGCAGCAACAACAGGAATCGTTAAGTGCCGGAAACTCAATGATGAACAGTAGCGACTTCCTGGTGATCAGCAACAACAGCCAGCACGACGCCCCTGGTGTTGGTGCTCCCGCCTCACCGGTTGTGGAACGCACGTTGTTGATGGACAACAGCGGCGGATTCGGCAGTTCGCAAACTGCGGGGGCAATCCTAGAGCATGCTTGATGGTGTTCCTATGGTCTCTCTCTAGTAGAACTGATACAATTTTTGCATCCATTTGGCATGTCTTGTCCGTTTCTTGTTAAAAAGACATTCGTCTTGTAAATGTAACTCATGAGATTGTTGGAAATAGACTTGGATTAGATTCTAGGTAGATAATATACCTCCAAACTTGCTCACCAAAACAATGGAAAACATCGACAGAGCAAGACACTCGGATTCGGAATTGCTATTTACTACGTTTATGACTTGCAAAAAACCAACGAATCTTGTTTGTGTACTAGTGTCTATAGTAGAGATTCACCAGTAGTTGGTTCTATGACCACCAAGCGGAGTACTTAACTACCGCAATCATGAGGGCTACCAAACACGCATGACATCATAGAAGTAAGTACTTACTTACCTACTTGCTTGCTCAAGTGAAAGACAAGGCGAAGGCAACACAAGAGTATTATTAATGGACGAACTCGACCTGTGTGTTTACAGCTGTCCACTACCCATGAGGAATTTCAATTTTCTTTGTGATGAGAGCGATATTTTCCGTCCTTTTTCTCTCGGATCTCGTTTTAATTATCACGCCTGCATTATTGTTAATACTAGATTTTGACGAGGTGGACCCAGTTAGAGAGAGAGCAGATGATGCACATCGTCATGATAATGTCTTCGTTCAAGAATGAATCTGTGATCTCAGAGGAGAGAGTGTGGCTTTTTTGTTCGGCTTGTTCAATGTCGTTGTTTCCCTGTTCGTTGAGGATTTCTTTGTGTTCCTTCCAAGCGAGTTAATCTGTCCGAGTGAAAGCTTCATCACAGTATCTGTTTCTTCGAGTGATATGTGGTGATCAGTCGAATATGTTTTCATTTTCCCCAGAGAGCGTTTTCAGTAACTTCATGTTTCCATCGTCAAGGATAAAACTCCTCTATAATATCTAAATTTACCTGCAGGCAGGCAGTAGGTTGTTTTTCTGGGAACGATTTTTTCCTTTGTATTGGCAATCTTCTTTATTATTTGAGTTCTTGCTCTTCGTGTGCTGCACTAGTGTCCGGAATCGGAGCACCGACGCAGTAGTGTTCACAGCAACTGTGGGTCTCAACACACTCCTGACACTTTAAACGCACGTCATACTTGTGCCTATAGTTTCTTGATGAAAACCTTACTGCTCGGTGTATGTTTTCTTTCTACTTGTTCTCGCCATCATCATCCTAAGCTCATCGATATAGAAAGTTTTCCGTAGAGCACGTGAACTTGACAACTACATAGATACTATACCGACAAGAGAGCAACAAAATGGCGACGTTAGGGAGCTACATTCCGTTTTTAGGCCCGAAAAAAACGGGGAAAGAGTTCGTCCCCCCTCCAAGTTTCCAAGAAGGAAAGAAGGGCACGGGCATCTTTCGTGCTCAGAGTGGTTTGGCCTTGTTTCGCGAGAAGCCAGAGATCGACTTGCTGCGAGAGGATGACGAGTGCTTGCCGGATGAGTGGGAGGTGCTCTTTGACACCGATACGAGGCACGAATACTATTTCAGCCGAAGAACTGGCCAGTCCACGTGGGAGCGACCAGTGTTGATGCAACCGTTGGTGATTCACAAAAGCAAGACGCCGAGTGAGGTCTCAATGCGCAGTCGCTCGTCTCATAAAACTATACCGAAAAAAGAGGAGGCACGCATGGCATACACAAACGCAGACAAACACAGAATACCGCTAGACGAAGGACCTGTCTAGTACTTCTAGATCATGTTGATGTTGATCCTTCTGAGAGTCCTCATGCTTCCGCCTCTTCACCTGATCGATTATGTAAAAATACTCTTACCAGCTGAGTAGAGCTGAAGTAGCACTAGAAGTAGTCTCTCTGTTTAGTTAGTTTGTGAGTTCGTTAAAGAAACTGCGAGATGAACTTCCGCTTTCCTCTACTGTCGTAATGATTGCTTAATATGTGACGATGTGAGCAGTCAGTGCTAGAATAAAATTATACTAGACGAACAACTGCTTCATCTGCTAAACGATGACACTGACAAACTTACAACAGCTACATGGACTTTCTCGGCGTGGTGAGTGGTGAGTTGCGGAACAACCGCATTGAGAGGCCTAGTCGACAGAAGAAACCGCTTTGGCGTGTAATTCGTCGCGAGTCTGGCATAACAGATCAAGAAATGGAATACCTCTTGCGGAACCCTGACAATCCTGGAGTCCCGCATCGAAATCTCCATGTCGCGCTTAACATTATGGCCCTCATTCTCTCATTGATTTAGATCTGTTTCGTCTTGCCGATGGTAAAGAGTGACCATTTGAGACGCAATGAAGATGATGATTTAGATTCGATAGACGTTGCACGTAAGATTAACACGTAATTATTGTTCGTCGTTCTATTTCCGGGTGCGTCTTGCCTAAAGATACTAGGTTGTAATACTTAAATAGCTTTGGCCTCTCAAACTCAATACTTCTCGTTTTTGTTTTTATCAGAATCAGGGACCCAGATGCATAGTATTCTGGGGTTGTCTCGCTACTACCAGTGTAAGTGAAACGTTCACCAAAAATGATACAAATAATAGCGAGCTCTAATCAGAAATTCTACGAGACGTACACGAACCCGAAGGACCGGACGATGGACGAGCTGATGAACTTCTTAATGCAATTTGAGAAGGAATCCGTCCTGCAGGCCACCTCAATATGCAAATTCGACCCCTTGGATTTCATCGACTGCGTTAGAGAAAGGTACTTCTCTTTGTTTTGCGTTGTTTATTTCAAGCGAAAGTGTATCCATTTGTGCCGATTTTTTTGGTGAATTTCGGATATCTATCTAGTAACTACCGGCGTGCTGAAAAAATCAAGACTGATTATTGTGGAGAACCAATATCACTACCTCTACCGCTTACTTTGTACCTGCTGCGTCCTCTTTGTCCTATTGCTCTTCCCTTGTTCATCCTCGACCACAACCAGTAGTTGTGGAAGTACAACCTAAAATCGATTTTCAGGTGGAATCTCGTCGACCTTCCTTGTGATAAGACGAGCTTGAATCAGATAGCCACGGCCTTCACCGGTCTCATTAGTTTACGTGATGTCACCGACGCCAGGCGCGTTGTAAGAGAAGAGACGGTATTGATGGAAGCAGATCCGAACGTGCATCTTCAAGCCAACATCAAAACTTCCGCAGACCTTGTGAACAAGCCGAAGAAATGATGAAACAGATCGACATACACACTTACATATTACACATACTAGATTTTTCTGTACCCGCCTGAAATCATGAATCCTTACAATGTATTTTAAGAAAATGAAGCTGTCGCCGACTCTTCAAACATCGCAGTTAGCAGATCCACATGAATCCTGGGTTAGGTGTTGAAGTAACGATACTTGATGCGCATGGGGGGACGCGCATCATTGTATACATAATTGGCATAGCATCCTCCTGTTTATTCACAAGAAAATTTGTTTATGTGCCGCATGTAATGAACAGAGTGAAGGAGATAATTGGTGATTAACTTAATGAGTATGATGATACACATGCACAGATAATTAATGAATCTTGATGATGCTGTTGGCAATCGCAGTGGGATTGCACCTTATGGCAAGAAAATGAAATACCAAGCAAAGACACTGAAAGCGTAGATGCGGAGCATACAACGCGATCTATAATCATGCTCACTTTTTACCAAAAATGATCTTTAGAGGCTTTATTTCGCGAATGCGAATAAAGAAGAACACTGGAAGAAGAGACAACGAGCGAAGATGCAGTGAACAACTGCCTCGTGTCTGTTTCGTCGAAGACCGCGGCTTTGTACGGGAAAGTGGCGCAACTCGCACTAATAGAGTCACGATTCTCTACGGACTTTCGAGAAGATGAAAGGATAGCGGCAGTATGAAGGATCGGATAAGTAGATGAATCGCGGACAATATCCAGAGCTATGTGGTGGAGGGTGTGTTGAGGAAAAGAGCACGAGACCACGAGAGAACCCCACGCAAATCGCTCACACACAGAAAGTCTACTTTGATTTTTTTGTCGGAGTTGAAAGTCTGTAAATAACGGTTGAGAAAATGAAAATCATGATGAAGATAGGCCATCTTAGGATCAAGATGCAGTACGAGAAGGCCAAGGTAAGGCAGGCTAGGAAGGAGCTTCCCCTAGGTGGTATATCTACTCCTCTATGGAAATTTGAAACACGAGTATGTCAGCTGCTCCGGATAAAAACACATCTGGCGTCGTCTATTTTCTCGACGGGGCATCGACACCGGCTAGTGTTATTCGCAGGGGAAACGTCGGGACCCGGCGGGGTGTTGAAGGTTACGATGTTGGCGAGTTTGGCGTGCACTTGGATCCAGTCGAACTTGATAAAGGAGATAGCACAGGAAGGGACTCTAAACACGACATACACAAGGCGAGCACGGCAAGAACTGAAAGGACAACGAACAAGAAAAAATCATTGATTTTACACAACATACGAAAAATGCAGGCCCCTCCCACCCTCGCAAGAGAAGGATTCATACTGCTTCAAGATTTCCAAAAGCGAGGTGGTGCTCAAGAAAATACAAACCGGCAAGAAGACGCGCGTCCGATCGATTTCTTGGATCAAGCGGACGTGGTGCGGCGATTTTATCCTCAGGTAGGACGCGTAATCCGAAAAGCAACTGGAGCTTCGCAAGTCTACCCATTCGACCATAATCTCCGCTTCTCGACTTCCTCGTCGTCGTCATCATCGGCGTCCACCACGACTACAACCACTGATCAAGCAGGAACTTCTGCTGCTTCAATTTCGATGAAAGACAAGATCCGAAATACGGAATCAGGCGCAGAGGTTCAGAATCCGATATCGCGTGTTCACACTGACTATAGCGTCTGTTCCGCTGCTCGACGCTTGTTGGACCTGACGCAGCCGGCAAAGATGAACGACACAATACGCGAATTCCTTCCGCCGGGGCAGAAATGTGTCATCGATCCGGGTAGGGTCTTTCAACAAGAGCATCGAACCAACATGGAAGAGTCAGACAATCAAAATGCCAACGAGATCGTCGATGTCGGAGGGGATTTTGAAAGAAAAGATTATGAGCAGGAGGGCACACGGGATGAACATGAAGAGACCCAACTTTCAGTGACGAAACGGCGGAGAACGAGCACAAGCACGGACCAGGAAGAGCAAATTCCAAATTTAAAATCTAACCATCTTCCGAAAAGATTCGCCATTTTCAACCTCTGGAAGTCCATTGATTCTGGTGGAATGGTGGAGACGAATCCTCTAGGTCTCATTTCTGCGAACTCATTCGGATTGGAGGATCTGGTTGTCTATGAAATCCAATACAAGGACCGCGTCGGAGAGAATTGGTTCGTCCGGACAAGAAAGGACTACGACGTAGATGTAGGTCATGTTGTTCCCTCCCCGACTCCGAGCGATAAGAGTCCTGAAACTGAACAGGAGCTCGATATTCTTTCATCTCATATCAGCGAGAAGAAGATGAAGACCGATCATTTCCTCTTTTCACCAACCAGATGGTACTACGCTCCGTTCATGACATATGACGAGTGTCTCCTCTTCAAACAATGGGATAGCTATGGGGAAATAGCACAATCGGCGACGCAAAAAGTTTTGGATCTTGTCCAACATAAGCGAAATCTCGATAAGGACCCCTCAGCTGGAGATGTTGAAAGTAGTGGACAGAGTACTAGGGATGAGGGTTTCGAAAAAGCTTTATCGGCGCTTACAGCAACGCAACAGTTTCGGCCTTCAAAAGTGGAGAAGGATCAGGATGGCGTAGCTGCTACGTTTTTATGTGGAAGACCTAGACGCGATGACAACCAAGTGGACGCGTTTATTGGACCCCCTGGGTGCAGTGACTTTGTGCCGCACTCAGCGATTGTAATGGATGAGAAAGCCTCTCCAAGACCTCGAAAAAGCATTGAAGTGCGCTGTTTTGCATTTTTCGATTAGTTCGATTGATTTCCATTTTCACTTTGCACAAGATACTCTAATTACTTAAGTAGTCGGTGTGATGATCTTTGAATAGTCTGAGTTTTATGCTTGGAATTGAATTTCCTTTAGAACAAGTTTATTCTTGTAGGAGTGGAATGGAAAAAGCAGGGGTTCGGTTCTCGGAACTCATTTGTTGGCGCATGCAGGAAAATATGTGAAGCAGCAAGGTAGGAGCCGCTGAAGAGAAATCTAGTAGAAACCTGGACGCAGCTTGACCTTTTTATTTTACCTACAAGGTACTTGGGCAGTGCGTTATATATATTTATATGTTCTTTTAGGGCTGCACGGTCCCACCCCCTGTGGTATGGTCTGTGGTGGCGCTCGCGCGCTCTTTTCCGCGCTGATATTCGCGGATTCTCGTGCTGGAAGGCGTCAAAACTGGCCGCGGGCGTCCCCTTGCGCCTCTCTGCATGTTCCTCAGGTACCTCCTGGCCTCTGCTGACCCTCGCAGGGTGGAGGTCTTCGGGGTAAATGGCCGCCGAAGGCGGCGACCGCCTCAAGAGCAAGCAAGCCGATGACCAAGGGCCCGGAGGGTACAGGCCGCACGGCTCAGGGGGTCCAGCCCCTCGCCTTTTGCCGCCTTCGGAGGCCTTGCACACCCGGCGCACTGCTTCGGCGGCGAAGCATATCGGAGGCATGTAGGGCACAGGCAGGCAGCTGGAAGGGGGCGGAGGCGGTCCTGTGGGCTCCTTTTGAAGCCTTCCACCTACATCGGAGGCCTGTAGGATACAGCCAGGCAGCTGGAAGGGAGCGGAGAAGGCCCCCTGGGCCCCTTTTGAGGCCTTTCGCCCCCGGCAGACGGCTCCCGAAGGGGTCCAGGGCTACCAGTGCCCACCCCTGCGCTAGGGGGGGGGTGCCGTACCCTTGCGCCCTGGCTCATATATTGTTACGCGTATCTATAGCATAAGCATATCAACAACTTTTGCATCTGGGAAAGTAATCATATGGTAAAAATGCGATAGTTCTCTTCAAGTTCAATCGGCTTTACATGCTCCATGAAAGGCCTTAGTTCTCAAAGATGGAGGTAACGGAAACTGAGGCACAAGAAGATGTGCCACTCCTCCAAGAACATGCAAAAGAGGTCGTCTTCTGTCCGATACCTGGCTTACAATGGGTCCAAGCTTTCGCTACCAGTCGAGTTCGACATCCTGTCGAAGATAGATGGAGGCACGAGCATGTCGCCGGTGCCAGAGGTCTGATCATTTGCCGCCCAGAGGCTTTGCGTTTGAGTAGGTCTCTCGATGCGAATGCTTTTGCTCCAGCGAGAGGTAACACGAAAGAATGTACCTCTGCGACTGAGGATGTGCTGCTGGCTGGAGATCGTCAACAAGGAATGGAGCACCATGCTCGTGCAAAAAACGATGACCCAGGACGAGAGCATCCTGACGAAGTGCAACAGCCAAAACGTCGAAGGCTGAGCGTAGAGGAGGACATTCGAATAACCCAGTATAAGGAATATTGGACCTGCGCAAAACCAGTGGGGGAAACAAGTAGTCCGCTTGAGCGCGTAGATATCCTCTACTACGAAAATGAGGACGACCTCGTAGATTTGGTAACCAAGCTTCACTATGTACCAGAAGAAGACCAGGTTGAAGATGATGAAATGAAAGCTCATAGATGCAAGAGCTTACCTGTTGCTGACCCGTCCTCCGTTCTTCATCTGGGGAGAGACGAGGTGCATCATGATGCGGTACCATCGTCTGACAGAGAGCACACCCATGATCATCAGCAAATATATTCCAAACAAACCCTCACACGCCAGCTCGAACAGATCCATTGGGTAGCGGTGATGTTAGAGCCGCATATACCACCCACACATATAATGGCACTGCTGCTCGTGCAGTTGCGCGCTCTTCTTCGACACCTATCCGATACCTGCCGAATCTCCCTTGTCATGCCCGCAGACCTACCGCTACCTGATGCGACGCAAACCATTCTTCAAAACGACGGCTTTGCGCTTATTGCTTTCCCACCAGAACACTGCATGTAATTTCGGATATTATCTTCCTCAGCTACAACTAGAAGATCAACATGATTTAAGTAATGATAAGTGGTCCCCTGCTGCCATGAAATGTGTTGTTCTCCTAGTTTAATGCCGAGGAAAAAAAATCATGTAAATTTTTGAATCTTGTCGATGAAAGATGGACACATTGCGGTGGTGAACATGAATATTTATTGAGAAAAATGAATCAATCATGTGCACGTAATGCTGAAAACAGGACACAAATTATGGATGCAGGAGCATTATAAGCCTGAGATGGACGCACGCGATGCGCTTCTTCGGAAAGGACAGTGTCAATGTGATTGTGATATTACGTATCTTCAAACTTATTATCAGTCTCGACAGGCCGCTTTGAAGAAAAATGTCACACAAATTGGTTTTGACTCAGAGTATATTTCATACAACAATGTAGTAGTCAAAATTTCAACGTCGCACAAAGGGAACAAGAAAAATGCACTGTATGATCTTCGTACGGGCGCAGAAACCAGCAGTGTGAAGTTCTTGAAAGTAATTATGTTCTTGATGTTGACGAGTCCATAAAGTCAACAAGATTCCAATCATTGTGACAAAGAGAACTTAGACACTTTCTCTTTTTTAACTACCGCCAGTTAAGCTTATCTCATAGATACATAAAGTTTGAATTTCAAGAAGGACATGATCTTTCTTTCAACGAACTTCTGCAACGTAGTGAAGTCAATAACAATACAAGTATGTAGTTGTCCATTTCCTAACAAGAGAGACACATGCACATCACAAATAAATATAATAGTTACAAGAAATTTATACAAGTCTTGATAAGATGAAGGTAGCATGCGCGCGTACTCTTTTCCTGCAGTGCGTCACGCCGTGCGTTTTGGCCGTGCAGGCTGTCAGGCTCACGCGCAGGTCTTTTCAGCAGGGAAATGCTAGTAGCAGTCATGACATTGCAATGATCGATGACTTTGAGTTGCCAAAATCTTCCGGCGCCAGCGCAACATCAGCAATGCGTTCGTCGAGGACTGATAGCAGCTCTTCGACGTGGGGTCAGCCTCACTACCGCTTTACTCCTGATATTAAAGGCAATCCAAGCATGCCGAAGAACACAAAGGGCGATTCAGCGCAGATCTGTGGTCGCCGTGGTGGTAACAGTTTTGTAGATCCCGATCAAATCGAGGTCTTTCAGGATTTCATGCTGGCATGCGATCTACTGAAAGAGACGCTGCAAGAGTTGAAGCTCAAGGAAGAGGAGGCAGGGTGTCCGGGAAAGTACACTCGATTGTTGTCTGCTAGTGAGGGTTCACAAGAGCAAAAAGCAGGTGGTGCAACACCTTCTACGCTTCTCAACGCAGGAGCTGCAGAAGGCGCTGAAGCGACGTCGAGCCCCGATTTACCAGTCGAACTTGTTAGCGGGGACGCTAAGGATCCTCAACCTGAAGAAGTGAGCGGTTGTTGTGTCGAAGCTTATGTAAGCAACGATCAGGTTCCAGAGCAGAGCTCGCCACTTGGAGAACAGTTTCAGCTGACGAAAGACAACGCGGGTCGTTTTGAGCAGGGAGATCATGATGGCGAAATTACTGCCGATGACAAGGGCAGTCCAACTTCAGTTTCCTCATATCAGCAAGCGAAACAGGCGGCATCTGAACGCAAAGCGAGGGAAAGGAAACAGAGAGAACGGCTAACCGGCAAAGTAAATCCAATGAATGCCGCAACCGAAGATGGAAATCACGACGAAGGCGGTTCGTCAGATGAGGATACAGGTGTGTCGCTTTGAGACGCGTGAAAATGAAATGTGGCTCTTTCGTTGCTTTCGGTGTCCATTACAGTACAACAACTGCGTGATAAAAGAAGAAGAAGAAGAAGATAATAGAAGGAGAGTATTTTTGAACACTCACTCTCACTCCATGGTTTGAGTTTTGGTTTTTACCTTAGAAAAGGTATGCGTGTTGCAATCACATTCGTGCGAAAATATAATATTTTTCCCACATGAAGCACAAGATTTGCCCAAGTACCGAACTAACACCAAGAACACCCGCTACATTCCGACGTCCAGAAGTTCTTGTATGCAGCCATTGCTTTCGCATATTTCGCACTAGATGAAAAGGAAACAAAGCAACGGAAAGTGTTAGTACTAGTGTATCTTGCAGCTGCTGCTTCACTTGCAGATGGTAACAAGAGGAAATGCTCTTTCCATCCACCCAAGATAATCATACTCAAACTCATACTGCAACATCATGAAAGTGAATGTCTAAGATGAATGAATTGGCCGCTCCACGCTTCAGATTTGGATGAATGGTTTACTTGCACGACTTTTTTTTCTGATGTTGGTGGAGATGCGGTCGCTCCTCTTTCTGACTATGAACCAGGGTAAGCCAACTTAGATGTTCTTGTGGTTGCTAAGATTGCACCATCTGGACGCTCCGAGCAATACTTGGTTTCGATTTTCGAGGACTATGACGCCGAATATTGCACTACGACGTCATGCTGGTAGTTTTCATCAGGATGATGTCTTCATTACTTTTCTTGATAATTTGGATTATGAAGTCGGGGTCGGGCTATAATTTCTGCGCCCCAACTTTATGGATTATATCTATTGCGCCGAAATGTCTGTGGTTACCGGTTGTCAAGATCAAGACTTCAAGATTCGACGACGACGATTGAATAATATCTATGCATTCAAATTCATCCACGACGAGGAAAGAAAATCCTTGTTCTTCCGAGGAGTGTACGGGTACGCAAATGCAGGTTCTCAGCACTCTTGTACTAGACGTCGACTAGTCTGACCAAAGTTCTGAAGATATTCTTTACATCCGGTCGGTTTTTGCTGTGGCGAAGAATCAAATCAGTATCGGCTTTCTCGAGAGATAAAGGATGTTGAGAGTCGTAACGCAGTGGTCAGTAAATCGAATTTATGACAGTCCTTAGTCTCCTTCTCCCACCTCCGTGTCCAAGAAAGATTAGGCCTATATTTCTGTGCAACCGGAAAATTGTGAGATCAAGAATTTGTACCCACCCGTCGGATCGTTCTTCTAGCTGTCACCCAATTTTCATTTTGCACATCCGCATGGTACTACATACGGGATGCATACAAATCTAGATGTTATAGAATTTCAGTTTTTACAGTGTTTACACATAATTTACTTACACACCAGGCGCAGACGAAAAGACTACAACTACTAATTTGCTTTTTGCTTTTTGTGCTTATCAGTATCAGAACTTCCCTATGAATCTTTGTTGAGACAGTGGAGCTTGATTGTCTTTTCATGTCTATGCCGAACTTCGTACGTAATAGATTGTCGAAAATGTCGTAAAGCAAGAGTCTTAATGTAGTAGAGCTAGAAGTACAACTCCTATTCGTAATTTTCGGCGACAGCTACTCAGCTAGAAATTGATTTCGTCAAAATGTTGAATTTGCCTTGGACCGACATCTTGTTGAGGTTGGGACTTATCATGTTTGTGCTGCCGACTTTGGCTGCCTTCGTGCCGAACCTTGACCCGATCGCTTGGATTGTAATTGGTTTCGGTCTCATAATTGCTTACCAACAGATTTTTCCGGCTCCTATATCAGCTACTCCTCATCAGCATCGGGACTGAGCCGCACGACTGGTTGGGATTCATTGCATGAGGAGAAGAAAAAACGCAAAAACATCCCACTTTTGCTCTTCTGTTCCCGAATCCTATTTCGAGTGTAGTTCGCGTTTTGTCAAGACGAGTTACATCGAAGACCACACGCTCCGATAGGTCCTGTTCTATTTGAGGGTCTACCTGGTGTTTCGGGTACACAGCATCAGCACAACGTTCTAGTCGTACTTGACGAGTGCATAAGAAGATGAGCGGGCGCGAGAAGGACAGTCCCGAGGCACTGGCGGCAGCGGCAAAAGCGGCCGCTGAGTCTGGAAGTTGGTGGACTTTCACCAGCGCTGACTATTACATGGCTGGCAGCAAATACGAACAAGCCGCCAAAGGCTTTTTTGCAAAGGGTGACTATCAATCAGCCTACAAATGCTGGCAGGAGGCGGCAAGAAACCGGGATAGCGACGTACTTTATTACGCATGCAGGTAGATGTAGATGTGCCTACTAACTTGAAACAAAGTACTACTATTATGCATCAAATGCCGCAGCTTTACTCATGATTTTTATTGGATTTCCTTCGGGCATGCGCATGCTTATGCAAATCTCTTGTCGTGGTTTGTCTACCTAGGGCGACACTTTCGGTTCCGGGCGGAGTTGGGAGGAAGCAGCAAAATTAGGCTCGGACAAGCTGAAAAAGTGGCAAGATGCGGTAAAGCATCTTGATCATGCAGTTGAAAAATACAGATCAGCTCGTAAGGATGAAGCGAGTTGCAGAGCGTCCTTGCGGAAAATCGACATATTAGAGAAGCACTCAGCAGGAGCCAGAGACATGGAGGAGGCCTTCCAAAGCGCGATAGAAGTGCATGAAGACTTCGAAAAATGGTATCCACTAGGGGATCTGCTAACTCGATTCGAGAACTTCCTCACCCTACGGCTGGTCAGCAGCAAGGACTCTTCAGTGGAGACGATCTATAAGGTACGAACAGTTAGTTTTCACCTCTATACGCTTGGTCTATCCCTTCATGCAGTATAGTTGGGTAATGCATTTTTACTTGTTCTAAAGGATGTTGTTGCCCAATTAAATATGAACATCGATGTTGTAAATAAGTATAATGATCCCGCCTTCTTCTTCTATTAACTGCATCTTGTTCTCGTTTGTTCGCATCAAGGTTCTTGACCGCCATGTAGTCGTGCAAGCGAACCTAAAGTCTGGTGCTATGGTTCAGCTAATGAGTAAAGTAGTGGTTTGCCTTGCACTTACGCAGGACATTGTCCGGGTGAAGCAGTTCCTTGACGAGGCGACAAACTGGGACAATTCTTTGCTGCGAGGCCCTAACTTCTTGGATATTAGCCGCAGAATGCTGGAGGCGTACGAGGACAGGGACGTTGAGGCATTGGACAAGATCAAAAGACGGCAAACGATGACCATGCTTCCTCTGGAGATTTGTAAGTTAGCACAAAAAATGACCATGGTAGGCGGAGGCAAGGTTGACGCAGCTTTAGCAGACTTCGTAGATTCGAAGGGGGCAGCTGTTCTCGGCGATGGAGGTCAATCTGGGACCGACGAAGAAGGTTTGCCAGACTTGTCATGATTTAGATGAGGAAGAGAAGTCTTAGGCTCGAAGTCGCACCCTCCCTGTGAGTGTGACTCGTCTGCCGCGTACAAAGGTAACCCCAACCAACTATCTCTCGCTTCTCTCCAAGCATCCCTCTCCTTACCTGACAAACCACTGTTCGAGCTTTCTTGCGACGAACTTCTACCTAACAGCAATTATATGTCTCAGTCTCTCTTTATTGAAGCAGCGCAGAAGTCTCTTAAGCAGCGCAGAATCCTCGCTACCTACTTATTTTCAAAAATATACGTGATCGGCAGGAACGGGCAACATAAGATCTTGGCACCACTCATCATCTGAACTCGGTCAAAATCAAAACGATCTAAATCCTTTCGACTGCCTGATACGCCCAAACATCGAAGTGGGAATCTGTACAAGTTCATCAAGTAAACTAAAAACAACACATCAAGATCAATTTCGATAATAGCCAAAGGTGATCTCAATGTTAAAATGAAGATGCCGATCTGTATGTTGGTCTTGAGAGAAGGATCCCAGTAATTGATGAAGATACAGATCAAGAAATAGAAGTAGATCCCATCGGATCTCTACAAAAGTCTCAAGGACGAATGCGACAACCACAACACATGCATTTTCATGATCTTTCACCTGCGTGCGAAACTACCTAGTAAGTTGAAGATCATGATGAAGGACTTCTTCTTCATTGGGTCTATGTGAATGTGTTGTCAATAACGTTCGATTAGTTTTCCAATATCTTGTCATACAGGAGGATTCGACAGTAGGACGTATCAAGAGATCAGTTGAGAATTTTCGAATAATTTTGATGTTGTATAATCTGAATCCACTTCGTAAAAATACTGTGGTAGCGGTATTATTTTCCTGTTAACATCAGGGAAGTAACTCTAATCATGATTATAACGCGAGCACTACCTCTTCCACTAGTTGTACCTAAAATTGTAGACCGTTCCCCAGAACAACAAGTCCGCAAGTGTGGAAACCTGAATGAAACGCTTTTTTAGTTGATTGAAGCAAGCTAACACTAAAAGGGAAAAGTAGGGATAAGCGTAAGTGGTACAAAGAGTAATAGTGTCCCAACGCCAACAGCAACACTCAACAACAAGTACTACACGCTCCAACATTAAAGTTAAACGAGCTGAACCAAGTTCTAGTTTAGTTACACTCCAGTTCTAATTCAAAAAGGAGTAGAACCCGAACCCGCAGCTCCCCCTTCTCAATCTCATGGGAATTTATCATTCAAGCCCACCTGTTCCTCTTCTACTTTGGTTTTTATATATTTCCTTGTCTTGATCAATAAATTTAAATCTCAAGGTCGTTAAAACAATGAGCTTTGAGAATCTCTCTATATTTGAATCATCCTGTCGTGTAATTAGAGTCTGTCTTTATCGTTCACATTCCTCTAGTCCCAGGTGAACACACGCGCCACTTGCAGTTGTACTGAAAATCGTGAGTAACCGATAACTAGCCGCGAAGACCATTACTATACTTCTTGGACGACCCTAGTTCTTACGCAACGTACGCACCATCAAGTTTGAGAACGTCACGACTCAACTTCGAGAATGGTAAGTCAAACAAGAAGACCACGTGAAAGCGTGCAGGCGTCCCGCGGATGCTGTCCAGCTCGAGTACCTGTTGCGAAAAAGACCGATCTAGCTCCAGTCGACCCGCCCAGTGTCGAGATAGCGCAAGCACCTGAATTGAAATTGAATGCTAGAGCTGAGAGAGAAGCTCCTGCTCCGACAACAACCTCCTCGGCAGGTCAACGCCAGGGCTCTGACCAGGTGCAAGGACCTACAGGACCAGCTAAACAAGATTCTGGCGCTGGTGTTGGTAAAAGCAAAAAATCCGATGAGATTTCCCTTCATCTGGCAAAAACAACAACGATTGCACCAGGAAGTGCCGCGAACGAAACCATCATCATCAACACGAACAGCACTCTTTTCCAAACACCTGATCAGCATCAGCAGGTGCGTCGGAATAACAAGTCTACAAATTCCGCATCGTCGCACCTATTGAGTGACGTCGCTGAAGGTGAGTGCTCGGCAAATGATTGCCTCACACTTATGCAAGAAGTCGAACAAAGCGGGTGTGGTGCTCGAAATGATCAAGAAGGACACGAAAAAGAGGCTATGGCTGGTGGAGCTGCTGTTAGGACAGAGTCGTTTCCTATGTCCGCGCACGAAGAAGGCGATCCGGTCTCAACTACTTCCTTTGAGGACGCTATGGTTGGTGTACCAGGTGGACAAATACAATCCGTTAGCGTTTTTGGGGAGCTACAGGACCACGAGGATGAAAATCCGTGCGCCGAGGATGAAGAGCTCCGAAATGCTTTAAAACTAGCTGGAATTCGAGACCGCGCACAACAGTACAACACACAACAGCTCATGAATACGCGGACCTATTCTGCCGTCAGTGGAAGTAGAAGCATGATCCGCCAAGCAGGTCAATGTCCGCCCAGCGCGTCTGGAGGTTCTTCCCATCAAATCTTGCTACCCAAGACACCCTCCTTGGCAACAAATGCGTCCTCCTCCAGTGCTGGGGGAATCACCGGCGACGGTCTATGGGCTCCGCATAACAGCGCAACGTCTGCTGCGCTCACTTCATCGTTGCCAAACGGATCTGACAGATCCGAACTTCTGAAACACAGCAGTCAAGAGGGCGCAACCTCCCATTTCTTTTCGGCGGAAGCACCACAAGACAAACAGGGGAACGCAGGGGGTCAAGACTCCGTGGGTCTCATGTTTTCGTCTCCCATGCCCTCGGACACGGAGAATAATCACTCTCCCGTTGGTGCGGTAGAGGCGGAACCGAAACGGGCATTGTCGCCTCCACCAGGGCAACGAGCCTCCAGTCGCGGCGACTTTTTACTTGAGTCGAATAAAGTAGTGAAAAGCCGACGAGCGGTGGTCATAACAAGTGACGCAGATGCTTCCGAACACGGTCTACCGCACCCGTCTACCTTGAAAGTGGCTTCAGCTTCAAGTGGGCAACAGCCACAAGAACAGCGTCAAAGACAACTTGGTGGTGGCAGTGCTGCAGCTGATTCTCGCCGGATAAAGAACAACCGTTGTATGCTCCAAATGAACGCTCGCCCAGCCGCATACTTCGCTAACACTAGCGGAACTGCAAACAACACTGCGTGTGAGAGCCAGCAGGAGATTTTGCGCGTCGGTGGCCAAGCATTTCAGCTGAAGATGGACGCGGACGGAAACATGCACGTCGGCGAAGCGGCGCCGGCTGGTGTGTCTACGATCTCCTTCAATGATACACGACCCGCGGGCTCGGGGACCGAAGGATCGCTTGTGCTCGAAACACCGACCTTCGCACAGCAGAGAGACCCAGCGTCTGCGCACAGTCGCCACGCAACGGGTGGCCCCGCCGGAGGGTTAGGGTTCGGAACAGGAGGGGGCAATCGCAGCGTCAGTGGAGGGCGGATGTTGTCTGTGGATGAAGAGCACGAACCTCGGACAGAAGACGGAGTGAGTCTAGGGCCGATTAGCAGCATGAACAACACCCTTCAGGCAGTGGACATGACCAACACCATGGGCTCCGCTGACTGCAGCTACATACAAGGTGGACCACGCGACACGATGAGCATTCACACCATGACGTTGGACGCCACAATGACACAAGATTTGGCACGTTCAGAATCGCGCCGCAGGGCTGAAGGTGGTATCCAGGAGGCACGAGCTCCAACCACAGGCATGCGATTACCACGAGGCTTGCTCACCTCAGCGCCATTGCGAGAAAATACCTATGGTCGGCTGTGCTCGTCTTCGGGATCCTTCGGAAACGACCAGATAAGTGGAAAAACAATGTCCTTCGCCTCAATGACGGACACGGACTCTAGAGTCCGAGCTCGTGTAGCGAGTGGTTCGTCGAGAACAAATGGCACTCACCAGCAGGCAGAATTTCAAGAAGTTCAACAGGAGGATCAAGAGGCTGAAGCTTGCACCACGGAGGACCACGAAATGTTACAAAACCTGAAAGACTCGCTGAAGACGCACGTTGCCGCACCCAGTTGTAGCAATCCCAAGCTCAACATCACTCCCGCGTCAGTCGCTCTGTCCGCGGTCTCAAGACAAAGGTCTGCTGACCTCATCCTGGAAGATTCGATTCGGGACCATTCAACGTCTGCCGGGGCCCTCATGTCGCTGAGAACCGCAAAAAGCAGCAATGCTGCGGAGGCTGTACCACGAGGAGTTTCCCCGGCTGCTTCTACACGGACGCCGGGTCCGCGCACAAAGTCACCGACTTCTGTCAACGGATCGCTTCGAAGCAGTCTAAGCATACAGAGTACAGGGGAGAACAGTTCTTGCAGCACAACACCCAGTGAGCGAAAAACCGCTGTTTTTGGAGTAGCAGAACAAGAGGACACGCCGGAAGAGAGCGTCGTTCATGTGGAAACTGAATCAGGGGATCAAGTAGCGTCTCCTTTACCGGCTTCTCCGCCTAAGAAGGCTGATGCTACGGCAGAGACTGTGCCTCAACAAGTTTACTCAGAAGCAGGACCTTCTACGACGGAAACTGATGATGAGCAGACGCGCGTCAGGAAGATGAAACGACGCCAAGCGCCCTTCCAAGGAACATGGCTCAACACATCGCAGCAAGGTTTCGTAGACGTGATGAGAGCCAATGGAGCGAACTGGCTTCAAATCAACGGTGCGAAGATAGGCAAATGTGGCGTGAACAAAAGTAAGCACGACTTCAAATTCGTATCTGAAAAGCATGGGGAAAGCGACGTTGAGGTTGTGATCGAGGGTCACAGCGGAGGCATTGCTGGAGGCCACGAGTTTAGATGGGTGGTATTTAAATGAAGATAAGTACTCATAATTACACTTATTTCTAAGTTCTTGAACAATTCGAAGATCATGAACTGTTCTTACATTTTGTTCTGGTCCTGTGGACACTGCGATCGTGTTTGGATTGGGTTGGGTTGTCTCATCTACTTCTCCTCAAAAGGCCTTACTGCTGTTGCACTAGTTGTTTCCCTGCGGTATACTATTTAGGATCATGTAGTACTAGTACTAGAAATGACTTTGAAAAGTGGTTTCCGAATAACCGCAACATACTTATTCAAAGATCCTAACTGAACCAAAACCTCACAGCTTGACGGGCAGAAGCGCACGATCGACACTCAATTGGGCTCACGAGAATGTGTTGCATATTGGGAGGGCGATTCCCTCGTCATCGAGATGCACGAAGCTTCTCCGAAGGCCAAGCATTACAATGTTATTAGAAGGTACGACTTCTAGATTTTTTTTCTATTCTCTAGCCTGCTTTTGAAAACCCTGCTCGAATTTTTGCTACATGTGTTAGATTTTCTTTCGGTCGTTTCATTTTTGGTAGTGGTTTTATTTTTATTCCTCCTCCTCGGTTCCGCTTATGCTCATGATCGGACTTGAGCATGAGGTTATTGGTCCGAAAAGTTGCCCTGTTTTTGACCGAAATCCAACCTTGTTACATTCCTCCACAATTGACTCAGGCGCATTGTCGGTAAACAGCTCGAGATGGTGTGGGAATGTGTCGCGACCGAGTCGGGCAAGGCAAAACTCGCGACTTGTACCCGGATGTGGAAACGGCATGTCAAAGCCTAGATTGAGGAGAACACTGAACACATTCCTATGACCGCGTGTAGAATATGTGGGGAGCAGGGAAAATGCCCATGCTGAAACTTTATTAACGCTTTGCCGCTCTATCATGAATACTTATTAGTACTAGAATAGTGTTCTCAATCCTTACATTATTTTTATGGCTCGAAGACCACTACCACGTTTTACTCCTCCTGATTGATTCATGTTTTAGAGAAAAACGCAACACAGTTCAGATTATATGATCGATTTAAGTGTTTGTGTTAGCCTTGCATATTCCTGTATGGTTGAATGAGTCAAATTCAGTTGTTTATTGTTGTGAACAGTACAAATGAACTACGTCTTTGAGATATAACTATTTTTCTTAGATTTCCGTGGTGGTTCTTGTGCCTTTACTATGGGTTTCTGGAAATATGTCTGACTGTGTATGTATTTGTAGAGTGTCGTGTAATTTTTCCTTCGAAACGTTATAAGAGTAGGTTTAGAATCAGTATGAGAGGCAGAGAAAGTTAATACAGAGGATAACATCTGCTTCTCCTCCATCGTGTAGTGTATTTGTTCGTTAGCCCTAAACACTAGTAATATTCGTTGCTCTTCATATTCCCTGTAAAAATGGACAACCCGCCTTCTTCACATGATCACAGTATATTGTGGACGAAGTCAAGTATAAAGCAGATTTGTTCGTGGTACCAATGCAGCGGTAAAGTCGATTAGAAGGCATACAGCAAATCTTCAAAGCATACTTTGGTAGGAGCCACGAAAATAGTCTAGCAGAGAATTATCTCCAGAGCTTGTAGCGTGGTCAACAAAATTGTTGTGCGCTTCCCATCCCATCAGGCATACACGGGGGTGCAACTACTTCTAGGCGGAGGGTACCTCTTGACTCCATCCTCTTGCTCAACACGGCAGAGGACACCCTTTTCTTTAGGAAGCCCCTACAGTTCTGCTTACATAGAGAACGTACGGTTACGATGAAACAGCTGCAGTAGAATATCATGTTTGATGTCTAGCACAGCAGAAAACCGCCACATACAACTGACCACACCAAAAAAATATCGCAGCTTTACTTTTAGACCTTTGCTGCATACTTTTACCGTGCGACTGCGTGCGCGAAAAACACAAGTGTTCTTTTACTTGCAACTGTCTTTGCGCGACTTTATTTCAATTCGCACCATTCCGATCTCGATCATGACGACGTTCTTTGGCCCATGCGTCGATGTATCAGATCAGTCGCGACGATCCGTAGTTGAGGTTTCATGCATTTCAAAAATAGGTTCAGGTGGATCTACTTGCATAGAACTACTCGTAGATCAGCTATTTTTGCATCAAGCCGAGAAGATCAGTGTGGTTAGAGATCCCTCCCAGATCCTCGCTGTGTTGGCCCATCTTCGGGAGAAGACCGGCTGCAGGATCGCGTACGAGATCATTGTGATTGTCCCGGAAATAGATCTCTGCAAAGACACGATAATCCTCTTGGGGATCCTCCTGGTCTTAGCATATATATTTATGTCCTCTACATTTCTATATCTATGATCATCACGACCACATACGTCAGGCCCACGCTTCGCTGGGAGTCGACTTTGTTAACAAAACAAACACTAGCTCTAGCAACTGAATTTGGTTGAAACTCGTTTCACTGCTGGATTAACGTAAGTATTCAACTTAAGGTTTGAGCTTACCTTAGCGTTGTCTTTATTGAAGAACGTCATCACATCTTAAAAATAAAAACTTGTTAAACTTGTAATATCACCAGATCAACAAGAAGCAAGAACAACAAATGGTGTCTCCTGACGGACATGCTGAAGAACACCCTCCACAGGAGGTCGAGGGAGATGAGGATACTTATGTGGTCCCCGACGAAGAGGAAGATGAAGAGCAACTGCGAGCAGAACTTGAGCGACTTGAGGCTGAAGCAGGCGGCGACCTTGATATGGAACTGGACTTTCTCGACGAGGAAGAGATGCAGATTGGAGGCGACGATGACGAAGAAGGAGAAGATGTTGAGGTGAGTAGTTTGTAAAGACACTCCGAACGATTAATGAAGTTTGAGTTTGTGTGTTGGCTTTGGAAAGATGAAAGCTTCTCCGTCATGTGGGAGCAGGCACGGCCTCGGTAAATGAAAAACCCACAGTCGAGGTTCATATCTTTCTATTTCTAGGATGATGAATCAAAAGTCCTCCAACATTATTTTCTTTATCTCAAGCAGCTCAACCATGATCTTCATCTTCTACTCACAGGATCATGCTGCCTTTACGTTTAGAGGCCACACTGACGCCGTTTTGCATTGTTGCTTCATCGATGAAGCCGCAATGTTAACTTGCGGCCAGGACGACTCCGTGCATCGATGGAGTGTTGAAGCCCTTGCAGGTACTGGCACGAGCTGCAGCAGCTCGAACTCGCCAAGCTCGACCTGCGCGGGAACTCCATCAGAAAAAGGAGATGATACAACCGAAAAAGCAGAGGATCAACTCCAGAAGACGAGTGTATCCACCCGGTATGCCCTTAAGAGTGCTGCATCAAATAAAGCACACAAGGATAGCGTGGTGGGCGTCCTTCTCAATCACGACAAGAGCCTTGTTGCGACATTGGGATATGACGGCGTCGCAAATATTTGCGATATGAAAGAATTAAGCGGCACGAAGGAAGAGCTTCTGGTCGCGAGAACACTCGAGGTACACTCTACACCGCCTATGTCCTTATCGATGTGATAACTATCTACTCATTGTGAAGATGGCGTCATCGACGACGGATTACTTCCGCCTTAATATGACAATGATGCTCCTTTTTTCACTTTTTCAGGGCCCTGGAGCTGAAATCGAATTCGGCGCATGGCACCCTAAGGGAAATGTGTTTCTTGCAGGCAGTGGAGATAGCACCTCGTGGATGTGGCATGCTGGGACTGGTCAGTGCATGAATGTTTACGCCGGCCACAGTGACGCTGTGACATGCGGTGGCTTCCTTAATAACGGAAAATCCATCGCAACCGGCTCACGGGATGGCACGGTCATCGTCTTCAACCCAAAAGAAGGGCGAGCAGTCGAAAAGCTTCTTTTCGACAGCAGTGCCGTTGGTGGTGATGGCTCCGAGATTACGTGCTTAGCTGATACGAACAACGTACCTAGTCGATAATTTTTGATGATGCGTATGATTAAGTAAGCTGTACGTTGATATCGATGACTTTCTTTTCACAATCATACTACTAGTAACTATAAATATGATATATCTTCTTGTTCTGCTTTGCGGTGCAATGCGCTCATTATTTTTGAATCGCACACTCATCAATCATAATCCCACCTACAGCTTCCAATTGGCGATAGCAATGGCAATGTATTCGCAGTGGGAACCGCAAGCGGTGAGGTGTTTCTGTGCAATTTTGACTTCGCCACCAGCAGTGGTAAGGTCACCTCAAAAATGTCACCAGCACATGACGATGCTGTAGAAGTTGTCGCTTTTCAGACAAAGCTCGGTGGCGATTGGCAAAAGGAGATTGGCCTCTTCATGGCGTCCGCAGGATTGGATGGACGGGTAAGATTAGCAGCAGCACCATCTACATCATAATCATTTTTTGACACCATAATGATCTTTGAACTTGAAGTACAAGTCGTGTATAATTGTGTCAAGAAATAGGTGAACTGTTCAGACAGTGCATGTAATGGAGGTTGTGATCTGCATTTAATTCTTTCTTGTTTCTCGTGGTCTCCATTTTCCTACTTAACTTAATTTGTTTACACTAGGTTCGGTTATGGAATTTGCGAACCGGCTCTTTACGTTACGACTTGCTCGCCCACGACGGTGGTGGCGTGACTTGCCTCAAGTGGGCAGACAGCGCGCATGGATTCGGCGCCTACTTTGTCACTGGGTCATTAGACTGGACCGCAAAACTGTGGTCTGCTCAATCTGGGCAGTGCCTGCAGCAATTCTCTGGGCACAGCGATGCAATTCTTTCTTTGGATATCTTGCATCCCCATCTGACGCGGCCGCACGAGCTCCTTATTCTATCCGCATCCGACGACGCCACAGCCAAGCTTTGGGAGTGGTCATCACCAAAGAAAAAAGCAGCGATCGCGGCTGAGAAAAATGTTGCTGCGGGTGAAGAGGCTTAGGATTGATGAGAAAGAGAACCCCATTCAATTTCAAGCCCAATCAAGAATATTCCTGTGCACGATGTGAACGAGAGGCTAGCTGTGACTTTGCATCTTCTTTGCGTGGTCTCTAGAAAGCGTCTCACCAGGCTGGTTGTTGGCGTATGAAATTTAGGTCAGGCTTTTTCTGGGCGAGAACGATGATTTTCCAAACGCGTCAGAACCATTGTTCTTCCATGACCAATTTTATCTGCAGCAAACTATACGACAATGACCCGCGGTGAAGCTGATGCTTTTCGCGAAAAATATTGTTCGAAGGCTCCAAGAACGATAGACAAGGATCGCATCCAAGGCGATAGCCTAAAAATCATCTGGCGTGAAAGATGACAAATGATCCAGTATTGCAATTGTTCTTGATGAAGTGACAGACTGTTCTGCAATGAATGCAAGAGAAGCTCTATCATGACAAAAAGACCAACGAGGTCATGACGGTTCTACAACAACTAACGAGAGAAGGGTCTTGTGGTCACTACACGATCCCGAATTAGTCATCTTCTACGACGAAAAATATCACAACTTTATTCAGTCACAAAAGATCCACTTCATGACGAGAAAGGTAGAGATCCCAAGAAAGGAATGATGGAGATCCACCTACTCGATTCTGATCTGTCATACTCACACCAATCCTAAGGATTTGAACTTGTTCTCTTTCAGTCTTTTCTTCAGAAATGAATCAGAAATCATACTCATACATTAACATAGCGACGGCAGGCGAAAGTTTCTGTCTTCAGTCACGACCCGATTAGAGATATCATCGATCTATCAGCAAGAACACTAAATCGAATCGATATTCACTAAATTGAGTAAACGTCGCTCCCGCTCGTTTTTTTTGGCGATTTTGGAAAGATTATTGAATAGAATTGTATGGGCAATAATTTCAAATTGTAATTCAATTATTCCCATTCTAATCTTCTCGCAAATTGTTAGGTCCACCTAGAGTAGTGCGCAAAGAAATTGGGATCATTGGTAGACTCGTATTTGTTTTCTTCATAGACTTTTACTTGTATCTCACTGCTCATCGTCACTACTTCCACGATTACAGGAAGACACAACAGCGAGAATACTGACTTGACGAGAAAATATCTAGTTGGAGAGTTGTTTGCAGCATCATCAAACCAGATTGATTCATTACTTACAAATATCGTTGACTCCTTCGTTATACAGTTAATAGTGGTTGCAGTTTGATTTGATTCAGAGGTCTTGTTGTTGTTCTGGGTTGTATTTAGTAGTAGAAATTTTCTAGTGAAACCGTAACCGACAAAATGGTGCAAGAACGAGAAAAGGGTGGCAAAATGAAAACCGGCGACCGTAAGCGAAGACGCGATGGCGGCCGTTCGGAACACGTGGAATATCATGACGTGCGAAACCTCGAGAAAGGTGTGGCAAAAATGAAAGTCGGAGAAGAGGAGGAAGAAAGCTCCGAAGAAGAGAGCGAGGCTGCAGGAGCTGGGATGGAGTCTAGTCGGCAAGAACAGGGGAGCTTAGATGGTATTTGTTCTTCGTCACACACAACATGTTGACGCTATGATCATTGAAGGTTGCGCCGACCACTGGTATTTTCTACTTCCTCTACTACAGATTGTTGGCTTCTTCTGTTCTAGGTAATGCTAAAAGTTGCCCACAATTTTTTTTAAACTTCTACGACTAGTAGTAGAGTGCATCTTATTCATGCGAACGTATGAATTTGTCTTCGAAAAAGGTGGTTTCAGCGACGATGAGCAGGATATCCCTCAGCAGTCAAATAGTACCAAGAGAGAACAAAAGCAGGCAGAAGATGAGGAGCAGGAGGCTGAGGAAAAACGCGCAGAGGATATGGCAAGACTGGCCGACATCAAGAAAAAACGGGAAGAAGATAAGGTAACTAATATTAAATACTAGTATACACTTTGATATTAAGGTTAACTGAGTTCGTTGCACATAACATTTCCGACAGGGTTTCATATTCATACGCCTACCCCAACTCTTGTCAGGAATAAGGTCTAATGTGCTTAGGATCTCACTGAGTCTACTACTACCAAACACAGGAAAAACGGCTCGCGGCAGAAGCAGCAGCAAAAGAGGCAGAAGCAAAACAGGCCGCGGAAAAAGCCGAGAAGCAGAAGAAAGACACTGCCGCAAACGAGGCCAAGCATGCGCCGCTTCGTGAAGCGCTTGCTAAGTTGATACAGGTAATTTTGTTTTTAATTGATTTCCTCCAATTCCATCTTGTTGAACTATGTTGTATAACCAGAACGAGACCTGCTGCTCCTAGATGAGGTTGCGAATTTCGACATGAAGAGTTGTATTGCAGCAGCATCAATGATGCAGATGCACCACTGAAGCAATCATAAAAATTCTTGCCAGGTCGATGCGTCAAGGAACATAAATCAGTTGAACCAAGACGCCGATGCAAAAAAGGCGTTGAAGCCACTGTTGAAAAAAGCTGAAATCAAGGCATTGAATAAGGCGACACTAACAGCCATATGCAACGGAGACAAGCGCTTCAAGGTTGACGAGGTGGACAAAATCGTTCACTGCAAAAGAGTTGCGTAAAATCGCATTTCTCTACTTCATAGACAACTACTACTTGGTTTTATTGGTTCAACATAATTTCTATTTCGCATTCGCGCATAGCGAGAAACGCATTCATATTGATTGATGTTAACCCGCCTTGTGTACCTTGTCGGCATCCCGGGCATGAATGTCAAATAACCTATATAATTATTTATCTTCTATCGATCCATTCCAACGAACGTTCCATCTTCATTATCCATAGATGCTGCGCTCTACATTAACATCAACATTTGACATGCCCGTGACAAATAGTCGCGGGTTGTGGTCAGCAAAAACTTGCTCATGCTTGTTGTATCTATGTTTTTCTTGGTGGAGACGTGCACTATGAAGTGATAAAGAACCTAAAAGTATCAAAATGAAGACTCGTGCTACGGTAGCACAGAAGCTTTCAATCTGAAGATGAAAGACATGTGTTGGACTTTTCATTTCTGGGTGTCTTCGTTTTCCCGCTTGTCGGTCTTACTAAGTACGACGAATAAAGACAAACATACATGAAGATCCTGCAACAGGCTGTGGAGAAATTTCTTAGAAACTCGGTAGATCAAAATCAACCAATTGTGCTCCTACTACTCCGCAAATGGTGCGTAGAAGTAGATAGACGTAGTTGATGAACAACATGATCAAAGTAAGAAGTGGTGCAACAGTAACGCTTTTCTCCTTCATTTTCACTATCTGCTCGACGGCAAAGAACAACAGATATAAATTCGAGTGATCTATCATTCCTTATGTTCTTCTAGGCCCTAGTAGTACTAGAACTAGGTCTTGCCAAGATCTAGTTGAGTTTGCTTTAACTATCTAACTCTGCAGATCAGAGGGTGCTGAAGCTCATAATCTTTTGAATTTAGCCGCGTGTGATTGAGTTCTGTCGATGAGCATCATCCATACCAAGAACTTCCTATAACCAACGTGACAACTTGTTCAACCACCACCATCATTACGTCGATTACAATATACCGACCACAACATCACCATAATTGCTGCATCACGACCAAAGATGATGAATCTTCCAGGCGGCCAACATTTTGGAGCTCCGCAGGAGCTGCAAGGATCGGTTCCGGGACTGCTGGCGATGCCCATCGAGGATCCGAAATTAATAGAGCATTCCGAAGATTTGGCGTCAGAATACGTGAGCCTGGGCCCTTGGATTCAGCCAGACGCATTGCCGTTCTATGTGGGGCGAACCGTGCGGCTGCCGGTGCAGGGAACTCCGAATCCTCAGGTTGTCATTATGATGAACCAGCAGCCTATTGAAATCGAGCAACCAGACGATGAGCCAAGGCGCATCCCAAATGGTGAGAGTGTGGTCCATTTAATAAATTATGATATGAATTTAGATTCAAACTACAACATCTTGGTCCATTTCACTTCATATTGTGAATCATGTGACGATGATGATGTCTACCTGAAACACACGTTGAAGGACAATATCGTTAAGCAAGGTTTCCAGAAAAAAATAGCAATGTAACCTGCCCATTTTGGAAAGACCATCTACAAGAGTAATCCACAGGTGATTCTCATGTTCGCAACAGGTACCATAACGCTTTCCATATTCGAGGTGCTTCCTGGGCCAAAGATAAGGAGGGCATATTTCGAAGATTTCGGTACGTGTGTTGACATTCCGCGAGAAGTTATGAACAAGCATGATACTCAAAGTGATAGATTTCGATACACCTCAATAGTTTTCGTCTTGTTAATAGTAGCTCATATTGCTGCATTAAAATGCCGCATCTTAATCTGATCATCTTCAAATCTTCGTACCGTTGCTAGTTGAAGCACTCTTTAATAACCAGCAGTACAAGCAGGACAACTACTTAAGTACACAAACACAGATACTCACTCCGAGTACTACTTACAATGAGGCACTAGAATGGTGTATGACAGTGACAGCCTTCCTCCACTCTCAACTCGTAATCGTTGTAACAAAAATCTCTTCCTCCTCTAAGCATGCCGCGCAAATACAGCAAGACATGTGTTCGCTTCATATTGCGGCTGAGGGATTCAGCTTTTTCAAGTTTCTGACAGGCGAAGCTGAGATGCACAACCAATTTCCGCACTTGCCTTATGAAATTGACTCCACGCCAGTGCTGATAGGGCACCCGCCACAGGTGAAAGCATTAACCTAATAGTGGTCGCACTTGTTAGCCGCTTGGGGCTCGGAACAACGAGTAAGGATCGCAACATGAAGCGGACACATGACATGGCGGTTAGTGCAAGGATGGGGATGCTGAGTCCAGCTGCCAGTGATCAAGCCATTTTCGACCGTCCTCATCGTAATCTTGCCGAAGAAGTAGATGATTGAAATGGATGAATAGAAATAGCAATTACGTGGTCAAGACCAAAAACCTGTTGCACCTGCACCCTAACCCGATGACGATTCCACCCATTCCGTGACGCATTCAGAAGACCCTCTTACGCAGTAGGAGATGTGCCCACACGCTTATTGCACTAATGCAATTCTCGTCATCATCTATGCATTCGATTAAGATGTTCTTCTACTGCGGAGTACGCAGCAGTTTTTATTTGCCATCATGGCAGGGGAGGTAGAACAACATGATCTTGCTCTATCATCTGCTAAAACAGAATGGTCGGTAGCTATATTCTTCAAAGTACTTACACTTGGTTCTCTTCATCCAACTATTAGTGGAGCAGCTCGTGAGAGTGAAAGTTTCTAAATGACAAGTGTTTCAGCGAAAAATGACGCGAATCTCATTATTATTCTGGGCCTGCGAAGATGCAAGTCATCGACTGATGTCATCTCGGTCACTTTTTCGGTGGCTTCGGTCAGACTCCTGCAGTGATTGAGGTTGAGAAGGTGAAAGCGTCCATATCGGTTATATTCTTGTGCCCTGCCGTCGGATCATGGAGCCTTCCCACTGGTGCATTCTCTCCCATCCCCATTAGCATGGTAATTACAGACCTTCATAGATGAACGCATCATAGTTTTGCCACCAATAATTTTCGACGTATAAGAATACGTTGGGGTTGGATCTAGTACAAGTAGTAAAAAACGCAAAGTTTCTAGAAGGTACTTAGACAAAGTACTCGGCGTTCGTGGAACTTGGTTCGTCGACATTACGTTGACATATGAAAAGAGCCACCAACCTGCTCGTGGTATGACTGATTATATTCAGAGAATATTAAAATGAAGGAGCGAACCGGTTTAGCTCACTTACTTGCCGCCGCAACTGACGGCGGGGATTACGAAGTGGTTCAAAGACTACCTCACGCAACATTGGATGAAGTCAACCTCCGAAAATATGCTGAAGCGGTTGACTCTACGGCTCGATTCATATTTGCCTTCTGGCTTTTTGTTGGCGGAGTCTGTACTTGCGATTTTTTCTTACTGTCAATTTCAAATACTAGTCAAACTAGTCAATCTTCTCAATTATTCTTGATTTATGCAAGCGAACAAGCCAAAAAATACTTCATGAGTTGTTGTTCATGCTCAGATTCTCATGGAATGACGATGACATATCAGCATAATTATCAAGTTGTTTGCTACATGAGCTCCGCGATCTTGATCATTACGTAACCAATCGTTACTTCACGCAGGCCTATACGCACTTTGGCGTGCACACCACACTGCGGAGCTGGCGAGGTCCATGGTCGCTTTCCTTTTCGGGATAGTGATCTTGATGGAATTTCCTTCGTTGTTCGGCGACATCCTGGTGAGCATTTTCGAGTATGCCACCTTCTGGATTTTTATTCTGATCCTGATCATATCAGCGGGAACGCATGTCTACTTTCTCACCCGATACCACGAAAGCAAGCTGATTGGTGTCGCAGGTGGCCTCCTGGGTTGGTATGCGGCAGCCGCAATTTGGGCTTCTGTCGCCGCCCTGTTGCGTGGCATAATCTGCGTGTGCTCTACGGGAGGATGGGAAGAGGACGAGGATAATGAGGTCGTGCCAGGCGGTCAAGGTGCCTCGTCTGATGAGCCCAGCACGAAGGACACCTCTGCGCTGCAACTCGCGTTTTCTATCGTAAAAAAAATCGCCAGCAAAGCAACAACACTGCACGATCAGAGGCTTTCCTACGGTTCGAGTCGGCTCAATGCCGCCAGTGTGACCCCAGCGACGCGGCTAGTATTTCCTTTTCAAACTACACGTTGACGTTTCCGATCTAAAAATGGATCGTTAATTAGGATCTTATTCATCGACTTGTTCACAACGCATTGGTCTTTGAATGACACTATAGTCTTGAGACTTTTTTAGCAGAGCGATATCCTCAACAACTGCGACAAGGAAATTCCAATGGCTATACCACAGCAGCAGACAACTTCGAGCTTTCTGCACCTTCACACCGGGCAAAAAGCAGAGACGCTCGACACGAGCGCGGAAGACGTTTGTCACAGACCCTATGTAGGAGCACAGTTCATGTTCAGTAGCGAATGGCACATGTTCTGCATCGATGTCCTGCATGTGCTGGTCGTCTTTGCAGGTGCCTTCGTGGGTATGCGGTTTGCGGTACGAACCAAGCAAATCATTTACCCCTATGTCCTGCCTGCGATTTTCGCATTCGTAGGCACAGCATCATTTGGGGAGATGCTCATCGCCATAGCGTACTTTCTTGGACCTCAGCACGCACGCGACGAGGGATCTCCGTGGGAGCTCAGCCATCACAATCTTGTTCGCGATATTCGCTACCAGTACAACAGCGCGGCCTCGTTGCGGGGACTGACGTTCAGCTCCACTATGGCTTACACTCCTGGTTGAAAAGAGAGACAAATTATAATTTTTTACATTTAGTTTTGGAAGGCGGAGATCATCTTCTCATATCTTCCGCTTCCCAGTGAGCAGCATTCGAAATTTTAGACGAACTAATCATGACCATAATAGTCTAACAATCCATTCTGTAGCTAGTAAGTTCCTTTTTCGTCGTCGGGAGCGGTCTCTAATCCTACGTTCCATTATCGATTGCGCCTCCCTTTTCAGGCTTTTCGAGATCTGATTCAGATTTGTGCATTCCGTGGTGCTGGCATGGTAGTCAACGACGATCATGGCGAGGACGGCCATCTGAGCACACTACAAATGAGGGACTCACAATCACATCATCTTATGGCAGCGGTTGCTCATGAGGACATTAGCATTACAAGTATTTAATCGGATTACATATGATCAGTGTGCTAGTCTCAATGAGAGTCCTGAAATAGGCTAATGCAGCTTGTTTTGGACCACATCAACTACATCTACTGGTTATCGCAGAGTTTACTTATCCTAATGTGGTAGATTGAGCTTCAGGAACGACCGCAGACAACAAAACTTTAAAAGACCCACTGAAAGACTAAGATGCAATGAACATAGAGAAATAATGCTAGCTCTAACACATCAGCGACGAGTAGGCGAGAGGACGAGGTGGCAGCTGTAGAAGATGCGTCACCGTCATCATCGTCATCATTTGTGACAGTTCCACTACAACGAGCTCGAACGAGCATGGCTCCTGTCGACGGAATACAGGCCGATGATGGCATCATGCTGTTCACCGCAACGAGCAGTGATTATAGCAGTCAGACGATATCCTCAACTCCTGCATCGTCCTTGTCTAGTGGAGCGATACCCTTGGCATCGCAGGGCGCATTTTCATCTCTCGGGGCAGACGGAACTGCGACCAATGAGTCTTCGTCGGCAGGAGGCGATGCTACGCAATTCTTGAACACAACGGGAAATTGTGGGAACAGTCCTGCTTCTTCAAGTGGAGAAGGGGAGGGAGGGCACTTTCTGTCTATTTCCCCATATGGTACTAGTCTATGGCCATCAAGTAGTAGCAGCAACAGGGGTAGCCTTACCTCATCTTCAACAGCGTTCAGCGAGTTCATGGAGACGTCAACATCTTCATCGGCATCATCGTCCTCATTTTTGATTTTGGGGCATGCGCATGCACACACTGATGTAGGACAGGGAAGCGGTAGCGGAATGGTCGACGCACCGGGGCAGGCTGAAGTGCAGAGCCTTGTGGGACAGTATTTTGCCCCCAGTGCCTCGTTCTTCGACGATTTGTGGGGACAATTGTTTCTGTTCTCAATTTTCATCGGGCTCTTCTTCATCGGCTTGATCCGTATGGGCGACACCCGCCGCGAACTTGAAGCGGCGATGGCGCTAGAGCAGGAAGAGAAAGGCGAGGAGGAGTACTACGAAGAAGAGGAGTACCTAGAAGAATCGCTGGACGAGCAGGCCTACACCGAAGAAGACCTGGAGGCTGAAACAGCCAAAATTTCAGGATTTGTATTTTTGACTATTGCCTTTTTTCACACAGGATCGATTGCCATTTATTTTTGTATTGTTCATGCTGTAAGTGTAATATGACGATTATTTTACCTCTTTACCTTTTTGGATGACATGATCCTCCAACACGCAATGATAATCTCATGCCCTTTTGAAAAAAACGATATCTTCTTCAGGACCATCTGGATCCTGTAGATGAAGAGGAGGAAGATTTGGAGGATGCCGGTAGCACTGGTGATGGAAATGAGATCATGCGAGATTCCAATACTAGTCCTGCTTTAGCTGCAGGTGGAACTTACGCGACCCCTAGCTCTTCTTCAGTACTGGTTGCATTAGAGGAAGCTCCACAACAGGCGACAGGAGCGTCGGGAATCTTGAAAAAACAAGTCACAGTAAATCACACGCCGAGTATACTGAATCTGGGCACCGACGCAGGTCGTATGAAGAAATCAGCATCGAGGTCGTCTTCTCAGCGAGCGCGGGATTACTTAAGCGCTAGATCTACAGGGACTAGGAAAAGTGGTCAGGTAAAGTGATCTCGCCGTCAGTGAAAAAGTGCTGCAGGAAAGAATAACTCCAACATACAACAAATAGTATCCATGTCCATTCTGCACCATACTCCACCAGGCGATAGTGTTGAACAACGATCTTGTTCGAAGTGCTACGCTGATCAAACTACAGGCTCGAGGATTTCACTCTCATAATACAAATACTAGTATGAGTAATTCATCAAGCACATCGCTTCTTATGCATGGTGATGCGTTACTTTCACAGTCATCTCTCTTGTGCATTATAAAAGACTATCTTTACCTGCCACCTAGGTCATGGTGTGATCGCAAAGTTACATTTTGATTACTCGACTTTGATTGAAGAGCAAGAGTCCTTTGCAGGAGGACTAGAGCGGACCTCAAATTAGCTACCTTATCTAGCAGAGCGAAGACATTGGATTGGTCATGTATACATAGAAAGATTAGGAGTGCCCTATTGGATTCCTAGAATGGAAGAAACATATAATTAGTTATAAAATTTGTGAGCTCCCCCGCAAGCACAACAACTACAATATGTTAGACTCAACAAAAGAGAATGATCATCGTCGGCCACACGGACGAGCTAAGACACGTCGCGCTTCCCTTGAATTGCAAAGTGTTTGGACCTTGACTGTATCGTCCCGATCGCAATCGCAAAAGAGACAGAGAGGTGGATGGGCATGCCCATGCTGTAGAATGGCTTCGGTAATTGTTCTAGTACCAATTTTCGGTAATAAAGGTGAAGCAAGCTCGTTCGTTAACAACACCTCATCGGCTATCACCATTGATGGTATACCGTCAAAGAACGTAGTCGCTTCTAGATAAAATCGGTTACGTCCTCGACGATGAAACTGTTCTTGAGCAGTCAGGATTGGGAAAAAAGTGTGCACATGCCACAGGGTAGTTATCCATCAAAAACGCTGGTCATGTCGATGAAGTCGATTGAGCGTGATCGGTGAAATTGATCATGATGAACAATGAAGTACAGGAGGATTGCTTCGCTATTCGTATCTATTCAGATTCTCCTCTGCCTCGGCGTCTCTTGCTATGTATTGGTACTTGCATCGTGATCGCATCTTGTTGTTTAGAAGAAGAAGACATAGAGACCCCGCCGACACCCGGGCCCGGCCCGAATTGATACCCATATCTTGCATAAAATTGTAGTATCGCATAAGTGCCTTATTCGTGTAGTTCGTGGTCACATTGGTAGTTACGGGTGAGGAAGTACTAGAAGTCTACTTTTGCCATTCTTCAATCTTTGAGATGTTGTAACAATTGCATCATAACAGAGAAGTGGCGGCACAAATACAACAGCTACGCCTGTCAACCCATAATTGTGATTTCGCAAGTTTCATATTTGGACGAGAAGCAATCGCAATGCGAATGCTTAATATGAACTTCAATCTCTTGCGTTCAATCTCTTGCGACTGCCTCTTTGACACTTGCTCATGAAGGTTTTTAACCTTGGTAAATATATTCAGACATCGCAGAACACCCGAAGCATCATCTTCATCACCCGGGAAAGCCTTCTCCTGCATTCCGCCTTACTTCTCTTTCCACTACTCGTACCAAGACTTTATCGAAAGCAACGATGGTGACCGGAGGTATTGCGGTTGAAGAGGTGGTTGATAGCGCTACGGCGTTCACGGACATCGCAATCGAAGCCGACGGTTCTGTACGACCACAAAGGCATGTCGAGGCAGGTGGATCGTCTTCTAGTACAGCTGGATCGCAGTGGTCCACATCGACAACCGTGGTGTCCGACGACCAGTACTCAGCGGGAACAATATTCATTCAACTTAGGGCTCTCTGTCGAGTTTGAGGCGAAATCTTCTGACACATCTTTCTCGTATTGATCCTTGCACCCGCGCTTCGCTCGCGTTACTTTCGTGCTGAATAAATACACTTATTAGCCGACGGTAAAGCTTGGCTCGTTTAGCTCAAATTTTTTCCCCTAATGTTTGAACCCATGGACCACGCGGATTGGAGCAAGAGATTGTATACTCATTGGAGCAGACGACTGCACTCGATGCAGTAGCCACACGGGTGGGTACACTTACGATAACGTACTTGTGGTTTCTTTTTCTTTTGTTCCTCGCAGCCGCGCTTCTCTGTGGTGCGAGGCGGATCCCGAGAGCAGCGCATCGAACGGCGCTGGGCTTCTTCGCAATCGTGCTTTTCCTCAGCCAATTCCCGGAAATACTTGTGAAGGTGCTGTACGGCATGTATGACTACGCGCCATTAGCGGCACCGCAATATCACATGGTAGTGGTCCATTCCTGGAGTCTTTTGCTTTTGTTGATAATTAGTAAGAATCCTTCTATATTATCTCGTGCTCGTCGTTTGCGGCTAGTGTGCGAGCACGAAATAGAGTGCATTATATATATTTTGATCGTCACCTCTTACATCTTCACCAACCTCAAAGATACATCATGCACTACCTCCTTTTTCGTAATGTCGCCAACGTCTCTTCTATCTTTTATCCGTATTGTCAATAACAGACGCTGATGTTTTTCGGCGGACTTGTTGGAGCTGGTGTTGGTTTTTTCATTCCAAAAGTACGAAAATTTTTTGCCGGATGGTGTATGGGGATAGTGCTTGGAATGGGCGTAATACGCATTGTTGGGGACTTCACAGCTCTTTTGGATAGTGGCAAAACAAACCATGCAGAAGCCTATCTCGGAACCGGATACTACGGAACCGTCCACGTCCTCTACTTGTTAATCTTATGGATGAACAAAGAGAAGGTACTAGAACAAGCTAGCCTGGTGTGCGTGTGCAGCTATTCCTGTTGTTGTCGTGAAAAATCAAAATTGCTAATGTTCTTCAACATCGAGATCATATAGATGAGAAAATTCTACACTCGTTGTCGTTTCTTTCGAGCTCCATAATTCTAGGCACGAGTAGTCTTCAGCTTATAACTGCCCGCCTGTTTGTGTTCTTCTTCTTTCTAATTTACATGGGTGGCGGATCAGGCGCAGGTTTATCTATCTACGCGCCTAAAAATAACTTCCTCTACACCGTGTATCTGTGCTTTACATACGCATTCATCGCGGCGTCCTCACTCGGAGAGCTATGCGTGTCGGCCACAATATCTCTCTCTCCTCTTGAAAACGATCCTGTCGTTGGTCCCATGATGCCAGAAACTGCGGCACGCGCCGTCTACCTTCTCCAAGACCTCTATGGTCGCTCATTGGCTTCTCCAGGAGCCCCATCTTCCATGAACGCTGGATGGCGTACGCTCTACCATAAGCGGTTACCATTGCCACTGCAAGGCCTAAGGAGAATGGTAATGTTGTGATTTTTCTCTTTCGCTCTCCACATAAGTATGAAACTACACAAGTAGTATGTGGAGGCGTTCTTTATGCCCCGCCCTCGTCAGTTTACTTGTGCTCACCCTTTTATCCATCAAGAACAAGAATGACATGATCATCAGCCCGAGATCCAACTTGCCGTCGACGCCAATATGCTTGACGGATACATGGAGCCGGACCATGATGTTGACGATGCCTTTCACTATGTGAAGCAAGTATGCGACTTTGCATTTCGGCCACCGCCGTTCGCAGCCAACGCACCAGCGTATGTGACGCTTGGCTTCGCTTTCTTTGGGCTCTTCATAGTCGGGTTGGTCCGATTTGCACAGACGCAATCTCCAGACCTAGTGTGGCGTTATCGAGGATGGGAGCCGTTCTTGGTGATGCGAGTATGGGATCCGACGCTGGAGCATACAGACGCAGGAGCAGACAAGATGGGCGACTGTAATATTTATTCTTTCATCAAAGTGATGATTGAATAATGTTGATGAGATCCTTCATTCTCCTCGAAATACATCGCACAATTTTTGACAAGGTTCCGATTGTCTTCTTCAGCCTGCAGCCATGATAAATATCAATTTTTCTGAATTTTCGAGTAAGAGGCACAAGAAACATGATCGAAATCGCATAGGCACATGATCTTCCCTTTCCAAAACATTCCATCAAAAAAACAGTCGGGGCCGCCGAAGCTGGAGGGGACGGAAGCGGGATGAAACAGAATCCACTGGATCGGCAACCGGAGGCAACCGTGTGGATCCCTTATGCAAAGACAAACGTCGAAAAAGGTCGATTGCTAGCAACTCATAGCCAACGACAATTTTCGTACTACGACCTCGAGCCAGAAGCTGTCGCGAACGAACTCATGGACGACCAACTGCATGGAATGTTACACGATGATACTTTGGACGATGGTGTAGAACTTGGCGGCGGGGATGAAGCCGCGCCTGCACTACTGGACGAGATGTAAATTTACGTGAGCGGCTACCGGCTCTCATCACAGCACTAATTTGTACCGTCATCCGCGAGGCATCAGTGGTTCATGTACGGGAACGCCCTTCCAAGAAGCAGAAGAGGACGGCACTGGTCTCGTTCTTGTAGCTTTTCTCACAGAAGCTCCGATGCTGCATGACTCGTCGTAAATTACCCAACTAAACAAGACTGCATCACTGAACTGATATCTTTCTTCAAGAAAAGAATGGGCTACTCAATCACATAGAAAGGTCCAAGATTGTGACTTCTTTACACAAAGTCGTGATTGTGAGTGTTCGCATTTTTTCACTGCGAAAAATTACAGTTCTGCTGCAGCGGTCTGGATGTCAACACGACGGACCCGCGGCATCGTCAGGACCCTCAGTTTCTCTTTGTTTTTTTAGGTCTTCATAATTCTACATGGGTTCATGACAGACCTTATTGATTATCACACACCTGGACAACGCGATATTAAGTAGAAGAATCATTCAATCGTGGAATAATCGAGTTCGAGCGACGAGGCACAGTGTAGAAGAGAGTCCAGTTCCTTGAGACGCAGCTACATGATCGTCCTAGCGAGAGAATACAGCTCCTGATGCTATGATCGTATGAACTTACGGCGAAAACAGGACGACCACGTGTTCAACTTCATCTTCCAAACACGCGCCGCGTAACTCTCTTCATTCATCTTTATAGTTAAAGTCATTGACTAAGGCCATAAGAAAGTCAACATTTCTCCACCTCCAGGCTAAGATGATCTATCTTCATTTCAATTCTCATGCTTTCCACCACTGAGCAAGAGGAGCTGCCACCCCACCAGCTACAGCGAGTTCTGGTCCCATAATCGCTCTAGAATCAAGTCTTGTAATGGAACGGCCTTTGATCGTAGTAAATGTATAATCGAGATTTTTTTTCTTGTGATGCTGTCGCGTAAGGCGAAGGCGTGTTGTATATGTAAGAAATAGGTCGTGTCGCCTGTTCTTGTAATTGACACCGTACAAGAACTGCCTGGCTCTTCTAGTTTCTTCAAAATCCTGATAGTAGCGTTGGCAGTGCTTTTCTTTCGTAGCGCTTTTGAAGATCGATGATGATGATTGATAGATACTAGTAGATGATTTGACAGATACAAAGAGAACAAGATGCGTCCCTTAACAGTCACGGTTTTTGTTTTACAAGTTTACTTTGCGTTCTTCGCGCTGGATACTAGAATATCACTAATTATATAATTCATCAACAAATGGTCGTGATTGATTACAGTTCTTGTCTACTACTGAGATCGGAATATAATGAAAATGAATCATGAAGATGAAATGATTTTTTGAACAAGGGAGACAGAGACACACCTTGAGATGACGAGTATGCCTGCAAGGTAGCGAAGTTTCGATAGCTCGCGATGAGCTAACGGCTCGCTTGCCTCTGGTGCGTGCATTTCGTTCAGTCTTGTGAGTGGGCTGCACAATCAACATTTTGGCGGAAACCGCCTTTCCGTAACACGACAGTGAAGAATTCACCATCGTGCTTTGCGTTCTTAGTAGCTGGCCACTTGGCTTCGCCGTGAGAGCTTTGACAACGCAGCTCGCCTTTCACAACGCGACCACAGCAAGCGCATTCGATACTATTGAAAGGACGCCAAAGAAACTCTGGGATTCCCGTGAAGTGCAAATCCGAACTCCTGCAAAGCAACGTTAGCTTGATTCATAAAGAATCTTTTAGATCCCACCATGGGCTCCGTCGGGAACGGGATGCGGGTGCAAGGCGCACAGAAGCGGCCTTGTTTGGCCGCGGATATTCCCGAATACCCAGAGAATGCTACTTCGATCAGAGAACCCTCGGGTCTCGGCCTGGACTCGGACGATCCAGAAAGCTCACCACAAAGCCCAGGTTCTGGCCTTTTCTCGTTTTTTATGAAGAACATAATAAAGAAAAAGATGATTGAAATTGATGGGAATCGAAAGAACCTTTTGTCGCTTTTGAAGGTAATATGGAGAATTGGAAAAACTCGTTCAAGTAGGCCTAGTTAACTCGTCGACGTCCAAGTAGGCCCAGTTAACTCGACGTCCACGTAGTCCTAATTGTACATTAAAGGACGAGAAGTAATAAATGGTTCTTCATCTCGGTTCCCAACATTGTTTTTGTTTCTACCTTCATGTCGTTCCGAAAGCAATCGAGCCGATTCAGCCTAAAATCGGGAGTACACACGCAGTACACCGGCTCTATCTTTGATGGACAAGCGATGGAAATGTTCCTTACACCCAAGTTATGGCTAGAAATCTAAATCATGTTCATGGATCATTGGCATCATATAAGTAGTCGCAAGCGCCTATCGTGTTGAATGCGGAGCAGGCGTCGATCTCTCTTAGCGACGCGGCCTCGAGCTGGAGTGTAGATATTTTTTATCATATTCGAATTAAGTCTTTCTCATAGTTGTATACTACTACTACCTCTTCTACTATATTTCCACCTTCTTCTGCAATTGAGTAACTGCTGTGGATTTTTAATCACATTGCTCTTCGTCATCGTCTCTCTCGATTTTCGTCAATCGTCATTATAAACAAGAACAGGGGACTTTCTCGTCTTCCTTGCACGCTTATTCATGTATCAAGAAAATCTTGCCCCCTTCTAACCAACGAGAAGCATGTGTTTTCCGAGTGGGTGGAACCAGACGACGATCACTCTTTTTTGACGACGTGGTTGGATTATACAGGTGTTTTCGATAGGATAATACCCCTCATCCCGGACGCGATCACACCTAACATCTTGTGTCTGCTGGGAACGCTAGCTGTGGTGCAGAACTGGTATGTCGATTACCTATGGAATCATCTCCATCATCATGGTGACTTATATATAATCGAACATTTTCTCCTATCTTCTTGTGATGGTAAAATTATAGTCCGTTTTTTTGCCTCTTTACCTTCCCCAGGTATCTCGTCCTCCAGTACGAGCAGCAATTCGAGCATCTGACAACACTGTCAACGATTTTTTCACTCTCGTTGTGTTATTTGTGTCACGGTGTGCACGGACGCTATGCTGCTCACACAATGAATGATACTCCCTTAACGCACCTCTTCAAGCACTCATGCGACGCACTCACACTCGTTTTCCTCGTTTCAAGTGTCTCGCAACTTTTTACCCATGACTTAGAAATGCAGTGGCTCGCGGTACACAGCAGCCTGATGGTGTTTCTGTACAAACAGCTTTCCGCTTTCGCAAGGGAAGCAGGAATAAGATATCAGTGGTTTGTTGGGCCAGGCGAAATGGTCGTTCTCACGATCTATCTCTTGCTATTGAAAGTCACCTTTGGGCTGGAATGGTACTGATACTTAGAGTGATTGGACTGCGGATGACAGTATCTCGTTCTTGAGCCGTGGAGGACGCGGCATAGTAGAGTATATCTGATGATTTCCTTATTCCTACGCCTTCGCCCTGGCTCGGATCCAAATGGTAGTTTCTTCTTAGGCAATGATCAAAAAATGAGTAAGTTGTAAATTAAGTGTAAGATGACGATGAAGAGCATATGCATATCTAAGTACTTCGAATCCATCAGGTTGATAGCCCAATACCTGCAGCTCTACCAGTGGGGACACGACCAGCTCATACGAATGCTGATGATCAAAAGTTTCGTGCCATCAAGTCCCTATTCATGGATTTCAAGTCCACAGCCAGATCCGGTGACGCTTATGAAGGACTTTTTAGTCTCCGTTTACTGCGTTGCCTTCGTTGCGATCTTTGTGTCGCTTGCAGCGAGAAAAAATGTACTAACTTAAGTACTTCTTCATCTAATGAATCCTTACTCTACCATTATGTTCAAGATAGATCTTCAAATTCTGCAACGAACTAAGCTGCATCAAAAGAAAGTATGCCACAACATTTTACGTAATTTTCATTGACCATGACCGTTCGTTCGTATCCGCGTGTTCATATTCAGATCCGACTGCAGACGAAGGTGTCAGTCATGTTTATTCTGACGTATCGGATGATCCCAACGTTTTTCAAGTTCCTGATTGGCTACATCGCGACAAGCCAAGTGTTTATGAGCAGCGTACGCGTAGCAGGGGGCGGAAGTTCAACAAGTAGCTATTTCCTGTTTCGGGATATTTCACCCAGTTTGCTGCTGCTTTCCCAGCACTTACCGAAAACTCTACTAACTTCAGAAGGCACTATCGTTGAGGGCCTCTTTCTCACGGTCGTCTGCAGTGATATCGTTCTTGCGAAGATGGCGAAGCGACAGTTGCATTCATCGTTGCTAATATTGTGCTTCTCACATCTCTTGCCATATACACATGTGGCAACCGTAGTAATGATAGTAGCCTACTACTGTCTAGTGCTCTCAGATCTCTGCTGGTACATGAACCTGCCACTTCTCGCGAACGTCAAAAACGTGTACTGCGATGGCGTCTTCGACCTATGCCACATCGGCCACAAAAATCTATTTAGGTACTGTACGTTCTTTTGCACTGTTCTCTCTGCTTCAAAGCCTATTTAGGTACTGCACCACTGTGCGCAACTTAGCAACAACCTGTATTCTTGTAAATTTTCCGTCGAACGTGATCAATTTTCCGTCGTACACCTGCTGCTTCTGCGCGTAGGAGTCCTTAGTCTAGCCACTAAAATTACAACTTCTTAGTTGCTACGCAATGACACAGGGCCGCTTTGAAGCACGGCAACCGTTTATTCGTTGGCGTATGTGGAGATGAAGACTGTGCAAAGTACAAACGGCCGCCAATAATGAGCTGCGCAGAAAGGTGTCGCGAGATTCTGGGATGTAAAGCGGTGACAAGAGTAATACCCAATGCGCCGACGTTCGGGCTCACAAAGGAGTTCCTAAAGAAGCACCGCATTCACGTTGTTTGTTGTGGAGAGGAGTACATCGAACGGTATCCAGACCCGAAAAACGACCCTTATTAAGGCTTATATATAATGATAATCCACCTCGTCCACGGAATATCTCTCTGTCTGTCTCTATTTTGATTTTTTCATCAACATTAGGAATTTTTTATAGACAGCGTTGCTTCGGTTCCCTGGTGGCTTAGGTCCAGTGACGCCCAAGGCCCTGACAGGGGGAAGCTGGGTGGCTCCCCTCCCCACGCCGGCTTATTTGTTGGTTACTGTTTGTTCAATTAGATAGCTTCCAGGTCTTGGCCCGGGTTCTCGGCCTTTTCCTCCCTCCCTCCCTTCTACACACTTACTTTTAACAAAATGCAATGTCTCCACATGATCCTTCTCGCTTGCTTTCTCGTCCTCTAGAATGATCATCCTTCAATTCATCTTTTCTACTACTTGTCCTATTAATAATCAATGTGGTTTATAGACCTCATAAAATAGGATCAAGCTTTGTGTAATATGACCCGAAAGACAAGATTAATTACTGTGACCTCTAGCTCTAACCTTACTACCGAGTGCCAAGAGAAATGGGCATCGCAAGGCCTTTGCCACGCACGCAATCGCTGAGCACGTCGGACCTCATCCGACGCATACAGTCGATCACAAAAGACGCGGACGACAGGAACGACAAGTAGGCTCTCACGCGTGCAGATTTTTTAACCCGTCCTTGTAGCAAAAAACGCTGACGTATAATTCCGTATCCCGCACTACCCAGTAAGCCTAACCGCGAAAACGTTGACGAGGAAACCTAGCTCCAAGCGAGTAGATCACCCCCTTCGATTCCTCGCTGAAAGTAGCCCCTTGTTTTTTGGTCTAACATCTTCATAGACCTCCACCTCAAGAGGGAGGTGGTATATGTGTAACTAAACGAGTACCAGTTGCTGAGCAGGAATACTATTAGGTGTCGAAGCGTGACAGCAGGATTATTTTTGAAATTTGAAAACTATGATAACTACAACATATCCGTTGAAATTTTTTTTTTGCCTGTCTTGTCGCGAATTGACTGCGATTCAATTTGTGGACGGCTTTCGCGGATTTCAATTTACTGCTTACCACATGATTCTTAAAAATTTTCTCGAAGTTGAAATCAAACGATTGAAGTGCAAGTGCCGTGTACCGCATGATAAGCCGGCAAAGAACCGGCATGGGAACCGCCTAGCTACTGCGATACTGCGAGCTAATTATTACACCGTGATTCGAAACAATTACACATCTTCATTATTTGTTTCCAAAGAGTTAGAGTTAGATGGAGAGATCTCGACCTCGAGCCCTGCTCCCCCACGTGGGACCAGAGTAGAGATTTCGACGTCCTTGTACCAAGACCGCGTTAAGCAATGAAATTGAATTTTAGCGTCGGTGTCGGGTCTGGGTAGTGTGCGGTCGAACGTGCACAGGCCAATACTCGACAACGATAATGAGAAGCAGAAAGTTATTGTCACTGTCGAGCTCGACAGTGTGCTGAATATTCTGGAGGAGCATGCTTCATTGGTGATGGTATCATCCGCAACTGTGTCCATGAAGAATACGACAGCGGATACATCCATTCCATTTGCTCAGGATACGTGTACAACTAAAACATAGATGATCAATATGCGCTGTCCAGGGGTGCGTAATTCTGGCCTCATGATGAAAATGAAAAAGAAACCGAATGTCAACATAGTTATAGTAAAGATTCCTGGCTGCTTACGAAGCAAAACAAGCATAAAAACAAGGATGATCATGTAGATCGCATCATAATCATAAACATGTTGAGTCTATCTCTGTCGTGACGAACCATTTGCATTTTTTTTGACACACGCTGACGAGCATCCTAGCTACGCTGATCAAACTCTACTTAGTCTAGGAGAGCACCATTTGAAATTGAATTTGTAGTTAGTCAGCAGAACTAGTCGATGTGTCTCGTTGGGCCTTCGCTTCTGGCATTTTTTCAGTAATGATCTATGGTACTTTTATAATATATTATAAAGTCCCGCGCTATAGCTATTGATCATAGCAGCATCTACTTCCTATTTCACTTGTAGTTCTTCCTCCGTCCTGTTAGCCCCTGTAGTGTCCTCCTTGCGGTTGTATGGCTATACCTTCAAATTCTTATTACCTTCGCCTTTCTAGATCTAGCAGCGATGCGGCTCTTTCTACCATTTTTTTCCGTTAGTATCTTGATAGATAATTCTTCTCTAGATTTTTAAAACTTGCCTTGTTTGGGAAGGGAAAACTTCCCCGTAAATGAGTGTACGTTGCTGACGGTACGCGGAGATTGAGCTCTCTTTAAGTAGTTTCACCTAGTTTTTCCAACGACCACCTGCTCTTCATCCCATAGCGGATGTTTGTCATACCTCGTGGTCGAAAAATGAGTGTGAGCGCAAGATCGCTCATCTTCTCTTGCTGACGAAAGTTGTGTTGTTCTCTGTGTTCGTCTCGCTTCTTCTTCTGCCACTGTTGCCAGGAGGAATCACTCTTGATGATGATCACGATTATGAATGTATTCTTCACGAAGAGCAGATCCTGCGTCATGTGCGTTATTGCGGAAGTGGCAGCACGGTCCTCAGCGCTGCGGCACCACGATCAATTTGAATTTGGAGTTGGGTGAAGTTCCGTGGTGATCTTGAACAAAGATCGTTTTTTTTGCGATTGCGTTTACTAACGACACTTAAAGATGACAAACCTCGTCCAAGAACCGGCCAAATCTACTATAGCTTTTCTGGAAGATGATGATGATGAATCCGTTAGTGTAAGTAAGCAATAGCATTGCAACTTCATGATACTTCTGTAGGTGCTTAGTATACTAGACTTCAGCGCCCGAAGATAGCTCTCCCTCCACGTCCACTAGAATCTTCCACCTCCTTCAAGCATTTCCTCCGTCAGGGCGCGCCTCCCCCGCTCCTCTTCCGCCAGATCGCGACGCCTTCTTGGCGGAGTTGATCCGCGGCAGAGGAGTTGAGGCAGAGGCGCCGCGAAATTTGACAGAGGCAGGCGCATCCCCCAGGTTTTTGAGATGTTTCAGAGTTTGGCTGCTTTTGAATATCGTGCAAGTAGGTTTTCGTTTTGGATGGGAAGCCTTGAGCGCAAAACTTTACACTTGAAGCGTTGGAGTGGAGACTTGGAGCGAGCTTGGCGCTTTTAGTTTGCAGCTTTGAGCTTGCGGGTTGAAGCTCGTGGCTTTCAGCGTGAAGCCCTGAGCTTGAGTAAGGCTCTTGGGCTGGCGTAAAGCTTCGAGCTTGGCGCTTTGGTTTTGGAGCTTTGGTCGTGAGGGCGAAGGCCTTGGACGTGAAAGCTTGGATTTGGCGCTTTTGGCTTGAAGTCTTGGGCCTAACATTTTGGGTCTGAAGTTTTGGATTTGAAGTCTTGGATTTGAGATTTCGGATTTGAGGCTATTGCTCTTACATTTTGGAATTATAATTTTGAATGTGAAGTCTTGGCTTTGAAGTCTTGGGCTTGAAGTTTTGGATTTGAGATATTGGATGTGTTGAAGTTTTGGATTTCAGGTTTTGGATTTGAAACCTTGGACTTGAGGTTTTGGATTTTAAATCTTGGCTCTGAAGCTTTGGATTCGAAGTGTTGGACTCGAAGTGTTGGATTTGAAATTTTGGATTTAAGTTTTTGGATTTGAAATCTTGGACTTGAAGTATTGCATTTGCAATTTTGGGCTTGCAATTTTGGGCTTGAAGTTTTGGACTTAAAGTTTTGGACTTAAGATTTTGGATTTTCAGTTTTGGACTTGAGTTTTTGGATTTGGAATCTTGGATCTGGAGTTTTGGATTTGGAATCTTGGGACTAAAGGTCTCAGGTTTGAAGTCTTGGACCTAAAGTTTCGGACTTTAAGCCCCGGCCTTCAAAATTTAGGCCTAAAGTTTTGGGCTTGAAGTCTTCAGCTTGAAATTGTTGGCTTGAGGTCTTTAAAATTTTGGACTTTGAACCTGAAAAGTGTGAATTTGAAAAATTTGAAGTTGGGTCTTGGTTGATAAAGTCAAAAACTTTGCTACTTTTGCGCAAAGTTTTTGACTTTGTCGCCTAGATTCTAACTTGAATCGCCTGCGCTCGCGTAAGTTCAGAAGTCCCGAAGTTCGTAGGTTCTTAGCTTCCTGGTTTTGCTGTGTGCGTGCTTTTGGTTCAAGTGTTTTTGGTTCCAGTGTTCTTGGTTCGGGTGTGTGTGTGGTTGAGAGATTGGGCGGGTCCTCGTTGTTGATTTTTTATTTAGCTCTCTAATATTATCGGAAACGTATGTATATGTAAATGTTGTATTCCTATTGCACGGGCACAACGTAAAGTCCAGTGACCACAAAAAAACGAGGTAGACACATCATAGCAGCTGCGGGTGTAGAAATGGCGCATTTACCACCAGGAGAAGATCGTTCTGTCGAAGATGAAAGGAATGACGATTCAGATGGGCGTCAGCCACGTGGTCGTGAAGGTCGACGTGTAAGTGCAAGAAGTACAACAAGGAGAGTCACGATGGACGAGAGCACACCTAGCGGCCGCGTCGAGGAAGGACACGATAATGCTCAAGACGATCCGAAGAAAAACTCAAGTTTTTCGTGGGATGCTGCAGACGACGATGCGACTACGACGTCACCGCGTACCGTAAGATCACCTAGTGTGCATGGGGGAAGAATAGCGTCCTTTGCTACCTCATCTCGGAGCAGCAGTGGGACCAGCTTACCAGGAATTGTGTCATCTGGACACGAGGAAAGAGACGGAGACGGTTCGGTATTTCCGGTGCTGCCTCTTGCGCAGCATGGAGCTACTATTACTAGCACAGACTCTGCCAGCCGTGCTCGTGCTGTGGGGCAAAGCCTAGTCGACGAAGATGCTGTCAAGATGGAAACACGATCACATTCATCGAGTTCAATTCAGGATCCGGACGAGCCAGCATCAAGCACAACTGCTGGATCCATGCCCTCGCTTATCACGCCAACCCAGCGTGATCCTGAGGCAGGAGGCTCTCGAGTTGGAGACTCACTGTGGTCTTCAGATATATCAAATGGCGACAAATTTGGTTTTCCTTACAACAATATAATTCCAATCACAAGCAGGACAGCCACAACAGGCACAACAAGGCCGATTCCTGCAGTTAGAGTCCTCACTCCTGCCGACGTTGGTGAAATGGACCTTGCTGTGTGTGTTGGCATTTTGGTGTTCTGTTTAATGACCACTCTGTGCATGCATAAATGCAAAGGATTCGTCCGTTTTGGCATGGCTTTCTTCTCCGTGGCGCTCGCCAGTATAGAGCTGCCACAGAGCCTTGGCCTCACGCTGCCGCGCTTGCGTGAAACGGTAGTCTTCGCAGATCTTCAGGAAGGAGGATACCTAGCACTCCTTATCCTGATGCTAGTGACTCTGTCGCTATTTGCTGGCATTCTCTACTGGAAGCTTCCTGCAGTCATCGGTTTGCTGTTCTCACTGGGTTGGGGATGGTTCTGGTTTGCGCCGCTGGCAGTACAAGGACTGAAGAAATTGTTTGTTTTCTTCAATTGGCATCGATTTGCTTCTGGTTTTGATACCGACAACGATTCCCTGACACAAACTGCTCTGCTATTTTCGTCCAGAGGTCCACGTCCGCGAACGGTTCGTGCTCCACAGGGCGATGCTGGTATCAACATTTTGCCAGATTATGCTGTTTCCACGACAGACAGTGGAGCAAACGTTCTCCTGCCTGCTCCTTTAAACGATGGCACGGACGCTACACAACGAACGACGGCGTGGCTTAACGTGCTGTTGCTTATTGTGCTTGGGTTTTTCTACACGATGATGCTTCTCCGATTCTTCAAATTTTTCCACAATTTTTGCACGTCTCTGTGCTCTGCATTTTTTGTTATGGCCGCCTACGGCGAAATCTGCGTGTCGCTGCGATACGGTATGCGCCCGGGTTACACTACTGGAGGGGGTTCGGATACGCCAAGCATAGTGCCGATGGTAATATTTGATTCATGCAAACCCAAACCGAAGATCATGATTTTGTCGAGCAAATTTTTACATCATGCATTCGAGTTTTAAGCTTGGCCTACTTGAACTCAGTAAGTTGCTGCTGAAAGTAAGTTTCAATCAATAAGTTTCAATATGATATCCAGGTAGTGCCAGATCGAGAAGTGTTTCTGGGTGTTTTTGAGTACGACCTTATCGCGCCGTTCATTTTCTTGCGCAACCTGACAAAACGGAATGAGTTGTACGCAGTGTGGCAGGATTTCTGGAATTCAGCGATTGCATGCGAAAATTGGCCCTTTTGTTGGTTCTCCAAGATACGCACAGGACTGAGAGCATGCTACGGTAAGGTTTTATTGAAGATCATGCCATTGCCAACATACAGTTACTCTTACCGTTACGCTTAAGAAAGTACATCAACAACATCATTATTTATATATTCATTACCATCGTGCTTTTTATCCTCAGAGGACAATGAACAGCCTCAGAACCTCTATTTCTTCTACTACTTTTGAGTTTGACAGTGGAGAAGAGGTCTATTAATCGAAATCTTCTACTTCTCACTAAACCTATGTCTTCGAACCAGATGTAGAGCGCAGCGACACTCGTCGTGTGACCGCTCGAAATTCAGATTGGGGTGCGTGGTTTCTCATGGGGTGCGTTTTCCTTTTCGCGTTTCTTGTGAGCTACCGATTGCACGCAAAGGAGGACGTGCGAGAGGAGAGAGCCGAAGAAGCCACAGAGCGTGAAGAGAAGCTGGAGGCACTACGTAAACGCCGCGAGGATGATAGGCGAGCTAAGAGCAACAAAAGACTTTCGCATCTTTTTAGCGACAGTGACCCCGATGAGTTTGACAATCATCCAGACGGACTTGTGCAAGAACAGGGACACGGACACTACGCATTGCAGCGTGGTACTGTGAGCTACAAGCAGAACGGTCATGGCAGACCGCCGCGGCCGCCTAGTGGGACAAGAAGCAGTACCAGAGCTCCACAGGAACTACATCATCTTCAAGGTTGCTATCAAGAAGATGCGTACACGAAAAATGATCAGGATCGCTACCAAAGTACGAAACCTGGCCGAAGAAGACAAAGCTCGTCGCGCAGATCACAGAGAAGCGCAGCTGACATGACGAGACCACAAAATTGTGTTATACCAATACCTCCCTCTTCATCTACAAACTCACGGGCAGCTGCATCTCCGCCACCAATCCGCACAAGCAAAGCGGGGAGTGCATACAGCGTGCAGCGCAAATGACAGGAGAATCCGGTAAAGCGCGGACGCGGAGGTGCGAACTTTCCTAGCACTTACCACCTACATACGACGAATCACAAGCACAACTGAAACTGATCATGGTGCTTTTGCAAAGCCATGCTCCAGTAATCACTACAGGATTTAAACAGGATCCTGAAGCTGCATCAATACTAATACTTAATGAGACCCCCATAAAATGAGAATGACAATCACAATTCGACGAGATAATGGCATGAAAATTTGGAAAGCTGACGACAGAATCAATGTACGAGGACTTTGTTTGTCTAAGATTCAAGAACCACAATCCGAATGCTTGCGATTATCCCCCTCTATCTCCGAGCTGGCAGAATGATTTTCGCAAACTCATCTGCATACCTACCATACCATCCAGTTTCGGACACACGATTTGAAGAATGAAAATTAATGCTACTGAAGATGAATCATATTTTGTAATAGTAGCGATCTACGATCTCGAATGTTTTTTACTGGTTTGAGTTGCTCGATGATGATCTGACTGGTCGCAAGATACACCTCCAAAAGTCACGTACAGCATGTTGCGATCATGTGTTGTATTAGAATTCTTCATGCCACTGATGAAGCTATGAGGTCCATAATTGAAAATTGACTCGGGATGATACATCATATATCACTTGATTGGCTCCAGCAAAGTACTAGATTCTCCAAACAATGAATTCAGGACTGACATGATTCGTGTCTTCATTTTCTCCGATACCCACTCCCACCCCGCCCAGATGAATTGATGTGAGGAGATGCTCATGTTTTGTAATATGTGGGAGTAGGTACCTCCACTTTCTTAGATCGCATAGAACTTGCTTGTCGAGCTTGTAGCCGGTGAATGAATCATATTAGAATAAAAGTAGCAGATCATTGAAATTGAAATTGAAAAATTTGCTTACTTAATCATCATTTGACATCATAGAATCAGAGTTAATGGCATCAAAGCTCGATATCCTTGCCCGATATGCGGGTGGAGGTCCATCCTCGAAACACGACGATGGGAAGCAGAAGAAGAAGCGAAAGCGCGAGGAGAAGTCCATGATCACGCTGCGCGAAGAGGACGCTGGTTGGGGCAGGGTGAAGAAAAAGAAGACCGAACGTTTGGAACAAGAGCTAGAGCGTGGAGATGTGCAAATAGTGGACAGTGGAGAGCTAAAGACAGCACAGCAACGTTTCAACGATCAAGCCGCAGTCCAAAGTGTACATCTTGGTAGTACTAGTCGTGCGTCGGCTTCTTCATCAGCTGCAACCTCCAAAGGGAACAAGTTTAGTTTTGCAGCAGGTCGTGCAAGGGCAACGGATGCACGTGCAGTCAAAACGAAAACACGCAATTCTAGCGATAGTGATATGAGTGTCCCACGGGAGCGAGAAGCAAATAAGCAAGTCGGAGGCTCATCTTCAAAGGGGAAGCTAACAGCAAATGGTGGATCAAAGTCGGATAGCGACATGAGTCTCCCTCGTGAGCGACCAACTGAGGGAAGAGGAGCGACAGTATCAAATATAGATGCGAACTCTGACAGCGACATGAGCTTGCCGCGCGAAAGAGGTCGGACGAGGACTAAAGAGAAAGACGAGCCGAAAGGAGGCGCAGGACCGGATAGCGACATGAGTCTTCCACGAGAACGGCCTGCAGCAGCACACTCGGGCAATAAGGCTGGAAGCGGTGTGAAGCCATCGGGTGCCAATCAATCCGACAGCGACATGAGTCTTCCTCGCGAGCGCGCGGTGGCGAAAATGCCTGCTGCTGCTGCTGCTGTCGAGGACTCGGGCAGCGATGTTAGCCTCCCGCGAGAACGAGGTCCAGCGGCGGCCAATTCTGGAGATAAGAATGCAGGGAAAGTTATGGCAGGAGGCGGGGATGACACCTCAGACAGTGACATGAGCCTTCCACGGGAAAGACAAGCTTCAGCAGCATCAGGAGTTGTAGAAGCCAAAAAACCTGCGGCTGCCGCAGAGAAACATCGAGCGGACGACATCAACGAGGATGGTCTAATTACAGACATGAATATTACCATCGGAAACGCGGCGTTGGTAGAGCAAGACGACGGTGAGGAAAAATTTTCGAGTGGAGCTCGTGCTGGAATCATGACCCTCGAAGAAATCCAAGCCGCTAATGCGGAACGGGAACGAAAGAAGCAGATCGAGCTCGCGCGAGCCGCCGAATTGAAGGCTGAAAATCAACAAACGACAGTCTACCGTAACGCAGAGGGTAAAATTGTTTCCGCGGAGCAGTACAAAAAAGAGCAGGAAAAGAAGAGGCGCAAGCAGTACGCGCGCCAAGATGCTTCAAAATGGGGCAAAGGCCTTGAACAGGAACGAGCAGCAGCGCAGCGCAGAGAATATGAAGAACGCGTGGTTCGTGAAGAGGGGTTTGCGAGGCACGAGATCGACAAAGAACAACAAGAAATCAACCGACAACGGGAACGTTGGGACGATCCCTTATCTGGGGTCGGAGATTTAACAGGTGGCGTAGCAAATGGGCATGGTGGAGGGAACAAACAAGACGCTCCTAGTGTTCCAGGCTCTAGTTCTTCATCTTCAACACTTGCGGTGCCAACGAAAAAAGGCGCGAATAAGCCAAAATGTCCCCACGCGATGCCGACGAATAGGTTCAACATTCCTCCCGGATATCGGTGGGATGGCAAAATTAGGGGAATGGGTTTTGAAGAACGAGTCCTGCGGTCGATGAATGACCGACAAGCACTACAGGCAAAAAAAGACCTATTCGAACGCCAGTACTGGTAGTTTCATCAATTGTCACTGTTCTACTGTGGCCTCTTCTGAAGCGGACTAAGTAAGAAGTCAAAAAAATGAATCATTTTGATTTTTGCCGGACCCACCCTCTTTGGTCGAGTTCCGGCCTCTTCAGTAGATGATTGATCTCGCTGTTCCAATATTTGGGAAGGCCGAACGATAAGCGACATTTCCGTTATACCATAGAGATAGACATGAGAGCGATGGACGTCGCGAGTGACTACATGGAAATGCAAAGACGAGAGTAGCCTTTCCTACATTTAAGATTCATATTAAAGACGCAAGTAAGGATGCTATAATTTTTGCGTCGTGTCTATATCTTCAAGCTAGTACACCTACACAAATAAGAGGAAGTGTTCAAACGCGATGTCGTCTTTTTTCTGCTTGAAGAGGGACTCGCCTCGTTATGGCTCACACCAAGCCTCTCGAGTTGCATTTTTACGTCGCAATATATATTCAAAACGAGAAAAATCGCCTTCATCATGGCGTCTTTACAGTATATTCATTCTTTGATATTGATGTTCTTGAGATTAATAATTTTGAAGACGAGAGACAACGAGCTGCGTGTGACGAGAGAAATCTTCTAAACTACGTCGCTTGGTGATTGATTAGTTTGCTGCGTGTCGACGAGACGTTCGTAGCAGAAGTGTTCTTTCCACATTTCTTGACGAGGATAGCTGTCCGTTACATTATATCGCTGTCTGTTACATTTTTTAGAATCAGCCGGAAAAACCGGCATTGAATATTTAAGATACTCGATATCCTTTCCTGTCGCTGTGCTTGCTCCATCTGAACACTTCATTCATGAATATTTAAGATACTCGATATCCTTTCCTGTCGCTGTGCTTGCTCCATCTGAACACTTCATTCATTAATCCCTTCTCTGAAAAACAACGACCATGATAATGATTATGTTTATATTAGCTTTCAGGCAACACGACCACAATTTTTTCGGAAAGTGCTGATTGCGACATGGAAACGTGGCATCCACTCTCCGGTTTTGCCGTCCAATTAAGAGTTTTATTTCTCTTTCAAGGGTGTCATTGTTTGAGCACGGCTGCACGCCCACCGAGCTCTTAGCATTGCAATTATTTGCTAATTATGTGGCAATAGAGTTTTAGGAACTAAGTATTAAGTCCAGAATAGATGAAATACTCGAAGTCCTAGTCCAAGTTGTTTGTATTGTTTGTCATCGATTTTTACAACCAGAAGCACAAAGAGAAGAAAATAAACAAGTACTTAAAAGTTTTGCACTTCATTTGCAGGAGAAGCTTAGAGGGATAGTATCTTCTTGGACGACATTTGTTCTTGACATTTTTGGCTAGAAAAAGAATTGTTGTGTGATGTTATATTTTCTCTCATTGGTATTGGTTCTCTGTTCGTTGTGTTAGTGTACTTACTCTAAAGAGTCCCGTCATTGTTGGGCACCATCAAATCATAAAGTACCAAAACATCAAAAGTAAGAAAAGCGGCAGAAGCTTTTCACTTCTTGAACTCCCCTGTTTTTCTTTGATTGCTACTTGTTGGTTCATCTTCTGTTTTTTTTTTTATCTCTCTCCAGTACTCTCGTCGTTTCCGTTTGCTTCTATTTCTGCCTATCGCCTCCGAACCAAATATTTGTTATAATCCCTGACGAGCACGACCAACTTGCTCGAGGAAATTGTAGCATTTGTCCTTGTGAAAGGATTTTTCTGTGCACTAGATCCTACTGTGCACGTTGGTTCCAGTTCTAAGGTGGGTCAACGTATGATCTTTGCATAATTTTTGTAGGAAGGAGACGTGAAGATGGCGGATAGTACTGTAATTGTGCTCGGTGGCGGGCTATCGGGAATGGCGGCCGCCAACACCGTGATGGAGCATGGAGGTAATGTAATTCTCCTCGACAAGTCGGCGTTTTGCGGAGGAAACTCGACCAAGGCAACATCGGGTATCAACGGAGCAAATACCAAATCCCAAAAGGCGCTGGGCATCGAAGATTCCGTGGAGTTGTTTTCCTCCGATTGCCTCAAGGGAGGAGCCAAGAAGCCGGAGCTTGTCAAGGTATTCCTATTGTTCATCATGTCAATTTCTTGTTGCTTCTAGTGTCTTGTCGCAAAGGACCATCTGGTTGTAGAACAAGTGACTGCATAGAGGTGCTCAACAAGAAAAATCTCTTTTTTTTAGGCATCTTCCTTATGATCCAGTAGAGTTATTCTACTGAAGGATGCATACTGAAGTAGGATGTTTCATTCTTCTATTTGTTCTTTTACGATAATGTTTCATTGCAACATTATAACGCCACCATTGTTATTTGAATCATAGTTTATTCTCTAATGGTAATGTCGACGGCATCTTCGTCGAGAAAGTTGATATAGAGCTACTGGCCAAATTGGTATCTTATGTGTTGTTGTTGAGATTAATGATTCATGAAAAAGTAGATCAAATGCAAATTTTATTACCGTACCTTGATCTACATCTAGTACTGTTGAGCGAGAAAAATTCTTGATTCAACATCCCAAGGTTCTGGCCACTAACTCGGGTCCGGACTGCGATTGGCTGATGGATGTTTTCGGCTTAGACTTGTCGCTTGTTGCCCGTTTGGGTGGTCACTCTGCCCCCCGTACACACCGTGGAAAGGAGCGCTTTCCGGGTATGACTATCACCTACGCGTTGATCCAGATGGTCGAGAAAATTGCGGAGAAAACCAACGGATCAGCCGCCAAGGTTGTCACCAAGGCCCGGTATTATTCAGTTTTCGTTTCCACCTCTTCTTATCGAAGAGAGTTTGAGACAACTTTTTCATGATCAAGGGACATGTGAAACCAAAGACGGTGTTTGTGACATTGTGATTTACTTCATGGGATTTTTTCGTTGCGTACATGCAGCAGTTGCATCAAACAAAAAACCCGCGGCAAACTATTACAGCGCTACAAGCCTCATCTTCCAAGGAGGAAAGGTCGTTGGTGTCAACTACGAGAAAGGTGGATCGACGCTGAAGGAAATGGGCCCGGTTATCATTGCTACTGGCGGTTTCGGCGCGGACTTCTCGCAGGATTCCCTGCTCGCTCAATATCGTCCGGATCTCATGCATCTTCCGACGTCGAACGGAGAGCACTGCACTGGTAAAAACAAGAGAAATTTTCTGATGTTAGAAAAGACCATTGCCATGCGGGATGCTGGTGTGTTGAATAATGTTTCCTATATTCTGCATTGCTTAAGCTTAACTTATAACTTGGCACCTACATGATATCGAAAATCTATTCATTGTCCTCGAGACCATGTCCTTAATATTTGTATCTAATATTTTTGCAGGTGACGGTATCAAGATGGGTGAAGCCGTCGGTGCCCGCACCATCGACCTGGAGTGGGTTCAGGTTCACCCAACCGGTCTGGTGAACCCGAAAGATCCGGATGCGAAGGTAAAGTTCTTGGCCGCTGAGGCTCTCCGAGGAGTTGGCGGTCTTATCTTCGATGACGATGGATACCGTTTCGCGAACGAACTCGGCCGTCGGGATTACGTCACCGGCGAGATGTGGAAGAACAAAGCGCCCTTCCGTCTCTGCCTGAACGCGGTACTTACAAGCTCCTCTATTTCCACGACATCGTGAACTTGTTCTCTCGCTCTTCTTAGGTTGGTTCATGACCTTCCATCGCGTTATCTTTATTTATCAACATGACGATCGATGAAAAATTTGAATGAACAAGTAGATTCTTGTTCATTCTTGTGGTCTCATTCTCTCAATTTGACCAAATAAAAACTAGTGGTCATGATTGCTCGACTTTCTTTTACCAGGCTGCCTCTGAGGAGATTATCTGGCACTGCAAGCACTACACGGGCCGGGGTGTTATGAAGTACTACGCTTCTGGTGCCGAATTGGCGAAGGACATGGGTGTCCCGGTTGAGCGCATGGCTGCCGTCACTGAGGCGCACTATCAGGCTTCGCTGAAACAAGAAAAAGACCCGGAAGGCGGACCCTTCCCGGCCTACCCGAGTGGACGCACTTGGGACGAACCGTCCGGAAAAACGGGCTCCGGCAAGAAATTCTTCCACAATGTCATTCCAGGTTCCAAGTTCGCCACCGAACCGTTTTACGTGGCCATCATCACTCCGATCATCCACTACTGTACTACTTCTTTTCTGTCGCTTACTTTTTCTTTTTCAGTCTCACGAAAAGAATTTTGATCGATGATTATATTTATATGATTTTTTATGTGAGGACGACATTACGATCTTGTTTCAGCTAGAAAAAGAAGAACAAGATTTGAACTATGGAATGAATCAGATAATTCTCATGATCGATAGTCCCAGTATATGTATATATAATAATTATGAGTTTTTAGGCAGCTTATCCGCAATACATCTAGATTATTGATTCTTCTTACTTCATCTTCACAGGCATGGGTGGTCTTGAGATGACGACGAAGGCTGAAGTGATCGGACAGACAGGGAAGCCGATTCCGGGTCTGTACTGCGCGGGTGAGGTCATGGGTGGCGTTCACGGAAACAACCGCTTGGGTGGTAACTCTCTTCTCGATTGCGTCGTGTATGGTCGCGTTGCTGGAAAAGCCTGCGCCGAGTATCTTCTTGGCAAGCGCGTCAAGGCTACCTCTTTGAAGGACTTGTCTGGCGGCGGTATTGTTCACTTCTAGATTGCTCTCTACGTTCACAAATTGATTGATACAGTATCGTTTTCGTTTGCTCTATCAATGCTAGTATGTACTGGCACGAAGTGGAACTGGAAGTGCTAAGTACTAGATATTACGTAATTGTGATCGTAATGACCGTCCTCGGTCCGTCCTGATCCACCGAAAAACGTCACTTCGTTCTGATATCCAACATCAAGCGATTTTATAGAAGAAACACTAATCTAGGTCCATACGGAAATACCTAGTAAATAGTTCTCTTTTTTTTGTTTCCCAGGCGTTGTCGGCGGTGGAACTCAGAAGAGCGCTTTGTCTGGAGGTAGCTACGAAGACGCTCCGAGTGGAGGCGCTGCTGCACCGGTTGCGGCTGCAAGTGGTGCTGCTAGCGGATACTATTCCATGGACGAAGTTGCAAAGCATACGACCGAGAAGGGTACTCGCTAATGAAGATTTACCTTTGATACTCTGTATAGGATTACAACTCTACTGCGGTCTATACTGCGGTCTCAAGAGTCAAGACGCAAGATTTGCTCAACCACAACGTAAGTGGGTCAACTCCCTGTCCGTCTACTCATTAGTCTGGATGGCATAGTCGTAGTGCCAGTTATTTTTCCATCTATCTACCTTTTGTACCTCAAACACAACAGACTGCTGGGTCGTTGTCGACGGAAAAGTCCTGGATGTTACGAAGTTTCTGCCGGATCACCCTGGAGGTGTCTTGGCTATTGTCACTTTCGCTGGAAAGGATGCTACTGAAGAATTTAACATGATTCACCCCCCGGATGTCATCGAAAAATACGCTCCCGATGCAGTAATCGGGCAGATTGGTACTTCTTAGCTCAGGATCATACTTTTACTGTTCTTCTTGTTAGTTTGTCATTTTGAGACCTTTGTAATCATAAGGCGATAGCTGTTCCTCCAGCTGTTGGTGCAGTAGTAGAACTTGTAGTTTTATATTTTGAGGGCATGAAGAGAAGTGAGAACCGGCATCAGCCATGTCTTGCTTGTCTCATCTTCAGGTACTGCGCCCGCACAGCCGGCTGCTGGCGGCGGCTTGGATGCCCCACTGTTGAAGAAAGCAGCAGGAGGAAAGGGTGACTCGATGGCAAACGAGCAAGCGTGGGGCTCTTGGCGGGAGATGGGCAAAGAAGAGAATCCAGGTGTGCTCTACGTCAACATCGGTGGCTACTTCACGGCTGCCCTCAATATGGCGTCAGCGTTCTTGCTGGAGATTATTCTTACCATCTTCTCGATTTCGAACTTCAAGTTCACGAACGACCGCAGCGGTCTGACCCGATCCGCCATCCTGATGATCCTCTTTATGGTTGTCCACGCCGTCGGAAACTTGCACATCTTCCTCGGGCCGGATGACTTCAACGGGTACTTCTACAGCACTGTTGTTCTTGCTGTTATCTATCAATTCTACATGTACTTACTTTAACTAGTTTCACTAGATCCTTAGTTGTAAGAGTGACCTTCTTGTTTATGAATTATATGAAATGATATTATGGTATGAAGCGTCCTCATTGTTTGCGATGATCTCAAATTCACATTTTTTTCACAGATACGGTTACTTCTACGTCCGCCTCTACTGGACCTCCCTTGGCATTGTCAAGGCGAACATTGTTGAAGTGTATATCGCCCTCGGTGCGATTATCCACGTGATGGTCGCTTTGAAGCGTACCTGGGATATCAACCGCAACTATGCGTTGAACAGCGGAAAACTGAACCTTGCGGTGACCGGTACTCTGCTTTTGGTCTTCATGATCATCCACTTGCAACAGTTCCGCTTCGGTGCCACACAGAAGTTTTTGGTGCGCCCACCGCCATACCTAGTGAACTTGAGCCCCAGCGACTGGATGCATCTCCGCCTCTTCTGGTCCACGGATGAGTCTATCAATCCGGTGCCAGTGCGCGACATCTACAAGCTCGAGTTCGATCTCTTCCAAAAGCCGGTTTGGGTTGTCTGGTACTTCCATAATTCTCCTAGTAGTAAAAAGATGACTTGCTTTGCTTTTCTTGTTCTTGGTACTGTCATGGTACTGTCACTGAATCACGTGACTAGTTTCCTTTGAAGGAACTCGGACTCTATCTGGCGAAATTTGTTACTTGTGGGGAAGAAGTAGAAAATTTTTACTTTTGTTCGGCTTCGTGCGACTCGTCCTCATAATAAAGTCATGTTTTCAAAAATAAATCACATCAACAATCCAGGTACTTGTTCTCTACCGGTATGTTCCTGGCACATGCCTGCTGGGGCTGGGCCAAGGTCGTCCCGAGTTCGCTCTTCAAGATTCCCAAGGGACACCACAAGCGCGTTACCAACATGGGTTACGTGATCATGCTGTGCATCGCCTTGTGTTACTTCTCGTTCCCGCTCTACTGCTTCTTCGGATCGATGAAGCCGGGTGCCTTTGGCGTCGTCTAAACCACTGGGAAAGACTAAAAGTGGGAGCCCAAGAAGGTTGCAGCGTGCTTCCTCGTCTTTCTGGAGTAAGAAATGAAGAAAATATGCATTGAAAATTTTGATGAACAACAATAATGATGACGCTGGGCAGAGATGAAGAACTTTTACAACAATATGCCGACTTTTGTGCTCGTGGACGTCGAGGAGGTCAGTGGAGGCCCACTGCGTGTAGAAGCTACTTCCATGGGCTCGTATTCATACATCGCGATGGCCGGTTTTTTTTACTCAGTAGAGTTGGTGCAGTATTACCAGATATCTTGTTTGCGTAAACCATATCAACAACAGAACATTACAATTACGACGACGTAGTTGGGACTAGGAGGAACACACACAAGATGAAGACAGAGGCAACTTACAACCCATGCGCAACTCTAGGCATCAACACCATAAAGCCGTGCTGAGTCGTTCCTTTCACCTTCGCAGTTTGCACAAGCACAAAAGGGATGATGAGACACTTTTAGCAGAACGAGTCGTCCTTTGTGGCTGCAGCGTCAGGGCTTTCTACTGCTCCCTTGAACCTTCAATGCTACCACATTCAAGCGAAGAACAGCCTCGTCGCAGGAGCACACTCCATGATGCTCCCGAGGCTGTTCGGTGCAGTTTTAGCAATACCCTCAAGAATTATTCCTAGTCCAAGTTTATGATAATCATAAGGTCGTTTCCAGTAGAGAAGTTAAGATGTTGATGATTGATGCAATGCAGCTACAAAGGATTTTCTTTGCTAATGTTGCAGCTAATTTTCCTCATATTTTATTATCTTCTCAACAACAGATAATGAATGTAAGCTAGCAGGGTCTTGTTACTGGTCTTTCTTAAAAAGGTAGTAGAAGTAGGTATGAAAGTCTGAGTCTGACTTTTTGTTGTTTATCTTAGTTTTCGTTATGAAGATATTAATAATATGATTCTCACTGAAATCAATAAGGCCGTCTAGCGCTGACCTAACTTTCTTTGAACATGCATTTTGCTAACTACTAACTAGCTTTATCAATCAATATCCGAATCAACTTTTGATCAGCCTGCACGGTTCCAATTGATCCATTTTCGATTTGTAACATCAGCAACAGTTGCCTCGTTGTTGATGATATCTGGTGGGGACGAACTACAACTAGAAGATGTTGTAAGATCGTGCAACAGATTTGCGAAGCGCTTCGTCCAGTCTTACTACAGACGGGCCAAAGATGATCAGGGGGCTTGGTTTCATACTGTTTAAGATGAACTCGTTTAAATACTTGGGTTGGGTGATTCTACATCAGTGCTCTGACCTCAATTTGAGGTGATCACTATACGGTCGCTGCGCTAGATTCTCCTTCGCTCAAGCTCGTGAGATGAAGAGCTAGGGCGGCTTGATGATGGATCCCCACTCCTGATAGAATGACCTGATAGAAACCTTTCCTCAATAATCATCAAAATTTTGTGCGTTGTCGCACGAACTTGCTATTCAAGGAAAAATCACCCAAAATAGTCGCGCAATCGGAGAAATTGTGGCAGTTATATAGCAGAACACCTAATTTTACCAAAAAAGGACGTGGAGGGTAAGAAATCGAATTACGATTAGAAAGTGGAAGTGCAGTCTGTCAGAAGATATAATTTGCAGCGAAAGAGATGTACTTACACTTAGATGTTTGCTCTTTAATTGATTTTACATATAGATGTTATTTGCTCTTTTAGAATATACTACAGTCCAAGTGTGTACAAGTTTAGCTCGTTCTGTCCGTTAGGTTGTTACTAGGTGGTGTTAGACCTTCACTGTATGAAGCAAATGCGTCCACTGACTAGTTGGCTGCTTGTCATGACTTCTGCAGCCGCCACGCTCCTACTTGCCGGAATATCGTCGTCCAACAGTTTCATTCGATACTTGCACCACCGTCGGTGGTGCAACTTTGTGGGTATGCATCGATTTTTACCCGTCAAGCATTCGTTATGATTTGTGTGTCATCTGTGTATCACTAGGCTCCCTCTCCATCCTTTACTTAGCTGTACTCGTGTTGATGTTTATTATAATTATATCTCCTGAACAAAATATTGGACCAAGAACAAGTGGATATCATACGAACATCTTTTTCATATATTCGCATCCATATTACTAGGTAGAATTACCTCAGACTCAGACAGTAGTTGCGTGTGTCTTCTTTTGAGCAAATCTGTCTTGTAGTCGAGGGACTCGATCCAATACACAGCTAGATAATCATGCATGATATAATTATATTAGTACGTGGACTGTGTAGCCGTAATTATCAGGTTTTAACAACCGACCGCAGTCGGACAGAACATACACTGCAGAACTAAGAAACATTTCCAGCATTGTTGAATGGCAAAAGGTTGCTTCGATCCAGGGATGCTTGGTGTATTATATAAATATATGTTACAACGACAGCGAAAGTCACAACTCTTTGGTCGCGATGAAGGGTCATTGTGTTCGGAAGGATCGTCGATCTGCTTCAATGAAATCTATTTTCGGGGTTAGATGTCGCACACCAAAGAGAATCATTATGGAACCACCCGACCCCGACTCGGTTACTCGCCTAGTACCCGACAGGAGAACGATCGGGTTTTGTCAGTGACCTACATCGATTTCTTAAGGAATTAAGAAGAATCTGTTGAGCAATGTCGTGGTCTTACTAATGAGACAAGCCCATCTAACTACGAGTGCGAGAGCGTGATTTGAAATTGATGTCATCTGGTTTCGAGTTCTGTTGTATATTCTGAACAAGGGCTTTTCTGATTCTGAACAAGGGCTTTTCTGATTCTGAACAAGGGCTTTTCTGTAACGTGAGTAGTCTACTCTGGCCCTTGTCTTATGTGAGTGACGTGCGAGCACTATGCCCGCCAAAATTTCAGTGTTGTTCTGCTACGAGTATCAGCTAATCATGTGTTTCTTTTGTTCTTTTCAGAGAGGAGTGTTAGCTGCAGTGGGTCGCACAAGATCAAGTGAAACAAGAAATTCTGTCCCTGTGATGTGTTTGGAGACAAGCATGCAAATGAGCAAAGGAGTACAAAATGAAGATGCAAATTGGCTTTTCTGTATCCCCACTCCCCGCTCGTCAGGCTGCCTGGTTCAGGCTTTCTTTCAATTTTAGAGAGTCTTCCCCCGCTGTAGATGTAGCGAATTTTTGTGTTATTCAACTGAGAAGTCGAGAAATTAGTGTCCCCTTGCTGGTTTGAATGATTGAGGGGAACATCCACATTTTTCAGATTTTCAATCCCCATAGCTATTAAGTACATACACCTAGTGGGGGCGTCGTAGTTTTTCAATAATTTCACCTGCTTCTTCGTTTCTTGTAAAGAAAAACGGAGCAAATACAAATAGAGCTGCAGCATTACGAGCCTGGAGTCTTCTTTTCGTTTATGGGATAAATTTCGTAGTCGGTACCAGAAATTTGGTACTAATTGGTAGAGTAAAAATGGTGGGTCCTCCGAGCTCGAATCAGAAGCTGAAGGTGTCGACCTTCACCCATGAGCAGATTGCCCAGCATAACCAGGTACCAACTATAATTTCCAAAATTTGACTCGGAATCTTGACCTCTGTCGTTGTAGTTTTTATTTTAATCTTCAGGACGAGGACGAGGTTTGTCCGAAGTGCTTTGAAGATACGACGGTTCCCTTCTGCCGCAGTATCTTCTTCTCGTCTACGTGTCGATGTCGTAGTAATCTTGTTGTAGCACCAGTTAGCGACATTTAGATTTAATAATCAAGTCGTCAGATAAGTAGTCTTCTATTAAAGGTTCATTCTGATTCTGTCCTTGTCTAAGAATGAAGGTGTGTAGCGTTTGAATTTGATCATAATTATTTTTGCTCTTCAGGAAAACGACTGCTGGGTCGTGATCAACGGCAATGTGTGTGATATGACGCAATGGTTGCTGGAAAACGAGGAGGACAAGAAGATGTGCCTGAAAGGTGCCGGAAGCGACATTAGCGCCACCTGGAACAAAAAACGGCCACGAGATTACCTTTTGGTCAACTGCCCATGGGCGATAGTAGGAACGGTAGACACACGAAGCGAAACGGGGAACATCATATCCAGTACTCCTTATACGAGTTTCTGATGAGTAAATGAACTAAAACAAAGAGAAGCGGCTCAACAATGTCCTGCTTTAGCGCCCGAGCATCTAGACAATGTCTATGTCTGCGTCATTAGTCATCAAATAAATTGTACTAGTGCTAGGGGTTTCCAAGAAAAAATATGCGAGGAGTGCTTGTCGTTCAATATCAGGATCAACAGGAACCGTCGAAAGGCTAACAATCCAACAAAGAGCTAGATTAGCGGGTAGAAATCGCCCGGGAAATCTTAGGCAGATTGCCGAGTGGATTCGCATCATCAAGCGAGGACTTCCCTATCCTTACGAGTCCCTCTTCGTCAACATTGGGGATAAAAATGAACTAAACAGATTTCAACGCCAAAGTTGCCGCTGAGGTTGAGTTTAACAAGGCGAAAGGCACGTACTCCCTCGAAGAGGTCGCAAAACATAATAAAGAGTCCGATGCTTGGGTCGCTATCCAAGGAGACGTCTTAAACGTAACCGATTTTTTGTCAGAACATCCGGGTGGAAAACTCGTCATTTTAAATTTGGCCGGAAAGGACGCCACTGAGGAGTTTCTCTCCATTCACCCAGCTGACGTGTACCGAAAGCACGCGCCTTACCTCATCATAGGCTCGACAGGTATGCGTATATGAAAGAAAGTGTAACTGTCCGTCGCACAATGTGAGTCTTCTTCTCTTGCCAAGAATCAGAAACACAAAGCTAAACAGCATTGTTTTTTCACAACATAGTTAAAGAATTTGATTTCCTTAGGTGTTGATTAGGTAACTAACGAGGTCTTTTTTCATTTCCCATCGCTCAGATACCGATCGCAAGCGGGGACCAGGCGCGGCAGGAGGACTGAAGGCCCCACTGTTGGACAAACCTGCAGAACCTGAAGATGAGGGCATTCTGGGCGGTTATTTGGGCTCTGTGTTCTACGCGCTCAAGGCGGCTTTGGAGCAAATCTTCTTGACGCTCTTCACAGTGAAGAATTTCCAATTCTCGAATGACAGAACCGGTCTTACACGTTCGGCTATCTTCCTTATGTTTTTCATGGTCATCCATGCTGTCGGAAATCTCCACGTTTTCCTCGGCCCGGACGACTTCAACGGATACGGATACTTCTACGTGCGACTGTACTGCTTTGCCTTAGCAATTGTTCGTTGAACTACCCACTTTTTAAGCACACCTTCAATGAGAGAGATGAAGATTTTTTTAGCAAGTGAAAATCTTCCTCGATGAAATTGAAATTTGAATTAAACGACTCAGGTACTGGACGATGGGCGGTCTGATGAAGGCAAATATTGTCGAGTTCTATCTGCTGTTGGCCGGTTTGCTGCACGTTTCGGTCGCGCTGAAGCGAACGTGGGATATTAACCGCAACTACACACTTACCAGCGGAAAATTGAATCTGGCTGCCAGCGGCTCGATGCTTCTAATCTTCATGATGTTCCATCTCAACCAGTTCCGCTTTGGAGCTACGCAGAAGTACTACTATGTATAGAGATGATTGGGGCATACCTCCACACACGCCCCATGCCCCCAAGGCAAACACAGGCCTCGCAAGTTGTAGTCAGTTATGATCTTTTCGACATCTACAACATCGATAAAAAACTTCATCCATCTTCATCCATCTGACCACTCATCCATTAGGTATGCTGTCCGCCCACCGCCATGGTATTACGGTGGTATCAACTGGCCGGGTCTGCTGCAGTTGCGTTTGTTCTGGTCCGATGATGAGTCTATCGAGCCAGTGTTGGTCCGCGATATTTACAAGCTGGAATTCGATCTGTTCCAGAGCCCGAGTATTATATGTGATTTAGTTGTAGTTCGTTTTCGGCTTCCAAGAACAACAAGGTCGTGGAGAGAGACGGGAAGCGCATGGTGGTGAGAAGAAGAAAGGAGAAAATGAAAAATTAAACTTATTGATACTCGCTTCGCGATGTGATTTAGTTGTAGTTCATGATCATTTCGTTGTCGTCTCCTATTCCTACGTTGTACTGTTACAAATTATTTCATAATCCTCGGCCTTCACACCTCCAAACAAAGTCGAGATGAAAACGTGGGAAGAAAAGCCGTTGTGCTTGGTCATGTTCCACCTACTTCATCTTCGCCTTTGTAGTTATCATTGAAAGCGATTGCTGAAATCAAATAAATCTTCACGTATCAGTCTGGTGCGTGTTTTACATCGCGGCGACTGGTGTCTTCATGGGCCACATGATCTGGGGATGGGCGAAGGTGGTCCCGTCAAATGCATTTGCGATTCCGAAGAAGCAGGTTAACAAGGTACTTCGTCTAATTTGCCTGAACTCACAAACACAAGAAGTTCGTTAATGATCATTTTCTACGCACTCCAACATTTGTGATTTCGTGTACTCACAAAAAAAGGTACTTAACAGATCTGCTACAGTTTAACTGAGGAGGACAACTGACAAGAGACACAAATCTTCGATTTCAGATTCACATTCGCAAATACAACAGGTTATCTGGTATGGTTGGATCTGGATGGGCCTCGTCGCTCTCTGCTACTTCAGCTTCCCATTGTACTGCTTCTTCCGACCAATGAAGACCGGAGCCTTAGGCCAGGTGGGCTAAGAACTAGTTCGTACACAAGTTACAAGGGTTGAGAACGGGTAGAACAAGGGATGTCGTTGTACGAGATGGAAGACGGCGACACGGGTCTGGTTTGGTATGGGGTCGTGAAGTAGATCTAAAGAACGTAGTGACTTTGAAGAAGTAGGATTTCATGCTGTAGACCAAGATAAGTCAATTTCGATGCTATCATTTGTCCCGTGACAATGTTGTTCACCAGGCAGTTAGCGGCTGGTGCTCCTCGTCTCTTCATCAGAAAATTGAAGATAGTACTCGATGAAGACGAAGCACACGTAGACATGATTTCTTCGTAGCGTTAGGACGGACATCATTGAAGATTCAATTATGGTAATGCAATTTTTTCTGGTCAAAAAAATATGAACATCTTTTGCTTGATTTATATCTCGTTTTCAGTGCAACTCCTCGTAGAAGATAGAGAAGGATGATGACAATAGGTATAGTGGATTGAAAATGTCTCTAGCGCTATGTAATGGACAAAAGTTCGGAGAGACATCGGTGGTGTGGTGCTGGTTCCGGATGCAATTATCGGAAAATTGCAGCACGATCGGAAGCATTCGACTCAGTAAGGAGCGGAAAGGCACCAGAGCAGCAGCAGTGACCCAGCACGAGCACCAAGCAAGAGCAAGACAGAATGAACCTTACTACTGATCGCTGGAAAGAAAAGAATAGAAAACTACAATTCTAAATGATGTCTAAAACCTGAATTAGCTGTAACTGAGGAAAGTACATACATACAACAACAAGACAGACGAGATTCTTGACTGTTTTAGTAGTATAAGGCAAATATATGTAAAAAATGAACAACTGCAACCACATCAAGATCAACTACATCTCGACAAACAGCCCTCCTTGCTGTGCCATAGTTGTCATCATCCGAAGAAGTTGAGGAGACTCGTTAGGAGTTCAGGTATTAGGCGGGTTCATGGAATATTTTCGCTGACGGTACCGGGACGAGATTATGAAGTATACCTTTCTATTCATCAGTATTTAAGTTAAAGGTTAAATCGAGCTATTTGAGCAAAGATTTCGTACGTTAACTAAACAAGAACAGGTGAAAAGAACTAACCGTCTGCTTGGTTCAGGCATCTCCTAGAGCCGTTGCCAGGTAGCCCCGTGCTATCGCCCGTCAATTTTCATGATTCATATGCTGAAGAGTACTACAGAGGAAAATCAATATGTACTAGCTTGGAGCGTCCGATAACATCCCTCCCACTAGGATCCCCCTCCTCCCCAAAGTGAGAAACTAAGCAAGGCAAAGATGTAAGCGATATGCGTTTTCAAATTTCGAAAATTTTCCACGTTTTGCCATCGTTTGAGGATTGGACCTCGTGCGTTTGAAGTCAAGCGCTAAGATCCCAAAGCTTTTTGACTTTAAGCCCTTCCGCTGAGATTCAACTTCTTGGATTTGCATTCTTCAAATTTCGAAAATTCTCCACGTTTTGCTTTCGTTTTGGGATTGAATTTTGTGCGTTTGAAGCGCTAAAGCCCCAAAATTTTTGACTTTCAGCCCTTTCCCTAAGATTCAGTTTTTTGGATTTGCATTTTTCAAATTTCGAAAATTTTCCACATTTTGTCGTCGTTTTGGGGTTGAATTCTGTGCGTTTGAAGTGCTAAAGTCCCAAAATTTTTGATTTCAAGCTCTTTCCCTGAGATTCAATCTCTTGGCTTCGCGTTTTTCCAATTTCGACAATTTTCCACGTTTTTCTTCGTTTTGGGAGTGAATCCCGTGAGTTTGAAGCGCTGAGATCCCAAAGCTTTTGACGTTAGGCCCTTTCTCTGGAGTTTAATGCCTTGGCTTCGCGTTTTTCAAATTTCGAAAATTTTCCACATTTTGTCGTCGTTTTGAGATTGAGTCTCGTAAGTTTGACGCGTTGAGATCCCAAAATTTTTGATTCTAAGCCCTTTTCTTGAGATTCAATCTCTTGGCTTCGCGTTTTTCAAATTTCGAAAGTTTTCCACCTTTTTCGTCATTTTGAGAGTGAATCCGTTGACTTTGAAGGGCTAAGATCCCAAGGCTTTTGATTTTAGGCCCTTTCTTTGCAATCTAATTCCTTGGATTCGCGTTCTCAAATTTCGAAAATTTTCCACGTTTTGTCGTCGTTTTGAGGTCGAGTCTCGTGAGTTTGAAGCGTTAAGATCCTAAAATTTTTGATTTTAAGCCCTTTCCCCCGAAATTCAATTCCATTGCTTCATGGTTTCGTGGTTTCCTGGTTTCATGGTTTCGCTTCGTGGTTTCATGGTTTCGTGGTTTCCTGGTTTCGTGGTTTCGTGAACTCATGGCTTCGTGAACTCATGGCTTCATGAACTCCTGGTCCTGGCTTCATGGGTTCATGGGTTTGGGGTTTGTTTGTTTTTGTGTCGGAGGTTTTGGGTTTGGGTGTTGGAGGTTGAGGTTTCCGAAGGGAAGTGCTTGCAAAGTTTTATTGCTCTTAATATTGTGATGCTCCGTGTTTCTCCTTACCTCTGTAAAGTGAGTGCTGAAAAGTAAGTAGCGATATGAGAAATCAGTAGACTTCTTTATATCATTCTTGTGAACAGCAATATAGTTGTTCAGTGCTAGTACAAAAATGTGGTGATACATATATCATTCTGAAAAAATTACAAGTACAATTCTTGTCCTTCATCATCATCATGAACACTGATTTACGAACAATCAACCTTTAGGAAGCGATCGAGTGTATTAGTTTTTTGTTAAGTAAAGGAGGATTGGAAGGCAGGCTATTTATTCCACTATCGTCTAAAACTTCATCATGACGAACAGGATACGGACATGAGCAAGACGCGTGAAAATGATCATTTTCCTTAGTACTATAATGCACCGCTCTATTAATTAAGGTTGAGCATGCTCAAGATAGAATGAACTACTAGATAGTGAACCTGAAAGTAAAATCGATAATTTTAGTTCTTAATTGAACAAGGCGAAATTGGGTTTGCGTTAAAGGTGTGAAAGTAAGTTTTTGCTAATTCTGCTGGATGGGAATTTTTATCCAGTAAGATTACTTATCATGCGAAATCAGAGCTGATCGATGCATATGCCAGGAAATATTGTGACCTTATGCAGTCATAGTCAAGTTCACACAGTTCATGGACATTGTTTTCCTCGGATGAACTAGACCATAGAATAATTGGAGGCACAAGAAGGCGAGGTAAAAAAATTGAAAGAGATGATAACTTCCTTAACTAACAAACGACAAAGAATCTACGAGCTCTGCGGGATAATCCATCACTGTCGCCGTCGCTGGCACTTGCGACTTTTCTCGTAGAAGAAAGGCATGTGACAACCGTAATGGTAATTCTCCAAGTCGTCAGCAGCCAAGCAGGCAGGACGTTGACTGCAGCCCTCGTTGTTGTTCCCACTGTGCAGATCTGTACTTCGGTGTCGCTGTCGCAACTCATGATATATATTTGTGCAGTCGGTTTGCTTTGCGCAAACAGACTAGATGAAGCTCGACAAAAGTACATCTCTGTGTCGGTCCATCGCGGACTTCGACCAGCGACAAGACAAACTTCAAGAACATGCTCCATTTTCCCCTCGGTGCTAGAATCGGTTGCATCCATCTACCGCCTAATTGAACATCTGAGTAAGTCAAGAGTAAGTTTCTTTCTAGCTTTTAGCTTTCATTAGGGTAACAGAGCCTTCTGCTCGCTTCCCTAATGTTATGCCTTTATCTTTGCGTCTGTGAAATGCTCGCTTTCTTTGCGCCCACCCTTGCTGGTGCGTCGCACAAACTCGAGAAATAGCGCGTCTCAAAAATTGACAAAGCGCGTAGTTTGAGGCAGACAGCTATCTGCGTAGAGGTTGTAGCGTTTCCTCTTTAGCTCATGGGCTCCACCATTTTGAAATCGACGGTGCAAGGTATGCAAGTGCGCAACTCGTAGCGTGTAGTATAGGAGGTTAATGTACTCCCGCCGTCGCCGGGTCGCTCCCTGGGAAAAATGTGGATCCTACTTTTTAGTACGCCACCCGTCATAACCCCCCACTAAGTAATTCAAATTCTTCCTATATCTTGAACTAACTCCAATAAACAAACCACTTACTCAGACTTGAATTGGCGCGCTGTTCGAGAAATAGATGGATGAAGGTAAGAAAGCTGTGCTTTTAAAACGAGGAAGCCAGAAATGACTCAAAGGAGACGAGTCAAGCCTCCGTGTAAGGATGTTCAAGACGATCAACAAAAATCCAGTGCGATAAACCGAGAACGATCAAAAAATTTGCTCTGATGCCAAAACGGAAAAATATGATCCTTAAGCTTCTTCTAAGATCAGACTGAGTGTGTAACTTTCTTATCTTTGTTACGATCGAACATCCTAGGAACGCAACGTGATGAGTTAGCGCAAGAATAGGGAAGAGACAAAACGCGGGCAGCTTCCTGTGGTCTCAAAAATGAACAATGCGCATAGTCGGAGGCAGATAGCATTCTGCAAACTCTTAGCCTTGATCATAATGAAATCGATGGTGAAAAATGTGTAAGTAGCGTGTAGTATTGGAGGTTAATGCACTCCCACCATCGCCGGGCAGCATCCTGGAAAATACGTGGGTCATTTCATACTAATTTTTTAGTATACCGCCCGCCATTGCCCCCCCCTCGAAATACTTGTAATTGTAATTGTACTCAGTGGGAATTCACTACTGCCTTCATCTGATTACCCATCATTCTTCACCCAGTTTGTAGTGGCCGTGACCTCGAGTATGGTCTGTTGGTTTTTCGCACTGCACTAGTGCTTCGCATCCCGGGAGCAGGCAAGCGCCACGACGGATTTCTAGTAGTAGCCGAACCAGCTCCGGGCGCAGAAGGGTCCAGTCCGCCGCCACAGGAGGACGGCGAAGACATCTCTGGAAATGTGGGCGGCGCCCGTGCACACGCACGAGGAGAAGGCAAGAAGCAGACGAAAAGGTCAGGAAAGGCTGCGCCTGCCAAGAAGTCCTCGAAAGCGACTGGCGTTCGGATAAAGTAGAACATCAAGAGTTAATAGCTGCTATTTGTAGCGGCATCTCGTTTTCATTATATGAATATGAACCAACGAAGCGGATAATGCTAATGAAGATGACCTTCAGGTTCAGCTCCAGCGCAGAAGGATGTCACGAGAAATCAATCTTTTATTCTTTTCAACAGGTACAACTCAATCTCAATTAGCAAAAGAAAGTATTGACCAAATGAAAATATGCATCCATTTGTTCTTGCCCGAAATTTTCATATTCATGGAATGATGAGATAACGTTTCGTACGTAGAATGATGTTTCTGCTTGCGGATTTTGATTTATTTAGAGAAAGGCCGCTGGCGCAGATCAAACAGAAGCAGGCTCGGCAGTAGGTTGACTTCAATATTTGCGATCCCAAGAAATCTATATTAATAATAATTTGGTCCATCAAGAAACTCTCGAAGGTCTATTTGGTCCACGAATGGGACGAGTGGCGCGGTCGATCGCGGTCACGGATTGCGCCCATCCCCATCCGTGCCATTCGTGCCATTCGGTCCATGCCGTCCCAGATCTGGAACCCTCATCAACTGCGCTACTATATTGCCGCCATCCTCGTCGGAAAAATTCAAGTGCGCCCGTTTTTAGAGACAGAGAGGGAGACCCACGCCTACTTAGTCACATCAACCTTCTGTGGCTCAGACTTTTCTCATGGTCAATTCCAAAACAAAGAGAAGCTTATTTCAACGACCCAGATTTAATACACGACGCTCTCCTGGTGTGACGATGTCCTGGTAATAAGTTATACATAGGATTCTACTTCTGGTCGGCAGTCGCCTGGTACGAAGTTAGAGGTCGTCCGCTGCGTATGTGGGTGAAAAATATACATATAGAATTTCCATCTGTGTTCGAAGAAGATGCTTGCGTTTCTGCGGTTGAGAAAAGTCTCTATGATACTGAGCGATGATGCACGGAAGCAGTAGTCTAGTATTGAGAGCAGCTATTGCAAGGAGCGATGTGAGAAGTGAAGCCAGGAGAATTTTCATCAGGAACAAGCACTTTTTTTTCTTGATCATGATATGCAAATGGGTCAGGAATCACCTAAAAGTAGAACAAGACTTACCTTGCACGAGGTTCTGGCGGTACATGGATCGATTGGTGAAATTGTCAAAGGCCGTGAGAGATTATTTCCATGTTTGAGTGCAGTTTTTTCAGCAGCATTTTCTCTCGAGTCACGAAGAGAAAATTTCTCTTCGTGACTCGAGAGAAAGAGCAAGATAAAGCGCGGACTTCCAAGAACATGGATCGTTCATGTACTTAATCGATGTTAGTGCTAGGAGTGGCGTACCTTTTCCTGTTGTGTTGTGATTCTTTATTTCATCGGTGTGATATTTATCTGAAGAAAAATATATACTTACCTCAATAACCATGGACATCAAGAACTCCGTTTATTTGTTGTTCTTCTTGTTCTTTTTTCTTGCCGGCACATCATTATCATTAAGTAGTCTAGCTCTGGTTCAGGTTCAACATCGAAAACAATATCTTCCGAAATTTCCATATTAATCCGATATTACCAAAATCAATAGACAATGTAGTCCCTTGAAGGTATTCATTTCATACGTCGACGACCGCTCCCGGACCCGGATCCACCTTCTTATTTTCCTATCGAGTTCTCATCTCGACAAACCGCTTTGAAAAGATGGCCGAAAAGAAGCCGCTCGTTGTTTGCGTCACCGGCGCCGCTGGCCAGATCGGTTACGCTATTACCCCGATGATCTGCAATGGAGATATGTTCGGTAATTTTAGATATGCTTAGCTCCTGTTGATGTAGTTAAATCCTAATTTTGTTTAATGATCTGCTGCTCCTGGAGCTGGATGAAACAAGACAAATAATTTATAATACGAGTAGAACAAAGACTAAGAAAGAAGCGGAGTTCTGATTCGGCACGCAGAGGAGACGAGATACTTGATCATTTCTCCGACCCAACGAACTAGACCAGGTAAAGACCAGCCGATCATCCTGCATCTGTTGGATTTGCCATTTTGCATGGAGAGCCTTGGTGGCGTAGTAATGGAGATCGAGGATGGAAACTATCCTTATGAGATCAATCGGATATTACAAGACAAGTAGCTTACTTTTTCACGAGCTCCAGCTCCACAATCTCTTATTTTCAATCAATCTGTAGTTGTAATTCAAATAATGCTGGTTCTGCTAATTGTTCGTCAAACATGAAAATCCGAGGTTTGGGTTTGCAAAATACAAGTGAAAGTGTCGTCTAATCCTGACTCGTCTACGGAGTTGTCGCAACGTCTGATGTTGGCAAAGCTTTCTCTGGTGCTGACTGCGCAGTGCTTTTGGGCGCTTTTCCGAGAAAACAGGGTAAGTAAGAAAAATTGTATCTTTTCACTGCACGTGTAATTATGGCTAGAAGCATCTTCCAGGTCTTCCTCAATTCGTTGTACTTACACTTCATGCTCTACCTAGTGTTGATCTACTTTTTTCTTGAGTCATTACTAGGATCTTAATGACCAGACGCCCTTACTGCAAGGTATGGAGCGCAAAGAGCTGATGGAGAAAAATATTGGAATTTTTAAGGCCATGGGTGAAGCCGTCGAGAAGAACGCATCTCCGAATATCAAAGTTCTCGTCGTCGGAAACCCCGCCAACACGAACGCCCTCATTATGAGCAACTACGCACCCAAGGCACTTGATTCTTTTTTTGGATTCTCTCCTCGAAACTTAATTCAATACTAGCCCGGGGAAGTAGGGCATCTATTACGCGTGTAAGTAAGGGGAATGCTTAAGGGGAGAGAGAAAGAGCAGTCCTCGAGTGCAGTTGAAGCCGTAGCTTATGTTGCTTGTTGAGTGAAAACAAGTATGTTGTCGATGCTGCTTTAGCATTGTTCAGGCTTCAGATTTCCCTCCTCCGTAAACACCCTGCACTCACCTACAACCGTCGTGCTATGAGATATACCAGCACTACGTACTACAAAGTCAATACTTCTACACCAGGTTCCCAAGGCAAATTTCACGGCAATGACGCGACTTGACCACCACCGTGCACTCGGGCAGATTGCGTTGAAGGTTGGATGCAGCGTAAAGGATGTTCAGAATGTCATTATCTGGGGAAACCATAGTTCCACACAATACCCGGACGTGAACCACGCGACAGTTCAATTAAGGCTGTAGCTGATCCATCGCTATAGAGATTCCTCAACAGTGTAGGTACATTCCAATACAAGGGAGATAATTAGTGGGATATTCTTTTTCTTGCGGGATCCCTACGGGGATGAAAAGGGGAAAGCTCGAATCCAAGGAAAGCCAGTGCGTCAAGCCCTCGCCAACGACGCCTATCTCAACGGCGAATTCATCGAGACTATTCAGAAACGTGGAGCGGCCATTATCAACGCGCGTATCCTTTTCTTGAGCATGTTTTTGTAGAACTAGTAGTCTAGAGTTCTTGTTGAATAGCGGGCCTTCGACTTACAACATCAACTTTTGGTGATACATGATTGCTTGGATCTTATAGAACATAATCCACTACTAGTACAGTAACAGTTACATCGTTCATCTTCATCTTGCTCGCCCTCGCTCTCTGTACTACAGGTAAAGCGTCTTCCGCTCTGTCGGCAGCTCGTGCTGCAGTAACGCATATGCGATCCTGGTTCTGCGGCACCGCACCAGGGGAATATGTGTCAATGGGCGTGCTCTCCGATAGCAATAGCTACGGCGTGAAGCGAGGCACTTTTTCTTCAGATGACATAGACATATGTTTCATCATGATTTCACTCCACTTTTCATAAGGTGACACCATTGCATCGGGCTCGGGAATTGTCTTGTTCCACGACAAAAACTTCGACCTCGTAAGAACTTGCCTTGCCCTAATACTCGTTGGAACCATCAACTATCCACCTTCACCAACAACTTCATCTACCAGGTCTGATGTATTCCTTCCCTTGCTCTTGCAAGGACGGGCAGTGGTCTATCGTTGATGGACTCAAGTGTGACCAGTTCTCTCAGGCAAAGATGAAGGTTACAGAGGACGAGTTACAGGAGGAGAAGGATTTGGCCTTCTCGCTCTTGTAAAGGACCTCTCATATTACGCATTCCGCGAGCATCATATTTTCCGTGTTTTTACAAATCATGTTGCAGCCAGGGTATGCAGCACCTGGTCGACGATGAAGTAGACTAGTCTGAATTTGCGTTATTAGTCCAACGAGAAGATTGTTTGTGCATACCGCTCCTATGAGCGTCCACCAGGGATTGGGATAGATTAAGTGTAACTAAACTAAAGAGGTAGATCAAGGGGACGAGGACCGCATCCTGCACAGTTCTATCATTGCAACTCTACAACTACTTTTCATGCGAACTACGGTTGATATGTAATGAAATGTTTTTCAGTCCAAGTAGTTCAAGTTTAAAAATTCATTTTTTCTGAACGTTAGTACGCTCGTGTGCCTCCGCCTCGTTTTCCTATCACAACCACGACCAAAACGTTTGTTCCTCGACACGTTTATAAACGGGTCAGCAAACACAAGGGGAGCAGCTTCTCACTTTAATTCAAATCCGCTGAACACGATCAGAATCTTGATTTCCATGATTAACGATTCAGTCTTCCTCACCAACGCCACTGCAAGAAGATGACGTCATTCATCTGAGCCTACTAGATTGTTTGCAGCTCATTATTAAGTATTCGTTGTCCTGAATAACGGAAGTGTGCCTGATCCCGGTGACAGATTCGTTGGATCCCGCATGCTCTGGGTCACTCTTGCAATATTGTCTCACCACAAATTGTTCCTCGTGTAATCATACAATTTCGCCGCGCGAATACATTCAATCTGAAGTTACCGACATTTTTGGCGTGGGGCGGCAGCCATGAAGAACGTTGGAAGTAGATGTGGTCTCCGGTGCAAGACCGACTCTATATTCGCATCAGCGGCTATGAGTATGAACAATGCTCGATTGCGTTACAATGGTATGATCCATCAGCAAGTGGTCTCACATTATCCTCGAAAGTCATTCCGCACTCTCCGACTACGAAGATCCCCTAGATCCGCCTACTTGGTAAGCCGTACTAGGACCTCGCGTCTTGTTGATCTTGAGGAACGAAATGGATATTAGCTTTACGAGATACTAGACATAGAGATGTTCCATTCATGACTTTACAATGATATTTTACCCAATTGTGGTGCCACCACTTCTCACCTCAATGACAGACTGAAATGGCATGACAATTCGATTTGCAAATGCGCAGCGCGAGTTTCGAAATTAATAAATATGATTACTGACGAACGACCTATGGTAAGTTTATTTTTTCTTGACGAACACTCGAGACGCTTGCATGTTTTAGCACTAGAAGTTCAGCTTTCGCTTTTCAGCACATAAAGAATACGTATGATCAGCACACAAAAAAATGCCACACGCAGCTGTCGCCCACGACGAGAACGTCGAGGCAAGACTCTCGTCATCGCCGGGATCTGGACACCGTGAGGCTTATGGCGAGCTGCGAAAGGCACTTAGGACGCTGGTGAGAAGAAGAAAACTGCATGCTTTGGACGGACTAGAAGGACAGGAAATCGTGGAGGTCTCTCTTCCAAACATTCCAGTTCCTGGCTATGTTCGTCTTGTCGAAGATGTGAAAGGTGAATCTCCAAAAAGCTCGTCCTCGTCCTCAACCCCACCGCTTTCCTCGTCGAGTTCGAGTACAAGGCCGGATGGAACCGGTTCCGTTTTGTGGCCTGCTAGCGTTCTCTGTGCCCGCTTCCTGACATCGACCTTTTTGCCGGAGACGATCGCGCTCTCGGTGTCTAAGCGGGCTTTTAGTGTGGTTGAGCTTGGATGCGGATTAGGCTTGCCAGGTATCGCTTGTGCTCATTGGGGTTCTTCAACCTCGAGTGGGAGTCATTTTCAAAACGGCAGAGAAGACGGTGGAAAGGAAGGCTCACGAGACCCGGAGCAACATGACCTTCCTGTACGTGTGTGGCTGACGGACCAGTGTGCGGCTGCTCCGTCCGTAAATCGCGACCTTCAGCCTGAATGTGTAAGGGAACAAATTGAAGTTGGAGTGCTTTCGTGGGGCAAGGACCAGGTTCCAGAAGACCGCAGGCATACCGCAGATCTTATCCTTGGGACAGACTTGCTTTACTGTCAAGAAGCCTCCGTCATGGAGAAACTTGTCGAAACTATCGACGCTTTGCTGAAAATAAAGCCGGATCATCACGATGAACATGAAGAAGTGGAAGCAGAAGGAGCAGGAGGAAACTTGCCAGGAGAGGATTCGTCCTCTTCGAATTCAACTGCCGCACGACCATGCGCATTGATTGCGTTTGAGATGCGTGGGACATGGTTCACGCAGGTAGATCTTTGCGACATGGCGGAAGCTGCAGGATTTCAGATAGAAACGTTAGAGTTAAGTTTTCCTAGAAACGAAAACAAGCATCTTTTTAATGTTGATTCTAGAGAGGTAAAGGTTTACAAGGGTGCTGAAGTCGAACATCAAGCACTAGAGGTCCCACCCTCAGCATCACATACAAATGACGAAGATGACAACTGTCTGCGTGATGACCCAACGAGGAACGACTTTTTCCTTTATGTTTTGACGCGAGCCCGATGTGGATGATTATTATCGATCCGACCTTACACCCATCCCCACAACCCCATCTCCTGGTATATTCGACTTATAGGGCAGAGATCATGCGCAATCACGAAGCGCGGCGTAGATCGAAGTAGTGTAGTCATCTTTTACACTCCTGGAGTGGGTACATTCATTCATTCCTTATACGAATACGGCGACAATCACAAAGGTATGAGCTAAATAAGATAAGAGCAGCATTGAACAAAAGGAAAATTCGAAATGCTCTTAGTGGTAACTAGCTACAGTTCGTCCAAAGATCGTCCAGAAGAGTTCTTATTCTTTGAAGAATTCTTCACCCTAGTAGTAGATACAATAATGAGATCTGGAAGGGAGGGAGACACAAGCGTGATCACTTTGCTCTGTAGAATAGAAGACGTGCTGATTGTCGGTTCAAAGTAGAGAGATAGAATGAGAAAGAGAGGGAGGGAGAGAGAGAGAAATGGGTGTTGCACAACAGGATGAACATTGTTCATCGCGATATCAAACTCCAGAACTGGCTTCATCCTAGTGAAGATAGCGCGGACGACCAGTTGAAGCTGATCGACTTTGGTTTCAGCCGCTTCAGGGCGAAAAATGGAGAGGACCCACAGGAGGTGGCCACCGCAGGTACTGTCGACTCCTTGGCTCCGGAACTGTTGACGCCTTCTTCCGAAGTGAAGCCCCCAACCGACGTCTGTGTGCTGGGTGTCATCGTTTTTCTGCTGCTTGGTGGCTACCCGCCCTTCACGGGTAGCAGCACGCAGGAGGTCGTGGCCGCAATCCGAGAAAACCAGATCAAGTAGTTCCGTTCGCGGTTCCTGAACGTCTCCATGGAGGCTGCACGGACCGACGTTCGTGACAAAGCTGTTGAACCCTAATCCGGACACGAGACTGAGCGCTATGGAGGCGCTGCAAGACCCCTGGATCAAGGAGAGAGATCCGGGGAGCGGTGCGGCGCCGGCGAGATTGCTGAATGGAGACGTCCTGGGTGCCATCGCGAGCTTCCACAAACGCAGTGCCTCGGAGAAAGCGACAGCGATAATCATGACGCAGTGCGTGGGTGGCGATGAAGTGCAGGCACCGGAAAAGGTGTTCATGTCGCTCGACGTCTCAAACGATGGAGCCGTGGAACTCCTGAAGAACGAACTGAAGCGCGCTCTTGTGGATATTGGCAGGACCGATCGGGATCGAGTTCGTGGCTTTGACTACCTCTTATTTAAAACCCAGGACAACTACGAGGAACAAGGGGAGAAGAAGGCGAAGGCGAAACAAGAATCTGCAGAAGCCGACAAACCAGCAAACGGCGCGGAAAAAAAGAGGTTTTCAAAGCTAGACAGTTCCATGACTGGCAGTCGGCAGTCGGCAACCTCGGATCCGATCGATGAGGTGAGGTTAACGCAGATGTTCGACGATCTCGATTACAACAAGGACCAGCACATCTACTTCAGCGATTTTTTCACTGCCGTGATGGCCTGCAAGGCTCCGACGAACTGACTCGCGCAACTTTTGACGGCTTCCACATTGACCACAGTAGAGAAATCTCGCTGCAGAATCTAGAAAACCTTTTTGGGACTGAGTTCCGCAATGTTCCAGTGCTTGAACTGATCCGGGAAGCCGACAAGAACGAAGACCACATGATTGACTTCGAGGAGTTTAAGGCCTTTATCACGAGAGGTTGCGATAACAAGAATGGAGCAGGCGGAGGACAGCAAGGCCTGGCTAAGGCGCTCACCAAAAGTCACAACAAGATGCAACGCCGTGGGTCCATGTGTAGTCTGCCAGCCAACGACAAGTCGCCATTTGCGAAAGCCGACGGCTTCTAGAAACTGCCACGGTCGAAAGCGGTTTGTGCCCTCTACATGTGGCCATATTGACTAAAGGACATCAATAATGACTTTTTATTGATGGTGGAAGGATCAGGATGATCTCAAGCTCCTTACGCGCACCGAGTAAACGTGCCATCAGTATCAGGCTTCTTGTTGGTCAAGCAACAATATGTTTCACCTGGTTCTTCTTCTTCTTTAATTATTCCTAGACCTTGCAACCGACATAAAAGCTGACGACGCTGCTTTCTATTTTGTTGCACAACATGGCGCTTCGAGCATGGATGAGAAATATGTCGACGTTCGTTGTTGTTCTGTGCAGGGCCTTCTAAGTAGGCTTCCCTCCGATATGCTGCTTTGTCTCCTGCTGACGAGCTGCCTGGCGGTGATGGTTTTCTTGGTTAACTCGAAACTTACGGCGGTGCCGATTGCATTTCGTCTATCCTGGTGTACTGGTCTTCCTCTTCGCTTTTCTTCGCGTAGCATCATGGTACCATAGGCGCTGGCAACTCTCTCTGAGGTGCTTTGCCTTGGTAGCTAAGCAACAGACAACCGCTTCCGGCGGCGTGAGGCTCTCGGGAACAGTGGCCCGGTCGATGAAGGTCAAGCATTGACGTGTAAGCTGAATGCGGACTGAGTGAATCTCCACGGTTTCCTTGCTAGATCTTTGCTTTTCTTCGTTTCTTGCTGTATCATCTGTCTCTCTCGTCTCGTCTCGTCGGCGGACTCGCTTTCAATTTTGACTGATCTCTCTCGCTCTTTTATCTTGCCCGAGCACTTTTTACTGGCCTAGCGTCTTATTTTATGATTGACTTCGGGTCTATGTACTATTAACTGACTTCGCGTCTTCCCCCCTATTTTCGACTTCGCGTCTCCTATTCCCTTCGCCTGTTATTTGTGATTTCGTAGAAATCTAGAGATCCTCATCTTGCACTAGAGCACTGGCGCCGTCTCGGGTATATGCCGGACCGGCGCGTCGTCCGTGAAATGTAAGACTTCTCTGCGCCCACCCCAGCTGGTGCGCTGGCCCTCTGGCCGAAGACTTTGAAATTGAAAAAATAATATGTGTTGTTGAAATTATAGAAAGTATCTAGTACAGGAGAAGCGCTACTGTTTATGTTTTGTTGGGAAGGAAAAAATTGCAAGGTTCATCTTATCCAATGGAACAAAGTCGAGTCCGCGATGCCCAGCACTTTGCTGGAGTCGGTCGAGGCCCCTGCAGGAACGACAATCTCAATGTCGGCGTCGGGTCTTTTTTGGGTATTGAAAATTTGATTTTAACTTTTTGGTATGCGTATGGATTTAAGAGGGAGGTACTATGTCGTCTTCTTATAAGCGGATGCATGTGAATATTGCACAAGATTGGCGTAAAATAGTCGTCGTCGCCGTCGTCGTGTTCGCGCATGAAATTTGGGTCTTATGCGCCTTACAAATCGAAGTCTTTTGAGACCAGAGTGCGGTACTAGAGTTTCGGTTCGTATCTGTGTCTGATCCGTACGCGGTAGCAGCTCTATTATCATGATGTTAGAGAAGTGTTTACTGAGAAGTAGAGGACGAGAACAGAAAGGTAATCGGTTGTGGTCGAATTCGATCTTGCGAGCTAATGCTGAGAGTGTGGCTGATGTCGTCGAACTGTGCGAGTTTGACCTACATAGATACACCAAAGTTGGTCAAGCTACCCACCTGCTCCGAAGACTCCTGTACCTCTTCTATGCCCCTGAGCATGTATCCTGCTGTCCCACGACGACTTACTCACAGTAACGAATTTATGTCAGTACTTAAGTATGTACTTTTGATGCCGAAGCCGATGAACGAGAAAGAGAAGTATAAGCAATTCACTCACAACGACGACAAGAATCAGGAGAAACCAGGGAGTTTTTGATTGAGTTTGGTATCATTCTTGCGTAACTAATTGTTCTTAGGAGAGCACATACACCATGGCGTTGCAGGCGGCGGGTACGAAAACCCAAATGACGCCTGAGGAGCAGCTCGAGGACCTCACAAGGAGGTTCCAGCTCCTCGAGGGCGAGCGCAAGGCGACTTATGAGACGGCGCAGCTAAACATCCGCCAAAACAAAGAAATCATCAAGCAGATGAAGGTTTCATTTCTTGCTTTTTTACTCATGATCGCTGTTACTTCTAGTTCTACTCGCTGATGCACCATCTGAATCGTCGTTATTGTCTGCGTGTTGCCCATGCACCATTCCCGTGAAGATGAAAGATACTAGAACCCACTTAATATAATCCTATTTTTTACCCATCGATGGATTTCAGGAACTGTTGAGCATCACATTCTTATTCATTCATGAATAAAAAAAAACTATTCAGGACGAGAGCAAGATGTTGCGACAGCAAATTGCATTGCACAGGAACGAGTCAGCCCCGAGTCTCGAAAAGCAAGTCGAGGAGAAAACGGCACACTGTACCACAGATTAACATGATGTCAAACAAGCATCATCTTCATATACAACTTTGCAAGCAGGTCCTGCTCGAAAAAACGATGTTGTTGATGAACATGAAAAAGATGATAAACATACTTAAACTACTTTGGTATCGTCTTAGTACATCATTTGTTCTTTCTCATCTACGAACAGGCAACTCGTTAAAGCGACAGCTGGATAGTCTTCGCCACGAGGTAGCTCAGAAGAAGTCCCTGCTCGAGGATCTTCGCGCAAAGCTGGAGGACCTCCAGGATGCGTCGAACTCCCAGAACATCGGCTCCACAGCTCAGTCACGGCAAATCCGTGTCCTCGAAAATCGATTGGACAAAGCCATGATAAAATACAACGAGGCGCAGACCATTAGAAGAACGTACTACAACTGCTTTACTTCCTCTACGAAGTATACACTTGCACGACGGCTCATCTTTTCATTTCGATATTTTTTAACGACTATGAATGATCATGATCATGTATTCTTATCACTACAACTTCTATAAGGAACAACGAGTATCTCTATCTGTAACTGTATCAAATTATAAAGTAAAATCTAAATATATTATATATCAACATCTTCCCCTCCACATATGTTATCAACTGGTATCTTCACAGGTATGAGCAGATTGTAAAGCGATTGCGAGAAGAGCGCACAGGATTTGACTCGCAGCTTGCACAACTCGAGGAGACACTGAGAGCACGAGAAAGGGACTACGAAGAATTGCTTCTTCTTTCGCACGATGCTTATCACGCAAAAGAAATGGCACAGGCCGAGCTGCATCGATTCGAACAAGGTGTCATGGAAGAGCGAAATCAAAGGGATAAAGAGGTATTGACTCGTGTGATCAGCGTGACTCTCTTCTTTACGTTCACCTAGAAGCTGAAGCTGCGACGTAGAAATTCAGTAGAGGCAGTAGACACTTCATCTATTTTCGTGCTTCAAAACTATCACTCCCCGGTTATTCTAACTACACCCGACGCCAACCTCCACGCTCATAACAGGTGCAAGAAAAGAAGGCGTTGGTACAACAGCGAGTAGAGATGAATCAGAGGCTCCAGCAGCGAGAGCGTATGCTCAAGCAGCAACAGGATCTAGATAGGGCTGGCGAGATCGCACTCAAGACGACATCCGCTATGGCAGATTTAGCAGCAGGTTTTTATTGATTTGAATTTGTATTTTGAATTGAAGGAGCAGAAAAGAGGAGCAGCACTTGTAGTCGGCATACTTGAGACTTTCTGATGTCGCTTCCCTTGGACATTCCCGATGTCCCGTCGTACTTGGAACAATAGATTCGCCCATACAAAAAAGATGGATTCTGGCTGTTCTAGTTTTCATCATAAAGAAATCACAGCATGAAAATGTCACAGGTATTAGCAGCACCCAAGCAGAGGAGGAAAGACATAGGCTACATGACTACGAGGATGCCTTTCGACGAATCAAAGAAGCAACCGGAGTGTATTTTTAGAAATCACGAACACGAACAAGCTTTGGGAACATCAAATTATAGTGATTCGTAAAAAATATATCATCACCATGATTCATTTAACATCATCTTCCTCGTCCCATTTATCAACATGATCTATCCTCTCGTTCCTCCGCCCAACCGCACAGAGCCGATGTGAACGAGGTCATTCAGAAGTTCTTGACGCAAGAGGACACACAGAATCAGCTCTTGAAGCTGACAGTAGAGTGCCAGGCGAAGATTGACTCTTTAACCGAACAGAGAAAGCAGCTGAAGGGCATGGTCGACGAACGCAAGTTCAGCTCTGCAGGCAACATCGGAAAGAGACAGGTTGTAGATGACTTCGAGACGCATCTCTCTGAGGCTAGCGCGAAATGCGAGCGCAACAAGGGCAAGTACGAGAGGATAGCGAAAGTCCTCATCGATTTGAAGACGGGCGTCGACCACTTAGCAACGAAGCTCGTTGGAGTCAAGCTAGATGGTATCTCGAGCAGTTTCCCTCTTTTTAGTCTTGACTTCTACCTATAGAAAGTATAGATTGCATTTTTTACAGATCAACATTGTTTGTTTCACATGATGCAAGAAAAATGAGCGGCTCACAGGGTAGTTCTGCTGATACAGCGGGGCCATCTGAAGTTGTATTTCTTGAAACGACGATAACCGAAAAATATGCGCGAAAAGTTTGCGTATCAGTCGGTATTAGAAGTATAAAATCCAGGCGAGTCTCCGATCGAGGTGACTGATGAAACAGTCGAAGACGTTCTGTCCCAGTGCGAGTTCAAGCTCTCGAAATTGATGTCAATTACACATCTGGAGGGCGCTAAGATGGGCAAGTCGAGATCACAGAAGATCGACCTCGCATACTACGAAGAAAAGATGATGCAGAAATCGCAGTCCGATATTCGTGTCCATACACACGACCAGGACGATGAAGAACTCGATGTACTTACTATTATTCCTCTAGTAGTCTAAAAACAATGTCGGATGTCCAACTGAGTTTGATGAAGATGATGAGAACAGATTCAGGCTGGTTCGTTTTCTGCGAGTTTTCTATATATAAGTTGTGTCAAAACGAGTCGAATCGTTTGTTTTCTCCCTTCTGCTCATAAACAGGACGATGAGTTCGATGACGATGTCGAAGAGGACGTTTGGAACCGTCGTAGTATCAAGCACAACTCGCAAGTCATCCAAGACCAGAACACGAAGCGCAAGAAGCGCGCTGCCGGCAAGGGCAAGAAATAGATAATCCTAGAACTACTAGAATAGGTTGACAGACTGAGTATTGTTCGTTCAGATACAGATCATCACTAGAGTAAGTATGCCGATTAATCGTGAGTAACTGATCATCATTGAGTTGGAATTATTTGCTGATATCGTTCATCATTCAAGTAAGGTAGTGATATTGCACGTGAAAAATCGAATCCACGTTTGGCTGTAATAGACAATAAGCCAACTATTCCTGATAAAGATTGTAGAAGAACTTCGACACCTGACCATCCAGATACCGGAAGAAGGCTTCAAAATTGCCGATCGGTCTATCAATAGAAAAAACATCCACTAGATCAACATTATGACATCTTCGAAAAATACATTTTCGCGCGACGAAAAGAAATCGATTACAATAGCTTCAGTACCGAAATTTCTACAGATCTATCTCGATTTTTACAAGTCTCCAATCAATCATGATAGTAGGAGAGGAGCGTCAGTTGTAGAGTGATTATTCTTCGAATAAAAAGACGCGAAAACGCAAAAACAACTTAGTTGTATGAACATGCATGGTCGATGTTGTTCACCACGACAGTGTGAGCAAGTTTATCTATTCACAAATCTAGTATTGAAATGATTATGATTTAGTATCGATCCGCCCTTGTTATTCGAGTACCTAGAACGGAAAAGACAGAATGAACCAGATAATTTTGAAAATTGGTCTTATTGGAAAAGCACACAGACGCAGTCGCAGCTGTTATGGCCTGCCGTCGTCTGTAAGACTAGCTCGACGAGGACATCGTGTCTGTCTTGCTTCGATTGCAGTGTGTCTGTGTGGCTACGAGAGTTAGTGCTACAGATCTAAAATGCCTTCTAGTACACAAAGATCGTGATACTGTTGTTGTTCATGTTTTATTGCCCTGATGGAATCACGCGTCCTCCTCTACTTACGATTGCGCGGTTGCTGTTACTCTGATGTCGACAATAGCCTGCACCTTCGTTGTGCGTAGCTTGCTCGAATCTCGTTGGTGCCCGCCAAATCACAATCGACTCTTTGCGGGGACGTGTTTCGGCTCCGCGAAACATAACAAGCTACGAGTACGACAACAAGCTGCCGCGGTATGCACTATTGTCATCATCAGTCTACTGGAGTGCAGAACTAGAATATGAAGATCATGAACAACGTGTGGAAGGAATAGAAAGGATAGATCATGAATAGTTGTTGTAAGCACTGACTTGCATTTCTTGAGCTCCTATTTATACTTAATATATCAGAAGAAAGCAAACGAATCAAAGGGATGAAGAAATTCGCATTTTGACCTTGACTACACATGGGTCGACAAACTTGGTATCGACGAAGATGTACAGAACTACAAAACGAAAAATGTACTGATGTATGCTTGAAATTGGAAGTAAAGAAAGGCAGCTGGTGCGTCAGCAACAATTAATATCAAGAAGTGCGTGAGGCCGCTTGTTCCTTGCCTGGTCCTGTGTATCATTGACAGGATCATGATGATGTCACGACGGTGACGCCGAACATAATGACCTAGCAGGAGGTCTACTGATAAGTGAATCTCGCGAAGAGCAGGAAGACACCGCCGCCAGAAGTCAATCATTTGCACTGCTTTCTGTCGACATTTGAAATTTTCCAAGTCACGACGGACAGGCTGAGTAAAGCAAGAAAACAAAGAGGATGACGATGATGGCCGAAGAGGGTGAAGAGCAATCAGAAGCTGGACGGGAGGACATCTTTACGCTGCTGCTCGAGCCAGGAGATGAAGCTGAGTTGTTGCTCTTCCTGACTGCCTCGCAGCAGTGGTTTAGCAGTTTATCCGTGCCTCCATCACGAAACGACTTCAAGACATTCTTAGAAGGTGGTTATGCCGAACTCCACCATTCCTTACCAGCGCTTCCACCCGCATATACGTCGACAGGCCGCGCTGATTCCGGTTCCGGTTCTCCGCCTTCTGGAAAAGCAACATCACAGCAAAGAGGGGCTGCATCCCCGAGTAGTCGAGATGCGGTGCTGCAGCTGCTAGAGAGTCAACGGCGATATCTCGAGAAGAATGTTCTTGGCACGTCTACTTCGTCCGCATCAGCCGCGCAAGAGCACGACGATGAAAGCTGGCGAAATACCACTTTAGAGGCGTTCCTAGACGCCGCAACGGATGTCTCGGGTTTCCGGAGTGGCCATTACGAACCAAACTGGGGCTTCCTCTTGGATTTCTTCCAGGAGGGACAACAAGCTGAATGACGACTGGAAAAAATCAAATCTCTAGGTGTACTGTTGTTGTTCAACTAGCAAAAGTTTAGCACAGTTGGTTCAAATTGAAGTGTTGAGTACTAGTAGTACAACCCTCTGAAGGACGAGGTTTAGCTAAATCATTATCATGTAAATGAACGATAGACGCAAGAACAAACTGTGAATCGAAATTTTCGGCTATGACTGCTACTGCACAGGAGTCATTCGTGCGACGTGATGAACAAAATGCGCAGGTGAATCCCCGCTCTTGACTACAACGCGAGTGCGTCGTTTACAAAAATAAATTGACTCAGTTTGATGAAGAATCTAAATTACATATGCAAAGGCACAGTCGGAGGTGCATGGCATCAAATGCTAAGAAAACCACGATCACCTCCTCTCTGTCTTGCTATGAGGTATTTTTCTATCAACCACGAAACTTCCACAAAAATTATGTGACTGTTTTACCAGAAAATCACCGACGAGAAAGCATCACAATTAGACGACTATGACGAATGACATCGGTTCACAGTCCGTCTTTCGGAGTTGCTATTGATCCGAGGTTTCAAGAGGATCTCCTGTCCGTCTATGATCGTTATAAACATCAACATGTTATGATCTATGAGCTGGTTCTGGCGCCGTCCATTTGCATTTGCGATTTGGACATCCTGGTGTGATCTTGGTGAAAACGAATACGATAAAAGTTGCGTAATAAAGAAAAGACAAAATAACCAGTAGTACTACAAGAAATACTAGTACTTCTCAAGAGCAACAAGTACCAATTATAAGAACGAAAGAGATACAAGTAGAAATGAAACTGAGGCGCTTGCTGTACTTACAGAAGGAGCCCTCCGGATGAATGCGAAGTCTTAAGCCCATCTTGATCCATTGTCCATGGTAATTCGCTCGCTGTTTATTTCCCTTCCCAAATTGTATTTTTTTAGCAGGTCTTTTTTTGCGGCTAGTATTTTTTGAAATTCCGTGAGGATTTGAGCCGCGTGTATAGAAATGGAAGGGTCCTGCTCGCACTACTAGAGCTGGAGCAAACCTACGAACCTTTTACTTTTTTAGTGAATTATACTGAAATGGACTTGTTTTCATCGTTAGTACGCTTTCATTTCCCGCCTGCTGCTGTTTCTGGGTTGTTTTCAGTTTTGTGGATCTTGCACCAATCCTCATTCAACTTTACGAAAAGCACGATAGGACAGATCGACTTGCACTAGTTGTAGGCAAAAAATGTGTGAGATTTGGCTGCTACTCCAAGGCGAAAATGATCCATATTTTTCCACTTAGTAATTGATTCCGAGATCCCGACCATTTTTCTTATAAAATATTTTTTTGCGCCGCGTTGGCGTTCGCTTTGGAAATTATCGTGGTTGTATGAATGAAGATCTGTATTTTTGTCTTTGCCTCGACAGCTGTGTTGACATGACAATGTTCGATCAATCACAAAATCCATGTCGTGGAAGTTCCAGTTTCTCCAATGTCCAGGGGGTTCACCAAGCGTGTGGCCAGGACTTGCATGTGGTTTTTAGAGAGGGTTTTGGTCAGGCCAGTTCCCGATACGATACCACTTGAGGAAGGCGCAGGTAATTGTAGTTTGTGACATAGTCTCCGTAGTCCGGTTGCAGAGAGTAGGATGAGAATCGAGGCGATTGAGACCTGACGACGGATACGATCGCCGTTGTACTACAACCATACGTCGCGGGCTAGATATACCAGGAATCAAAGCAACCGAAGGGAATATAATTAAGCATCTTTGTTATTGGACGAGCTGCGACCTTCTCACAAAATGGAGGAAGAAGAGCAGCATATTGAGCAAGAAGGCGCCATTGAGGACGCTGCGTTCGACGAGGATGCCACGTGGACTGTCGAGGACCTCCTTGAATATAAACAGATTCTGCATGAAGGCGACCTGAAAGGGTTTTTTTTGGTGAAGTTAAGAAAAAGAGACTCTAGTTGGTTTTCTTGATTTGACGTTTGCTTTGATAAAAAAGTGATTAGACTGGATTTAGTTCGTTGATAATGGCAATCATTCTGAGGCTAGTGTTAATATGCAGCCTTCTAGACAAACTGGCAATCGATTCCCGCCACGTGGAGAAGCGTAGTTGGTTTGTCTCTGTTTGCATCTGACTCCACTGAACGAGCTCTAATATCGTGGGAAGGATACGATGATCCGAACTGGGAGGAGGAGGACAACATCCCGTCAGGGGATGACGAGTTCGAGCAAAGAAAGGCGAATCTGAGGGCAGCTTTTGCCGCACAGCAAGCTGCGGGTGGGGGTGCGGTGGAAGACGAAGCCGCAGAAGAGGAGGATGATGCAACAGCTCGCGATGATCGAGGACAGTTATGGTCTTAACTCATTGCTTAATTCTGTGACAACTTAGACTTTGTGTCTTAACGTGCTGTAGCTCGTTGCATTCTTCTCACGTTAGCGTGGAGAGATGAATACCCTTTATGTTCGGGTTCGGAGGCCCAGGCCCTCGTTTTTTTCTCTAATTTCACGACACGATGACGAGGGGGAGGCTCGCGGTAGTAGACGCCAGAGGAAAGATGGCGACAGGCCTCGAGACGACCGTCGTAAGAGGTCTCGCGAAAGGCGTGCTCCACGCAGCAGCGGCGAGAAGTCAGCAAGGGCGAAGAAAAGAAGACTATCAAAACGCGAGACAAGGAAAGATAAAGCTAAACAGAAGCGCAGGAAAAAAGAGGAAGAATCTTCGTCATCTTCCTCCAGCAGCAGCGAGTCAGTACTTGACGAAAATATCTTGCGTCCTCACTTTATACCACCTTCCTCCCGGTGATTCTAGTCCAAATGCTATTGCTAGTACTAAGTATTTATATTTATGATTTTTTTATCTTTGTTTCTTCCTGGTGCCTCGACCGTCTTCCTATTCATCTGCACCCTCGTCGAGGATATCAGCTATCGTTCCACATCCACACAAAATCTACGCACAGGAAAGCAGTAGCTCGGATGACGACGAGCAAGGCAGAGGGGCTTTTACGAAAGGCAGAGGCCCACACCTTCTGGGTAAAGGACCAGGTCCTTTGGGTCTCTCACATCCAAAGGGGTTTGGCCCAATGCTCGCAATGAAGGGAAGTAAAGGAAAATTCGGCATGCCTGGCATAGGCCTAAAGGGAATTCCTTTTGCTGCCAAAGGGAAAGGCATTCCTCCCACCGCGGTATTAAAATTAAAGATTTGTTGACTATGTATGATAGCGACTGGACCAACGACAATTGTACACTTACTCTCGTCTCTCACGCAATGACATGTGAATCTTTTCGCATGGTGGAAGTAGTTCTACCACTCGTGATTTTTACCTCACTTGTTGATACACAGTTCGGCATGCCGGCGCCAGGGCAGGGAAAGGGAGGCGCTGTTGAGGCGTCAAAGCCTCGCGTGATAAATCCGCACGTCATACAGACAGAAAATTTCGCTCGTAGAGAACGAACTCAATTGCGCGAATTTGTGCTGAAAATGCGGAAGTACTACAGGAGAAAGCGCTACGCCTTCGACTGGAGCCAGGGCCTAGATCCCCAGGAAGCGGCGGAGCGCATGCAGAAGGACTTTGGTAGTGCGGTGAAAAAGTCGCCGAGTAAGGTAGTAGCCGATACGAGCAAGTCCTCGTCAATGAGCAACGGCGACGAGGGTGAGGACGCAAAAACTGTCAGGAGAAAAAGTGCTGAGACAGCACAGGGCCTATCATCGAAGCGGCGAAGCAGCGCTACGGGGAAGAACTTACTATTGTCATCACCTGAAGTAAGCGGTGCTGAGCAGAATCTTGACGAGAACAGTCGGGAACAGGAAATGAAGGATGGAATGCAGAAGTTTTTCCTTGAAAAACGGGCTGAGTTTTTGGACAACATTTTTTATAAGGCAGAGCTCGATTCCTCAGACAGAACCGCCTTCATGAAGGCGAAAAACATGATGACACATCGAGGCCTGCCAGAACTGCTGTCGACGGACAACCTTTTGCTCGAGGCGATGTACCTACTAGTGTGGGATGCAGTGCTGCCCGAAATACCGAAAGTAGGCGAACAAAAGGACGACAAGGATGGCAGCAGCTCGTCAGGTATTTTTTCATAGACAACTTTTGTTGTTGTTGTCCAAATGCACCAGAATTAATGAAGGCTAATAAGATTTCTATCGTCTAAAAAAGAAAACTTACGGCTCAACATATTTCGAATACATACAAATAACGTAGTTGGAGTAACTCGAATAGGAACACGAAGTGTATTAAAGCCTGTGCACGTCTCCACTTTTATTTTTTCAGCATCCGCTGCCTCATCGACCGCTGTAGCAGTATCCGGTGATCCGAATACGCAGGAGGATGAATATGAGGATGATGCACATCTCTGCGAAGCGCTGCGTGTTCATCGAAACGAGATAGTCCTAAGCTTATTCGGCGAAGAGGAAATGCCCAGGCCGCCATCTGCTGTCCCCGCCTCTGGAGATGTCGGAGATATGTCACCAGTAAGACTTAAGCACGTCGAACTAGAATCTTCACTAGGAGAAAATCAAGAGGGTATCTCACGGACGTTCTTAGAATTCTTTCAGGCAAGATAAACTCTGTAACAGGTAAAATATCTTCAACGTCAATGCCCATCCAAGACGCAGCTACACCATATTGTCTCGCTCACAGGTTCGCGGTAGAGCAACGCTTTTGCGTCCGTTTGCGTCCGGAAACGCTGGCAATCTAGTTCCTCCACCGCTAACGCTTGAGAGCAGCTCTCGCGGTAGTGTAGACGCATCGAAGCGTCGTCAGCTTCTTGGAGAACAAACAGACGCAACATCTTTAGCAAAACCATCTCCAACTCCTGGTACGCCAAAGAGACAGAGGCCACGCGCTAGCAACGGAGGCATTCGTGAACAGTACGGGTTGCTAACACCTGGCTGGTCTTCGACTGACGAGGAGGAAAATCCCGACGTAGCGGGACCCGACAAGGGAAAAGAAGAGCATCAAGGAGACGGAAATACAGCGGCAGCCTCGTCGGGCGGCGTACTCGCTCCTCCAGAGCGAAGAGGAAGCGGTGCTGCAGGAGCAGAAGAGGGGGGTGCTACTAGTGCACCCGGAGGAACGGGTGCTCTTGCACTGTCATTGACCAAGACCAGTGCGCCGACCCCTCGAGGCCCTGATAATGATGCCACCGTCGGCGTTCGGACAGAGGACAGTGCTACCAAGCTGAGCCAGTTTTTGCCGCAAAGTAGTCGAGAGCGAATACTGCGTGAAGGGCCAGAAGCGCTTCTCACTTTGCTAACTGACGTTGCAAAACATCATCGCCTCCGACAAAAAAATCACCTTCGGAAAAACCTCCTCGTCACAGCAATAGAGCTTCTGTGCAAGCGCACAAGCGAGGAAATGACCACGTCAAGTCAACCACGAAGTAAACTCAGTTCCTCTGGTGCTGATTACCCTGGAAGCCTAAACACATCGACAATGACGGCTTCACCAGAGGGAGGCCATTTGAGAGGTTCTCGCGGAGAGCCGCAAGAAATAGTCACCTCGAAACTCTTTTCACCGCAACAAGGCCTGGTGAAAATTTTCGCCCACCTGCTAGCCAGCGAGCCAAAGGTCGACGATCAACATCCCGAAGTTGTCAGACACTGGAAGACACTGATCAAAATGCTCTACACGGAGCATAACCCAGATAAGCTGGGTAACGCTCCTGAACTATACAAAAAGTACAAGGGGAAGGAGCGCATGCTGTACTTTGGTACTTCGTTTTCTTTTTAGCAGGAGAACGAGAAGCGTGTGTAGAATTGACTCACACATACTTTGTCCGTACATGAATGACAACAATGTGACCATGAGTGCCCAATTTCTTGTCATATTTACATCAACGTCAATGTCAATCTAACATGCTCATCGCTAATTACATTTCCCACTTTTTGAAAATTTCATTCTCGAACACGATCAGGAATTTGCGACAAATACGGGGTTGCGACACGCACAGACATTCCCGAGGATGTAAAGGCTAGAGTGATCGGCGACGCTATTACACCAGGCATGATGAAGCCGATTCCTCGACACTCCCCAATAGTATCTGCGGTCGTGAACCCAGGAGACCCAAGCGCCAACGGCGTGGCTGGTGGCAGCAACGGCGCCGTAGGTGGTTTTGACAGCAACGGTCTTGCAATTATTCGCTACGATGATAAAAACGCCGACTTTCAAGCTGCGGTGCAAGAGCTTTACTACGTCGAATTATGCAAGATCTACCACAAGCACAACCCTGCAAAGGCATCTAACCTCAAAACGGTGATGGACAAAAACCGGGGCAAAGAACAGCTTCTTTTTGAAGGGGTCTGCGACAAATACAGCATCAAAAACACAGGAGAATTTTCCAAAATCAACTTGCCTCTACAGAAGAAACTTGTAATTCTCAAGGTAAAGTGGAGCATCTACGAAATTTTTCGAAAGTGCAACACGAGCAAGATTGCAGAACTTGATACGGTAGAAATTAGCCAGAACTAATACTCGTGGATTATGATACTTGTTATTAGACTTCCTCCCTCAACTATCAGGATAACTATCGTTGAAGATGCTCACGCGGAACGACATAAAAAGATTTGATGGCTTTTCCTTATCCAAAACACCCAGGTCATGATGAAGTATCAGAACAAGGAGCTGTCCTTGTACGAGGCTGTGTGCAGGAAGTACAACGTGAGTCCTGATACCGGATTAGTGAGTGCGCTGGAGGCACTAAAGAGCACCGATGTTTCGCAGCTGGCTGCTCCGGGAACAGAGGATAATCCGATTGACAAGAAAAAGGACATGACAGATCGTCTCAAAAGCGCCATTCGCGACCTCTATAGACAGCACAACCCGGGCAAGCTACGGGATCTGGATCTTCCGGGAGAGAAGGGAATGTTCACGAAGTACTTGGGCAAGGAAGACCAACTCTATGTGGCAGTGTGTCGCAAGTACCATTTGACTATCGACGACAGCCTTCTGCCGTCGAAGGCTGGAGGAGACGATGACCCAGCAGGATCCGAAGATAGCGAGAATGAAAACGCGCGCGACGCTGACGGTAACTTGGATTACGCGAAGCTCATAACAGCGCTATACAAAAAACACAATGCGACGAAGCTTGGCGACGTGCCAGACCTTCTGAAGAAGTACGAGGGCCAAGAGGAGGAGCTCTACGAAAGGGTATGCAAGAAATACCACGTAAAACCAGTCAAGCCAAAGCCAAACGCGACCCCGCAATCTAGTGCAGAGGAAACTGCGGAGGAGCAGGACGAAAAAGGAAAGGTACTTTTTCTGACTTCTTCAATATGTCTAAACTGTTCATGATAGATGGCCTACTTGTTGCTCAGCGATTTAGATGCACACCAGAAACTTGCAAATGTTGTTAATGTGTGTGGTCTACAGCTGTACCATTTGCAATAGCGTTATATATTCCCATCTTTATTAACAAGTACTTTTGCAGCCGATAGTATAGGTTTTGATGTTGTCACACTGTTATTAACAGCTAGTGTTTGTACACCTGAGTGAGGGTGTTCCTAATAATCACTCCTCCTTTTCTGTACTCTCAGGGTCCATTTGACGAGGATCCCCAGTATTTGCAGTATGCACTTGATGTGCTGTGTGTCCTTCTTCGAGCTCTTGGCGGTGTCTTTCACATTTCGGCTAGCAGCACCGATCTCAAACATAGAGAAGCGGCGAAAATGGTCACGGCTCTCGAAGAACGAGCTGCGGAACTTCGGAGGATAAAAGGTAACGATACTTCCTAGTTGCACTAGCTGTACTTCTGAAGATAGAAATCAATGGGAGCCCATAATCGGTGTAGTAGCACGATTCATACTTTTTACTGCCACCTGAGTCAAAAACTGATTGTCATTTGCCGCTCATTTTTCCATGTACAGATTTAGAATTTTAATCCCCCGTCAACCGTTGTCGTCCAGATCAAAGCTACAAGAGTTTGTATCGATCAAGCTGGGATTTGAGTGTTTTGGATCCGGAGCAAGTGCGAGACATGCAGATGGCGTTTCGGCCAGAGCGCATGCACGCTTTAGAGCAGAAAATGTCGAAGCACGTTTTTATTCGCTACGAGAATTCTCTCTACGACCTTGACAGCTGCAGTGAAGCCGTGGCAGGAGACACTATGATGGACGACATGGAGGTCGGCGTGGTCCCTGGGAGGCCAGCACGAGGCGTGATGCTGAATCGCACTCCTGCGTGGAGAGCCATGGTGGAACCAGCGAGCCGATGGCAACCACGGACCGAAGACAGCGATCGGCGTCTTGCGATCGAGCTTACGTCCTCACGGAAGAACGATCTCGAAAAGGCAAACCGCCTAGTTTCTCAAATATTGGAAGACGCGAACGGCGAGAGCGACATCGACAGCGACCGAGACGTATGCGACGAAGCAACAACGATATTGTATAGTGCATGCACAGAAACCTATCACGGAAAGAGAGAGCAACTTCCGATCTATGTGAACCGACAGAACCTGCTGCTCGACATACGAACCCCAGCAGACTATCTGAAGACGCGGTATAGCTGCTCGTTGCGGTTTGACCTTGCGGACACCTCGATGGAGAAGGTTGCTCAGGTTGCAAAATCCCTGTCGTCATCGAAGAAAGAAGGTGCTGCACCACGTCGTGGGAGCAACCCATTCGAGGTGCAACAAGCCTCCGGGGATGCTTCGTCAACAAACGCCTTGGCCATAGCACCTATTGCCTCCGACAAGGATGGAAACGTCGACCTCTTAGATTTGCAGAAAACTTTGCACGAAAATGCGTTTCTGCCTTTATTCCGTGAGACCTGGATTGCGGATCTGAACCGGCGAAAAATGCGTATGAAAGGCTCCATAGTCTTCAATCTGGAGCTGGATCGCCGCTCAGACACGCTAGCACTGGTCGCCGTCGCCAAGAACAAAACGGCCCTTGAACGAATCGCGGGGCAGCTGGAGGAAACGTTGTTGCGACACAGTGGCGGGTTGGAGTGGATCAAGAGCGAAGCCCAGTTCCCAACGGCTCCGACAATAGCACGACCCCAACCGCTACCAGGACCGCTTGGTGGAAGCATGACTAAGTCGGGCAATCGGGGGGGCGAGTACGGCGGTTCTGGAGGAGGCCAAGGCGGCACCAGGCGAGGTGGCCAACAGCTGCTCGCGGGAGAGGGGTACACTTCAGACGAGTACTACTCTGGTGACGAGGTTTCCATCACCAAACGGCCAATGCGGCTCTCAAGGGAGAAGATCCTCGAGCACGTTCAACGACAGCAGGCGCGCTACGAACGTCCCGGAGCGGAGGTCTTGCCAGGAGATTATCCGAAAACGCCTTTGGACGTACGCAATCTCGTATGCCTGCAATGCGATACTCTCCATAATTGGAAAGATGTCAAAGCAAGGTACTCAGTTACTCTTACTTACAACGTCAAGATGTAGTCGCATTTTCGAGGCCAGATGCACCACTATCTTCATTAGCATTTTAGAAATTGCTTATCTATCCGCGACTACGACTAGTATCTATCTAAGTAGAGCGACTTCTTCCTTCCTTGATCCTTCAACATCGACATCATGATGATAAAGATGATCTTAGTCCCGCATTCTCTTCTGTCCGTTTTCGTCTGTCTCACATCAATTCCTTCTGTTTAATCTTGAAAAACCTACGTTGACATTCTAGGCTCGAGGCTACGACCCGTGCTTTCGACCCTGCTTCAGCGCCGGCGAAATCTATCCGCGCACGTCGAGCGTGGCAACATTGTTGCCGACAGGAGATCGAGCGGGCATGCAACGACGAGCCTGCGAAGTATCTAGTGTGCGTAAATTGCCACCGCGCAGGGCATTGTGCCGAGGAGTGCGAGGTGAAGGATAGGTGGACAAAGCGGTACTTGGGTAGGCACGAGCGCAGTGAGCAAATGCTCTATCGGCGTATCAATCACACGGCGAGTGAACTAGAAGAGTTCAGGCAGGGTGAAAAGTGCAAGCGAACTCGTGGCATCATCACCAAAATGGAGTCCCTGCATGCCCGCATACGAGCGCTCGCTGGCGCACCAACGGGAGCGCCACTGAGTCTCGAAGCCCTGCGCCGTGCAAACTTGTCCCCAGACAAGATCACGCAATTGGTCGATGACATTGAGGAGTTACGCCGATCGGATTTGATCTTTCCAGCGGAGATCGACAAGATGTGCACCCAGATTTTGGAGAACCCAACACTGCTCCATGACCCGACGAGTCTTGCCAATCCCCACAACTACTTGGGCCAGCGCGACGCTTTCGGGGGTAGGCAACCTCCATTACCGACCCAGGCGATCGAGGCCTACCGCAAAGAGCGCGGATACCCCGACCCACTCTCAGCCCTCGGGCTGCCACCCCTCCGCTCAGCGAAGGATGCGACGTTTTCAAAGGCGGGTAGTATCAGGATGAAGACAAGAAGTCCATTGGGTGAAAACGCGGTTCTTGCGACAGCAAAGCTTACGAGCAAGCTGTTAAAGCCGCCTAGTGTTCGGTCTGCGTCTCCTGCGTCGGACGAGAAGCCGGGTGGAAGCAAAAAGGTGGAGGGCTCAGTAGAAAAGCAGCAAGGCGACGCGGTGGTCGACGAGGTAGAGGACGAGGATCCCTTGCCTGCGCGATATTGGGACGATTCCTCGACCGCATCTTCAGAAGACGAACGCGATTCGTCCACGCCGAAGGGATCTCCCAAGCCTGCACCACGAGTAGGCGACAGCGACGCGCCAGGAGCTATGATTGGACCGAGCCGGGATCCGCGCGGCGCGGCGCCGCAGAAGCAACCATCGAAGGCAACAAGCGATGTCGGACGGCCAGAGCCGCCAGGGCATTTGGGGCCTCAGGTTGCAGATCAGCTATACTTCTGGTATGGGAAGATCTTCCTTGACGAATTGCTGAACAAGTCATTGTTTGGTGCGAATGCCATGTCGCGGATTCTCGGACGACAGGGCGCGAACCACAAAAAAATGGAGAAGGAGGCGAACGCTCGCGTCTTTTTCCGTGGCTTTGGTGTTTGCAGTGACCTACGACAGTTTTCTGAGGGCGAACCTCACTTGCTCACCCATGACGACGCCTTCAAAGAGCTGCAAGGTGCAGGTGTGCTGTCCGAAAAAGAAAAGATGCCGCGTCCGCGAGGTCTTGCTGCTTTGAAAAACGGAGAGGGAGAAAATGGGGAAGAAGATGCGGGGGATAAGCAGGCTGAGGCAAACGGAGTGGTTGCCGGAGGCCCAGACTCGGCTCTAGATACGGATGCCGACGCGGCACAAAAAAAAGCCTCCGATGACGGAACCCTGATGCTTACAGATATGGCCGCGTCCGCGAAGAAGACCGAGCGCGATCTCATCCTTGACAAACTAGAAGGGAAAACGCGAGAAGAGGACTTACTTCTTGATCGGCAAGCTATGTATCCGCAGAGCGAGCTCAGGCTGCATCTACTCGTGAAATGTAGTGAACCGAGTCAGGTTGCGATTGTTCGAAGACAGTTAAAGAGCGTGCTTTCGTATCTCGAAAACACAACGTCCAACGATGCGCGTGTCCACGATGTCTTCATGGGTTCCAACGGTGACCCAGAGCGCCATCCCTTTTTTGGCCTCGTGCCACTCAAGTACGTCTATTCTAGCGAGCACCCGGTGCGTGAGGCGAGGCGGGAGTGGCGGTTCAACCTGCCCTCCGAATTGGCTGCGGCAGGGCAGCAAAGCCACGATGGAAGCAGCGGTGATGATGTGGTGGCGTTATTTCAGAAGTGGCAGACGAACTTTGCAGGTGAGATAACGAAACACAAAAATGAACTCCAACGTGTGAAAGAGTCCTTGACGGACGCGGCGTACAACATCGACCTGGAGATTCTAGACCGGGACCTGCATCCCCTCGGAGAGGAACTCAAGAAGGATTCTGCGCGCGGAAGCGACCCAGAAAACCCACAAGACGGGTCCTCTACGGGCATCAACAAAGATGCCGCAAAGGAAAGTCATGGAGGCAAGAAGCTTGAGGATGTCCAAGCCTCGGACGGCGAGGTCGTGCAAGACTCATCAGCTGCTGCGGGCAAGAAAAGGAATGCCGAGGAAGCTGCTGAGAAGGCAGGGGAGTCCAAAAATACGCCAAGTAAAAAGAGAAGACGGCTCAGCATGCTAGGCAAGGAAGCAACAGTGCCACTGGAACAACAAAAGTCTGTCCTTCTGAAAAAAGTGCCGAATATCTCAAGGACAGATTGGTTCGGGCTTCCCGAGGTAAAGCGCGAGGGCTCCAAAGCCATCTTGCAAATTCCGGGTTTGGCACCACCAGAAACGACACAAGTCTCAACCGACGTGACGAAGTTTGTGATGCAAAAGTTCCAAGAACTTCTTGCCGACTGGGACCGACCTTACTGGTGGGAACCACGGGAGCTCCTCGGCACCCAAGGTTTGGCGCACGGCCCGCTGGCACGTGTAGAAAGAAAGTTGAAAGCGAGCGACCGACATCTCGCGCTTGCGTCGGAGATTGCGCGGGAAACGGGCACAAGTACGGCGCATCAGTTGCAGGCAGTCTTCGGCACGGAAGGACTCTCAGGCACAACATTGCAAAATAGAGACAGCACTTCAACATCCGAAGCGATTGGGAGTACTTCGTCCCTGCCGATGCCGCTTTCGAAGGCGTCAAGTTTGTCCACTGCTGCAGCCGTGGAGCGTCCTGGCGGCGCATTGTCAACGGCAGCACCGTCCCTAGTTCCGAAAATCCCAGGTTTAGGCGGACTCACCCTTGGGCAGGCGCCACCGCTGGGTCCGTCCTCACTTTCATCAGGTGCCTTCGCAGGCACAGCGGATGACTTCGGTGACAAAGACGAGAAAGATGCAGAAGAAGAGTCCGGTGTTGTTTTCGAGCAAGGAAACTACGCTTATGCGGCCGCAGATCCATTGCGACCGTCTTGTTTCGCAAATCCTTTTCTCGTCGGTCAGCAAGTTGCTCTCAGTGACGCGGCTGCTGACCACTTCGCAGATCTCCTCTACCAGTCAGGGCTCTGTGATCCATCAGAGGCGAATGCAGCTACCGCTAGCGCTACTGCTGCTGTTCCCCCGGCTAGTTCTCCGGCGAGCAGCCCTCTTGACTCAGGTTCGGAATCGGCGAGGAAACTAGACCTCCCAGATACCCTCTCAAAGGAAGAAATTGCGACTGCACTTCGAGCAGCACGAGGTGTCGTCCGTTGTCTCAAGAAAGACGAGGAGCTTCTTGTGTATCTGAAGTATCCGTGGGCCCCGTACTCAGATCTCCACAAGCAAATCCGCACGCACTACCCAGCGCCGCAACCCGACGTACACCGCGAGCTACGCGCTCTAGGCCGTTATGGTCCGGTAGAAGTGCTTTGCCACGACGAGGAAGAAGGCCGCAAGGCCTCGGCAAGTCCGAATCGTGGACCCAAGAACAGGACGGGGCGTTCGGGTTCGGCCGCCTCTTCACCAGCGCGTTTCGCAGTCGCGGCGCAGCACCTGGAAACGAAAAAGAGGAAAACGAAACTTTGCTACTACGGCTACCTAGTGGACTGGCGATTGCCATGTCCTGCAAGGGAGCAGGAACTCTTCAAGGAGGAACAAGGAGCACTTGACACGCGAGCTCTCGCAGCCATCAGCTCTGCAGACGGACGCGGAGCCATGGAGGTGGGACCTATCAAATCGTCGCCGCGCACAGGGCCAATGCCACAGGGCGCAATGTCTGCGCGCAAGGGGAAGGGGCCAGTCGTGCCTGGTGCAAAAATGCATCCCGGACCATATTTAAGCTTATACCTTCAGCATATCATCAATATCAAAGTCCAGCAATTACATTAGAACCAAGTAGGTCCTCAAAGTCATACTCAACGATTTTTGACAGTCGCTGTCATTAGCGTCTTTTTTCAGCCTCAATGACGACATTGCTCACCTTGTTTTCTTGATCGTCCTCTCTAAAACAAGCAGTACCTGGAATGGGACCACCTATGCTCGGCCCAGCAGGAGGGCCGTTGGTTGTAGATATAGGATACGGTGGCCCTATCGCTCCGGGCGGGGCAATGATAGCCGGCGCTCCACCAGGGGCGGTGCTAGCCCCAGGCATCGTGACCCCAGCGGGCAGTCCACCTGCAGGAAGTCCTCTTGTACCAGGAACAGCAGGCGGGTTGCTTGCACATGCGGGTGTTCATCCGTCTGTACCACTAGGTTCACCAGGAGCAGGGCAGATGACGGGAATCCTAGGCGGAAAGGGTATCGCGCAAGGTGTAAATGCGGCACAGCCAGAAGCTGCAGGAGCACCCCCGTCATCCTCTTCGGCTGTAGATCTGCTCGGCGGCGGACCAGAGTCACCTCCAGCGAGCGCGCTCGATCGAGCAATGGGTGTGAAATCCACAGGAGTACCAGGAACAAGTCAGCTCCTTCAGCATTCGTCGATGCAACAACCACCACCAACAGTCGCGAAGGCAAGCACAGGCGCAGGAGGCGTTTTGGCGGCTCCGAAAGCAGAGGCACCTCTTCTCCAAGTAGTGGATAGAGAAAAGTCGCTGGCGACTACTGGTATCACAGCGCGTCTTGTTGAGAGCGGAACAGCTAACAACCTCGTCGTCGTTGAACAAGATCCATCAAGGCCATCACCAAGAGAACAAGAAATGGTATCTTAGTACCTTACATTTTTTCTACCAATGTTAGTCTTAGTTGTCAATACTTATTTAGATAGATCAACATAAGAAAAAAAATTTTGGAATAAAAGTCATCAATTTGAGAGGCCAGGATCGATTCGTTTCGTGAACAACATTATTCATCAACCTGAACTTCTTTCGTTTAAAGAAGTTCTTCAGGAAATTGAAGACGTTCTGAAATTGATCAATATTAAGACCATTTCCAGACTGCTGCTGCTGCAGTTGCTGCTGCGGCAGAGGAGAAGCGGCGCAAAGAGCAAGAGGAGCAAGAGCGAAAGAAAAAAGAAGCAGAGGATGAGAAAAGAAAACAAGCGGAGGTAGCTGCGCTCGCATTGCAAGCGATAAACCCTAATGCGAAGCCAAGCGCAAGCTTCTCAACGCCAGAGGCATCAGCTCAAAACAACCAGCCACAGCAATCGCCAAGAGACAGTGGCGCATTTTCTGCAATTGAGCAACAGCTGGCTGCCATATCGAGATTCCTTCCGGACGAGCAGAAAACGGAGTTGAAAAACACGGTACTTTTTTTCTGTTCGTTTTGAATCATGTGATGATAGTTTACAACACAAATATTATCCCACGAAGATATGATTTTTGTACAACCCCATCACCATCAGAGACCCCTTAGAAACCGTGTTGACCCAATTATGGTTGTGGTTTTTTCATCTCAAACTCACAAAATTGTACCTGACACGTAACACACACACTAATCAGATGCTTGCGATCACGAAAGGAAAAGGCAAAAAGCAGCAATTACAGGATGCAGGCCTTCAGGGAACGGACAAGGGACAGCAATTGCAGGAAACAATCATGCAAGGCATAATGAAACTGCGGTCATTGAAAGGTAAAACGACTTCCTTTTCTTGGGTATGCAATGAGCATTTTGTAGTCATGTTCTGGAGAAACTAGCAAGTTGCCAACTTCTACAGGATCTCCAATCTTGTACACAACCAGGAGCACAGTCTCGATTTACCAAAACCCTACTTTGCTTTAGTTTTAACGAAATATCATGTGTTTGTGTAAGTATGCGAATGCGAGTATACGTGTGGGTCGATTAAGGTCTATAATTGTTGACTATTCAACATTTTACAGGTGCCGCCATCCAGCGTATGCAGGAAATGCAGGCTGCGAAGGGCCAGCAGCAAGTACAGAATGCAATGGGCGCGAAGGGTCTGAGGCCTGCAGAACAACAGCAGGCATCCGCGCCGAGCGCTCCCGCGGCACCGCAATTGACTCTTGCGCAGCAGATCGCCGCAATGTCGCTAGCCAGTAGTGCCAATTCGTCTAGTAGTGCGCCAGCCGCCGCATCATCGTCCTCGGGCCCGCAGATGAGTCTGGTCCGCGATCTAGGTCCAAGCGGTGACGATGCCCGATTGGCTGCGCTTGCCGCAGCGCAAAAGGAGGCACAGCAGAGTGTTACCGGCAGTGTGCTCAATTTCGGCAGGAGAGCAGACCCACTTGAAGGTCCGTCCATAGGCGCAGGCGCGTCAAGTAGTAGCTCATCTGGTGCAAGCAAACCTCCACAACAACTGGCTCCGCCTCAACAACTGAACCCTATTCCGACCAGCAGTGTGCCCGATCGACTGCAATTCCAGGGTGCTGTCTTTCTCCCGCCGGAAGTGTTCCCGACACCAGACCTGCAAGGCAAGATTGCTGGTCCCGGCAACGAGTATTTTAACCATGTGCTTGCCCGCTTTCCAAATACAAAGATTGAATTCAATGGTCTGCCGACAGCACAAGCCCCTCCCGACAAGAGGTTACACGTTGTGGTTTCAAGTAGAAACCCAGACGTGCGGGCATTCAAAAACGCCTTCAAAAACGTCATCGACTTGGCAGAAACGGTCAGCGAAAACGTCGCAAACGAACATCTGAAACTGTCGGAGGTATCTAATGATCATAAGTAGGCACTGGCTAATGCATGTTTTGCTTTTGTATGAAGATGCTGATGTTGTTTATAAGAATATTATTGTCCGTGTGTAGATAAAAAAATGATATTGATGCTCACTCTAATGCCAGTACTACTTCTACTCCTCCCTCCTCCCTACTACGACTCCTACTTGATTCAATGTCAACTCCCAACGGCAGCCACATTGTTTGACTTTTTTCACCGACAGTAGCCTTTTATTCATATGCTTGATATTCCCAGGCCCAAGCTAAGGAGATTTCGAAGCAAGTGCGATCGGAAATGTTCGCAATTGGACCCGATGGAACATCCAGGAGAATAGAGGACGCTGATGACCGCTCAGACGACGAAGACACAGTTGAGAGTGACGCAACTGTGCAGGATGAAGAGACGCCTCTGGGTGGAGGTGGTGAGCCGGCAGGTTTCGGAAATCCAATGATGAAGGGAGGGAAAAAGGGGAAGGGAAAAGGCGGGTCGATGAACCCGAAAGGAGGAAAAAATTGGTGAAGAATAGAGTGTCCTCTTCCTGCGACTTGCACTCGGTAATGCACTTTATTTAATCACCATGATCATCATCATCATCATGAAAGTCGTACACTGACATCAAAGACTTCATTTAATGCTTGATTTACGTCGTAGCCTACACCTACCACATCCATGTTGAAGATTCTTCATTCACACCTTACCAAAATTGTCATGAATACTCTTCTAAGGATGAATACTCTTCGGAAGAAGATTCTTCAGTACATAATAGATGAAGCCAACAACCCCAAAATAAACATACTGCGACAGAAACCCTGTTTGCAGCCGTCCTCGTCCTGTACTAAAGTACGTGCTCCTGAAAGTGATCCAAGTACAACCGGTATGCGGGTCGTGCTGGTCACATGTAAGCTCCTGCTGGCATCATTATCATGTTTGACGTAAGTAGTATCTCCATTCTGAACATCAGGTTCTGTACTTCTCTTATTTTGCGCATACTTGTCCATGTCCACGAGAAGATAAGATTAAGATTACTCACCGCAATGTTGTAAATGTCGGTGCCCCGCCCACACCGTCATAGGTATTGTCGTTTTCAAAATCCATCAACACTCCCGGTTGTTTAATGCGTAATTACTCAGATGATCTTCTTGATGATGTTGATGTCTTCACGTGATAGTTTTGGATGAGAGAAAGAAAACCAAAAACGCAGTGCGCATGTTGACCAGTGAGTGGGTCTCTCTTCATATGCTTTCCAAGCCGCGTCACCTTTTTGTGTTCCTCGCTCTAGTAGTCCCACAACAACAAGTTAATGAAGCTCCTCAGCATCTACATCTAGTAGTAGTGATGCAAAAGATCCTGGGTCTGGAGCAGTCGTTTTTATCGTTGTAGTAAGGTCACTTCTAGAGGTGTGAAAGAGAAATATTGAGAGGGAAATAATCTTCTGTTTACTTCTGCTTCTGCAATATCTGAAGATGATGATCGGTGATGTTTGAGCGATATTGATGACAACTATTTTCTTTTTTTCTCCTTGTTGATTGACGCTGTGCATGCGGTGGTGAAACAACTTAAGTTGGCTGTGATTGTGTAGTGATCATAAATAGGAAGATTGTAACTATGGTGGATCCTTCACCTTCTTTTTCTCCTTCACATTCCTCGAGTTCTACTGGTTCCTCGTTTATTCCATCATCGCACAGAAGCAGGAAAATGCGGAAGGTTAGCTCATTGCTGGTGGGTTCTCTGCCGCAACTTCTGTTGTCCTCATTCGTAGTGCTTGATGAGACGCTTATGCGACTACATGGTGGAAGCGCAGGCACCGGCGCTAATGGCGTCGCAGCGGAAAAAATAAAGTGCTATATCGACGCCGACACTTCGCATCCAAAGTGTGAGCACGCGCTTTCAAAGCAGACTGACGATATCGACCTGAGTTTCGAGCCTCAAACCATGTCCGTCGTGCTTCCATGCGCCAACGAACACGAATACGCACGCAACACAGTGCGAAGCGTCTTCAAGAGTTTTGAGGAAGAAGACAAGCACAAACTACTGGAGATCATCGTAGTGGACGACGGGAGCTCACCACCACTCTCGGAGCGCTGGATCGGCAAAAAAGTGCAGTCAAAGTACAATGCTACGATCGTGAGGCACGAGACTACGCACGGTCTGATCGGAGCAAAGAAGTCCGGAGGCGATGCAGCGAAGGGTGACATTGTTGTCTTCTTTGATTGCCATGTGGCGCCGCAAAAGGATTGGTACTGCATGATACGTCGACTTAAACTTGCTGCAGCACCATATTGATCTAGAGACTATGCGACTATAACTTTTGAAAAACCTTGCAATCGACGTCGTCGTACCTTATTAAAAGAGTTATAATGGTCAAAAGATTTCGGAGAGGTTTTTCGAGGGATTATCGGGGGGAGAAGGGGGGG